ACCGCTGGCATTATTTGCATCTAATAATCTCATCGCTGCGTTGATTTTCCCTTCAAGTACCAGATTTGCAAATTTCTTTGCGAGATCTCCCGAAGAGAAGTTGTTGCTATAGCTCGGGAGTTTGGACTGGATTGTTCTACATTCTCTAACTAGTGCATCAAAATTTCCTTCTAACCACAAATCCATTCTCCGTCGTAAACACTCGCCATGTTGTTTTGCCTTTGATCTGAAAGATGGCTTCTGCAGTAGGAGAGCTGGCATGATCATCACTGTTTTGATAGCGATATCCTTTAAAGACTCCACTTCTTCATTCCAGGCATTGATAAGACGAGTCATCTCTGCAATATATCTCTTTCCTGCTGAACCTGTAGGAAGCATAAATATGTTTCTCCTCCAATACACAACTTCTTCGTAAATGGCAGAAATGACCATTTGAACGTCCTTTTTGGAGTGTATTCCCCACACTTTTGGACCATTGTCTAACAATATTGATGTGTGAGCACTATCACCAGGCTCTCCAATTTCCGAGACAGGCATAGGATGAAAAAGAGGCAGGGTTCGTTGATTGTAAGTCAATTCAGGTTGAATCGAAGAAGAACTCTGCGTTCGAGTTGCAAGCGCATCATTAGAACGTTTGGTGCTCGGTTGAACATTCGCAAAGTCATTCGAATTAACGGTTAAATCTTGAACGAAATCTGAACAGGAGCTTGTTACTAAACTCCCTTGAAAATTTGTGTTATTATTTGAATTCAAATTAGATATGTTACCTTGTTTATCTTTTCGGCAACAGCGTAAATGTTGGCTCAAACCTCGTTGGTTCTTAAACGATCGAGAGCAAAACTGGCAACCAAATGATTCAGTAAAAAGCTGCGAGTTAGTGCCGGGAGGCACGTATTCAGATCTTTCCATCGAAACGCCGCCTTATTTTGACAGAAAAGCATCCATAACAGCAATAAATAACTTGATTTATCTTTCTGTCACCGTAAACTATATTTCAGTAACTTCACCAAAGTTTTCAGCAACAAAATCAAGAAATTTTTCCTCGCCATTGAAAAGACGTCTGCTCTCGCACACGGCACGAATCGAATTTTGCTTTGAATAGCTTGATTGATTATATCATAAAAGGCGTTCAGTAACGAACCCTGCAGCTTCTGTTTGAGTCATGAAAGTCAGTATTAGTCTTGTCTGTGATTCATGACATGCATGACGGACGATAGTAAAATATAAATAAAAAACATTAACACAAGGCTCAATACTGTAACTCGAGATAGGAAGACCTCCTTTCAAGGTACGGGGACCTCTTTTCGAGATACGGCGACCTCCTTTCAAGATAGGGAGACTTCTTTTCAATCTGTGCGTAATTTTGCACAGCGGGTATGTTTGTTGCGGTCTTAAGAGCTGTGCCATTTTCATCTTCGCTTGATTTGTCTCTTATCGAGTCCCAGAGTTCTAAAAAGTTTGACACTAGGCAGAATATCGGCAACCCAATAAGAATGGTGCCAAAAATTGAGAAGAAACCGCCTAATGCTTTTCCAAATGTTGTGACAGGATAGGAGTCTCCATAGCCTACGGTCGTAATGGTGTTGATAGACCACCAAAGAGCATCCGGAATGGTGTGGAGAAACGAGTCTGGTTCGTTAATTTCTGCATAGTAAGTTAAAGCAGCACTAACAACGGTTGCTATGATCAATATAAAGAAGAGCAGACCAAGTTCATGCCTACTGGCAAAAAGCGTGTATATAAGCGCCCGCATACCTCTTGAGTACCTTGAGACCTTGAGAATTCTGGCAATGCGAAAAATTCTGAACGCCTTTAGAATTGACAGTGGTGTCATCTGAGTCTGGCTCTCGATTATAAGTTGTAAGTAGAACGGAATAATAGCCAAGAGGTCGATCCAATTCAATGGCGACTTGAAAAACTGCATTTTATTACTGCAGGATAAAAATCTAACGAAAAATTCAATGGTAAACCAAACGTAACATCCATGGTTCATTACGTAGATGATTTGTTTAACTTTGATGTAACCCTCACTCTTTGGATGCATCAGCGAAGGCAATGTTTCTGCGCACGTTATTACTATTGACAAAGCCAATGCAAATATACCTATAATTGTAATGATCTTTGCAAATATAGACGAATCGGGACTAGAGAACAGTTGCCAGAAAATCCTCTTGAGACGATTCTTAGGCAGTTCATGCGATTCAGCGAGAATAAAACGATCAACTCTTTCTGGAAATGTTAGCAAATCTTCCTTTTTGCCAATTTCAAAGAAACTGAGTTCTGATACAAACTGTTTTTCTGTGATATTATCAGGTTTCGATATTCGACCATTTGACTGGTAGTAGAACAGGATCGCATCGAACGCTCTTCTGTTTCTATCAAAAAAATATTCGCCACGAAAAGGATCGAAATATTTATTCCTCCGAGAAGGGGAACCAAGAAGAGTATTTGGGTAGCGGGCAAGAGTACTTTCAAACGTCTCAAAATGTGCACCACTGATGTTGATACAGACACGCTCATCTGCTCTTTCTGATAAGAATACCTCTGGATACATATCTGCCTGCCAATCTGGTTCCATTCTTCAAAGCATGCAGACTTGTTGCAGATTTTCAAGCCGTTTCATGACCATAGTTCATTCTGCAAATAAACTACCACGTGCTTGTTGGCATAGACATAAAAAATTTCAGTTCAAATAAATGAGCAGTTTCAGTTTGATTATATGTCCGCTTGTTATACTTGACTTTAATGGAAGTTATTGATTAGTGAGCAAATATCCTCCAGCTGTAACTAGAATGAACAATTCATTTCAGTTTCATTGTCGTCAGGTGCTGGTGCTTGAGAAAACATCAATCCATTTTTCATTTGAGACCTTTTGGATTGATGCATGATAGATACTATGTATTTTATTGCAACCAAGGGCTTTCACTTTGAATCGATTGGTATTCTCAATACTGCTCACATGATGCTTGTCAATTTGTCTGAAAACGAGAAAAGCAATGCTCACAAGAGAAGATTGTGATGCTAAATAAAGAAAGAGTTCAGAAATTCGCGTGGCATCTTCAGAACCTAATTCATTTACATAAAAGCCACTTATTGGATTCTAGTAATTTAGAACTGAAATATAAATTAAAAATGAGCAGAAGCAACGGCGATCAGTAAGGAACAATTCAATAAAACAAAATGTGACTTTAAACTTGGAAAATAATTAAAGAATATTAACTGATATTTTACTTTTGCAAACATGACTTCATCAGCATAACTAGCCGTCAACTAGTGTAACTAACTATTGAATACTGAACATTCGCTACCTCTTTCAACTGCTTAGGAAACGTAGCAAGGAAATCTTTAAAGTGTGTTAACGGTAAGATAGATACAAAGACCGGGAGGGAGATAAAGGGGCGCTTTAGAGTGTCAATATACTTTAATTTAATTGAGACAATACATATGGTATAGCTTGTCACATAGAATTTTAGTATAATGTGCTTTTTGCTAATAATAGGGTCTTTTTGCAAATTTTTTCGATTATATGTTTTTATGAAAAATATTGATGGAATCAATTGGAAGTTGCACTTTACTTTTCAATTCGAAATCGCAAAACATATTCATATTGGTTTTGTAGACCATATAGCTTTCCCGAGTGCAAGCAAAAAGCAACGAATGATTCTGCTATTGAAAAGAGCATGCGCGGAATGAGATACATCGTCTTGTTTTGGAAATTTATTGATTTAACATTGCCTTGTCGCAAGATGAAGATGAATTGAGTAGAATTGTTTCAATATAACTAATTTGACCAAAACCAACACAACGTAGGCTTCATGCTCTTGACAAACAAAAGTTGTTTCAAATATATGGCCAAAAAATGGAAGGGTTGTCTAGAATAAAAAATAATCATCGCTGAGTTCCGTAACACTGCTGCAAATTTTGCATCTTGTCAGAACCAGATTTTCAGTTTATTGAAGTGATTTAGAATATGTAAACGAAAGAATCAGCTGTGAAGATCTTTTTTGACTAAAAGATAAACTTGTAAGAAGCACACGCAGAGTTCGAAATGACCTATGAGATTATCGTGACCGATCATGCTCTTATCATTTATTGATGATTAATTTTCAAGAAACTTCAAAATTTGAATACGCAAGTATTGAAAAGTCATCAATGCAGACTATCTGTTACAAAAATGGCATTTTGTTAGCTGGTACCAGTTGGTATTCTTTTTTGTTATAACTGCCGTGCAGGCAACAATGTTGGAGTTTTAGATTCCTATTCATTACATCAGACATCACAGACAAATATTGCACATGAATTCGACACGTAATTAGTAAATATTGCGTGAAATTGTGAGACACAGAATGCCAGCAAGACCTAAAAAATTTAATTCAGAAAAAAGTGTGAAGTTCTCACATCAGAATAATCATTGGTTGACGAGTTTTTGACGATATATTCGAGTAAGAGGAGTTATGAAAAATGGCCAAAAAACACCAAATTCATATGACCACCTTTTAGTGTGGTGCGTTGGTGGATGATCATATCCTACACAACTTTTGTTCGACAACAACTTGCTGGCAGACACGAACCCCTTTTCGTATCTCAATGGGCTGTCAAGATATTTTGGCTTCACGAGCACCGCCCTATTTGTGCAAATGCAAAGAATTAACTAAAAGTCAAAAATCTAGATATCTTGGATACTAAGATTCTTTTCGATCTTAGCTTTTTACCTTGACTAAATAGCCAACGATCTAAGTATTCCTGGCTTAAGTCATAAGTCCTATGTCACCAGTTAGTTCAGTTCAGTAAATTTTTAAGATCATAGTTTTTCTTATTTCTTTATCTCTTTTTCTTATTTCTAATAGAGGTGGCGTGGACATGTGATCTAGGCGTTTGGCTTACGATATGCGTGTCGCGTGCTCAAGCCACTTAAGGCTTTCTTTCCACCTACCGACTCGCCTGTCCATCCTTTCAAGGTTAGTAAATGCGTACCAAGGGTATTTGTTCTAGACTATCAAGGGGCGCAAGCCACAGGTCCACACCAGGTATTAGCTGCCAGAACCCTGGCCTGTTCTAACGAATAACATCTTGCTTGCCTGCTGCATCCAACTTCAAGTTTTAAAGGGACACGCCTTCTTCAATGACGCTGGTCAACAAGATGCTGTTACTGTGAAATTTCAACTAATGGACACTTCCCAATATATTTTGTCCAAAAACGTATTTTCTGTCGCCAGAGACTTTCAAGAGTAGCCTCTAAACAACAAACAATTCTCTTAAATGGGCTGTAACTGAAGTCCCTAGCGTGTCCCCTGTATAGAAATTGATAAAATCTGGTTGCACAGTTATGAAATTGATAAAATCTGGAAAATAATAAAATGATAATGGTTCATGAATATTTCATGTAAAAATTTGTCAAACCACATAACCTGATAGCAGAGTAGCTACGATTGTTGTATAGCTCTGCTAGTTTGACCTTCATTAAGCATTACAATGTTAACAGCCCGTCCTAATCTTCTTATTCAGTATCAAAAACTTTTGGTTCAAAATCTTATCCAAATTTTAAACAGTCCTTGTTTCTTTCCCATTTAGATGGAGTTAATCTTTATAGTAAGCATTGATCTCTATATCAAACAAACAAATGTGTGTAGACATACCATGCACTTTCTCTGAACTGTGTCATCATTTGAGATCTGCAACTACTTTTATGATTAATGTCATTCTTTTAATTGCATTTAAATGCTCTTTGGATTCACCCACACACATTGAAAGACTTCGCAAAAATTAAGGAACACATGACCATTTCGTGCTCTTTGAATGTAAAGAAAAGTTGAAAGATCCATGTTGCGAGAATAAAACGTCAAACACAAGTCGAAAATACAAGTTTATCTGATAAAAGTTTGATAGTGATATGTAAATATCCATGAATTATTAAGTTTGCCGTTGAATGTGCTGGTGATTTGACCTGTTTTACCTTAATGCCAGGTCTTGCTGATTTCTTTGAATGTTTTGGATGTCAACCTGTTCCAGTTATTCAGATTCAATGGTGAATTCCAATTTTCGAAGCTGCAACGTGATACATAGCAAGCTGAAAATGAACTAAAAGGAAGCTAAACTGAATAGATGCAGAAATCCCTTACAACAATAGGATATTACTTACAACAACAGTAGGATACATCAAAGTAGGCTGTGCCTTTACTTTAGAAATACACTGCACTTATTTGAACGTATATGCATAAAATAAGAATATTTTTCATATTGCATTGTGTTTTCAGGCATAGTTTTGACTGTTTTAAAGTGTGAAGCAAATAGCCCAGTGCTTACACTTTTGTGCCGCTAGTGGAGCTACAGTGTATTACGTCATACCTATTCATGACAGAATACAAAAGATTACTTAAGATCAGCATTAACCTTGATACAGAATATGCCTAAGCAAGGGACTTCCTCCAGAAAAAACGAATATTCCTAAGACGGTCTGAAGTTAATCATGATAAAGAAGCTATGAAACTCAAGTTACTACAAAATCGACGATCAAAGTTGCCTTATAAAATTCTTAAATTAGCACTATCCAGCTCTAGAAAACTGTGTAAAGTCCTTATGAAGAAGTGCATTGACAAATTGTATCATCAAATGGTAGAACTGACAATGTTGTTAGCTGTAAGGCCAAAATTTAGAATCTTTTAATAGAGAATTCAGTTTCAACTTTTGCATATAGAAAATATCTAGTACTAAAACATTTAAATGAAGTTATTATGGATTTTTGACTTGTAGAAGTAAAGAGCAGTAGAGGTTACCTACATTGCAGTGTATCCAAAAACCATAAAATCTCATTAATTGGGGGGGGGGGGGGGGGGGTTGACTGCCGGTCTGGAAAAACGCCAGAATTGCATTTACCAGACAAATATTTTTTCGAGGAATTATTTTTGATCGCCTTTGGACTAAAGTGGAGCAGCTGGGAGATCGTTTAATGAAATAATATTAGTTTCAAAGCACAGGAATTGTTATAGATTTTAACACTTTGTAGTAACAATGTGCACAAAGTACCGAAAAATTATCCACAGGTTCGACTCTCATTAGGGCGAGCCCACACCGATTCTTTTTTTGTAATCTGAGATTCAAATCATTCTCAAGGTTTAGCTCTTCTGTAATCGTCTTAACTTCACTTAAATTGATATAGACCTATACAGCGACGTGCTGGCTCAAAATTGGTAAAGGGGCACCAACCTTTTATTGCGTCCAATTAAGTTAAGCCCATGGTACAGCTCTGTCAGGGCGGGGCGAAATGTGATTGAAAATAGGGGGTACAATGTTATCATTTCTCAGGGGTTTCATAATGGCCGCTACCATGGTATAACAAATTTGAAAGTATAACATTATAGGGACTGCTGGAAACTGCATCTAAAAGAAACTTTTTTTACAAATATGACGTCCTTGAAACTCTAAAAACTCTTTCAAAAAATTTACAACATAGATTTAGAAACAAGGACGATCCATGGAAAGGTTCATAAGATTTTCTTTATCATTGCGGAAAAAATCTTGAGAATTTCAAAGGGTTTAGTAAAAGCATAACTTGCTAGGGATGACCAGAAACTGCACTCGAAATATTCGTAACATACGTCGCTTTAGGCCCAATGGAGATGAAAGAAAATATTTATAAGCTAATTTTTATCATAATGTACCATAGTTTTATCTGTTTTGCATTTGAAAAGACCACTACATGAAGATCGTAAAGGTATTACAAAATTTTAGGAGCACGTTTAGCAATAAAACCTCTGTGAGGTCAAGCAAGTCAGTCGGTTGCTTACGGATGTTTGGTAACTAATAGTGGAATGCCAAGGGATGCAGGGTTGCAGTCCCTTACCTAGGTTCCAGAGCGTCCAGAGTTTTGAACGGGTCGCAAAGATGGCGTATTGGCATGGGAGTGCGGAGGAAGAAAGAAAGAGACGAGAAAAAGCAGCCTTCATATCAAAATTAGCGCCTTTTTAGAGCTCGGCTATGCTAAGTGGCCTTCTTTGTTCACATTTGTTTTCCACGTGATTATGGGGCCCCTTTGAAGAGTTAGAACGCATTCGGCGCCCCCTGGGAGCAGGTACCCCCTGCCACCACGCCACAGGAGGTGCGTTAGTTGTCAAAGGGCAGTGCTCTCTCGTTGCCTCGATGTTGCTTGTTTCTTTCTGAACATCCTAATCAGAAATCAATTTAAAATCAAAACAACAATAGATGAAACTATGAACATCCTCGCGAGCAAAAAAAATTTTATCAGCAACTTTCTGGCATTTCTCTACAAAACCCATAGAAAATAAGAAAAGAAGTATAATACAATATGATTGATTTTATGAATTGCTTCAAGAAAGCCTTTTTTTATAAATGCAACGGCATGCAATCTGTTTGAACAGTCCCCTCGAAGTCCTTGTTTTAAAAGATGGAATCATTGATTTAGAAAATGCTTTTTGAACAATTTCATTGTATCTGACAAAGAACGAGGCAGTACATGTAGGGAAACTTTTCATGAACAATGGATTCATGCCCATTTCAAGACAAGGCTTATTTCAAGTAAGATGTTTAGTAAAAAATATTAATGAGAAGTTCCAAGCAAAAGCGTCCAGCAGAAATGCCCTGTTTAGCTCAGGCATATACTTTGACTGAGAAATCCACATAGCAAACTGACAAGGTTTGTGCACCGAAGCAAAAGAAAGAACGCAAGAGCCGAGTCTTGGGGTATCTCTGCCTCTTTTTGCATTGGCCTGGAGACTTAATCTTAATATTTGTCTGCAAAATGAAATTTACTCCGAAGATTCTACTGTTTTGTATTATCCAAACAATAACCAGACAGTACAAATACATTTTAGTGAAGAATACCATGCCTAGCAGGTGTTCATAGCCTGTAACCCGTATTTACTAATTAATAAAACACCTCCTATATGATAAATGGCGCCTATAACACAACTAGCAATGTTGTGGTTGAAGCCAGCCTACGATCTATCACTAGGTCATACATGACGAGTAATCTTGAACATTATAATGAACAAATTTTGGAAAAATTTTCATTTTCACGTAATTCATACCAATTTATCGAAAAATCTTAAGGGATATATCACAAACTTAATGGTTGATTTCGCTCTTTAAATCCTGAACTATACCTTTCTGCCTAAAAAGTAAAAAACAAGGCATTCGGCTTGGTGGCTATTGATATCTTCATCTTAGCTTGGAGTTTTAACTTTCAAAGGACAATTCCTCTCTAGATTGATCTAATGTTATTTCAACGATGCAAAATGGCGCACAAAGTAGAGAAAACACTGTTGGTAATATGAAACAGGACATAAAGGACATTATTGCAGAACCTTTTAACATCGCTGGAAACATACTTCATCTTCATCTTTGATTACACAAACAAAGCTTGCTGACAACAACAACAACAAAATCCCGACACTCAAAAGAAGTTACTTTTCCTCCCTTTATAATCATCTTGGTGGGGAAAAAAATATAAATATCGTTTTTGAGTGACTGCATATAATTTTAATTGAGTTCTAACATTCCTACCTAAGGCAAACCATTCATTCATTAGAAAAAAAAATGCCAGGGATTGCATACACGATATACATCTAATTTAACAAGGATACTAAAAAGGATGGTTCAATGCAAGAAGAACATCTCAGATTTTACAACTCTTTACCAATTATTCGAACCTAATATATCTTTTTCGAACGTTCCCTGAATATCATATTTTTGGAGAAAATTAAAAGGGCACTAGCTTGTTTGTTGAATAAGAAATACAAAAACAAAAAGGAAATACTACCATTGGGGAATACCCACCCCAGCAGCACTATGCTAAAAAATCTGTTTTCACTAAACAATTACAATTTTGCATACATAATGGGTTATTGTTTTTACAAAAGCAAAAGCATATCATACAAGTTTGATAGACAATAATAATTTGCTACGCCAACATTCATAAAAATTAAAAGTTAAATGTAATTTTAAATTGAAAACTATACAATTCAATTTCTTGGTCGTAAACTATACAGGCAGACAAACACCTAGGGTTCAGGAACTTTTCCAAGGCACTGCTTTTCTGCTAAAAGGGTCCTTGAGGCGGGTATTGCTGACTGCTTCCGAGAAATTGTGATCTCGGTGGCAGCATGTTTTGAAGCTGCTGCAAACTCCCTTGAGGCTCTGAAATCTGACGCTGATACAATCCGAGATCCGGTTGTTGTTGTGGTAGCGAAGGTGGCTCTTGTATTGGACGAGCTGAAGGGTCGGAGAACTGTCTTTGAAATGGCATACCCTGTTGTATCCCTAGAAGAGGTAAACGAATCGAAGTTGTCATATAGAGAGAATGGACGATACAGATTGTTAGTGGAAGATATTCGGAAGTTTAAATTCAAAATTGTTGTCGGCTACAAATATATGAACCAAGAAATATGAACCTTGAAGTTCGAAAAGTGATGGTTTCCCCTACAACCCATAAAGCACCAAGTTCACACCATAAAGTTGTAAGTGTATGCATTGAACTATTTTGTACAGACTCTGGTGGTTCCCACTGAAAAAACACTGCATAAAAGTTATATACAGTTAATGGAGTATCAGACTTAATGGAGTCTAGAGATAAAAGTCTTGATAGAATCAGGCAAGATTTTACAATACTGAAACAATATCACTTATTCATCGCCAAAAGGGACACGCATATCATCGCGTCCATAGCACCATGCATATCATCTAGATAACCATGGCAACGACAAAGCCTTTCGCTTTGCGTTCCTTTACCGTACAATTGGCAGCTGTTTTTGGGACAAAGGGGCAATTTACAACAATTAACTCAGAAATTACTTTTATTCAGCCGAGTGCTGAAGGGCAACCTAAGCTTAATAGGAATTTGATGAATTCTGTATGAGCGAAATGACTTTATATCAATGGTAAGTGACAGCTGCTCTTTTAGGTAGGCGTTGACAGTTTAAATCTACTGTTTGGCGGGGGAATCGAAACACCTTTAGTATGAACAAAACAACTGAGCCTTGTGGGTTAGTTAAATATGTAGGATCAAGTTCATTTTGCTATTTATACCTGAATATTGTCTTGTCAGCTGATTCAACATTACAGAACTTCTTTGTTGCTGCTGTTGTGACTGTTGTTGCTGCTGCTGTTGTTGTTGTTGCTGTTGACGAATTGCAAGCTGTTGCTGTTGCTGCTGTTGTTGTTGCTGCTGTTGGTATAAAGATCGACTTTGCGTTGGCTGAACCCGCATCTGGTGAACGGGGGAAATAGTTGATCTTGCCATTGGCATTTGCAATAACTGATGAAGAGATGTTTGTACGTCATCAATTTGTGTGCTTTGCTGTAGGCCCTGTGACATTCTTTGATTGGATGCGGTGTACTGGTTGGCCATTAACGACTGGCCCTGAAGATTTTGGGTGACCCCTTGTGACATCTGATTTGCTTGCGCAAACGTACCTTTGAATGAACAAGTATAGTCTATGTTTGAAAACTGCTTAAGATTATTTCCTAGATTCAGAAAATAAAGCTGCTCAAAAAGACTGAAGAACAATCAGTTGTCAAGTTCTGCACAGAAATCAAAATAACGTTAAAAACATACGTAAAAGGCAAAAAACTGATGTTCACGTAACAATTGGACGATTGTGGATCGGAAAAACGACAATGGGAGAGAGCAATTGCATTGACACATAATCTTACTCAATCGGATGGATTTAGACATGGGAGGCAATTTAGGAAAAGCCTGCTAATTCTTATTTTAATAACAAAGTGTCACAGTTTGGCACCAAAATCTGCAATTGGTGAAATGCTTGAACAGTAAAATACAAAATTTCAAGCATTTTTAAAATCTTGTACTGGCGACATTTTCTTTATTTTGACCAATCGGCAACTACTAACCCTACACAGAGTTCAATCGCAAAAGTGAGAAAATGAGCTCTTTCTTTTTACCGGAAAAAGATAAGTTTGTTTCAATGTAAACAGATTCAAAAACGCTTGCTTGCCCCATTCTTTTAAAATTATTGTCACTTTACTTCATGTTGTGACAGCACGTTGCTATTGCAAAGAGATCAGCTTCTCTTTCCCTCAGTTGAGAACATAATCAATAAGAACTTTTGTTAAACAAAAAAATTGCTAGAACCCTTCAGTCGTAATAGACAGATCAGAGGAAAATAACTGGTAAAAAAGCCGATCAGGTTAATTATTTTCCTCTCCTTTTTAAAAGCAAACAATCACAACATGAGATGAAAATATGATTGATATTCTAGTTGATTGTCATTACGACAGAAATATGGAAGCACATGAATAATATGCTATTGGGAGTGTATTATCAAAAATGTGAGTGTGGGTCGATGCTGTATCCCACAGGCGTGCTATACAAATAGCTCACTATTTCTACAATAATTCAAGTTAAATTTGGTATTTCTCAATCTATCTGATAATTAGCAGCAAAAACAAAGCTTGCCAAGCAGAATAACAGATAACGAAAGGAACACAACGGCAGTGCTGTAGTTTTGCTCCTTAGAAACAAATGCAAAATTTAAAAAAATCTTACTCATAGGTTGAGTTGACTGGTTGGAGTAAATGAGATCTGGCTGACTTCGAATCGAGAGTGCTTGGTTCATAGTAAGCTGCGCCTTGAATGGAAAATGAAACAATGAACCAAGCATTTACAATGTCAATTGGGATCACTCATCTGAATCGCAAGGTTTGAGCTTTAAAACATTAGTTATTATTGTGAGCTGTATAAAGATTGAGAGACGCTTCTGGCAATCTCAGTCAAAGATCAGTAGCAATAAGATAAGAATTCTGCCATTTTTATCATAAAGATTTTCCATCAGAGGATCTTAGATAAAAAAGCTGAAAGCACTTACAAAAAAAATACAATACTATTATACACAAATTAATTAAAATTTCGTATCAGTTATTGTAAAACATTTCCACAAAGAACTGTTTCACAATTGAAAATGGAGAAATAAGCTTATCACATTAGAAACAGTTTGCATGCTGAAAGTTAAAAATAAGTTTATATAGATATAAAGAGCCTTGAAAGCCATTCCTAGCTACTCAAAATAAAAAACAACAGAACAGAGACTTTAATGCTTACAGACTTCACAAATGCATATACAGGGTTAAAAATTCTACTCTTCATAAGACAAAAAGATACTGAATATGTGACAAACACCAACTGAACACAGAAAACCTTGTTTAAACATTAGGAATGCAAGGTTCAACGATTGCTTCTAAACGCATATTTCAAAGACCATCATAAGTAGAATACAACCCACATTTGGTGGCCCTTGAGGCTGCATCATATGCATGCTTTGCTGCTGGCTTTGTGACGTCATCTGCAGCTGTCGCTCTTGTGCCATCTCAAACTGATGTGACTGCATTTGCATCTGCTGCTGTTGTTGTTGTTGCTGCTGTTTGCGATTTCTTGCTATCTGCTGCTGGAGTTGCACAAGCGTATTCTGTGTCGATTGGGCGGTGGCTTGCGGTAATGAGCTTTGCACAACTGTCTGCGACAATGACCCGGTCGACTGTTGGTTGCGAGCAACTAGCATGGCCTGCAGAGCCTCCTTCGTTGACTCGGGTGTTGATGTCATGCTCATGTTTTGCCTTGCATGGGAAAGAAATTAAACTTAAAAATGAACGACTATGAAGTTGGTAGACAGTATTCCAAAGACCTGGTTAAACGAATAAAACATCCGTTCCTAGCCTACTGCGCTTGCATGAGTAAAACAAATGTTTAAAAGGGCGGCCAAACGAGCGAAACATTGTTGATCAAGCATGAGAGCAAAAGAAATGTTTTACGAAATGTTTGATGGAAATCAAATTTTGCAAAACATCGTAACATCATAAAACATCGTAAAACATGGTGGCCAAACAAGTAAAACATCTTTTATGCAACAATGTTGAATGATGTTTTATGCCGATGTTTCATTCGTTTGGCCAGGAATTAACATTTTTCTTAGAAGTAATCTAGAAGTAAGAGCACAAAAAATTTTCTCACCTTGCTTGTCCGGCAACAAGCGGCTGTTGTCCTAGTATAATCTGTCCTGTCGAGAGAGAGCCTTGCTGTGGTTGCTGTTGCTGCATTAGTAGGCGCAACTTTTTTTGCTGATTTGGTGTTAAGCCCTGGGTATTCTGCAGACCAGACTGAGAGTCCTGACGCTGTGTACTTCTTTTCCTTTTAGGTGGAGTCTGCTGCACTGTCGTAGATGGCTTGGACTGTCTTGCCACATCGCCACTCTGTCGAGGTTCACCCGTATTCTGTACAGAGGCGAGGAGTTGTGCAAGAGCACTTTTATTTCCTGGCGTTGGAGGTCCTAGAAAATAATGAAAATAGATCAAATGACACAATGGCTACAGACGTCCGAAGCAAGCTAACGTAGTTCCCATCCATAAGAAAGGCAGTAAAATCGTTGACCCTCTTTATTATCATCTCAATGCAAACTATTTATTAAACTCAAATCATTCAGAAATTCGCCCAGGAGATTCAACTGTCAACCTGTTCCTGACAATAATCAATTCCATATTTACAGCTTTCGACTGCAGTCCCACGCTAGATATCCAGTCTGTTATTCTCGATATTTCAAAGGCCTTTCACAGGGTCTGGCAACTCGGTCTCATATACAAGCTATGTCGATGTGGTGTCTCGTGTCTCTGGTAAATTTCTAACGCTAATGCAAAACTTCCTCAATAATAGAAAACAGCGTATTGTTTTGAATGGAAAAACATCTAAATAGCGTGACATTGCAGCTAGAGTCCCCCAAGCTGCGGAACATTTTATGCTGCTCTTTCATACTTTGATACAGATTGATGTGATCCTCTCGACAATGTAAAGGCAATTGCAACCCCACGGATTAACAAACCTTTCAAAGGCAACTTTACTACACATAATTCTTTAGGGTCATAAAAATTAATTTTGAATCCAAACACAAATATTCTCAACATTCTAATTTGAAGTAAATATGTTTAATGTAATGGTCAGAGGGTTGCTATGTATTTCAATGCTATGTTTTCCTATGGAATCTTCTTGTAGATTGTTTGTTTTGTAAAATTTTATGAGAATAAATAAAAAAGGTTACATACAACATACATGCTTAAATGTATAATTGTGTTTGAATTCAGCCCAGTTGTTTTCTTATTGATTTTCATACAGAAAAGGAGATAAGCTTACCTCCAGGTGTGTTAGGGGTAGCTGGCTGGCTAGGACGTTCTTCCTCTTTCGCTTCATTGTCTGAATCTTCATTATCGTCATCATTGAGACCGTAATTTGTGAAATAGTTAATTGGCCTGCGCCTTTGGTGCGTATGCAGAAGAAGTCTTTTGGCTTGCTCAAGGTAGCGCGACGGGCGCTTCTCGAGCCGAACTGCCCCAAACCATGCCCAACTTAATGGGGCAGCACTTCGGTGGTCTTCAAGTAAATCCCAAGGATTTATGTTCTGAACACCTCGCATCTTTAGACCCTTAAAAGTGAATGTGGAGTTGCTATCAGTATTTTTTCAGATCATGGAAACCAGGCTTCGACCTTCAACTAGAGGTTGAAGTTGAAAGGTCAAAAAGTGAAAGTTGAAAAGTCAAACTTTCTACCAACCAAAGAGATTTTTCATCAAGCCGATCTTGTCAGAGCCAACTAACTAAAAGTGAGAAATAAGTGTCCCATCTTCGGTAATACTCTGTCTCCTTTCGTGAACGAAATGTGTGGTCTGTTGAACACTTGTTTATACTTTAGCAACTATTGTCGATTAGATAGAGCAATTGATCATATTTAGCCTATAGTTCTTGCTAACCCTCAAAAGGGTGAATGTTCAACCTTGACTCTTTTAAGGAGTAGTGCTATGTTAATAGTTATTGTAAAGTAAATTGGTTTAAACTTTGTTTTATGACATTCAAGAGTTTGAGCTAGATATCATGGTGTTGAAGAGGTGGTTGCACCGTTGTGCAAACTGGAATACAACAAGGCATTTTACCCTAAGATAAAAGATTCAGAACACTTTTCTAATTCACAACTTCCCCTTCATTGCTAAGGTACGATAAATGAGTGCGTGTATTACACATATCGTCTTTATCATCTGTTATGATCTGTCTACTAAGAACAGCTTTATTTAGAAGCGATAGCCAAATCACAAGCAAAAAATGAATTTGCTTGCTCACACAAGAAGCTGTCAAAGAGTGTTTCACGATAGTGGCCTGTGTCATGTACATAGTAATGAGCGTAACTTTTTGTGATGTAAACAGAAAGAAAATCAAAGTGATTCCGCAACATCGGTAAAACGAAGCAAAGAAGAATATTGAATATTCCTACTTGCTGCGAATGCTGGACCTCGTTCGCTTTATCTTTGTTAAGGGGAGTCGAGCTTCCATCCTGGGAATCGTCCACCTCCATGCTTATAACCTCGTACGCAGGTGTTTCGAGCGGCAAAAGTTGCTTACACTTCAAAATTGAAGGACATTCCCCTCTGAGGGCGATGTCCTTCTAAAAAAGAAACAACAACGCTGGCTTAGTTTTGAGTAAAAAGACTTGGATTTAATAAGAAAATGTCAAACGGACAAATGGGGATTAATGCTAATCATAAGCCTTTGATTTAACGCTAAAAATACTTCGAACAAATGGTTGACCAAAACAACAGTTTGCGTTTTTCTGGGAAAATGTAAAAGCTTGAGAATGTAAATCAGATGTTAGCAATTATGGTGATTTTGCGCCATTGAAAATTCTGAGTATCAAAAACACTGCAATCCAATTCGACAGCTTAAGCTAGAGCCTGACTGCCAATATTAGATGTGTTGCCAAATTTAACCCACCTGAAACGTATGGTTATAATGATAAAAAACCTTTCTCTCATCTTCAAAAGTTCACCTGCCCTAAGTTACGCAAGGAAACAGTTGCGAAACAATTTCCTCTTCAAAAGACAACAGCACATTAGTATATTGACATTTAATCTAGAATCGTAAGGTATATTTCCACCTCATTCGCAATTCGCTTTTCGCATACTATTTGCAAATGGTAAACACGCAGGCATTCGATGCACACTTCTTTCGACCAAATCTGACGCGAACGTGATTCGAGAAAACTGCTTTGTTTATTCAACCAACGAGATGGTATAGTAAATATTCCACAACGGTAAATTTCTACAGCAGGGCTCATTTGCTGTACCCAATGCCAATTAATTTTGTACCCTCAGCAATTTCAACTTTTCCTTCCAGCTATAATTATCCTGCAATGCTGTTTCTGTGTACATTTTCCAATTCCCATTACCAGTAAACTTTTGCTGCCGCTGCCATTTTGCTGCTCTAGTGCTATTTTGACTCGAATTTCGCCGCGCCGTTTTCTTATTCAAATGATAGATTCTGGCGATTGCTCATTTTCTAGGACTTTCTTTCGCGTGCGACGTTCGCGGTGCGAATTGCGAGCGTTCGCCGGCGAACTTCAAACAAAGATCCAATGCGAATTGTGAATTGCGAATAAAGAAGAAATATGCCTTTATTCATTCGGACGAAAACTGTGTATCCGAGATCACGGCTCCTGTTACTGACGTTAGTGTCAGCTTTCGTTTCAATACAAAAAATTCAACTTCTTTAATTTAAAAGCAAAATTTAACGAATAAATTGAAGTGTGATTCCTCTAGCAATGCGATGCTTTCAAGGTCTTAGAACAGAATAGAGTACAAAAATAATTATGACTTCATTAAAATACATATTTCACAATTTTAAAATTTTGACTACAGAACCTGAAAGGACACCATAAAATACATCTGAAAGTGCAAAATCAGTTTCATTTTTTTACAAATTGGTTTAAAATATGGCCAACAATAGATTTCGAAATAATTAAGAGATTATTGTTGCTCTGGCTCAGTTTATAAAGATAAGAATCAAGATCAAATTACAATGATTAAATGAGAAAAGAGCCTGTTCGCGTATTGCTATATCTCAGCCAATTCGTAACGTTTTTAACTGATTTTGCAGATTCAGGTGCTCTTTCAGCATATGTGGTCAATAGATTTTTGTGATGTCATAGCCTTATTGCGTTCGGAAATGAAATAACATTGAAGACAAAGCAAAAGTTACTTTAGACGATGATACCTCTAGCCCTGGAAAAACCTTCTGGAAAAATTAATGATATTTTGGGGCGTGGGAACGAGTCATGTGGAGAAGGAAAACGTTATTTACCTGTAGCTTGCGCACAAGCGGCGCATATCTTTGTATATCAGTGCTTTGTGTGTTGTTCCCAGACATGTCCATTAGCTGTACAGTTGACAATAGAACAGAAACCATATCGAGAACGTCGGTAAACATCGAACTATAAAACAATTATAGGAAATGGCTGCAGTGATTGAACTACGAACATTGTTAGACAGGTTATTTAGAAATGAGAAGACGCAGGATGTAAAGGGGGCGACTTTGAATAATGATGAATACGTGAGACATAAGGGCTCTCGATATTCTCAAAAGGGACTGTTCAAAGAAATGAAGCGAACAGAACAATACAACAAACGGCAAATTTTCAATGGTTACAGGAGAGACAATCTTCAAGAGTTTCCTTGATTCCTGAACAATTAGATTGCAACAAAACCGGACGAATTAAGCATCTACCAGTGTTTTCAGAAGAATATATAGCATTTTTAAATTGCAGAATAACAATTAAGAATACTGAAGCCCAACAAAGCAATGTTCTACATAAGATTGATAAAATATCATGATAGATTGGCATTTTTCATAACGATTGTTAAGAAGATTAATTTCTTTTCAAGTTTTTGACAACCTATAATTAAACTTAAGGAGGATGTTAACCCCACAACCTCTTTTGGTGGCAAAACATTTCTTTGTTGAAACAAAGCAAAAGTCGCTATACAGGATTTCAACTATCTTTGATTTCAACAAGAAATGGTTTTCCCATCTGTAGGAGTGGTCAGTCCTTCGGTCTTCTGCTGCCACTTCAGTCTAAAAGTACACCTTCATTAAGCGATACATAGATGCAATGCAGATATATTTTATGATGTGAAATTAGACAGCAGCTTGTACCTGTACGTCCCGGAAATTTCCTCTTCCATGATCCCACAGGCACCTAAGCGGAACAGGGTCTGTGTCCATTCACATATAATCGCTGTATTCCTTTGGATAACATCAAATAACGCACCGACCTAAAAGAGCAATAAACTATATTGAGTACATCAGGATAAGTGTACAAGGCGTGCTTTGATAGTTATTTGCTTTGAGTGAAACAAGGAAATAAGTTACATACAGTAAAACGTCCATTAGCAGATTCCTCCCATTGACAGAAAGCAGTAACAACGAATTTTCTCTAAAAAGCCCCCAGCCTAAAAAAGCCCCCCCCCCTCGGAATAGCACCCCCTAAAACCATCAACATCTAAAAAGCGCCCATCCTCGAAAAAACTCTTTTGTTATAACGCTTTGAAAGGGGCCTTTCGAGGCGCTTCTTAACGGAAATACGGTATCATTGCTGCAGTAAAAGCCTTGTAAAATTAACATCCCTAGCAGGCTCTAGGCCCATAGGCGTCCGGTACATAAATCCTTTACTGGTTACTAAAAACAACAGTTTATCAAATTATAGTACCTGAAATGATTATACGAAAAAGAATAGAAGAAGCTGACGACTTTTTAGAGGCAGCTCAGAAATAAACAAAGCGAAAGAATACACTATGAGTCTTTGCAGTGAAGTTGAATATAGGCGTACGTGAAAAGTGCTGCCAGCTTCGAAATGTAAACATGATGCATTACTGTACCGAGTAAAAATATCTCTCAAATATAACAATCACATGATTCTAGAAACCACTTTACAAAGAGGTCGAAGTAGGGTGTCAAGCCCAGAGATTGGACTCAAAGGAGACTGCTTCATATAGCATTTTTGCAAGATATAGAAGGAATGGTGAAATGTTCTTTACATTTGAGGGAATCGTCAATTTTCACTGGTACATTGTGTTGGATATATATGACAGAGTGATTTTCTTATAAAACAAAGAGTAGAATTTCGCAGAACCTAGATAACAGCTGATGCTTGAGCGTAAACAAACTACGTTTCAAAATAAGAGATTGGATAAAATTATTCACAATAGCAAAAAATACATGGACGCGTTCTACGCGTGTATCCAAACTTTGCAGTCTGGCGCAGAACCTCTTTTGAAGCTTTGTAAGTGACTTACCAAATTTAACCTTAGATGTAGCCCTTCCAAGAGGAACTGTTTGGCGTCGAAGCAAGTAGGGAATTTCTCCTGAAAAAGAAGAGCAAGTAAGCATTCGAAACGTGTCTAAGATGAAAACAGCAATCTTATCACAAACAAAATACCCAATGCACGTGACTAGGACTTTGACCAGAGCTGAAATGATCAACGTTGTAAACATAAAACAATAACAGATTTGAAACCAAACCGGTTTAATTTGTTACATTTGAAATCTGATATCTTTAATACTAATTATACCAGGTATAGCAATTATTATCTGAGTGCTTTGGAATTTGTATACATGAAAATCCTGGCTAGTGTAGTAATAAAAATGGAGCATTTTCTCTCTGGCGTTCTTCAAATAGGCGAGAGTTGGCGGTCGAAAACAAGTAACCAACAATTACGACATTCTGTCTCTCATGTTACATTCAATCCGCATGAGATACAGTTTTCTGCGATTTTCCGCTTTTTCAAATAAACCTAGAAATAAACTGGAAAAATTACTATGACGTCCCGTATCACCTGGATGCAACAACACCGAATTTTGCGTCGTTTGCACGGGACTAAAGTGTCAGGTTAAACTCAAAAGCATTATGGAATACCTCATCAGGGGCAGCGATAACGTTGGCAAATTGCTTTTGAAGAGAGCCAAGAAAAGCGACTTTGTTATCATCTTGCTCTTTGAGACAACTCAAGACCAGATTGAACAGCGTTTGTTGTGATGCCGGAGACAGCCTAGTTAACAAATGATCACATTACATTCATAAAAGTTCATAATTAATTTTCATTTTAATTTAAACTACTTTTTAGAAATAAGTGACATATCTAAAACCACTCTCTATATTTAGCGGGTTTCCTTTTATGTCTGTCATCCGCCTAAATGAGTATAAAACAGGGATGAAAATTCACCGACCAACTTTAAAAGAGGATCAAAATGATCAAATACCGCGAGTTTTCATGGTTTTTCCACCATTTTCCCTTTTCCATGATTTCACCAGCTGTTTTAAGGATTCTGCCTTGAACAGTTGAAGGAAGTTTGCCGATAAGCGGCCCAACTAACTGGGGTTTCGAGTTTTCGGCCTCGCTGTTTGAAGATAGCGAAGACTCATTTCCATCATCGATCAAGGTGGACATGACACACCTCGCAATTTCGTTGAATAAAACAGATATTTCCTAAAATAAATATTTGGAAAATTATCTTCAACCACCATACCAACAATTCATATGGATTTTCCTGCCAATTCAGAGTTAATAATACATTCATAATTACTATCAAAATTACGTGAAAATATAATAGCATTCCGGGTACTCGTTATACCGCTAGAAAAAGTATTCATTTCGCAAGACCAAGGAAAGTCAGCAGCAAATATATTGAAAAACGATTTTCCACTGCACGTATTAATGAAAGCGGCTTTTAGGAAGTTTGACCAAAGGAATAATAAACATAACAAATAAAGAAAAGATCATAAATCTTAAAACAACCAACGTGGCCTGAAGAATTTTACCAAACATTGGGAGCACTGGGAAGGAGGAAGCAGACCGTTCGTCCATATCAATATATAAGGTGGTGAACATCAACTTTATTTTCCCTCCGTCCTAAAACAGGTGCTACTGTTTAAGGTAACAATGTACGAAATAAAACTGCACACAAAAGGTGCCGCTTTAGGAAACCCCTTCAACGGTTCGCAAATGATGAAAAAGTTCACAAAAAGTTCATAGTATGCATTTCAATTGATTAGTAAAACGAACGAAAAGTTTCGTAAACCAGATTTTTTTTAACGCCTGAAGTGAACTGAACCTAACATTCTGCGAAAAACATCTTAAGGCGGGTTTCCACTTTATTCGCTCTGGTCGCGCGACTGAGCGAATGCACATTGGGGCATGCGCAATTTGAACTCAGTTGAACAACTGGGTGACTGTTCGCGTTCGCCGATTCGCTGACTTTTTGATTCGATTTCGTTAAGTCACGCGACCAGAGTGAATCAAGTGGAAACCGGCCTTTACACAGTTACAAGCTTTGTATCAATAGCTACTGCGCTATCAATTCGGATTCAAAATAATACAGTAATACAAAACCCATGTAAACACCCAGAAGTAAATATGAAGGAACTGTCTGAAACATCATGTCGGATAGTTACGTGATAAAAGCCTCATGAAATTTCTGTTCATATTTCACGTCAGGCATAACGTTGTTTTGCAAGTGCAAATAGGATTAAGGGATAAGTATTGGAATCCATTCCTGAGCATCTATTAGGCCTACAAATTCCTAATTAATATTTGATAAGTTTTGCTATCATTCTAAATGTCTTTCAGAATCCGTACCGCAGAATTGAAGATAGCAAAATATCGTGAGAAGTTAGCAGTTGCTGACTGGCAAAAACATTTTAAAGGAACCGGCACTGTGTGACACCAGTCAAAAGCAGCAGTATTTTTAGCGCCAGACAAGTTCTTGGTACCACAAAATTTGAAAATGGAACAAAATAGCAAAAACACAGCATACTGAAGCACTTCTCGTCCGACACTCTTCAGAGTATAAACGTCAGCACCAGAAAAAATCCCCCTTCACCTTTTGGTCATTACCCATCGTCTTATACTCAGATGAAAAAATAACATTTGAGGATCATTATCAATAAAGACTACCATTTGAGAGTATTACCATTCGAGAGCAATTATTTAACACTTTAGCCTTGGCCCTCTTTGATCATGGCTGAACCCCCTGCTAGGCCATAATGGGAGTACCCCCCTTAGGGTTCCCTTACAATTATTCATCACCTTCGTGGAACGATGAAATTGAGTGTGGTAAGTGGAAAACAGTAGGGAATGCCAAATGTTTCCTTAACGAGCCTAAGTGGTGAAGAACTTTTGTCTGGAAGCTTTTACAGGGTATGAAAACTCCAATTCGGTCACTCTGTACAACGAAAATCACGCATATCAACAGTTCAACGTCATAAAATCCAACGTAAACGTAAGAAAAATGCCATAAAAGAAGTCTCAAAATTAAAATAAATGACATTCTTACTTCTTTCAATGCTTGTCGAATCATAAGCTGAAGTTCAAGGGATGAAAAATCTAGTGACCAATGATCTAAGTTCTGAAAAAAAAACAAAAATAAAAACATAGGCTTATTTCATCATGCCAAAATCAAAGAAAAAGAGCTGCCATTTTGCGAAGAATGCTCAAAATTTTATACATAGGAATATATTTCTTAGAAAAATCGAGGCTCAAAATCAGTGAACTTTAACAATTTATAAAGAATAAAAGTCATGCTCGAATTTCTTCGATGTTTTGACTTTTACCTATATTTAAATCTTCAAAGGTGCGAGCAAAAATTGGGATCAAAATAGCTTGTGAGTAGAATATTTTATCTAAAAGGCGAGAGTTTCCCGGGATGCGAGCTTGGATCATCAAGATTTTGAATTAAAATTTAGTCTTTTTGAAACTATTTGAGTACACTACAGTGTTCGCTGGGTGTGCAGAACTCTAATGCATTGGATGATAATCCGGAGTTTCATGTCTGAACCTATTTATAAATAAAGAGGTAAACTGTGCGAGGATATTGCGCTACTTTCCAGAGAGACGGTTTTGAGTTGAAAATCCGATAGAATTTCAACATAAAAACTGTGATCTTTAATCGTGTCAAGGTAACAAACTGGATTGCGGAGGATGCTACCACGCAAAAAACTGTTTCTGAACGGGAAAATTAGAAGAAATCATCTTTGAAACATGTTGACCTAGGGAAAAAGTCCTATAGACTGCCGCAAGACATCAGAAAAATGCGTGTCGCAAAATGTTGTTCTGTGTAGATAAATTTACTGAATATTTCTCATTGAGAATAACGAAGTTCATGAAGTATGTTTAAAATACCTTTTGTACATATCAAGAAAAATATTTGTGCATACCAAACGTAAATTTTAGGCAAGTCATATCTTATTCCGGTCAGAAAAAATATTTGAGCCAATCATTAATCAGAACTCATCTTTTCCAGGTCAATGATACGAAATTTTTGTATTTTCATAATTTATGAATCAAAACAAAAAAACGAGAGCAGTCTCAGAAAACGATGCTAACTCTTTGACATACAAAGATGCATACTTACCATACATAATCTCTATTTTGCATTGTAAAAAAGCAATTAGATGATTATATGGATAAAGCAAATAATGAGATGCATAGTTTGACAAAAATTGATAATCTTATAACTGACATGTACCAAACAGTGGGAAAAACAAACAGGCTATGTTTTGGACTACAGCAGGGTGTCATTGAACCTACTTCTATGCAATTGTTACTATTTATTACGCATTTTTTAAGGCAATCAAGATAGGGAAGTACGAGCAAGAAAAAGGTACTAACACTGAAAATGCGATTGATCGCTTCTTTGTAACTTTCGTTGATGTTCACTTCATTCTCAGAAGATGAGCACAGGCTGATTAGTCTTCTCGCCTGAAAAGTAAACAAAAGTAAGGTAGTTCGTATGTGGGAGCTGTTGGGAGGTGACGTGCCAGCTAGATAGGTTATTAGCCACAAGCTAACAATATATTGAGAGGAGGCAGCTAAGTCATTCCCTTGCTGCCTGTTGGCTCCATAGTGTTGAAATTGGGTAACCGTACGTTTTTAGGTGATTATTTAATGAGGTGATTATCCAAAGCTTGGACTTAAGTCAGTTGCTCTAACAATTTGGTCACTTTTTCACACGAAGCTTGCCAATTAGCTGGTCATACAACTGCATCGTGTTGATAAATATTATTCGTGTCAATGCAGCAGCAATTAACAACTTTTATGAATGAAAATTTATGTTTCTACAACGTCTTGCTTGGACATCAAAAATTCTTTTGGTACAAGAGCGTTATTTATCAATCAACTTTAACATAAATCAAGGGTTTATTTGTTCACAATGTATCCGATAAGTTTCAGTTCTAAGTTATATTCAAATAGCCATTTCTTGTCATTCACTATTTTGCTTTGATATCACAAACACCTTTCAAATATTACTTTATAAAAACCTTTTATAACATTTTTATATATTCATTTTATGCTTTGGTATATCATTTTGAACAGTCATGTTCCCTTGTAAATAACCTGTTCGGTTTACATTTGTTGTAGGCCTCAATTAGCTGAAATAAGCTACTTCGTTAGCAGCCTACAGCAGATAAATTGATAATACATTCTAAAATACACTGACAAACGAGCTGTAATAAGCTGTAAATGCAATCTAATTAGCTGTAAATAAGCTCATTTTAGCATGCAATTGGCTAGCCTGGGTTTACAAAGAAAAGGACTATTACAAGCACAAACAAAATAAATTAAGAAAGAAAAAAAAAGTGTGTTGGTCTTTGTTTGTTTTAGAAGTTGTCAGTAGCAGAGATCATTAGAATTTAAGAAGTTCAGGATTATTCCAAGACGTATTTCTGCCGCAGAAAATGTAATACGTAGTACAGATAGTTAAGTTGAATAGTTTGGAGATGATGAAGAGGAGATGATTTCCGCTGATATCTAGAGCGTTGCACATGTCGATGAAAGAGGAGCAGGAGAGACCAAAGATACCTAGGAAACTGATAGAAAGATTAACAAACATGATAGAAGAATAGGCTGAGCTTAGGCGGTGAGCGAGATGCGAGTATTTCTCTCTTTTACGGTTAGCATTAACATCCCTTCCTGATAATCATTATTTATAATAATGATAAAATAACAATAATAATGAAAACATTTTCATTTTTATCTCGTATTTTTAACAGTAACTTCACTTTACGGGTAGTTACTATCGGCTTGTCTAGTGACAAGTCTACTAATTTACAAAAGTTTAAACGTATTAATAAAATATAGGAGTTCATAATAACCTTCTAAAAAGTTCAAATTGCGTCCTGAAAAAACACTACATTAAATCAGGAAAACAAACTTTTAGAGACAATAGAAAAAATAAAGAAACATATTAAGACAATCACTCCACATTATAAAAACAGTGGCGGACATCTGGGGGCGAGGGGGGGCGACCGCCCCCTAATTCTTTAGAGGAGAATGGTCTTTTGTTAAAAAACAATGGGAAATGTGACGTCATCTTATTAAAACAATAGGCTTGCCTCCCCAATATTTGATCAAGTGTCCGCTCCTGTTTAAAAACTTACCAACTTGATAGGCAGACTTGGATCAAGTGGCATCTCTTTGGAGAAAAGCTTATTTGCTTCATGAACAAACCGTTGTTGCACCCAAACTTGCTTACAAATAACCTGGAGAACATATCCACTCAGCGAGCTAAGTACCATTGAAAGATCTCCATTGTCTATAAATGAAAAGAGACACATTCTATGAATGCTGTAAAATAAAAAGCTGTTCTGAACCTTTTGTTTAGATGTAGTTGGAAAGTGTGGGAGATCAGATTAAAACTGATCTCCACTTTATTGCACTCTTGCATCTTTTTAAGAAAATGGACAATATTTACAAAGATTTCTGATTCAAAACTAAAAATCTAACACCTATCATGTACAAGTTAAAGATCCAAAGCGATAAACGGTACCAGGAGAGAAGAAGACGTGCTTTGGATTCCTCAAATCACTTTCGATCTTCTAGTTCGTCTCCCTGATTTTTTTAACGGGACAATAACAAAAAGGTGCAATCAATAAAACCTTCTCCATTTGTGAATTTAATGTATTTCAGTTCAGTTTTCGTACGAAAAGGATCTTCCAGTCCTCAAGAAACCTAAACGTTTTTTATAACGCAGAAAAATATCTTCCGTTCAATTCCTAACAAACGGTCAAAAAATACAAAACGAGTGCATACAACTTGCATAAAGCTATTATAACCTACCCTAACGAATGATTCTGGATGGCTTTCCGTTTGAATCATCAAACGAAACTTGCTGGTCTTCCATCAAGGAAAATTAGTTTTTGGGGTTAAATAGATTATCATCTGGCTAAGAAAAAAGTTTATTGCTAGAACATACTTGAATCTGCTCCAGAAAAACTTGGCTCAAACAGTGCTTCACTTTTGCTGGTTGGATCAGAGATGCCTGACTGGTTAAAAAGCAAATCAAAGACTTCGTCGTTCTCATCTTGCTCGTGGTGAATGATATCCTCTTTGCTGTTTGGTCCTGAAATAGCATAGTTTTATCAATTAGCAAAAAAGCTTCAATATAGTGAACCTTTATAGAACCAGCATTTTAGAAAAGTGTCTGTTGTTTTGAGGTTGCTCTAAAAAGACTTTGGATGCAGAAAATACATTTAAATTGGGATAATTCTTTTTAACCATGGTATCTCTGCCTGAAAAATACCATAGCTAAACACGATGACAGATCTGACGATGACAGAAAAATTGTTATAGTAAATGTATCTCCAAAGCCAATCATCAGGTCAAAATGCAAGGTAATAAAATAACGCACGCGTAATAGTCAAACCTAAAAAATTGACTTAATCTAATGATCCTTTTACTGTACCAAATAATTCAAATTAATGGAAGATTTTGTGTCCTTTTCTTTAAATATTTTAACTTGTTTAAGAGCGGCCATCTATAGAATGCCTACAGTTCAAATAAATGTAGGACCAAAGCAATCACTCAAGTGGTCCAGAACCGTTACCTATAGGTTTATAATCATCAAAGGATTCATTTTATAAAAACCTTAAAGAAATAATCTATAATGACTGGAGAAAAAATTTGAAAAACTGGCAAAATGAATCTGGCATCCCTGCCAAAATCATCATATTTCTGGACAAACATTTTAATACAATTAAAAAATATGTCTTCCTTATCTTTCGATGATAAAGGTTTTATGAAAAAACAGCAGAAAAATAGTCGTTTTCAATATTTTTACAGTGATTTGTATCATATAAGAGAAAGCGGTGCTCAAGCGGTAGCTAGAGGGGGCAGGGGTGCCTAGGCCTCCAATATTCTAGAGGGGCCCCAAACCAAAAAGTTTGAAGAGCGTACTGAGTTCGAAAATGTGAACATGTTGCCTCTTAACCCTTTCTCCCATTACTGTGTTGGTTTGTATATGTTTATGCATTTCTTCTGTACGTTTAAATATATTCATCTCTTTATGTTTTTAAAAATAAATTTGCTCCCCCCCCCCTCCAATGTGAATCTTGACTACCCCCATGGCTGTGCTAACAGAATAAGTTGTAATACGGCGCCATCACTCGAATTGTTGTATTCTACTACGTTTATTTAATTGGATCAGAAGCATGACATTGGCAAGTAATTGGAAAATAAGGTCATACCTGAGTCTGCAATCATGATTAACAATTTCATGACGTAAAAGAGAAGTTCGAAGGAAAGGTGATGATATGACCCAATAAGCAAAGAATGCTCCGGCGTTGATTTGAACTGAGAATAGCTTGTCGGTGTATGCCTCAAAGGCTGCATTTCAGAAGATGCATCGAACAGTTTCAGCAAAATATTGCAGGTCAGTCTTGCACCAAACCTCGCATTCTTTTGATCTGGAGCTAAATGAAAGAAGAAAAAGGATATATTGATGCAGCAATAATGAGAAACACAAAATAGAAGTGGTTCTTATACAGTTTTAGGATTATACTTCATATTAAGTAAAGCTGATCTGTAAAATGTGCCTGCAACAAATTATCCGCCCAAGATTTTTTAAAGGAATGGGCATGACAGCAAGCTAGGTGCGATGGTAGCTCAGTGGCTAGAGGCGCTGATTACAGATCCAAGGGTCTGTAGTTCGGGTCCCTGGCATGACCAATTCACCTAGGATGTCGAGAGTCGCCAGCTCTCTGTTATTCTAGGCGTAGGAATCTCGAGCTGGGGTCACATAGAGGGGAAGGACCTGGACACTGCTCGACAAGCACAGCTTCTCAGTGTCCGAAAACAACCTTCGGAAGCTATGTAGCAAAATCAAATACAATCATGGTAATTTTTTTCTAGTTCTCTTGGCATATGATGAACCATGAGAATGAGCTTCAAAGTCAGATTGAGTCACGTCTTTGACTTACCATTGGGAAGCGCCAACGTAAGTGATGGGATCAACACGTGCTTCAAGCAGTCTTCCAGGCTGAAAACGCATCGCGCAACAAGGATGCTTGTAAATGTGGACAAAGACTCTTGGAGTTGAGGCGACATTACCTGCAGGAAAGGATTTGAAAGACTGGTAAGTAGAGTTAAACAATGGTGGGGCTGACTGAATTTGTAGCCAGTCATTGATGTATGTTGGCTGCAAAAATCTTCTTGCAACTTGTTATTAAATAACAGAAACTTTGTATTAAAAGGTAAAATTTCCGGCAATAATTGTTTATGAAACTTGGAAAATACATTTGATAGTTAATCGCACAACAAAACAGGCAAAGCAACGGCACTGTTGAAATTCCTACATGAAAACACCAAGTGATGACGCGTTTACAGTATATCAAGGAAGAACACAAAGACTAATAGTAACATGACAAATAGAATTGATTGATGCCTTCTCGCGTATCCTCATATAATCATTAGAAACACATTTATATACAGTGCTAGTGTACATACATCCAGTGCTTCCCTTAAATCGTCAAAGCCAAGTCCGTGCATTGAATTGCAACATAATGCTTTCAGAACGCCGAGCCACTCGGAGTTCAATGCACTAATGTGTGAAGAAACCTCAGCGCAAAGAACTGACAAGTCATAGAGCCTAAAAAATATACATTTCAAAATCAATACATTACATTATAACAAAAAAAGACGTTGGACAAGTCAAAGGTGAAAATATATCTAAAATACTTCTTTAGCAAATCGAAAATCATCAGTTCATTTCGGTTGACACAGGGATACAACAGAGTAATGATACAAAATATGGCAGAAAAACGTAGCAGTTTCATCCTAGTCACTGTTGAAGGCCAATTTGAAGGGAAATATTCGAAGGGCGAAAGCTTGGGGTATAAAAACCAAAATGGAACAGGTAACGAGAATTCGACTGCTTTGGGGATAATGAAAGAAATTATAATATACTTGTATGACAACATCTTTTTCGATGGTGGGAGAAGTTACGAAATACCACTCACCTTTCTGGGTCTTGACAATTACAGACACATAGCAATGCGTTGCAGACGAAGCTGTACAAATCAGCCGGCCGATCTTCTGAGAGGTGACGAAGCCAGATGTGATCTAGCTGCATATTTCTAAGGCAAATTAAACAAAATGCTACTTGCTACAGTAAATCCCCGCATATAAGAACCTACAAAAATAAGAACCTAGAGGCTGTTTTTCCTAAATTATGCACCTTGTAATTAAGAACCTGTTTCAGTGTGATAAAATATAATAGGTTCTTATCCCAAGGGCAAAAAATAGAGTTTTCAATGGTCCTTATTTACTCCCAGATTTTTAAAGATGAGGTAAAATCACAATCGGTATAAAAATTTTCAGTTGTGCATTTTCAGCATTTTATACAATTTAACGAAAGAGAAAAGTTCAAAAATAAAATAAAAGCATTAGAATTCATAATTTTCAATTCCTTAGGGCGTATGAGATCATCTCCAGATCCATCCACTGTCATAAGCCAGCCAGTGCGCTCAAATGTCTTCCTGTAAATATCTTTGTGAAGTTGCATTAATAACATTACCAAAAGGAAAAAACAGGGTTGAATGCATCTCTTGATAACGAATCCTAAAATTTTAAATATGGGATCCTTCGAATGAGAACCTTCATACCCTGAAATTAATCCAAGTACCTTTCCAATAAGAACCTACTTCAGCCTGAATCTTTAAAAAGTAGGTTCTTATATGCGGGGATTTACTGTATGCTCTAGAAAGAAGTTTAGGACATTTACAGAATCTTGATTGGTAACGAACCGGAAAACACAATTATACACAATCGTACCTAGGAGCGGTAAGATATTCTTTTAAAACTGAGGTTTCCCAGAGTAGACTTGTATTTGAAGGCAAAACATCAGCACGGACTGACTGTTTGATCTTTGTACATGCAGTGCTGAATATGTCGGAACACCGATCCTGCAATGCAATGAACATATTTGGCTATTTAGGCACTGCAACACTGACTCAAAGTGATTTCATACCCCTTTGAACACAGGCGGACAAAAAAACATACTGTGGTATTTTGAGATTGATAGTAAATTCGATAGAACTGATCAAAGTCATTGTTAGAGTAAATACTTCATATAACGGTTATAAAATAAACGGTATGCTAACTAGGCCTAAATCAGATGGTTGAAAGTGCAACAGATTATTGGGGACTAATGATGACCAATGCCAGGGCCATAACTACTGTTGTTCTAAGAGAGACTCGTGCCCCTACAAAAATTAATAAGCCCTTTGATTCCAATGGCAAACCCTTATTTCTTATCATTCTCAAACTATGTTGCCACGTCCAAATAATGCTGTCCCACCTACGATACTGCATGCATATTATTTATATTGATTCACAACTGAAACGTACTTAAAACGAAATCACTTAATCCATTATTAAAAAAATTGACGAATTATTTGTCTTAAGTCTTTAATTATAACCTACCCTTCAAAAAAGATTCCAGATTAGCAATTTAGCAGCCTTATACCTGCGGTTCTTATGACGTAAAAAAGCAGCTGGTTTATGGAACAGAGCACATTGCTTCGAGCAACGTCTTTGGGATTTGATATAATTATATAACATGACCGACGACCTTTATTGATTATAAGTTAAGTAACTAGTTCAATAGAAATTATAACCAAGCCCCAGCGGGCTACTATAAGAGGAGCTTAATAAGGAGTACTCGCTTCTATTTATATGAGCATCTTTAAAGTGACATCAGTCAGTAACACTGACATTCTTCTTAAGATAAGGAAAATGTAGGACAATACCATACCCCCATGATAGTTTTTCCATTGCTCGTAAATATTACTTAACTTTCTAGAAATATATTGATTCTTAGAAAACTGAAAATTGCGACGTTTCCGACAGTGAAAATATCGGTTAAAATTGAAGCCCTCATAAGTTGTTTTAGGTCTGCAATACCTTTTAAATAAGGGACGAATCGTCGTAATATGCTTTTCGTTCTAGTCAAATGCGCTTTCCGTAAATAGGCTCACCTTTAAGTGGTCACATGTGACATATAAGTCGTACAGAGAACTGAGAACGCACCGCTCAGTTGAAGAACAAACGCCAGGGTCAGCGATGTTTTCCACTGTCTGCAGCAAGCTAAAAAATAGGAATTCCTCTTGTAAAGCACTTATGTGCGGTTAAGATTACTTTATTTCGATACCTTGTTAATCTCAATAAAATCTTTAAAAGGAAACTGAGTTATCGAAAAAAACAATAAAAAGCGAAATCATATCCTAAGATAACACCCTTTCGATACATTTAAGTAAAGTATTGGAAATAAAGCAAGGAAAGGAGAATTGGAAATACAATAACATTGATCAGATGAGAGCTGTAGCAGCTTTTGCAAATAAAACGAGGTTTCAAAATTGGCAAATATTAGTTGGCAAATAATTACAAAAGAATTGCTTATGAAAAGTTGCTCCATTTTTAATTTCTTTTCATTTGGGCGAGCAGGATGTGTCTCTTTGAATTACAGGTGGCAAACGGCTATAAAATCCTTTCCAAATAACATTAGAAAGCTAATTGTAATAGCCTAAATTCAATTTGGTTGGTACAATATGAATCCCTGTTTACCTATGTCAAATGTGATTTAAAAGAATTTGCCATCAAAAAAAGTATAAATGCATAATTTATACTTCTTCCTTTGGTGCCTTGATTAGTATTATTTCTTCCAAATAAAATCTATCATTAAACAATTTATATTTATCTTTTTGCAAAAAGTTCTAAAAAGCTGTTTTGCAATAGGTTAACACTACTCGCAATAGGATGAATTAATTGAAATTTAATTAGACTGGGTCAAAAAGCATCATTTGTCGATTGCTCGATTCGAATCCTTTTATATCAAATCGAAGCAGAATTACAGGTTGCCAAAATAAAAAAATATTTCGACCAAAGAAGCTGTGTCTAGATCAATGTCGGACTTGGGTTGACAAAGAAAACATTTTTCATTACGCGCGCATTTGCAGTGCAAAGACCATACCATAGTGCTGCATAATCCAAACCATTGAAACTGTGCAACGAAATTCAAAACAGACTTATACTTTCACCTTGTTTGGGTTGTAAAACGTGAAATATTGTTGACTTACTCGGAAATTTACTCGAAATAAAAAAATTCACTCGAAATCGTTTTGTATGGTCACAACAAGTTATCTTTTGATTCAAACACGAAAGTTCTCGAGGCAACCTTGAGATACATTCATGCCTCATGACGATTTCGATAATTTGTTGTTGAAAAGCTCCTCGCTTTTTTTATTTCTGTTTTCTTTCAATCATTTTTTTGTTATTCTCTGTAATTGCTATTCGTAATATGTAATCTTTAATATTTAGATCAATATTTAGTGCTGAATTGTTATGTTCGCGGGGTCGCATGTGTGTTAACTTTATGGTCGCAGGGTTGCTATGCATTTCCATGCTCCCTGCGGCATCCAAAAAAATAACAATATTGTTTAGATGGCAAATAACGCAGCGTGCATTTTTGCAGTTTAAAGCAAGAAAAATTGAAACCAGTCGATAACGATCATGAGCTTTAGTTGAGAACTCACTTTAAATAAATCAAATAAATTTATGGTAAATCAGGAATCTCTAACTTAAAAATTAGTATACTAAGAAGCAGCGTCTGCAAAGATGCACAACTTTGCCATATTTGTGGTCGGAACAGCAGATTATAGTTGGACCTATGTCCATAAAAAAATAGCTTCTGAAGTAATAGCAAAAACTTATTTAGGGGCCTGAAATAATAATTGATCCTACAAATTAGATTACATAATATGACAAGCAAATAATGCGTCACAAGTTTATTTTAAGTTAGTTACCGCCAAACCTGATGTTTTCTTTTCAAAGACAGGATAGTGGCCTTGACAAGATATGGGCAGTATCCTATCTTGATCGTCATCATTAAATTGTTAGATGCCATTAAAGTAAATGTATCTTACCAAAATATACTTTAATGCCAAAAATAACATATTGAATCAAAAAGACTCTTTAGCGTATCTTGACCACCCCTGCCCTTGACATAGTTAGATAATGAAATTAAATTCATTTGATGGGTTTTTAAAAACACACAATGAAGAAATTGATTGAAGGGACATACCCTTTAAAGATTGTCATCGTTTGCTCTGCCGATGTCAAAATAATTGTGTAATGTTTCTTGATAACTGCTTCAACAAAGGCTAATTTGTTTGGCATGGTTCCCTTCACAGACTTCGTTTGTGGAGCAAATAACCCAACATACCCCACTTCTCTTGGGAAAATGAAATCTGTAACCAAATCAACAACTCCTTGGACATCATTGGCAAGCTCACACAAGTCAATTGCAAGTGACAACTGTTGGACGCTTGGTAGTGGTGAGCAGACGCCATATTCAGATGGCCTCGATCTTTTCAGGTTGCTGAGAATGAGCAGTCCTTTCGATGAGACGTTGTACTGATCGAATCGAGGTAGCTGGGAAAACTCTCTAAAAATGTAAGTGGCAATAGATTCGACAATATTATCGTCAAAAACATGCAGAAAATTCTAGTAAATTTAGTGAATAAAACAAAGGATGGAAATGTTAAGTCAAATGCTTTTTGAACTGACTTATTTGTCTTATGTTATTTAGCTATATTCGCAGTGTTTACCCCTTTATCCCAGGTTTTGCCCTTGTCAAGAGATTTAGAAATAAATAGACCACCAGATCTATGTCATTGTGTCATCCAAAGCATCCTATAGCCAAATGTAATCGAAAACTGCACACATTATCAAATCTTGTTGTTTACATCACAGCACGATGAGGTGATTTTGTCAATATAATAATCGATCAACTCACTTGAACAACTTTGCTTTCTTATCGTTATGAGCCTTCTTCCTTTTCAACTCACTTTTACTCAAGTGAGAGTCATATTCGTTGATGAGTATCCTTAACTCCTCAACCTCTCGCATTACTTCATACATAAGTGTTTCTACAGCCTTCAATTTTTGAGTTGCTTTCTTCCTTGCATTGCCGACTCCGTACAGAAATATGATGCGTTGGTTACTTTCGTGATTGTCATCAAAATCAATATTAGGAATAGGGAAATGAGTGACGTAAAGCATATGTGCAGCCGCCTGTCTCCTTTGGACAGCAGCTTCGTCATCTTCTAGCCTTTCCATGCTTTGAAAACCATGATCAGTGTTCTCTGAGGATGGTGGACTGAAGTCGGGTGGGGATTCTACGAGGAAGATCGAATCCGTCGCTTTGTAGTCTGTATTTATAACAGGTAAGAAAACCAGGAAGATGAAGTTGAAAATAAAAGAAATATGCAAAAAGGTGTCAAACTGGATGAAGATTTCCAAACAGAGGAGGAAGGCAAAGGAATAAACTAAAATGAATGGAAATGAAGAAGAAGAAAATCGAGGGAACAAAGAGGTGAATAGAAGAAAAGGAAGAGAAAGAATACGGTTATGAAGCAAAGAATTAAATATTTAATAGAAAAAAGATAAATCCTTAGCTAGTGTTTCATTATCCATACAAATGCATGTAGAATTATAATGAATGTGATATTGATTACAGAAATAATCAACCTAAAATCACATGAATGTCATGTAAATACAGTGATAAATAGTACCGTAAGCCTTTTGAGTTAGATCTAGGTAAGGCAGTATTTAATCCGTTGTAAATGTGTGCACAAAATTCGACAAAATAAATAAACTAACCGTATCGGTCCCGAATTAAATGTTTGTCTCTATCAATAAAATTATCTAGATGGGAACTCGAGTTTATCAGTCCTGGGTCAACGCAAAGCTGAAAGAGAAGAGTTTGATTAGATTGCAGTACGTTATCTGTTAGAAACGAGGTTATAAGTTACCAAGAGGGTTTTGTTGATTTCGTCCAACCTTTAGGTAATTTTTTGGAAAGATTTGTGGGAAGAGGGGCTTAGAAGCTTGATGCAATTGCGTGATGACCGCTTTTTTGACCATCAGTATCATTCATTAGAAAAATAAAAATGTTTTATGACTAACAAAGCTTATGACTAACATAGCCCCTCAGCTATAGCTAATGCCATCTTTGGACCATAATTCAGAGATGACAAGGTGGTTTGTCAGAAAATAAACTGAGTTTATGCCAGAGTGGCAAGTCTTTGCTTATGACCAACAGGTAACAATTTAAACTATACAACTGGTGTTTGGCATGCCGTTGCAAAATCCAATGATGATATGCTTCATACATAGGCAAGATGAGACCAGAATAAAACTCACAGCATCGCTGCTACCAAAGTGTTGTAAATCTGGCTCCTTATGATTCGTTCCTCTTCTGGCACTCCTTGAGGTTGATGTGTAGTCGATATTTCCACGTTTAATCAAGTTGCACAAGTACGCATCGTGTGAAAAGCATTCGTGGCGAATTAATTCTCCGAACAGCAAAACGAGCTGTTCAAATGACTCGTCTTGCAAAGCATTTTTCTGATTTTCTGCAAGAAGAAAACGGTAGTTAACTTAAATGGACTTATCGTTGGATCATTGTACCTATCATTTCGGTATTGCCATCATTGTGGCTGATTGCTGAAACTATGCCAGAAGCTTTATCATCATTTGGGACAGCTGTCTTTAGGCATCAAGCATATCAAGAAATTGAAGTATACAAAAAACCGCTGAATAGTCTATGAAATGCTGAGAAACAAGGGGTGCAAACTCATTTTCACTCTGGTTTTAATCATTCTAACAAACACTCCAAACAGCCCCACGATCAAGATGATGAAAGCTTTCGAAAAATTAGTCTACTAACTAGATGTTTCGCTATTTTATTACGTTGTAACCTCAATGATTGCTCAATTGAAAATTCTTTGTTTCTGATTGATAAAAGCTTATCCCTTTTGACAACTCTCCTTACTTGACAGTTAAACAAGCAGTCAGGATCTAACGTACGAGTAGACGGAGTCTTGACAAGCCTATTTATGTATTTATGTAATCTTCATACGCCTGTTTGTGTAGAACAGGATGGTTCTAGGTTTCGACTTCAAGGTTCACACTAGAAGCGATAGTTCATCAACTGTACTCTTGAGCAAAAATTTCAATTTGTAGTAGTCTCGAATCTAACAACTATGATGGCGTTGCACCTGCCCATACCAATAAAGGCTACTTGTTTCCTGTAAGGGTAAACAATTTCTATCTGTACGAAAGTGAGCAGAGCTAAAAAACTTCTTTACTTACTTGGCATTGGTGCTTCATGGTCCAGGTAGTCAATCAACAGATTTTGGAAAGGATATGCTCCTAATTCTGTTAGAGAGTCATCATCCGGGTTCTCAGTTTTTCGTCTCTCAGCCTTTAAATTTTAAGAAAAATATTTCACTTAGTCTCTTTGATTGGTAATTCTCGACAGCTCCCAGAAGTAGAATTACGTTCATGTGTGACCAAAGCAACAATATTATATTATGTATGCGGATATCTGTTTTAAATGACGCGATATTGCAAGATAACATAGCGTGATCAGTAAAAAGAATATCATTAAATGAAGAGCGTAATTACGGACTTACAAATTTACAAACAGAATTGCAAGACAGGAACTCCAGTAAAGTACGCTAAGAAATGTAAGATTTTGAGGCAATTTCATGGAGGAGCCAGACCGGGGATAAAGTCTAAAACACTATCACCAACTCATGTCATTTTCTACTTGAGAAGTCAACCTCTTTGTTATATACTCATGATCACAAAAACACTAGCAAATATCTGACAGCTCATTCATTGAAAGCATGATAAAGCTAATTGATTAAGATCACTGAAAAATAAAGGCCCCATATTTATGTATCAACAAAGACAAAAATTTCTCATCAGCTGCTTCACAAAAAGCGTCGTAGCCAACTTTACAAACTTTTTTCTAACAACCTTCAGCTATATATAACAGCCTTCATTTTGCCATCCCTTAACCAAGAATACTGACCTCATTAAAAATCTCTGTCTGCCGTTTTAGAAAAATTTTAGCAACAACAATTGAGCGGTGTTGTCCATGTCTTTTCTTGCTAACAGCCCAGTGCAACAGGAGACTTAACACAGATTTGTCATCCATTACAACATTCTACAAGAAACAAGAGGCAAAATTTGATTAAAAGGCAATAACAAGGAACGTTTATCCTTTAGAGAATCTACGTTGAATGGTTATCAGCGAGAAAACAAATAGCGATATTCAAAGTTATAAGCAATTTGATAATATTTGTATCAACTAGCAAACCTCGGTCATTTCGTGAGGATCCTTTTCAAAAAATTTTTGATAGAGAACATCCACACAGCATTGACTGCCACTAAGATTGAAATTCGTCTTGTCGAGAGTTTCCAATAATATAAGCTTGCCACTTACTGAAAACAAGGACTTTAATATCAGTCTCATAAACACAAACAAGCTAACTAAAAATTTGCTGATACAACCATAGGAAAAAACATTTTCAAAGGCAATAATTTCGGCTAGAGAGGGGAAATAAAAATATCATTAAGCATCCTTTACTGGAGAAATCATATCAGTGACTTCAGACATCCTTAATAGTGTATTTTTAACCCCCCTCCAATAACAGTGTATCTTTAAGCCCCCTCCAATTCCTTAGGAGGTCCAAATTCGATATCTTTTAGAGGTCCCAACCAATAAAGATCTGTTTTAGACTCATCATCAGATCGTTTTGTGAAAAGGAATCTGTCAGTAGTTTAATTGATAAAACTAGGAGCTGTTATCATCGGCTGGATAACCTGAAATTGGTTTGGCCTCCCGTTTGAATATCAAAAATTACTTTGAACAAATTGTAAGGATCCGTGCTATAGGCAGCACCTTCGGGTTTTTTCTGTATGCTACCCTGTCATCAATATTATCAAAACTATACTTATTTCATTTTTGCATAAGATATAACTTAAACGATCCGAAATTACATTACGTACATTTACAAAAAGTATTGACGTTTTCCAGACATAAAAGGGCAAAATCTAGATATGTTTTAAATAGCTTGCAAATTGTTTGGTTCACTATCAAAACGTTTTTTCAAAATCATTTATCCCAATCACTCATCAAAAATCTTAAAGGCAATCGACAGATACCAAAGTGCCTTAGGCCATCTGTTGATCAATATTAGCCAATCAATAGGTATGTGAGTGATATCACGCGCATTGATTGGCCAAATGTTGATTGATAGATGTCTGAAACCAGTTTAGAATCTGTCGGTTAACTTTAATCGTCAATCTTGTCAGGACAATACAGAGCTCCTTTAAAAGTATTTTAGCTAAATGTTCACATTTCAGTATAGATTACATGTATTGGCAAAACATACCGAATCTGGTTTCTTGATGTGCAGGAGAAAGCCATCTACGTTCCACAGCTTGGCCTCTCTTTTGGATTTCAGATTCGACATCCTGCAGCTCTAGCAAAGTCTTAAGAAAAACATTGATACAAATATGAGCTTAAACAAGCAATCATTTGGAAAATCAGGAGGACATAGACTAGCTCATTAAAAATATTGGTGGTAGTTTTAAAAAATTTTTTTCGAAACGACCAAAAAAGATAAATTTGATATAATGTGACGATTTTGTTCAAATTTGCTTCAAAATATACTACCAATGTATATCTTCCCTAGCTAAATTTTTTCGATTAATATTCTTACGTTTAAACTGAAGAGTGTCAGACGAACATCTTAAGAATGATGGACAATGTTTGCTTTTTTCGAATCTATTTTTAAATTTCTATACCGCCAAATAATACATTTAATGGACTACTAGACAAGTGATATATCCATTAGCTTCTTAATATTTTGAGGCAAAAGTCATCAGGAAAATACAGCTTAAAAATACGATGGAGACTATGGAAGACCATGTTACCTGGCAATCTTCGTCCTGTGCAGATTCTGAAACAAAATATGAGTAAAGACTACTTGGAGCACAGGGAAGCAGATCAAGAGGAGACCCTTTAAAAATGGCTGCTTTGGCGTCAGACACCTGAGGGAGGCTGCTGATCTTCATGCTTCGCCACACCAGTGCTGTGGGACATTTCAAGGTGATGGCCTGAAGGATACCACACAACATCATCACAAGCGAGCGGTGCTGCTCACAGGTTTTGAACTCTGCCAACGCTGGAAACACAGGGCTACAGAACAGAGGAGGAAAACATTCTAATGAATTTCACACTTTGTCAAAACTTTTTTACTGAAAATGAGAAAAATTTAACAATCCAAACGCAAGTAAATAATCGTGTCACGTAAGCACATTATAACCAAGCAAATGACATTTTTTAAGGCAAGACTTGTTTCAAATCTCGACTTCAAATCTGCATATTAATTTCTTTAAACTAAATTAAAGAAATGAACAATTTTATATCGAAATGGCTTTCAGATTAAGATTTTCGACTGAGACTTTTAGACAGATACTCTAACTTTAGTTCCTGGATCCATGTTTTCATTAAATACGCAAGAAATCGACTCATCCTTCAGTTGCTAATTGTTTTGCTGTCATTTATCTTAAATCAAGCATTCACCTCACCTCTCACTTCGAATAGGAAGGCTGTCTACAGTATTAACAGATCCAGGACCACAAGCAGATTGTGAATTTTGGTCCACAGGGGTACCGGGCTGGTTTTGCTCTTTTTGGCTTTGCATCTGTTCTGCACTCGAGTTCAATGCAAGAAGCTTTTTAATACAGCTGCTTGCTAAATTTCTCGACAATACCTGCGTCTGCGTGATCAGGTCCAGATGCTGCAAAAGAAAAGCAGTTTAGCTTTATGTGTAGCTTCTTTGCCTAAAGCAAAAGTAACTAGTCGTTTTAGGGTTAAGTTTCCAATTGGAAATCACTACAAAAGAGAAAATAATATTACTCTCAAGGATTGAGTCCCGATGAAAGAATACGGTATACCCAATATACTAAGACACGTTTCTTCTGCTGAAGTATTATGGTAGAGCTGAGATTGCTAGCATGAAGTTGCCTCGTACTGGTTCTGGAAACAGTTGCTGTAAAAAACTGCTGCCGACATCACCGAAACTAAAGTAAACACATCGAAAGAAAATAAGTCCATACAGATGACGCCTATTTGCCATGAATCAATGCTCTTGAAATTAATTACCAGTAAAGATATGGCTATATAACATACAATTGATTTGATCTTACCATAAAACAGAGAGGAATCACATTCAACTGAAAAATATAACCTATTCCAAATATCAGAATAAAGGTTGATCTGTTGCTGTGTAAAATAATAAAAAAGGACAGTTGACTGTAGAACAGAAATCGATGCTGGTCGTGATGAAACAAAAGCAAAGGAGACTTTACCTTCAGAATAAGCGGAAGAATGTGCTTCAGCAATGCATCGTCATTATTGCGCAATTTCTCTACAGAATCGACTACCCACCCCACAAATGTTTGCTTTTCAAGAAGATTATTCTGAAATAAGAGCAGAGATTGTGTAATACAAAGTTAAGAACTGCAGCAATAAAAAGCCATACAAGAAACGTAGGAACTAACAAAAAATTAGTAAATTGACAACAAGAAGTAAAAGATTTGTGACTTGCGCCCTAAGTAACTCAAATCAATATTGCTATCATCAAAACAACCCTGTGTTTTACATATATGGGATTTAATTTTTTCGACAACGATCCTATATCAGGACATGCTTTCAACAACAATGTAAACAGACTAGACAAATAAATAAGCACACAAATGGTATGGAATCTCAGATATCAGCTGTCGGAGCAAGATGAACAATGCAATTGCAACAATAAAACGTTTTTAAAACATTATGATAAGCTTAACAGGCATCAAAACATTCTAGACTACCTCCAATAGCCACCCTGAAAGGCGAATCCCATACTCCCATTGCTTGATTGCTGATTCTGTTTCTGGTGGAGGCCTTTGCATCGACATGTTTGAGTATGGCTGATTGTAAAACTCTAAAACTTTTCCGAGTTGCTCCTTCAAAAACTTCGTTATTGAATTAGTCCACTCTGCAACAAGTTCACAAAAATAAGTACTAATAAAGAATATTTATCATAAAGGATGCTTTTTAAAATAAACCTATGAATCGCAAGGATTCGGTTGGTTGTAATGAAACTTATCAAGGAAAACGTACCTCACATTTCTGCAAGTTGAAAATTTAATGCTTAGATGGTGATACCGGAGTTGAAACTTGTGAGGTACTAGGTGTAGTAAGTGTAAGGTATCTCTTCCCAGGCATCAAGTTATGTATTGAACAAATATAACCCTATTGTTTTCAGGAAAAACCACTAATTTTAAATTTTTGAAAGTTGTTGTCTTTCTGAATTGAAACTAGGCTGAGACAGTCACTTTCAGTTCTGAGAAATTGAGTTCAATTTCAAAAGAGAATGCATTAGCCATCTAAGCCTTTTACATTCACAATAACTTGTCAGCATATAATTTAAGTTGCAATTTACCAAAAAGAATTTGCAAGGAAGAGCAGCAGGATACTTTTTTAGGTACTTGGGTAGAAAATCACAAAAATATGTGAGTGTTTTTATCCCACAAGCTATTGGAAAATTGACAAAATTTTTTGGTTCTAAAATTGCTTTTTGCTGGGTTCCCCTATTTGAAAACCTGTTCTTAATGCTACATGTTTTCACGAGAGCAACAATTTAGATCAATTTTTATTGCGAAAAAATATTCTTGAATGAGGCAATCAGTTCAGACGCACTTGCAGCTTAGAAGAATGCCTGATAAGTTAAAAGAGTAAAGGTAAAGAATTCACTGACACAATTTTAATATCATGCATACCTTGGGATGAATCCAAATTAATTCGTTTTTTCACTTTCCCTTCTGATATGGTATTATGATATGCTGCAGTCACCTAAGATACAAATTTCAATTAGGAAAGAACAAGAAAAAATGAAAAAGGCTAAATCCAAAAAGCCATCCAGTACATAAATATTTAACAAAGATTTTCACAAAATGCTCAACGTAGATGTTCATAAAAATAGCTTACATACTAATAAGTGTTGAAAGTGAACAAAGATAAAATAAATGCATTCAAGATAAAACATAAGTGAAGTCTGGCTTCTCAAGAAATGAAATGGTTGCTAGATTTTGTACTTTTCAGAGCTACATTGAGAAAAGCAGAACATATAAAACCAGAAAAACTAATTCCAAGGGTTATTAAAACTTCCCTGGGTCAATTCATGCTTTAAATTTTCAAGTTGTCTGCATGGCTAACTGATTGCAAAACTATATGAATAACATTGACACCAAAGTTCTTTGTATATAAGATCAAGTTCTAAAAAATCTTTTATTGTAGTGAGTTTCAAAATAATAACAATACCTTTAAAAACCAAGCTGCCCTTATCATCGGAACACTGTAATCTGCCAAATTGGCAAATATTTCTTCCTTTTTGTTGAAAATTGGAACCTTAAATAAAAGCATGATCCCTGAATTACAAAAAAATATTTTGGTTCTTGGTCTGGAATTTTGCTCTTGGAACTTTTTAGTCTACTTTTTTAGGGAAAAGGCCAGGGTGCTTATAGTAATGCCCCAACAAGGGAAAAGAGGGAGCAGATTATTATTAGGAGAGAGAGGTAAGATCAAGTTCACTGATTTTATATTTGAATAAAGACAGGTAATGAGTGTCTGGTAAGCAGGAAAGGGGTAGAGCATACCAAAGTTTACAACCTCTATTATAAGTTGCAGCAAGTAGGGTTCATAGAAAATTTAAGCTGCATTTGATTATAAGCTGCACTTGCAACACCATTCAGAAATTCTTGGTCTGTAATGATATAATACTTGGTGTGAAATGATACACACAAAAAATTACAAAAACTTGATTTTGACTTAAACCTCAACACCTGCTAACAATTTTGTCTAGCATGGGATATTCAATTTCATGTAAATACTTTTCTTTCTCTTTATCTGCATTATTACTCTCAGTTTGAAGGTAGCAGTAAAGATTGGCAGGATCATCTAATGTTATGCCACAGACATAATAGACTCGTTGAAGGTGTTTTGATGGTTGAGCGTCTTGGATAGAACAATTTGAACAGCCTTTATTTATGAGTGGCCCTTAATCATAAACTGCAGTAAACATGCCACAGCTTATGATCAAATATATATGGTACTTGAGGTATTGAAAGTAATAAAGCTACAAAATGATTAAGTGCTAAAAAAAATTAGTTTAAATCTAAAATAATTTACCTTTTTCCCTAAGTTTGTTAATCCTTTGCTACTAGCAAGATCTTGAAACCACTGGGAGACTTGGCTGCGGGATCGATTTGTGACCTTTGAAAACATAATGCTGTGTGACAAATCTACACATAACAATTCTACAAAATAGCCATTAGCAATTATGAATGGTGGCACATCTGTCAAGAATCAATAACGTACTTCTGCAAAAGATATACTCTGTTTTGTTTAGCAAATACTTTCCAGGCCTTTCCTGGAGACGCAGGCTATAGCCCATACCCGTGCAAACCCCATGCGAAAAAGTTTTGCTAGGGCTTATTTCCAACCACGCAGTTGCTTATAAAAGCACTCTCACTGAATCCGCTTTGTCTCACTCTTCAATGTTTTAACTACTTACCGCTTTAATTCACGGTATTCATAAATTATATCGTGTCAAAGAGATATATGGTTTTTATAAATATCTTTATAGAAAGGTAATTTCCATTTCTTTTGACGTAAAATGTTAACAAACTATAGTATTATCTGTTTAAACTAGCAATAGACAAGGAAATGAACCAGAGATAATGTAAAATAGCAAAAATGAGAATTGTTACACGACACTGTCAAGTACCAAACTTGTTTTACGAATACACCCATTTTTAAAAGAAACACGCTATAAGAGACAACACTCAATTTTTTATAAGAAACATGCTATTAGAAACGAGAACTAGGCAATCGGAAAAAAGTAAAAAATTTCAGAAAAAATTCGTTTTTTCTCTTTGACTCTTCAACTAGGTGAGAGATAAGCGGTTGCGAATTGTCAAAAACATAGAACCAATCATTCACCATTTCTGAACTCTCTCGTTACTTTCTATCCGCATTTCTGCTTCCCTTTATGCTTTGAGGTCTATGTTTATAGTATCCGCCAATCTTTATCATGATATTGTTTCACTTTCCCGTGCTGTTTTCAAATTAAGAAATTCTTAAGAAAGAACAAGTATTGGAATTTCCTATACCGCTAAGAAACTGGAATACTCAAATTTGACCTCCATTTCGTAAAGAAAAGAAGTGTATTTCAGTTATTCTTTCTTGAATTTTTAATGCGAAACAGCTTAATCTTCCAATACCCTTTAAATAACATTGTCATGCTCTTTATCTTTTTGAATGAAGGTAAGTTTTGTTGGATACTACTCAATATATCTGTGTTTCTATGAAAAACGTTGCCATTTTGTAAAAAAACTAGAGATCCCGTTTGTCATTTTTATGAGTAGAAATACACACAAAACTGTCTTCTTAACATAAATCATGCTTATAAGTAGACAAGGTAATTTATTTTTTGGCTTGTATTTACTCAAATATAAATAGATAAACAACAAATTCTGCCAGGGCTATATAGCCCACGCAGCCAAACCAGCAGGGGTCTTTTTTAGCCCGCATGTTTTTTATTCTCGTAGAGGCCTGTTACTTTCCCTTTGCAGATAACATCAGAGACCATGCTAATATTTTTAGTATTAAATATTTTGTGCTTACCATTTTGTTATTAATGATTGATGAGTGTTTGATAAGATAGATAAATACTTTGATACACATAAAAAATAAGTAGTATACTTATAAAAATGTTCATTTTACCATCCAAAAGTTATCCTTTGTGTTGATTTGCACTTTCTTTTTTGACACATCATGAAATGTGTTTATTTTTTGCTTCTGTAGAAGGACTCTGTTGTACTGTGCAGCAAACTAATAAAATAAAAGTCAAACAATTCTCTACAACAGTTCAATTGCCTTGGAATAAAAATTTTTAACAGGTATGTAGTGAAAAAATGCGAGAGAAGGAATGAATTCAAGATACATCCAGTATATTTTCATGATTTCTTGAACCTATAGCATGTGTTCGATAACATAATAATATTTAACAAAACAATATTATATTTAGCGAACCAAGAAGGATATAATATATTTTTAATCCGGAAAACAAAATTGTTATTATTGTCCAGACCAGTATGTTTTTATAGAGCTGAGTGTTGGAACTACATTCCTGTGGACATAACAAGCTCGATGAATTCTATAAAAAACAAATCTGTTTTGAAATCAAATACAAAACTTGATCACCTTTATAACATTTAACCACAATAGATTTAATGCAACCTTTTACTTCAGTGACTGAATGGTTGATTATAATCATATTTATTGACAGAAGGAGGAGCTGCTTTTGGAAATAGAGCATCTTTATAAAAATAACTTTCAATTTAAATAATTTGTAGATTTTTTGTTTTCTTAACTTGAGTTTTGTATGTAGAGTGGTTTTCAAAATAGCAAACATGTAAAATAATGCTACTTAACCAATGAAAAGGAGAATTAGCAGCAAACAAGAAAAACATATGTTCACCTTTGATAATGGCAACTGAGCAAACAGCTCCTTTGCAGAGCCATGCTAAGGTAAAGAAAAAGTTCAAAATCAATCAGTTCAATGAATGAAAAATGCTTGAAAATATGCACAAGGAAAAAACAAACAGTAACAAAATTTTATAGAACTAATTGGAACCATTATAGCAAACATGAAGCAGGCATTTTCACAAAAAGTAGCCCATGACAGGGGCGGATCCAGCAAAAAACCTGTGCATGAGACAACATTATTATTCATATTTATGCATTTTGGTACCATTGAAAGTGGGTAGGTACTATCTACTCACTAAATCTAGATTCTAGATTTCTTTCCGACAAAAAACAGTGCCTCTGTGAAAAATTTTTCAACCCCCTCCCTTTCTCAATTCCCTTTGTTTATTTAGGATGCCACAGCAAAGTTCTTCCCTTTTTGTTTTGCTCGCAATTTGTTGTTTTGCCTCCTTAGACATCAGCCTATTCATCAAAAAATGGTGTTCCATTTGAGCATAGGTTTTCCGTGCCATCAAAGACTGCAATTTAAAGCAAAGGTAGTTAACACTTCTGGAAAATTAACGATATCTCCTGGTTTTATCTCAAATGCTTAAAAATCTGCTAGAATGCTCTGATGGTCGCGAGGAAATAAGACATCTGATGTGGCCATTTCCAATTCAATGTTTTGCAGTTCGACAATAGGACAGAAACAATAGGAAGCCAATCAACTACGGGCCATTGTACAGCTCTCTTACAAATATGGTATCATTTCCGAGTTCCAGATGCTGTTTTGACTGAGTTCCATCCGTGTTCCAAACAAAAAGTTTATTGTTTCAATTCAATTCATTTGTTGTCCTCCAAAGCGTCTGGAGAATCGTTTCCAAATCACGACAGAGAAGAAACTGGCAATTTTAAGATTTTGAAGCGACTGTGCTAAAACTTAGAATTTTTAGGTTTCAATTTTTTAATTTAAATATTACTTGATTCAGGCAACACTATTTTTAGCTGTATGTTGAAAAACTGACTGAGTTCTGTGCACCAAGGAACTCACTCTGGGTCCGCCTCTACATGAGAGTGGCCCAGCACTTGCGTGATTTCTCTCACGCAATGATTGCTCTAAAAACGATAATGATAATCGACAATGCTTAAAGGGCCACTCCAGCCAAAAAAATGTTCTAAGAATTTATGCAAAAGCATAAATTGGTAGTTAGTCAAAGAGTTTCTCAAAAGTCTTTACTTGTTTCCCAGATAAAGACGCTCAAAGTCAAGAATTGCTGTAAAAATAGGCAAAAAAATTTTCTGAAAAAGTAATTTGTGAGGTTTGAAGGGACCATTGTTTCAACATTTGGCGCTAAATGTTTACAAAACTGTAAGATCCTGTCATAAGGTACTTTGGTGTAAGGTAATACTAAATTAAAAAGAATGGTTATGAGGATCTTTAATGCACTCTAAGAAAGATTAAATACCTTATATAAAAGAGCTTCATTTATAAACTTTATGTACATCATAAGGGTCATATAGGCCTTATTGCCTGAAGGTCGCAAAATGTTGTTCAAAATCTTTTTTAAAAACACTTCAACTGCCTAGTCACTGTTCTTAGGGCTTTGTAGTTAAAATGCTAAGTACTCACAGTATTCTTAAACATTCCCTGTCGAAAACTTTCAGTTGTTTTTTTTCTTCTTTAGATGTGGTTAAATTTCTAGATATTGAAAACCCCAAATGACAGAACTTATAGTATTTGATCTTGAACAGATTAAATGATGGAAAATTTTTATTAAACTTTCAGAAAAACGAACCTCATTTGTTACAACAGGATTGTTTGAAAATCCCCTCCTCAGCTTTGTCTCAGAAAGATCGTCCTGAACAAATTGAAAAAATGTCAGATGAGAAAACAGCTTTGATCTTTATCTGACAAAAATTTAGCATGACTAAAGCTTCATTAACAGAAAATTGTGAGGCTTACTAAAGCAGGTAGATTACTGAAAAGCAGGTAGATTTATTCTATGTTAGTAGCTTATTTGTTCGTATATTTGAATGCCTTTTAGTAGCTTCTGATGCCAACAACGAATAATAATCATCATATCTATATTTTTTCTTATGCATTGATGAGATTTCACCAGAAGGTAACAGACTTCTCTGTGTAAGTCAACAATTCAAATTATAGTGGTCAAGTTTTTCATTACTGTTTTGTATATGTTGGAGAATTAAATGAAATTGTTGCAAAGAAAATTATATACCTATATATATATTTAGAAATTTGTCTTTTGATACTTCCGTAGTACAGTGCTCAATACGTTAGCACGTAGAGCGTGATATATCATAGATTGAAGAAGAGATAAACCATGTAGTTTTACTTTCTTCAATCTATGATATATATATATTTATATATTGGCTTTATCTAGTAAATATACTGCATTCTGTATGTTAAAACATGCTTGTTATGCTGGGTGTAAATAGCACCCGGGGGCTTAAGTAGGGAAATATACTATCTTCGCTCTCTAAAACGGCAGAATGACTATGCCTTTTTAATTTTCCTCATATCCAAATATTATAAAGGTTGATAAAAATTCAATCTCCAAAAACCGGTGACATTTGGTCTCCGTTCTTATCCTCTTATCGCGAGTGAAACAAACATACGACATTATCCTTTCACTTGAATATTTAATCAATTACCTCTGGCTGTTTTGGATCTTGTGGGTAGCAATCAGGAGGCCCAAGTTTGACGCGTTTTAACGGACGCATCAGGACATCCACAGCAGCCATGTCTTTCTTGTTGATCTCGATCAGCCTCGCTATGATATTGGCCGGCCTCCCACTGGGGTCTACTTCTAGAAGGTTGAGGGCTTCGAGCAGAGATTGGCTTCGGAAAGAAGGGGTTGCAAGCTGTTAAACATTCCTTAAACAAGAAGCAAACGAGCCATTTAGAAACAGAATCATTATTCTTCAGTAAACGTAGGAATGCAGCAAGGAATGCCTATATAAAGCGTGTGTTCAGTAAGAGCCTTGATAGGTACTTGAAATGAAAAGATTTGTATCGGTTATATTGCTGATATCAACATTCTTTTGACATCAAACTTTAGCTTGAAAATATTGATTTTTCAACTGTCACATACGTGACTGTTCCAATTTGGCAGGGGGTTAGGGACTAAATTCTCGCAATAAGCAAAGATAATGTGAGTCTCCACGAAAGCAGATGAAGATAAGATGGAATCTTATTAGCTTCTAGAGGAATCATTGAAAATATTAGCATATTCCCCTTTAAGGTTCAGTCCTTATTGAATAATTGTAAATGAGAATGTTGTTTCAGCTGCATAACTCAATTATAAGGCTTCATAGGCTTTGAAACTCCACTGGTGTATACACAAACGTTTAAATCAAGTGTCAACGTATTTTTGTATTGAAATCTGTTGCCACAAATGGTGTGTCTTGGCTTATTTTAAAAAATGAAACAAGTCTGTTCAAAGCGGTTCATTGTGTTTCTTCTGGTGCAGCATAGTCGAATTTCAAATAAGTTTTCTGTTATCCTCTTAATGCTTGTGTGTGAGCTGTGCTTAATAATAGCGAGCTCTATAGGATCCTCTATTTGATTTGCTGATACCAAGTTTGTTTCCAATTCTTTGATACCTTATAAAGAACTTGTTCTATTGTTTTATCATTTTGCTATGTTGAAATTAGTTTCCGCTAGTTCTGATTACATAACAACCACAAAGACCGTCTAAATAAGCAGCTGGCATTAATCATCATCAATCTTATTCATTTAGGAAAATTTTAGTAATTTCATGGAGACGTAAGTATACCAACAACTCCTGGCAAAATTCTTCGAACACTAACGTCAGATGTCAAGAGCAAACGTAACGTCACATTAATCGTGCGACTTGTATGGTTTTCACCTACGAAAAATATAAGAATACACCAATAGATTGTTTTTCCAATTTATAAAGGCAAGCATTGTAGAATCCTATTTTAATATGCCCTTTTTAACGATGGCACGGAATAGCTTAACATTGCATACTGGAGTACATTTTGTCTGTCATTTTTCAGAGTATAAACGTTGGATAATGCCCAAAAGTAAGCAGAAAATTTGTGTCCAGGTGTGGATCGAATGCAACGTGAGAGTAGGAAATAGGCCTTTGATTGGTTCGTTTGTTAGTTGTCAATCACCGACCGCTAGCCTCTCACCCAGTTGAAAAGTTCAAGAAAGGAAACGAACCCTTTTGTGTCTTTACAAGTTGAGACCCATTGTTTGGATGCAGACTGATCTCAGAACTCCTAAATGAAAAGTATCCTTGCCTGCTTAATAAAATTCTTGTGCCATGAGTTTTGATACGACAGAGAAAGTCATGCTACAAATTCATCTATCGTGGCTTTTCTTCTTCACATCTAACTTAAGCAGTTGGTTCAACATACATTTGAATTGGGAAACACTAGGCTTCATGAGAAAGACCGCTAGCCCAAGGATTGGTCTTCTATTCCTTCAAAATCAATGATAAAATCAGACGAGAGCGTAAGATGATGTTATTATATAATGCAGGAGAGAATGTGGTCCAAAAGATTCTTGCATTTGTTTTTCACAAGATCTGAGACCTGGCGCTATCTCTTGAAGCTTTACTTGAAGATTTATGCCCACATAGCCCTACTTAACAATCCCATCTATAATTGACTAGCAATATTTAAAACCCAAAATTTAATATATGACAATTAGATGCTTTGCCATTGAAGATTCAGATCCCAAATCTGTTGGTTTAATCTAGCTTATTGCAACCCATTTAAGCACAACAATCAAGCCGTCTGTTTTCAAAAAAAAACTTCAACTGTTTCATAGCTACAGCCCACAAATAAACTTGATCATAAATCCAGAGACCGACACCATAGATGATGCTTATAGATTCTACAATATTGCAGGTGTAGTATTGACTCTTTGGATGTTTTTCAATATAACCATCAAATGTAATCTAAACTTGATACCGAATATGCGGTCTAGTGTCAATAGAAACTGTTAGTTTTAGAAAGCGAGTAACATTAGCAGGTAAAACGAAGTACTACTTGCGTGCAGGGGATGGGAAAGCGGGGGCAAAGGGTCATAATGGCGCCCCTCATTTAGCCATCTTCCAACTTTCCTTCAAAATTTTGGAAATGTTCAGAAAAAAACAAGAGTTTGGAATCACGCCGATCTATATTTATCTATCTGTGGTATACCAAAAGACCTTTAAATGAGGGGAAAGGGGGTAATCAATTACTGACAAGACGTGATAGAGAATTTTCAACTGGAGTATGATATTATTTGCAAAACTTAACAGTATTTTTGTGTACCATTGTAACGGCTGTATCATCAAACTGCACAGCTATGATAATTAGGGTCGACACTCTTGAGGGAGGTTGGGGGTAGGAAGGGGGCGGTAAGATCGTTCAGGGGTATGATGAAGGCCGTCACCTTGGTTGGCGGCAAAAAATTGCAAAGAAGATGTTCTAGGAACGGTCGGAAAATGCATCCAAAAATCTACAGTATCACTTTAGACACGTGGAAGATCCTGGACAACACCCATTAGCTTTCTTCAAAATATGGCCACAAGGCAGTTGCGAGGCAGGCCTTGTTTGGGTGTACTACGAATTTGCCTGATTAAAAAAATTACCTGAAATTCTTTAGCTGCTGACACAATCCTCCGTAATACATTGTGTCGATTCACAACATCTATTTACATCATATCATCAGACTTTCCAACTCTTTAGATCTATATATCGGAACAAGCCTAGGATGGATATAACTTCATTGTTCGAGGCGGCACCATAGTTGGAATTCGAATTTTGATGCATTCAGCTCGCTTGAAAATTTTCTTAGATAAATATCCACAGACTGAAGGCTATTTGACGGCTTTAATCGATTTTCTGGTGTCGCTGTTAAACATTTTAGCTTATGCAACATAATTTTCTTCAGATTCGGACCTAATCTTTCAGCTTTTTCTTCCTAGCGTTTTTTGTCATTTCAAGATATCAAAACTCCTTGCACCCTCCCAATATTTTTATGAAATGGCGCCTAATCTGAACTTCTACCACCAAGCACAAAATTATCAACGGTTTTCTCAAAAAGACCCCCACAGCCTACCTCAGTACGCCCATGGTATCTACTTTGTGCAAAATCATTTAGATTTAGTGTGGATGGTGTTTAACGATCGTTGTTAATAAAAGTGCATCAAAGTTAGTAAGAAAGTAGAAGTGGTGCTGTAAAAAAGGACAATTTCTATGCGTGACGTAAGTAAGGAGTTGGAGGAAGGGGTTCGAGTGCTGGTGATGGAGAGAGGTCAAAATGTTGAGGAAGACCGAGGGTGGTATTTTCCTTGTATTCGTTTGTATCTGAGATACTTGCTTATTATTAACTTGTATATATTCTTCGCTCGCTGTTTCCAATTCAAGACGTTGTTTACAGAGACTTGTTGTTTTTGATGAATCGCATTCTCGGAGACGAATCGGAGTAAACTGTATATTTCTTCGCGATATTTTAAGGATTCATAACGAGTGGTATGTTGCAAGGTGATTCTTCGAAGCGATGTCACCCTTTAGTATTGTTTTGTTATTTTATGCAAATTGTCCTCGTTTGGTAGCTATTTGGCTAGGGCGCGTGAAAGTTGATTTTTGGCGCCCCTGATATTTGATCGGCAGGGGGGAATTGCCATCCTTGCCCCCCATTCTAGCACGCCACTGCAAAATACAATAATGTGATGAGCTAACTTAACACTATTTCATAAATGAAAAAGGGCAGCAAAACAGTATAAAGAATTTTGTTTAAGAAAGTCTTTCTTGCCCTTACAACAGTACTTAAAAAATCCAATGAATACCACCAAGGCTTACATGATCAAGTCCGTGCATGGAAAAAGGACTGTGTCTAACACCATGCTATTATCATCCTAAATGCAAAACTGGACACTTGACGCTTAGTTTCGGCCTGAGATTTCCCCATTTTTGGCTGTTTTTGCTTAAAGACGCCTCTCCAATTAAGTAATTTACAATCCTGTTCTTCAGAACTGACCTTACAGAAGCCCATTGAGACCAGCAAACTTGCTTATGATTGTACTAAGCCATTCTTTTGGGCCAGTTTTCCATCTTTACAGGAGCCCGACCTGGCAAATATTTTGAGCTTTTTTTGTTTGCACTATGAAAGCAGGAAAATATGTTTACAATGAAATAACCTTGTTTTTCACAGTCGCTATAAAATATTGGCAACAGCAATGACAAAAAATCAGGTATCTCGGTAATCGTAGACAGGTCAAAAGAAGTGCACCGCCTCGCATTGGGAAATACTTGAAGTGCAAATAAATTCTTCACGCAACCAGTCATCATTGTAAAATTATATCCCTTCATATCAGTCGAGCATTTCGCAATAAGAACTGCTAAAACCATTAATATTTTATTAGTCTGTGAAATTTCAGGGAAAACAATTTAGCGATGTTTTATGAATGCATCGAGAAAAAGGAAATGTTTACCACCTTTTGCCTTCATTTGCTAATAGCATTTGAAAAATCCCACGTTGCTTTTATCTTTTTTAGTCAGATAGATTTAAAACAGAAATCTAGTGCAAAAGCGATCCGTAATTAAATCACACTATTTCCTAAGATGAATTTTTAGATGAATGGAAACTATAAAAAAATCAAAAATTGTTTTATTTTATAAAGCCCTTATTCTGTCCAGATTTGTTTTAAAAGGCACACGTTATTTCAGCTGTTCTTTCGATTGATTTGTTGGTTTTCTTTATTGATATTCAACACGCTTCTTTTTAAATTATTTGCTCTTGTAAACCACCTGTCTTACTTAACAATCCTAGATTTCCGAGTGCAGATCAATAGAAGTTAAAGACAGTTTGGTGTCTTAACAATCCTAGATTTCCGAGTTCCGACCAATGGAAGTTAAAGACAGTTTGGTGTCTTAAAAATCCTAGTTTTAAAAGGTTCTATCAGTATAAGCTATTAACAGATTGGCGTCAGTATTTATTTTAGAATTGAAATTACGAATGCTGAACGGAATAAGGAAAAACTTTGTAACAGTGATAGTTCTTTATAAGTGTGGTTCGTTAAACTGGGTGAGTATTCCCAGGGACCAGATTGTTATAGCGAGTGGTTTGTATAGCGGGGGGGGGGGCATTTCATAATAGAGGCGTTTTTCTGCATTTCGAAAAGTGCCCGGGCGGCTCTATAAGATACTCATGCCTTTCGAGGGCGCTTCATTCAAGTGGGATTTTAAATGCAGGGAGTGTTTACCGTAAGTTACAAGATGAAATACCTGAGGGCGAGTCGACATCAATTTACATCGAGTCCTACGAAAGATCTCACTAAATAAACAGAGAAACAGTGACCGGGACTGCCAAGAAGCATAATATTTCAATATCAGCTTTATGCTGTCTTGATTTCGGTACAATCATGATCTATAAACAATTTTAACGATCTTTTTTCTAGAATTTCTTATAGATCTTTTTATAGATCTTTAAATATCTATAGATCTAAGAATCTTTTTATAGAACTCTTTAAAAAAGTTTCCTTTTTCTACTACCTGTGCCTCTCCAACTATAGAGTGCTTTCGATTCCTCTGTTTATTACTTCAAGTTACGTTTTTTGGCCAGATGTCATTTTACTCCTTTTCTATTCGAAGGGCTAATAAGGTTTACCACCAGTGATAACGTTAATCTAATTTAGTGTAGAAAGTTTGGCAGAGATAAGAGAGGATCTCAGATCTGAAGCTTTATTAGATATACATCAAACAAAATGTTGTAGTAAATGTGGTAGTAAATATATTGGAATTAAACAAGTTATTTGAGACTGTCGTCAAATCTCGAAGAATCTTGTTGATTTTAAAATAGGGAGCCTCACACACCACAAGTAGCGCGGAAACAATTTTTTTATTGCAATCCTTGTTGTATTCGCCCATTCGTTGGCTCGCTTTTCAGAGAACAATGAATTGCAATATTTCATCTAGTACTTTCTTCATTTTACGCTTGATGCTTGAAGTACGAGTCACGAACGCAACCAAGAGCACATTTTGGTCGTTGGAAAACACCTGGGATATTATCTACATTTTCTCGTGCAGTTACAGTATTTGTTGAATTAGACGCAGCTTTCATTTACACTTTATTTAAATTTTCAATTTTAAGGAGTAAACTCATGTGCGTGTTATAACCTGAGGAGACTGTAAAACTGAATCAGTAAATTGCCACGTTGGAAATGTTTATCATAACATGACTAAATCTTGCTCTAAAGCTCTTCTTTATGTTACGATTGCAAACACTTCTTGTTGCGCCAGTATTGAAATAACGGCACGATTGTTGACAGAAGACATTAAACAACAAGCGATTGCCCGGACACGAAATCATTTGTTTTTTCAGGTAAAACGAGAAAAAGATCCACGATTCTCTCCTGCTCCTTTTCATATTGTAGACAGAATTTTTGACAAATCCCGAAAGAAAATACAAAATTGTTTTCAAAGAATACTTGATTTTATTTCCGAGATATTCTTGACTGCTTTCTGATATTTCTTTAGCTACACTCTATTCTAAAATAGTCTCTAAATTTTCAGGGAATTGAGTTTACACTTAACTAATTGGGATAGAAGAAAAAAGGATTGGAACAAGAAAGTGTCTGTAATGCGAGTTTCCAGTGCAATTCAAGATTTTTCTCTACATTATATCAATAAAACAGTACCCTACGAAACACTTTGATTTACCGTGGAACTGAATAACGTTTCAAAAATTGGGTTTACTACTTATTACTTATTAATACATTTACCAGCTTTTTGCCGTTTTCTTACCAGCCAGGACAGTAAGGTTCAAAGCTACTAAGCAGCTCCAAAAAGTGTTTTCTAAAGGTGTGTATGGCTTAGCCGTATGCTAATTCGTTACCGTGGATGTTTCGAAACTTGACACGGAACTTTGACACGGATTCGAAACTTTTTAGAGAATCTCGACTGCTTAACGCTAAATTTTATCTTTTCGGATTAGCCTACGATGTGGTAAATAGTGTTCTCATAATCTGAAACTCAGCAATAAGATAAAAAATCACGAATAATAAAGGAAGATAGCTTTTGCCTACAAGCCTCAATAATCCTTTCTCCTCAATTCAGAGACCAATCTACTGACACACAAGGACGTAAACAAGTGGCTAATTTTGGCGGGTCGTAGAAGATTGAAAATTCCAACTTTACCTGATGAATTTTTTTCAACCTGTTAACTTTCTGTACCTAGTAAATTGATTTTTATAAATAGCCTTATGCTTATTACAAATTTCTAGCTTCTGTATAATTACCAACATTTTACTCAGTATTATTTTATAGTTTTATATAAAATATATTTTTCACAATATAGAAGCATCAAGGAATTGACCATTCCATCTTTTGTTCTTGATCGAAGGAAATTTTTTACAATTTTCAAAGGGCTAAATGTCCTTTGCTCTTTGAAACTGGAAGGGGGGATCTGAGGGCAAGTGCATATGCCCGATTCGTAAGATAAAGCACTCTTTTTTGATCGAATACTTCTGCTGCCGCTTCTTTTATCAATGTTTTGTGGCTTCTTATCACCTTTTTCATAGCAATTTATGATAAGATTAAAGGAGGTCTACAAAGTGCAGGGGAGCTTAGCATACACCCGTTAAGAAGCATTGAGAACTTCTAGCAATGAAAGATTTTTAATGTTTTTAATTGAATTGGCTACTCGTTGTTTCTTAAAAAATTCAAACTTTCAATTGTTCTGATCAATACAGGGAATGATTTTTCAAAACTTCAGGCTCAATCAATACTGAGTGATGGTCAAATTTAAACTTCTTATCCAGAAATTCACCTTGCCTGTTCAAAATATTTTAATTCAACTTAACCCCTGTCAAAAAGGAAACAAACGATGCAATGGTGCAATTTGAGATCCAGTGGAGACAGGGCTTCACAATTAAAAACGATTAGAAGATGTATCTGCTCTAGAGTTTGAATTTTAATAAGATCTCAGATTTTTACATTTACGATCCCAAAATCCTAAGCTACGAAATTCACATATTTGGTCATAATAGTTAGAAAAAATTTCAAGTGGACTTTTACTTGTCTGCTGTAATTAGTTCGTGTCTGCGGACGCACAATCTGTAACTTGTTGACTTACGTTGAGCATTCAGTTTTAGAAAAAGCTATTGCAATCAGAGGAGAATTGACGTCAAAATAACGCTGTAAGTCAGTACCTTGATCCAATTGATAAAGTCAGTACCTTATTTGAAATTGGACGAATTTCATTTGCTTTGGCGCCCGTTTTGTTTTTAAAGTCTAAGCTTAAATCCATCGGGCTTATTGTGTCGTTAGGCTAAGCCTATTCCACATGGACGACTTTTTTCGTTGAAGATGCAGATTTTCACCTCCCTCAAGAACATAGTTCTTGCGCGATAGTTGATCAAGATATTCCTCGCAAGCGACAGATTTTTCGATTTCGACCAACAGAGTCTGTATTGCAAGGCGTGCAAGTGCACTCTCAAATACAAATTCGCAAATTCGCAAGGATTTTTAATGAAGATTAAAATTGATGAACTTTAGATGATTACGATGCAGCTTTTTTGTGTTTTATACTTTAGATGACAATATTTATTTATCACTGTCTGAATACATTTAAGCAGCAACAATTTGTTTACACCTTTACTATACTTTCGTTATGCCACAAGTTCTCTCATTATACCATTCTTTCTACCTTCAAATACTTCGTTAGATACGTGAAGATATATAATTCAAAAAAGCTTTAATATCAGCGATCTGGGCAACAGCAAAAAGCGAGTGAAGAGAGAAGCAGCAATTTTAGACCCTGTTTACACAGGCGTCTACTCAGGAATCGAGCTAATACGTTGGCGTATATATGGGATTGGGCACAGAAGCGATTTACAAGCTACACATATGCCCATTATAAAAACTGGGGCACCGCAGAGTAGGTACTGTTAAAAGAAAAGCGCTAGGGTAGCAATTATAATACACAGCTCCGGTCCAGATTGGATCCATGGAGGATCGGCTCTGAAGGCGGTCCAAAAAGTATTTGGACAGCTGATCGAAAAATATACAAATCTGGACAGGTTCTTCTCTCTTTTTAGCGGGGTCTTAGTATAGATTCTAGACTTTATAATATACTGTAGTGTTTATAAGTGTCTCGTGCATTAATGGTGATTTGATTTACATTGTTGACTCTTTGCATTCTTTGCTTGAATATCTAGCAGTATTAAGAGTGGGAGCACTGGTACTTTCTGATGTAAAAGAATGATTTGGGTGTGAGGATCTGCAAGCAATTTTTTTGAGCGCCTCGTTGAAATGTGTGTGCATCTTAGAGTAAATGAAAACATTGACGCAGCTATTTGAGACGTGAAGGATTTTCACTATGGTATTTGCCTGATTAATTTGCCTGGTGTATGGTATCCCGTCGTCATCCATCCATGACATAGTGTACGATAACTGAAGAAGGTCTCTTGGCAGAATTAGAAGCAGGAAAACACTTGACATAACGAGCAGCATCCGGAAGAGTCTTTGACGCTGGATGTGAGTTACTTCCGCACCAGATTCGGAGCTAAAGTTACGCTGTCTTTTTTTAAACTTTGAGTATATAGCTTTATTGGTGAAGAAAATAACGATGATGAACGTAACGTCCTGAATCAAAACCATTGTGACACTGGGTATGGAGTATCGCTTATCGGTAACATCTAATATCTTGCATACAGGATTCGTCCCGTAAAGGTCTACTGATATAATGTAATGAAGATAGAAAGCAATTGACAAGACTATTGCTGCTAATACCGCAATGTTTATATGTCTGGCGCCGTACCGCCTTCCAAATGGCTTCACAATAACAAGGTACCGATCGACAGTTATTATTTGGATAAGTAATGCTGACAGCAATGTTGTTATCGGTCCAAAAGGTGCAATCACTTTGCACGCGACTCTTCCAAAATGCCATTTGGAATACCTCGTTAGTTCAACGTAGAGAAAGAATGCTGGGTTCACCAGTGATGACAGTAAGTCCACAATGCCAAGATAGAGGAAAAGGCGGTCTGGAATCGTCCATTTATTACGGCGTTTCACTCCGAAAAAATAACAGACGAACCCATTGCCAATTGTACCCACAAATATTACAAGGCATAATGCAACTGCAAGAAGTATCGTTTTCACATCATATGAAGAGCCAGAAGCTGGGCTAGCTACAACTGTCGTTGAATTGGGCAGTGTCGCAACAGTCGCGTTCGTATCCATTTGAAAACTGTCACCCCGAAATAATTCTTCTTAATCACTTAAACTAAACTGCAAAACAACGAAGCTTTCAGCGAAACTAATGACCAGAGCTGATGTGGCTTTGCAGCATTCTGTCGTCAATCAGCGGGGCATCTTAAATAACATTGGAAATAGAAACTCGACAAATATTGGTCGCTTGTTGATCAGCAGGTGCTTCATATTGCCTTGTGGCCGAATCACGTGAACAGCAAAAGGTAAAATTTCCCAGAGAACCAACGCCCTCAAAATATCAATCAACATCAGAGTATTCAGTTCCAAGGAAAAACATGTAATGTGCTGATTGCTGAGTGATGATATAAACCTGATATCATGACAAAGTAGAGTCCTAATAGACCGTTTTATCCATATTTCTTAAGTATGTATATGTTATTCTTGAGCAAGCATATGTATTTGTTTAAAAGCTGAAAGAATTGTATCAAGAAGGTCCCGATTGACATGCATTCATGGTTTGAATACATTAAACCGCTTTTGATTGCACAGAAGTTGAATCTAATGTGAATAATACATTAGCAGGGACGTAAACAAGCGGCTGATTTTGGGGGGTCGTGGAAGTTTGAAAATTACGACTTTACCTACCGTAATGCCTCGAGTGAGCGCCCGGGCGCTTACTTAATTTTCGAGGCTCCAGGGTGGGCGCTTATGCTAATTTTTGAGGCTCCAGCTATTTGCTACAGATCAGTTTCATATCAAATATCTTTTTCACAATATAGAAGCATCAAGGATTTGACCATTTCTTCTTTTATTCTTGATCGAAAGAAAACATTTTACAATTTTCAAAGGGCTAAGTGTCCTTTGCTATTTAAAATGGAAAAGGGTGATTTGAGGGCAAGTACATATGCCCGATTCGTAATATAAAACATTCTTCTTTGATCAAATACTTCAGCCGCCGTTTCTTTGATCGATGTTTTGTGGCTTCTCGTCAGCTTTATCAAGTTGTAAACAAACCAGGCAAAATTGGCGAGCTCTAATTGGCTAAAAGAAAATTGTAAACAAAGCATCTAATTGGACAAAAACTAAATTCCCCCTTGCTGCTTTATCATAGTAATGTATAACAAGATTTACAGAGATCTACAAAGTACAGGAGGAGCTTAGCATACACTTGTTAAGAAGCGTTGAGAATTTCTAGCAATGAAAGATTTTTAATGTTTTTAACTGAATTGGCCCACTTTCAATTGCTCTGTTCAATACAGGGTATGATATTTTTCAAAACAGCAGGCTCAATCAACACTGATAGTGAAATTTAAACTTCGGATCCAGAAATTCACCTTGCCTGTTCAAAATAATTTAGTTCAACTTAACCCCTGTCGAAAAAATCAAAACGGTGCAATGGTGCAGTTTAGGACCCGGTGGAGACAGGGCTTCACAATTAAAAACGATTAGAAGATGTGTCTGCTCTAGAGTTTGAATTTTAACAAGGTCTAAGATTTTTACATTTAAAATCCCAAAATCCTAAGCTATAAAATTCCAAATTTGGTCATAAAAAGCCCAAGTGAAATTTTAAGTTCTCCAACTGTTATTGGATTTTCCAGCCTTTGGGGGGCGTCATGCCTCACTACCCTATTTACATGCCTGTTCATCAGCTCAATATTAGTTCAATGACCATTTTTCTTGTGGTTGATTTTCTGCAAACCGATGCCAATAACAGGATTAAAATAAAACGCCTCAATGATTGAAGGCTCAAATAGGAATTTTCAAAGGAGACTGTAGGTTGGAGGGATGGGTTGGCAGGGATTGAGGGGGGTGTCAGTCAATGGTTGGATTTTGGTGCTACACTTTTCAGGTGCCTAGAATATAATGGAAACACCTTTGTTTACAATACAATTTTTAAGCTTGGTTTCCACTATGAGTTAATGTGAGTTATTATGAGATAATTTTGTGATCTGACGTGGTTTACAAATTATCTCATAGTGAAAACGCTCGTTAAAAATTGTCTCATGAAAATCAACTCTTGTTAACTCACGTTACCTCATGAGCTTGGAAACAAAATGTTTTCAGCCTTCCAAAGCAATAGAGGAATGACCCAAGTGATCCACCGTATCTTCGGAAAAAGTGACAATTTTTTATAACACTGCTATCCAGCCCTCGCTACTGTTCTGCTAATTCCCAATCAAAGTACCTTGAAGTTTAAGCAATAATTGACGAAAACTTGAAACTTAAGCAATAATTGATTACCTCTCATTATTAACTTTGGTTTATCTACTGCTTCAACTGGAAAAAGTCAAGCACCTTTATATAAGGGCCACCAATAATCCACATATAATAGTCCACAATAATTCAATGTAAAATTCTGAAACTGTGCAAAAGGCATTAAGACAACCTAAACATGATTCATAAACGGACATTTTTATTATTTTTATTGATAGATAAACTTTATAAAAAGAATTTCGTAAAGCTATTGGTCCAGGTCTTAAAGAATTGTGCCAAAAGTTTAGTAAATTCATCTTTTCGTTGCCGTAATCAAAAAATTCTTATTAATAAAGCTTTTTTTAGTCTTTTACAAATATTCCAAGCAACCAGACCATAGGTTGTAATTTTTCCTTGCTGTCTTAATTGATATGTTGTTTGTCTATTTAAAGTTGAAGGAAGTTAGAGCCTTAAAATTTGAAAATTCAACTAAATTTGTTGCATCATGGATTAATATTAGAATAATTTTCGACAGTTTTAAACAGAACCTTGTAGCATGAAATTTGATAGCATAGATAACAATGTTGGATTGAAGGAAGGGGGGTTGCCTTTGATCAGAATTGTAGCAGCTGGTAGCTACATGGGTTATAAATTTGTGATATTATTTTGGATGTTCTTCTATTCCATTTAGGGAAAAACATGACTATGATGCAAAAGAGCCTTGGAGGTGCTTGGCAGCCTGGTTCTTAGGCCCAAAAGCCGAGAATCGAGTGGAATTTAACAAGTTTGCTTTAGCTATCTTGAATGACTATGAAGATTTTCGTGCTACGTACCAGCCTACAGATCCACTATATATCACAGAGGATGTTCGGCATTCGCCATCTTATGAAAAAGAAATTGAAAAGATAGGGAAGGAGTTGAAAAAACTGATTGAAGAGCTCAAGAAATCGGTGCCATTCTTCAGCTACAGATACAAAGTATGAATTATTATTCAATTTCGTTTATTTTGTCATCTACACTGATATAAAAAGCTAAGCAACCTGGAATTTAGTACCTACGGTAGTTTATATTACCTGCTTTTTCATTTTTACATAGGAGAGCATTGTCAAACCAAAGCTTGATGAATTTTAAATAATCTATCCAAAATTTGGTTTAATATAGCCTACATAAAAGCAGTTCATTATGGTTTCTAATCAAACATACACGCACATTTGGCGAGTTTCTTGCTGTAACTATAAGAAGTTCTACAGCTTGTTTAATTTTTGTTCATTTATAACAAACCAAGCAGGCTGTCCTTGCAAAATTAGTTTCTTAGTGGCGGGGTGATATTGAAATCGCAAAGTAAATCGCAGCTGAAAAATGTTGCTTGAGTTGACTTACACCATGCTATATTTTTCTCTGCTGTTGGTACTGCAGGGCCACATGGTATGGGACATTTCTTTGCCCTCACTTCTTGGGTATTTATCTGGAATGCTGTGGAATCAAAACAATGTAGATTCGTCTACATCACCAGTAACAACATTAATCGAAGCTAGAGTTGGGAGACAGCTTTGCGAGATGTTTGGATTTCGTCAAGGTATCACACTTATGAAGTTTTTCTTTTTAGAACTATCATTATTCATATAAAACCTGGAAAAGCATCCATTTGTACACAGGAGACTAAAAATTTTATACATAGAATGTATAACGATTACCACGCCAGAACCTTACCACGCAAAGTAAGATTCTGGCGCGGTAATCGTTATGGATTTGCTACGTAGTTTGTTTCAGGTATGGGGAAAAGGGGTTGGATAGGGAGAGATCTTTTCGTACTTCACGTTTCTACTTCAAACATTGTTTTATATGGGAGGGAAGGGAGAGACAACGAGAATTTTAAAGTATTTTGAATGACATAAATGGATTTGTACATTGCTTAGAGGCGAATTTAATCGATTATTGCATTTCTCACTCTTGCTATATTAAAAAGATAAGCTATGTTTGTTCTCAGAGAGCTCAGTGTAGCAACCTTGATATCTTCTTCAATGAAAATATAATTTTAATGTGGAGTCATTGACTGATGGCAAACGTTGGGTAAATGTTTGAGGTCTGACAGTGGAATTTTTTTAATAAAATGAATATAAATGATTAAACATGCAAATTGATTTTGAAAGCATCATGAAGCAGAAGAGCCAACGTTTTGCCTTTTGGTAAGAAGAAATGCAATTTCCATTGGTGTCTAGATATTGGTGCAGCTCTTACATCACATCTAGGCTTATCAGAAATACCAGCAATATTAAAGAATCATGCTTAATTATTCAAGGATTTCTAAATGGCTTTGAAAAAAGCAAACATAATATGTTTGCTTTTTTCAAAGCCATTTTCAAATTCTGTACCGCAAAAAAATTGTTAAGGATTTCTATGACTTCCTTTGGCAAAATTCTGTTTACAGTTCATGCCAAAAGCCTATTTGCAAACTTTCATTATACATGAAAATGGACCATGTTGGCCTATGTCGTTTTGCGTAAAAGCAGATGCTGAGTAAGTTGCAATATGTTTGCTTTTAGATGAAAAAATGAAGCCTTGGGGGCACATCACGAGTTGTGGATCTGTTGCCAATATTGAAGCATTATGGGCTGCTAGAAACTTAAAGTTCCATCCTATTGCTTTGCGAAATGCAGTTGCAAATGATGCCAGGCTTGCCTTTGCCAGAGAGACAGCGCTTGTTTATCTGCCGCGGCTAGATAAGTATGCAAAGCTTGTTGATGCTGACAATTGGAGTCTTTTGAACATGGAGATAGACGATGTCTGCTATATAACGACAACTGTTGCTGAGCAATCTGGACTATCAATGAAAGCAGTAACTGCCATACTTGATGACTACAGTCAAGTTTCTCTTGGTCTGTTTGACTTCTTGAAGTTAAATGGAATCAACAGCCCCGTTATAATTTCACCAGCCACTAACCATTACTCGTGGCCTAAAGCAGTCACTCTGCTAGGCTTAGGACGTGCAAACCTTATCCAGGTGCCTGTTGACAATAATGGGAGGCAGGATCTCGAAGGTATCTTTCTGCTGCATCTCTTTTGCAATAAAAACTTTTTCAGTACTTTTTCTCTTGGTCAACCTAGGGAAATCAATGTTGCATGTTCAAAAACTTAAAAAAAGGGTAATTTAGGTATTTCAGCTTTCTAACTTTAGCCAAATTTGTCATGAGAACCTATCTATAGCAGGATTTCGATTGTAAAAAACCAAAATTTTGAAATTTCTACTAATGCGATGATAGAAGATCCAAGAAACTTTAGCTTTTTGAACTGAATAATGGCATATAATTTTTAAAAAGGGTTAAGATGATAAGTGAGAAAGACTTTGTTTTTTGGTTGACCTCCGAAATGTTGTCTTGCAAGTGTTTCTAATTATGTTCCATCCAGTTTGTTCTTGATGCACTCATTGGTAAATGCTATTTGATAGTTTAGAGCTCCAAAGATTACTTGAGAGTTGCCTCAAGAACAAGATTCCTGTTTTATGTGTGGTAGCTATTATTGGGACAACAGAAGAAAGCGCCGTGGACCCAGTTGTTGATATCCTGGAAATCAGGGACAGATTTAAAATAAAGGTGAGATGTATCCACAACCTTGCATTTTGCGGTTTGGCGAGGACCACTTACTTCCTCCTTCCTTTACTGCTTGTGAGGCCATCTTCAAGGTACAATCATAACTTGAGACTACAATCTAAGACATCGCTTTTATGGTTGTACCAGGTAATGTCAGGTTTTATTAGGTTATCCCAGATTATGTCAGATTATGTCAGGTAAGGTCAGGTAAATTGGAAGCTCAGCCTTGTCCGCAAGTGTGACGCAGTATGAGCCCTTCAAGAGAAACATTCTGAGAAGAAATTATTCAGTTACTTGAATATTTGTAGCACTCTCTGGGCAACTGGTCTAGAATGGGCTTAACTGTATGAAATTCCAACGTTAATCATTTTAATATTCACAACTTTTTCAAATATTTCTTTTAAAGCAATGCATTCTTTCTGTAGCTTTTCTTGATACAAGTCTTTGACTTTAAGTCTTTTAGTCTTTGACTATATGGGCAAGATTTTTGATCGAGAAGAATGCATTCTATGCAGTACTCTATAATAAACGTGTGTTGACTAAACTTCAGGGCCTTAATTTCTGGATTCACGCTGATGCTGCCTGGGGTGGATATCTGATGACAATGCTACGGGAGCCCATAGATTCAGGTACCAAAGAATCTGAGAGAAGCAAGATTGTCAAAGAAAACTGGGACATAATCAGCACAATACCACGAAGAACCCATTCTATACCTGTAAGCCAATTGGATACTTTAATATGATAATATGATATATACTCTTTTCTTGACCATTCTGCAATTTATAGCATTTTTTTATTTGCCTAGGTAGCTTAAAATCCTACTAATGTTCTTTAATTTTGCACTGTTTTGTGTGTTAGTTAGGGAAGAAAGCTGAGGGACATAACACGAAAATTTCCCAAAGGTCTTTTGCTTTTTATCTCATTTAAGCGTATTTCTGTTATTCGGGCCTATGGTGGAGGTTAACTTTACAAACTATACGTAACATATGCAATTTTATCCTTACACACTATCTAGAATAGTTTTTTGTGTATTTTTACGGTCTGGCGAGGGGCTTCTACGTACAAGCGACAAAAAAGAAGTATGTGCGACCTTTTAACCCAATTGGTTGTTAACGAAGTTAGAGGCTGGGTTCTCAACCAAAGGGACTGTAGATCCCCAAGTCAGCCACCTCGAAGGCTTACAAAAATAGCGTTTTCCTGTAAACATCCTTGCGTTCAGCTCAATACATGTCAGTACAGTAGATAATCAAAAAGCCATAGTTAGCAATAATAGCTCGGCTAAGCAGAATGATGTATGACTTTAACTGCCACCTGTCAAAAAGGAAACAAACGATGCAATGGTGCAATTTGAGATCCAGTGGAGACAGGGCTTCACAATTAAAAACGATTAGAAGATGCGTCTGCTCCAGAGTTTGATTTTAGTAAGGTCTAAGATTTTTGCATTTAAAATCCCAAATTCCTAAGCTACAAAATTCACATATTTTTTGGTCATAATAGTTAGAAAAAATTTCAAGTGAACTTTTAAGTTTTCCAACTGCAATTGAATTTTCCAACCTTTGGGGCGCGTCACTCCTCCCAATTATTTACGTGCCTGCTGACACACAATCTGTAACTTGTTGAATTACGTTGAGCATTTAGTTTTAGAAAAAGCTATTGCAATCAGAGGAGAATTGACGTCAAAATAACGCTGTAAGTCAGTACCTTGATCCAATTGATAAATTTAGTACCTTATTTGAAATTGGACGAATTTCATTTGCTTTGGCGCCCGTTTTGCTTTTAAAGTCTAAGCTTAAATCCGTCGGGCTTACTGTGTCGTTAGGCTAAGCCTATTCCACATGGACGACTTTTTCCGTTGAAGATGCAGATTTTTACCTTACTCAAGAACATCGTTCTTACGCGATAGTTGATCAAGATATTCCTCGCAAGCGACAGATTTTTCGATTTCAACCAACAGAGTCTGTATTGCAAGGCGTGCAAATACAAATTCGCAAATTCGCAAGGATTTTTAATGAAGATTAAAATTGATGAACTTTAGATGATTACGATGCAGCTTTTTTGTGTTTTTATACTTTAGATGACAATATTTATTTATCACTGTCTGAATACATTTAAGCAGCAACAATTTGTTTACACCTTTACTATACTTTCGTTATGCCACAAGTTCTCTCATTATACCATTCTTTCTACCTTCAAATACTTCGTTAGATACGTGAAGATATATAATTCAAAAAAGCTTTAATATCAGCGATCTAGGCAACAGCAAAAAGCAAGCGAAGAGAGAAGCAGCATTTTTAGACCCTGGAGACTTTATACTGTATTTATACTGTAGTGTCTCGTGTCTCGTGCATTAATGGTGATTTGATTTACATTTTTGACTCTTTGCATTCTCTGCTTGAATATTTAGCTGTGTTAAGAGTGGGAGCACTGGTTCTTTCTGATGTAGAAGAATAATTTGGGTGTGAGGATCTGCAAGCAATTTTTTTGAGCGCCTCGTTGAAACCTGTGTGCATCTTAGAGTAAATGAAAACATTGACGCAGCTATTTGAGACGTGAAGGATTTTCACTATGGTATTTGCCTGATTAATTTGCCTGGTGTATGGTATCCCGTCGTCATCCATCCATGATATAGTGTACGATAACTGAAGAAGGTCTCTTGGCAGAATTAGAAGCAGGAAAACACTTGACATAACGAGCAGGATCCCGAAGAGTCTTTGACGCTGTATGTGAGTTACTTCCGCACCAGATTCGGAGCTAAAGTTACGCTGTCTTTTTTTAAACTTTGAGTATATAGCTTTATTTGTGAAGAAAATAACGATGATGAACGTAACGTCCTGAATCAAAACCATTGTGACACTGGGTATGGAGTATCGCTTATCGGTAACATCCAATACCTTGCATACGGGATTCGTCCCGTAAAGATCTACTGATATAATGTAATGAAGATAGAAAGCAATTGACAAGACTATTGCTGCTAATACCGCAATGTTTATACGTCTGGCGCCGTACCGCCTTCCAAATGGCTTCACAATAACAAGGTACCGATCGACAGTTATTATTTGGATAAGAAATGCTGACAGCAATGTTGTTATCGGTCCAAAAGGTGCAATCACTTTGCACGCGACTCTTCCAAAATGCCATTTGGAATACCTCGTTAGTTCAACGTAGAGAAAGAATGCTGGGTTCACCAGTGACGACAGTAAGTCCACAATGCCAAGATAGAAAAAGAGGCGGTCTGGAATCGTCCATTTATTACGGCGTTTCACTCCGAAAAAATAACAGACGAACCCATTGCCAATTGTACCCACAAATATTACAAGGCATAATGCAACTGCAATAAGTACCGTTTTCACATCATATGAAGAGCCAGAAGCTGGGTTAGCTACAGCAGTCGTTGAATTGGGCAGTGTCGCAACAGTCACGTTCGTATCCATTTGAAAACTGTTACCCCGAAATAATTTTTCTTAATCATTTAAACTAAACTGCAAGACAACGAAGCTTTCAGCGAAACTAATGACCAGCGCTGATGTGGCTTTGCAGCATTCTGTCGTCAATCAGCGGGGCATCTTAAATAATATTGGAAATAGAAACTCGACAAATATTGGTCGCTTGTTGATCAGCAGGTGCTTCATATGGCCTTGTGGCCGAATCACGTGAACAGGAAAGGTAAAATTTCCCAGAGAACCAACGCCCTCAAAATATCAATCAATATCAGAGTACTCAGTTCCAAAGAAAAACATGTAATGTGCTGATTGCTGAGTGATGATATAAACCTGATATCATGAAAAAGTAGAGTCCAAATAGACCATTTTATCCATGTTTCTTGAGTATGTATATGTTATTCTTGAACAGGCATATAAATTTGTTTAAAAGCTGAAAGAATTGTATCAAGAAGGTACCGATTGACATGCATTCATGGTTTGAATACATTAAACCGCTTTTGATTGCACAGGAGTTGAATCTTTCTCAGCATGTGAATAATACATTAGCAGGGACGTAAACAAGCGGCTAATATTGGAGGGTCGTGGAAGTTTGAAAATTACAACTTTACCAACCGTAATGCCTCGAGTAAGCGCCCGGGTGCTTATTTAATTTTCGAGGCTCCAGGGTGGGCGCTTATGCTAATTTTTGAGGCTCCAACTATTTGCTGCAGATCAGTTTTATATCAAATATCTTTTTCACAATAAAGAAGCATCAAGGAATTGACCAGTTTATCTTTTGTTCTTGATCGAAAGGAAACATTTTACAAATTTCAAAGGGCTGAGTGTCCTTTGCTTTTTGAAACTGAAAAGGTTGATTTGAGGGCAAGTACATATGCCCGATTCGTAAAATAAAACATTTCCTTTTTTGATCAAATACTTCAGCCGCCGTTTCTTTGACCAATGTTTTGTGGCTTCTCGTCAGCTTTATCAAGTTATAAACAAACCAGGCAAAATTGGCGAGCTCTGATTGGCTAAAAGAAAATTGTAAACAAAGCATCTAATTGGACGAAAACTAAACTCCGCCTTGCTGCTTTATCATAGCAATGTATAACAAGATTTAAGGAGATCTACAAAGTACAGGAGGAGCTTAGCATACACTCGTTAAGAAGCGTTGAGAATGTCTAGCAATGAAAGATTTTTAATGTTTTTGATTGTATTGGCCCACTTTCAATTGTTCTGATCAATACACAGGGTATGATATTTTTCAAAACAGCAGGCTCAATCAACAGATAGTGATATTCAAACTTCTGATACAGAAATTCACCTTGCCTGTTCAGAATAATTAAATTCAACTTAACCCCTGTCAAAAAAATCAAAACGGTGCAATGGTGCAGTTTGAGACCCGGTGGAGACAGGGCTTCACAATTAAAAACGATTAGAAGATGTGTCTGCTCCAGAGTTTGAATTTTAACAAGGTCTAAGATTTTTAACAAGCCTCCGCACACCCCAAACACACCAAACAATCCATTCCATACAGTCTTGCACTAAGACTACGACGGATCTGCTCCGAAGATAAAACGTTCAAATATCGCACGAGACAACTACTGGAATACTTGACAAAACGGGGTTACAAACCCAAACAGACAAACAAACAAATACAGAAGGCTGCTAAAAAAACTAGACAAGACTGCCGCAGGACCACCAAACCACGCACTAATCATCGCACGCCATTTGTTGTCACCTACCACCCAGCTTTGCCACAACTATCCACCATACTCAAACAAAACCTTGACATACTACAAAACTCTAACACATGTCAAGAAGCCTTCCCCGACGCACCCATACTTAGTTACTGCAGACCGAAAAACCTCCGGGATTAACTGGTTCGTGCCAAAATTAAAAATGTCACACCCAGTGATCCCATAGGTTCGTACAAATGCCACTTGCGACGTAACAGTTTAACATGCCAACATATCACAGACGGGACTACAACATTTATTTTTTCTAACACTGACAAAAACTACGACATAAAACAACGACTGGACTGCAACTCCACCAACGTCATATACGCATTACAATGCAAACGCTGTCTACATAACGGAAACAAAAACTGCCAATACATCGGACAAACTAGCAGACGACTTAAAGACAGATTTAACGAACACCGACGAGACATTATCAACAAAAAAGAAGACAAGTCTGGTGTTGCAGAACATTTCTACAGCCCAGCACACACCATCCACGACCTTGCCATCACACCACTACTTAGACTTAATGACAAACGAGAGAGTGTTCGTCGAGCTAAGGAGCAATATCTCATTGGCCTGGCGAACACCCTCAACCCCAACGGCATGAACAGAACTACCGACCGTTAACTTTACAAAACAACTTATCACCTTTCACGCCGCCCTCGCAACCCACACCATATTTTCCCTACCTATTGTAATCATCATCACCACTATTACTATCATCAACATTCCATTATTCTCAGTTCCATCAAAAAAATTTTTTTTTTCATATTCACAGTCGTCATTTTCATCTTATTGCATCAATCTCAATAGCACCACCCACATCCCCTTACATCACCCACCACCCTTCCCTCCCCCACTTCCATCATCTCATTTTTTCTCCACTGCGCTGCATTCACACCATTCAACATCCACCAATCCGGCACCACCATCTCACATTTCAAATCCATTCACTCGTTTGTTTCATTTACTCTGATGCCGCTGCGAAATATTAGAATATTCTTTAAATTTAATTTATTTTGAAAATTTTATTTCGTGACATTGGATTCTCGTCGTCGTATTGCTTTGTTCCTGTATATCTTTCATTTTAAAATCTCATTGCAAGATTCACAGAATCCGGCGGACAGTCTATCCTGCGGTTCTTCCTTCTCACAAACTAAGATTTTTACATTTAAAATCCCAAAATCCTTAGCTATAAAATTCCAAATTTGGATATAAAAAGTCTAAGTGAAATTTTAAGTTCTCCAACTGTAATTGGATTTTCCAGCCTTTAGGGGGCGTTACGCCTCATGTCCCTGTTATTTACGTGCCTGTTCATCAGCTCAATATTAGTTCAATGACAATTTTTCTTATGGTTGATTTTCTGCAAACCGATGCCAATAAAAGGATTAACATAAAACGCCTCAATGATTGTAGGCTCAAATAGGAATTTTAAAGGAGACTGTAGGTTGGAGGGATGGGTTGGCAGGGATTGAGGGGGATGTCAGTCGATGGTTGGATTTTGGTGCTACACTTTTCAGGTGCCTAGAATATAATGGAAACACCTTTGTTTCCAATACAATTCTTAAGCTTGGTTTCCACTATGAGTTAACATGAGTGAATATGAGATAATTTTGTGATCTGACAACATGGTTTACAAATTATCTCATGGTGGAAACGCTCATTAAAAATTGTCTCATGAAAATTAACCCTTGTTAACTCACATTACCTCATGAGCTTGGAAACAAAATTTCTTCATTCCAAACTCATAAGCTAATATCTTATCAAAAGAAGCTGATACATCGCAGGGGAATGTGCTACCATTTGCACTGAGGTTCTTAGATAGCCTAACTAAAATAAGAGAACTAAGATAGCCTAACTAAAATCCCACAATTTACCTCCCTTTCGCATCCCAATTCTCCCTTTCGCATCGGTGGAATGGGCTCTGTTGTCCAAAACAAAACCACATTTGATAAGAGCAAGCCTTGACGAGGCAAATGAGCTGTTGCTGTCACATTTCCATCCTGTTTTAATACGGTTTCTAACTACTTGTTACAGTTTTATAATGCTTATTGTAATTTTGAATTTATCACTTTGGATGAAAACTCTGACTTTACTTGCCTTATTCAAGTGTCAGAGCCTACCACTCAAATATTAGAATTTATTTCTAATGATCCCATTGGCTTTTCTTTCTAATAAAATATTGTCATTCTGGTTAAATTTTTAGGATAAACAATGCTTGCCTTCTACATGAATATTTTGACAGACATCTGCAAACATTTTTTCTGTTTTTGTACAAAAAGAGCTAAACCTAGATGGAAATTAAGACCATCAACAGATGGATCAAAGCATCAATATTCTTGATGGATAACGATGAAATCCTTTTGAACATTTTAGGTTTTTTGAATGTCATTGCTCATTATTGCAAAGAAGTATCAATGTATAAAGGATAATTACTTCTTAAAGACTAACTCAAAGATGCCACACAGATTTTGGTTAAAAAAAATCCGCCAAATCATCATAACACTGAAAATATTGAGGAAACGAGTGGGCTTAATATGGAATTTATACTTTGTGTATAGCAAACAGTGAATATGCACACATACTGTAAATCCATGGAAAAGTTAAAAGTTCAAATTCAAATCATTTAGCTTAGTTCTATGAACCACAGACTGCATTTCCAGAAAAACACACTTTCATCTGCCTCTACTTTGGAACGAAGTCAAATTTGGGGAATTCTTCTAGGTTGCCAGAGCCAAATCTTCGCCTCAGCCCTTCAGTTTCCTTCGTCATTTTCTGCTCAAACTCTGGAGTTACATCAAGCAGTTTTCCTTCCCCTAGCTTCTTTGATTTGGTCTTGTAATCACGTATTTTCTCGAGAAACAATTTCTGAATTGGGTCCATGCCACCATTGCTTTGGGTCGCCTTCTGCAGGACACAGGCAGTCATACCGATATTGCGACGAATAACAGTTTGCAGGCCTTTGCCACACACATTTTTACTTACTGACAATCGTAGCATTTTTCCTTTGTCTTCTGTCGGCGGACAGTTGCTCTGCTTCTAAAAACCACTGTGCAGTAGGCCCAACGAGATACGAGAGGACGACCTGTTGATAAAAACCTCGATTCGATGCTGAACCCATAATTCTGTTCGATTTTGTGGGTTCTTATCAGTGGTTCTTATCGACACACTTGCTTTTCTGATTGCTTTGAAAAGATATATATTGGCGCTAATTATAGTAAATGAGTACTTTCCTTTGTCGGAAAGGAATAACACTTTTCTTAAGAACTGCACATTAATGATCGCCCCATATCGAGCTTACAAGAAAAGTGTAGGTGCTTTAACAAACTTTTGTTCCGAAAAAAGGAAAATGTAGCAAACAAAATGAAACGAAACGATTTAGCTTTGCTTGAAAAAACAATTTATACTACTTCTGCAAGTCTTATGACAGTTCCGTGAAATTTGACAACTAAGATTAAGGAAAAATTAAATACCCTTATATTCAAACGGCTTAAATCATTTGTTCGTCGTTTAATATGTTTTACTATTTTCAGGCATAATTTTGTAGGAACGTAATTGTTAACTTTATGAGGCCCCTAGACCTCGGGGCCTTAGGGCAATTTTCCCCTTGCCCCTCTTTCGGCGTGTCATGAGAATATATTTTTGCTCTAAATGAAGCCCCGTATTAGCCTTCACTGATTTTATTCGCCTTTTCAGTACTAGCCTCGTTATCATGTCCAATACGCACTTAATTTTAGGATGTGTGCTGCTGCACGTAGTTAGTTAAACACTGATCTCAAAAAAATCTTTAGTTTGAGATCAGTGTTAGTTAGAGGACTTTTGATTTTGATGATGAAGCGGAAAACGTAAACGAAGTTCTTTTCTCTTTGCCACACTTCTTCGGTAGAGATCCCGCCACAGGCGCACAGGCGGCCCTGCATGTCTCAGTATGACGTCATTGTCATCTGCGCTGTGTGTCGCGTGATAAGACTACGCAGCAATCTTAAGAGTCGAATTTTCTTTCGAAGTGCGCGTTTCAAGAAGCTGTTTCGAAAATTTGTGTTCGACTTTACAGAAAAATTTTTACCTGTTGGCTGCATATTTCAGCAAACGATCTAGAGGATAAAAGATCTTCTAAGATGCAGCGTACTAGTTCAAAGGGAAATTTAGCAGAAGAACTGCTGCTCAAGTTGTAAGCATCTCTGCCTCTCATATACATTTTATCAGCTTGAATATTCAAAAGTATTGTATTAGCCAATGGTGAAAAATTGTGCGAATTCCAATAGAATATGAGCCTCCTAGAGCAAATGGAGCTATTTATCGTAACAGTCCGAACAAATCAACAAAGTGTGTTGCAGTAAGGCAATCAACAATCAATACAACATTTCGTATTTTATCACTTTATTAGTAAAAATATGTGGTATACATTACACGCTCATTTCAAACACACACTCTCCATTAAACCATAAGCAATTAGTTTTTAGTTATCCGTCCCTTTAGAAAATATAATTACAAAAGATATGTGTAAACGTTCCAAGTCAATTAACCAAGCGGCAAATACAAAAGATATTACCAACAATAAAAGTGTTAACGATTAAACCTATGTAGATCTATTACGAGACAAAAGAAATTGTAAGAATACTGAAAACACGACCTTGGTTAATAACACGCTGGTTAATTACTCAAGTAAACCGTGGAAAAGGCGTTTGCGCGGCAAACTCCCTGCTCTCCGCGACACTATTTGAAATAGAAGCGGAGAAATGTCGTGTGTGAGAAAGAAATAAATGTTAACAACAGTCTGCTATTTTTATTTACCACAAAAGTAATCGATTTTCGATATTAAATTGACCGAAAGCTAAATGATTTTTACAACTTGGTTTTTTGGCCGACACGACTTCTAGACAAATTGCTACAGCAGTATATATCGTATTATGAATCCTCAGAACTCTAAAAACGGAAATCTGTGGTTTTCATCAACATGAAACCTTGCATATTAATATTGTAAACAAGCCTCAGCAATAAGGTATGGCAAGTTCAATCGATATGAACGGATTATATGTAATCCTGAACAAAAAGCGTTGTCGATCAAATCATTGTGGATTGCAACTTGACAAGATTTGTTAAAATAATGCGTCGAAGATCAGCGCATACGGCTGAGTGAAAATTACTGTTTACTGGTCTATCATGAAGTGCTTGATGCCGTATAGGCAGAACTGTGCACGCTTTTGGTGTAGAGAACAGATCGTTCTTAGTTGCTAATCTGAATTTCACTCTTAACGCGATCACCAGGCAACTGTTATTGGCTTTGATGTATCTCATCAAAATAAACTTACCTAGAACATTCTAGGCTGTATTTCTCATTAATGAAAATACTAGGAAGAAGTATTTGTCATTTTGCAATAAATGCTAGATAAAGTTTGCGGTGATTATGAATAACATTTCAATTTTGGAGGCGGAAAGCATACCTTGATGGTAGGTGACGCAAGAATTGTTATGACAGTCATGTGAGCAATCCAACGTGACGGTATTCATTAACGACGAGTCGCCTTTTGTATGCTACAGAATTAATGATATGCATTCGAGGGAGTGCAGAATCTTCTGAATCGAAGACAAAGCCGTCGAAGAAATCAAAGCTGCTTTGATGTTTTCTGTTTTATCATTTAAACTACCAGTTATTGAAATATCTGATAAATATTAATCAAGATATCTGATACAGCATAGATTTATCCAAAGAAGGAATGTTGCATTATTGAACAAAGGAAAGCTCATTTATTTCATGACTATGAGACAACTTATCATAGCTAAGAATTAAGAGTATGCTAAAAGTAAGGACATGCATATTTTGTACCTACGGTTTTATGCCTTCCAAAGCAATAGAGGAATGACCCAAATGATCCACCGTATCTTCGGAAAAAGTGACAATTTTTTATAACAGTGCTATCCAGCCCTCGCTACTGTTCTGCTAATTCCCAATCAAAGTAACTTGAAGTTTAAGCAATAATTGACGAAAACTTGAATTTTAAGCAGTTATTGATTACCTCTCATTATTAACTTTGGTTTATCTATCTACTACTGGAAAAAGTCAAGCCCCTTTATATAAGGGCCACCAATAATCCACATATAACAGTCCACAATAATTCAATGTAAAATTCTGAAACTGTGCAAAAGGCATTAAGACAACCTAAACATGATTCATAAACAGACATTCTTATTGTTTTTATTGATAGATAAACTTTATAGAAAGAATTCCGTAAAGCTATTGGTCTAGGTTTGAAAGAATGGTGCCAAAAGCTTAGTAAATTCATCTTTTCGTTGCCGTAATCAAAAAATTCTTATTAATAAAGCTCTTTTTTAGTCTTTTACAAATATTTAAAGCTACCAGCCCATAGGTTGTAATTTTTCCTTGCTGTCTTAATTGATATGTTGTTTGTCTATTTAAAGTTGAAGGAAGTTAGGGCCTTAAAATTTAAAAATTCAACTAAATTTGCTGCATCATGGGTTAATATTAGAATTATTTTCGACAGTTTTGAACAAAACCTTGTAGCATAAAATTTGATAGCATAGATAACAATGTTGGATTGAAGGAAGGGGGGTTGCCTTTGATCAGAATTGTAGCAGCTGGTAGCTACATGGGTTATAAATTTGTGATATTATTTTGGATCTTCTTCTATTCCATTTAGGGAAAAACATGACTATGATGCAAAAGAGCCTTGGAGGTGCTTGGCAGCCTGGTTCTTAGGCCCAAAAGCCGAGAATCGAGTGGAATTTAACAAGTTTGCTTTATCTATCTTGAATGACTATGAAGATTTTCGTGCTACGTACCAGCCTACAGATCCACTATATATCACAGAGGATGTTCGGCATTCGCCATCTTATGAAAAAGAAATTGAAAAGCTAGGGAAGGAGTTGAAAAAATTGATTGAAGAGCTCAAGAAATCGGTGCCATTCTTCAGCTACAGATATAAAGTATGAATTATTATTAAATTTCGTTTATTTTGTCATCTACACTGATTTAAAAAACCAAGCAACCTGAAATTTAGTGCCTACGATAGTTTATATTACCTGCTTTTTTATTTTTATATAGGAGAGCATTGTCAAACAAAAGCTTACTGAAATTTAAATAATCTATCCAAAATTTGGTTTAATATAGCCTATATAAAAGCAGATCATCGTGGTTTCTAATCAAACCTACACGCACATTTGGTGAGTTTCTTGTTGTAATTATAAGACGTTCTTCAGCTTGTTTTATTGTTTGTTCATTTATAAGAAACCAAGCAGGCTGTCCTCGCAAAGTAAATCACAGCTGAAAAATCTTGTTTAAGTTGACTTTAACCAAGCTATGTTTTTATCTGCTGTTGGTACTGCAGGGCCACATGGTATGGGACATTTCTTTGCCCTCACTTCTTGGGTATTTATCTGGAATGCTGTGGAATCAAAACAATGTAGATTCGTCTACATCACCAGTAACAACATTAATCGAAGCTAGAGTTGGGAGACAGCTTTGTGAGATGTTTGGATTTCGTCAAGGTATCAAACTTATGAGATTCTTCTTTTTAGAACTATCATTATTCATATAAAACCTGGAAAAGCATCCATTTGTACACAGGAGACTAAAAATTTTTTACATAGAATGCATAACGATTACCGTGCCAGAATCTTACCGCGCAAAGTAAGATTCTGGCGCGGTAATCGTTATGCACTCGCTACGTAGTTTGTATCAGGTCTGGAGAAAAGGGGTTGGATAGAGGAAGAGATCTTTTCGTGCTTCACGTTTCTATTTCAAACATTGCTTTATATGGGAGAGAGAGACAACGAGAATTTTAAAGTATTCTGAATGACATCAATGGATTTGTACATTGCTTAGAGGCGAATTAAATCGATTATTGCATTTCTCACTCTTGCTATATTAAAAAGATAAGCTATGTTTGTTCTCAGAGAGCTCAGTGTAGCAACCTTGAAATCTTCTCAATGAAAATTTGATTTTAATGTGGAGTCACTGACTGATGGCAAACGTTGGGTAATGTTTGAGGTCTGACAGTTTCGGTCTGAGGAATTTCTTAACAAAACGAATATAATTGATTAAACATGTAAATCGATTTTGAAAGCATCATGAAGCAGAAGAGCCAACGTTTTGCCTCTTGGTAAGAAGAAATGCAATTTCTATACATTGTGTCTAGACATTGGTGCAGCTCTTACATCACATCTGCGCTTATCAGAAATACCGGCAATATCACAGAATTATGCTAAATTATTCAAGGATTTCTATGACTTCCTTTTGCAAAATTCTGTTTACAGTTTATACAAAAAGCCTATTTGCAAAATTTCATGACACATGAAAATGGACCACGTTGGCCAATGTCGTTTGCGTAAAAGCAGATGCTGAGTAAATTGCAATATGCTTGCTTTTAGATGACGAAATGAAGCCCTGGGGGCACATCACGAGTTGTGGATCTGTTTCCAATATTGAAGCATTGTGGGCTGCGAGAAACTTAAAGTTCCATCCTATTGCTTTGCGAAATGCAGTTGCAAATGATGCCAGGCTTGCCATTGCCAGAGAGACAACGCTTGTTTATCTGCCGCGGCTAGATAAGTATGCAAAGCTTGTTGATGCTGACAATTGGAGTCTTTTGAACATGGAGATAGACGATGTCTGCCATATAACGACAACTGTTGCTGAGCAATCTGGACTATCAATGAAAGCAGTAACTGCCATACTTGATGACTACAGTCAAGTTTCTCTCGGTCTGTTTGACTTCTTGAAGTTAAATGGAATCAACAGCCCCGTTATAATTTCACCAGCCACTAACCATTACTCGTGGCCTAAAGCAGTCACTCTGCTAGGCTTAGGACGTGCAAACCTTATCCAGGTGCCTGTTGACAATAATGGGAGGCAGAATCTCGAAGGTAGCTTTCTGTTGCGTCTCTTTTGCACTAAAAACTTTTTCAGTAATTTTTTTGTTGGTCAACCTAGGGAAATCAATGTTGCATGTTCAAAAATTTAAACAAAGGGTAATTTAGGTATTTCAGCCCTCTAACTATAGCCAAATTTATCATGAAAACCTATCTATAGCAGGATTTCGATTGTAAAAAATCAAATTTTTGAAATTTCTACTAATGCGATGATAGAAGATCCAAGAAAGTTTAGCTTTTTGAACTGAATAATGGTATGTAATTTTAAAAAAGGGTTGAGATGATAAGCGAGAAAGACTTTGTTTTTTGGTTGACCTCCGAAATATTGTCTTGCAAGTGTTTCTAATCATGTTGCATCCGGTTTGTTCTTGATGCATTCAGTGCTAAATGCTATTTGATTGTTCAGAGCTCCAAAGATTACTTGAGAGTTGCCTCAAGAACAAGATTCCTGTTTTATGTGTGGTAGCTATTATTGGGACAACAGAAGAAAGCGCCGTGGACCCAGTTGTTGATATTCTGGAAATCAGGGACAGATTTAAAATAAAGGTGAGATGTATCCACAATCTTGCATTTTGCGGTTTGGCGAGGACCACTCACTTCCTCCTTCCTCTATTGCTTGTGAGGCCATCTTCAAGGTACAATCATAACTTGAAACAATAATCTAAGACATCGCTTTTATGGTTGTACCAGGTAATGTCAGGTTTTATTAGGTTATCCCAGATTATGTCAGATTATAGCAGGTAAGGTCAGGTAAATTGGAAGCTCAGCCTTGTCCGCAAGTGTGACGCAGTGTGAGCCCTTTAAGAGAAATATTCTGAGAAGAAATTATTCAGTTACTTGAATATTTGTAGCACTCTCTGGGCAACTGGTCTAGAATGGGATTAATTATATGAATTTCCAACGTTCATCTTTTTAATATTCACAACTTCTTCAAATATTTCTTTTAAAGCAACCCAGTCTTTCTGTAGCTTTTCTTGATACAAGTCTTTGACTTTAAGTCTTTTAGTCTTTGACTATATGGGCAAGATTTTTGATCGAGAAGAATGCATTCTATGCAGTTCTCTATAATAAAAGTGTGTTGACTAAACTTCAGGGCCTTAATTTCTGGATTCACGCTGATGCTGCCTGGGGTGGATATCTAATGACAATGCTACGGGAGCCCATAGATTCAGGTACCAAAGAATCTGAGAGAAGCAAAATTGTCAAAGAAAACTGGAACATAATCAGCACAATACCACGAAGAACCCATTCTATACCTGTAAGCCGATTGGATACTTCAATATAATAATGTAATATATACTTTTTTCGTGATCCTTCTGCAATTTATAGCATTTCTGTTTATTTGCCTAGGTAGCTTAAAATCCTACTAAATGTTTTTTAATTTTGCACTGTTTTGTGTGTTACTTAGCTCTTAGGGAAGAAAGCTGAGGGATTTCACACGAAAGTTCCCCAAAGGTCTTATACTTTTCATCTCATTTAAGCGTATTTCTGTTATTCAGGCCTATGGTGGAGGTTTACTTTACAAACTATACGAAACATATGCAATTTTATCCTATCCTTACACATTATCTAGAATAGTTTTTTGTGAGTATTTTTACGGTTTGGCGAGGGGCTTCAGCGTACAAGCGACAAAAAAAGACGTACGTGCCATCTTTTAACCCAATTGGCTGTTAACGAAGTTAGAGGTTGGGTTCTCAACCAAAGGGACTGTAGATCCCCAAGCCAGCCACCTCGAAGGCTTACAAAAAAAGCGTTTTCCTGTAAACATCCTTGTGTTCAGCTCAATACATGTCAGTACAGTAGATAATCAAAAAGCCATAGTTAGCAATAATAGCTCGGCTAAGCAGAATGATGTATGACTTGAACTGCCATTTTCCTTCTTTATAGTCAAATCTGGACCGTGGTCAATATATCATGCGATCTCTGGTAGAAAATGAAAACATTTCTCACAAAAGGAATCTGTCGACAAGGTACCGCCATGAAGTTGCTCCAAGCGACTTTGTACCAGATATTTCATTGTCTCCCTACGTTATTGAACAATACCAAGCGCTAAGAATGGTGGATACAATCACAGTAGACCCACATAAGGCAGGATTTTGTGTCTATCCTTCTGGTGCACTGTGTTACAGAAACGGATCAATGCGCAGTTACATCGCTTTAGCAGCACCAGAAGTGTACCACGGAGAAGATGATCCGTCGGTTGGAGTATACGGTTTGGAAGGTTCAAAGCCAGGAGCTGCTGCAACAAGTGTTCTTCTTTCCCATAATGTAGGTACAAAAAGTGACTTTCTTTTCTATCGTTTACTCCAAGAAAATCAATTCTTTCCTGTTCATCTGGTAGAATCTCTAATTACAATCAATAAAAGAGTCTCAAGGGCCTAAGGCCAAGGCATGCATACGAACACGAGCACAGCAATAATAGAACATGAACTACTCGGTGTATGCCGATTCTGTAGCAAACGGTCCTAATGAAATTCTAAATCACTATTGACTTGCAATTCTTAACAAATAGTATAATACCTATTATGTATTACAAGCATTGCACCAGTTATATTTCACTTATAGTACACAACCATGGTTAACGGAGCAAGGAATTTCTGTTCAAAAGCAAATTTATCATTTAAATCTACCATTTACTGGTTTTAAGATTAGAACAGGGTGCACCCCAAGCTTATTTCGTCCGTTTTCTAGGTTATTGGCCTAAACAAACTGGGATATGGGCGTATCTTGGGTCAGTGCACATTTGCAACCAAACTGTTCTATTGTATGTGGATGACAATAGCACAGGACGATGATCCATTTGTTTGTGTTAACTTTATCGACTCCCATCAAGGTAGCATGGAAGATATGAAGAAATTTATCAGAACAAAAATCCATGGGAAAACAAACAAGGAGATATTCCAAGTGAGTAAAATTCTTTTTACCTTTTGTCATTATCTTTAAGAAACAGATCGTCATAATGTGATGTTGAGAATTCGGCGTATGGAATATTGATAGGCTTAAATTAGCGTCTTTATATTGGTTTGGCGCTCATAACATACCTAATCTATCATGTGGAATAGCTTGGCTTCAGTAAGCTACCAACCTTTGAATGTCCAATTCCTTTGAATGAACTAATATGACCCGATCTGGCAATTTAGGAAGGCTACAATAACATTTGAACGCAATGCAAATATTAAAGGCTGAAGACGGAGCTTTTGAAATTTCAAGCTAAAAACAGGATGTATATCTGTTTTGATTATAAATTTACATAAATTATGCTTACGTTTTTACCAGGACAAAGAGGCCATGACGTTTCTGGCTGAAGTAGGACCGGATGCTCTAATCAATACATTTGTTGTGAACATAAAAAATGAAGACGGTTCACTCAACACTGATATCAACATTGCAAATGATTTGCAGTCAGAAATTTTCAAAGAGCTTTCAGGAAGGGTTGGCCTACCAACAAAACGAATACCGATGTATCTAACAACATCTGAATTCAATACAAAAAAATATGGGGTATCTTTGGATGCATTCAAAGAGAGACTTGGTGTAAGTATCTGTTTAACTCCCTTAAACTACAAATACGTCCTTTTAAGTTATTTTCGATCCACACCTGAATAACAATTTTCTGCTTGCCTTTTGTCACTATCCGACCTTTAAACTCCGAAAAGTGTTGGATGAAAAGTACTTCAGTGTGATATGCCTCCGCTATTCCGTGCCAGCTTCATATTTTGCGGCACCAAAAATTTAGTTTTGCAGCTTTCTAGACCAAAAGCAAATGGGTTTAAACTCTTTGGGGTGTGTTTTCCTTTTTTCATGGCTTTTAACCATATGATAAAAACATGAAATCTGTATAACTTTTGAAAAGCTTGTGAGCATAGAATTCCATCTTTAATGGTGAGATGATTCAATTTTCCAATATGAATACATATTCTCAGACTTACAGTTTTGTTTTTGGGCTACCTATTGTTGTAAAGTGCTTGAACCTTCGAAAATTTTCGTGGAGAGCTAGAAAATGGTATTGGCAACTGATTTTGCTAGATTATACATTGAAGATCTCATTGTAAGAGTAATGCAACTTATTATTGTAAGGCAACCTTGCTTGTTTTTTTAGCTTGAAGACATCACGAAATGCAATTTGAAGTTTCTCAGAAACACAGTCATGAATCCTTTTCAGTCAACCAATGGGTTTGTTGAAAAGATTGGAGCAGCCTTCCATAACACTGTGTTGAACTGTATAGGAAAGGTACGTATACGTCCCTGCTTAGTGACTATAACTAGGAGTGTATTAGCAGCATTGTTATGAAGAGTCGAAATGTTTTAGCAATAAATGAAGTTTGGTTTCATTCCAAAGACTTGAATATTTGGTACAGGATGTTTAACAGGAGTGCATTGTAAAATGACATTTTCTTTGTTGCACAAATTCGGTTCTCATATTTTAAATTTTTTCCATTTCTCTAAAAATATAAGACAACGAGGAATTTGTGGTTATTAGGAGAACAGAGTCAAGTAGAAGAATTCAAAAGCAGTACAGAAAAGTGTCTTTATGTTTGCAATATTCTTTTTTGAATTGTTGCTTCTTTTAATAATGACTGTCTTCTTGGAAAAACGGAAACATTATTATTTTACTTTCAACCAATTGCAGATTAAAGACAAGCCTTACAACCATGAGTTCGTTAGCAGTCACATGAGTAAGAGTGGCACTCTCTATTGTTCAAACTTGCCATCTTTTACTCACAGCGCAAGGCGATACCATATTGTGATACGATTGCAAATGGTTGACAGGCTCGTGATGTCTAAATTAAGGCAGATGCAAAAAGTAGGGAAAGTACGCAGCATAATTCTCAAGACTTCAAATGCAATGCAAATGCATGACATTGTCCGTTCTCAACAAGACATTGAGTTTGATATGTTCATTTGCCAACAACAGCCGCAACATGATAATCAAACGATGAAGCTGCTTTCAAAGAATGTGAAGCTAGTGGTTGATGACGTCTTTAGATACGAGCATCTTCGGCCGCATGCCCTTGATATAGATTACCCTGTGTGGCAAAAGTACTTCCTTTTTGGGAATCTTGATGAAGTTTACATCACACACTGCATGACGAAGAAAGAAGACTTTTTCCAGGTAATGTAAAATGTCAGAGTTTACTTCTTTTTAAAAATGACGAAAGCTCTTAAAAGTTTGGTTTTTATAAGATATTCTAAAAGTCTAAAGCAAATCTGTACATTTAACGTAAGGCTGCCTCCTCTAGTTTCTCTGTTCAGCCAGGTAGCGCCTTGTTTGCTGCAATTTGTTGCTTTAATATCGTGTTAATATGAAATGCCACATCCCATGTTGGGCGCTAAATATAGAATGATAAGAAAATTACAGACTTTATTTAATTAGAATACCAGGAAGAGCTCCTGTCCACTTTACCCTACCGCCGCTACAAAATGATTAACCAGCTAGCCGAATAACTTAGCCAAAACGCATAAAATAACTTTGATGGGGAAGATGCTCGATATACTTGCCCATGCCTGTTTTCCCAAAGGCTATTTAAGGTTACATATTGTAGATATAGAACGGTTCTAAGCTGCTACTCTTGAGTCTAGCGCTGGATGCGATTTTTTTGCAGTTGGTTCGTTTGGATCATATACCACACAGTCTGTCTGCAGAAGTGGTTGACACAGGAGTCGAGATAACCATTCTAGGTGTTCATGGGTCACCATTGATGTATGACGGCGTTATTCAAGATCCTTTGCAGGCTGAGAGATATCAGGTGATCTTAAGAAGCTTCGACGATATAGAGATTAGGACTGAAATAGGACTTCATACAGAGAATGCCAAAATATGGTTTCAAGAACTCGAATAATTTCGCTGATATTAGCTTTTATATTTATGTACAAAGTAGCAACATGGCTATTACATTAACGATAGACATAGACGTACAAACTTAGCATATATTTTTAGCTGCAAATCATTTGCCGTAGCGAGTTTTTCGTAGCAGTAAAGCAGACGCCTTTCTACTATCTGAAGAAATGCCAGCTGTAATGTAAAGATAGTTTAGTCCAAGACATAACAAATGCTGATGTTAAGGTCTAATAGTTTATTTACTATGATTGGGATCTGTTTGAATTAATATACTGCGGCTGATGTATAAGCAAACAATATATTTATTAATCTTCTATCATTTAATGATAACCTTTAACATAAAAGTTTTCTCACACAGTAATAAATTATTTTTTTGTGTATAAATTAGATAAAAACTTTAGAATTTAGACAGTTTAAGATATTTCTACAGAAAATCTTGGAGTTTTCTTTCATATTCTACTGCAACTTCCTGAATAGATCCCATCAAATGTTTGGCACGGGAGGCATACATTATCTCAATTGATCTTAACTGGATTTTATTTGAATGCATCTTACAGGTTTTAAAAAGAGGCGGCCATTTGAAGCTGTAGATGCCCCGTATTTCTACCAAATTCTTGTTGTCCCAAAAAAACTCTTTTCCTTCTAGCTTTAAGGCCAATTAAACCCTACATCATGCTACAATTTTTCTACGGTATTTATAATCTTCAATAAGGTGTAAAATTTTAGTTTCATGATGAATTTGATGGACTAAAGCTGTATTTCGGGACTGTTTTGCCTACCTTTCTGACATTACTCCACGTGGTATACTCTGAGCACTGTTTTCAACCATGTCTTCGCTAATCCCTACTATTCTTAAACTATTACTGTACCAGAAGGTTAGTTGTCCGATCTGTGTTTCAATTTCTCGAAAGTGCGTTATTATCACACAGATCAGAATATGTTACAAAACAAGTTGCACATTTTCACTGGCAAGTCGCTTAATGAATTTAGCATAACATTTTACTCAACAATTTGATATGCAGCAAATCCCAAATTTATGCACTTGCATATGGAAAAAGGTTGGGTATCTGTTCAATTGAATGGGAAAATCTCGTTAAAAATCAAAATTTGTTTCCCAAGGCATTTTTAATTTGATAAAAGTATCACTGAACAGTGCCTAGCTATTCGATCTGTAGAGTAGATATTCAATCAAACTTCTTGATTGAATAACATTCAGTTTGTGTATCCACGGCCTAAGGCTAGAATCCTTGACTCACAGTAAGCTTGAAACTAAAAAAACTTGCAATATTTCAATGATTTTTTTCAACATAGGCCATTGTTTCTGAAGTTATTTCTCTATGAATTTGCAACATAGTTAGTGCTACTTTACTTCCGTGGAAATAATAGTACTGTTTCAAACAGAAACTTATTTATTCAAACTTCAGTGGTATATTAAACTAGATATCCTCTTATAACAAATTTCGTAATAAAAATGCTTAAAAGAATAGTATAAAATTGAGGTTACCCCTTAATGAAACGTATCCACCTTAATAGGAGTCTGTTTGCTGTTTGCGTACGAACCCTACTGGATAGAGAATCTACTGACGCGGTATGGATTCCAGCTCGTATTGTCCATGCTGGGACCTTGTCAGGTTGCTTTGGACTTAGCTGTATTGGTTGGACATTTGGCTTTACCTTAAGTTTTAGCTCACAAATATGCTCGATAATTTGTCCTAGAAAGCCTTGTTATACGGATACTTAGGCTTACAACACTACAAGTGACAAAGTGCGTGGAATATTTTTAGTGTAAAATCTTTATCTCTTTGGCAATCTGTTCGAACTGTTTCCAGGACGACAGCTTGGGCTTTTTGACATTATGCAACAAGCAACACAGCATTGCAATCTTTTTTTGTTCCATCCATATTTTGCTCTTCGCGGACCGTTAAGTCCCCATATGGGTGGATCCTCTTTGAAGGCTTCCAGACTGTGTTGTTCCAGAAGAACAGTATTCGGTCTTTTTCAGACCGGTGCGTACAACAGGTTCTCTAATGAAACTGAAGAGAATATAAGACCTTCCTTTCCTTCTACTTCATCTTCTAATGCTTCTAACAGTCACCTTTGCGCCCACACGTCCACATCTTTATAACCTTTCGCTTCACAGCAGGATTAAATGTACATGATATGATAGGATTGAAAAATGAACTCGCCATTATAAAAACCCATTTCCAGCAAGGCATGAACCCTCGGATATTGCTGCTATTCCCAATGATAACAAAGATACCATAAGCAAAAAAGGGTGAGAAACACACGAAGTGAGAAAGGATTATAAACCCACCAACCAATAGAAGATTTTTATCCTTTTCAGTTAGCCTGTGTTGACCAAAGCGCTGTAAATTCGCCTCAATCTCTCGACGGATGCTTCGAGCACGAAGCAGTATCTTGACATAGCTAAAAACAATAACGATTGAGGCAAACACGCAGAGGACTAAATTGGTCAAAAAGAAAACTTTGCTTGTTGTAAAGTAGTAGAATGTAATGTAAACAGCTATGGAGACGAACCAAACGCCAGTCACAAGAATAGTCAGAAAAAATGATGTTACACGAGCGTTGTGTATATATGGGTAGAAAATGCACGTGTACCTTTCCACTGCTATAATTGTTATTGTTATGAACGATACTGATCCTAGAATCATTTTCAGGCTAGTTGTGACATTGGCAAAGGAGCAAGGGCTTTTCAAAGTAGCAACATATACTGCTTCAGCGAAGTTGCTTGGCAGGGAGAATATCCCTGTAAAAAGGTCAGTAAATGCCAAGTTAAGTAAAAGTATTTGACAAGGCTCCGTCCGCTCATTTGACTTGAGAACAGCAAAAATATAAGTAAGGTTCAATATTGTAGTAGGAATTGACAGCACGATGCTGGAAACTCCGCAGGCGTAGCTGCTTGCGATGTAAGACGATATGTTTCTTGGAACTAAAACGAAATCCCAACAAGAGAGCACCATGTTTGAATCGTTCACTTGAAAACAATATCTTTATACTTGAATTTGGTCACGAAAGCGACTTTAAGCTATAACTGTGTGGATATCAACCGTAGAATCAACCTTTTTTTAATAAAATGCCCGATAGAAAGCATGCAGCTGTATTGTTCTTTTAGTCCTGCTTTTAATAAATGCATCTTTAAATGGAGGTATTTTGGACGCAGTTTATCTCCAACCACAAGCAAAAAACTCAATTTGTTTTATTTTCTTATTTTAAAAACTGGACTAACTGAGAACAATTTACATTTGTTATTAAGGATAAGTGTTTGTATACTGCAGGTGAACATCAGTGTTAAATTACTTCTTCAAAGTGATTAGCTGATAATTATGATAAAGGGCCTTCCTAATAGCCTGTGCTCCAGACCCCTACCTTGAAAGTTAGGGGTCTGGGACGCAGGCTACTTCCTAAAGGCTTGGCACATTACACTAAATTTTTAGGAAGTTTATTTTGCATTCTCCTTTCCCGTCCGAACCATGTTGTTTTGTGCAATCAAAGAAGGATTTTAGTGGCGAGGATGAAGAAAGGGGGAGTTGTTAGATAATGATTGGATTTTGATGCCACACCCTTAAGGCGATTGGAAAATGGTAGAAGCGCCCATTTTTAAAACTAAGTTTTTAACTTTAAGTTAAAAAAGATAAAATTATAAATTCAAGTGAATTTTTTTGCAAAATTGTGTTAACACTGACTACAAAATTTGCTTTTTACCAAATCGCAGCAGAATTGGAAGGGGATGTCGCGTCCTCCATACCCCCAGGAAATCTGTCCCAGCGTGCATTATAAGTGGCCCGGTGCGACCAAATGAAATTATTTGATATCTTACTCCACAGTTTACATAATTTTGAGGAGAATGTGGAGCAGTGTTGGTCTTTTTCCAAGGATTGCGAACTTTGCCTTAATAAGGCAAGAATAATTCTCAGGGCAATGACGCATAATGGTACGACTACAGGGGGAGGCTGGTAGGGGATATCGCTACCCATTTTTGTCCAACTGCTTCAAAATTATTTCTCCACAAGGGCTGGCTGATATTTTGAATAACTACCCCAAGTTAATCAAGGTTTGCTTGCCGGAAAAGCCAAGCATTCTTTTGGAAGACTTCTACTAACTTAAGGTAAAAGACATGCCCCACAATACTTCCTAGAGCTTTTAATTCTATTTACACTTACCGCACTAGAAACACTGCAAATGTATAAACTTTGAAGCTTAAAAGCTGTCCAAAAGCAGGTTGCTTTTTCGCCTTCTCGTCTATATTTTCGGACTATTCCAAAGTCTTGGTCTGACCCAAACCTGGGTAGAACAAAATTCATGTTGAAAAGAGATTGTTCTGGATATGAGGCTTTCGCATGCTCTGTACAGGCAGAACACTTTTAAAAAACACGTCGATTGCTTTTCTTCAATGTTTGTTCGGTGCTACTGAAAAGAGGCATTCTTATTTTCTTATTTTTAGCTGTACGCCTTTATTCTAATCTACCTTCCTGTGTAGGGGGCAAAAGGTGCCAAAGAAGCAGGAAACCAGTGCTCCAACTTTCAGTGAGACAAACTGAGATTACCGAAATTTAATGCATGGCTCCTGTATATGATCCTTCTGATTTCTTTTTCTTAATAGTTTTTCATCTAGGATTATGTAACCATTAAACTGATTACCAAAATTACCGCAATTCCTTGATTAAGCACACGGACGCATAATTAGTTTCCTGACTTTTTGTCTTGGTGCTTTTTCGACGGGGCATTTACTCGATGGGGCTTGGGGCCCTTAATCGTAGGGCGCTTCTCTATTTGCATTCAACAGTTGCACGAAATCGCTTACTTTTTCGACATTACATCACTGAACTTTAAACTTGAACTGAGGGTAGTCGAGACAATTTATGTACACGTGACCTGAATTACAGTTCTGATCTCCGGCCTACTTTGTTGTTTATTGGTGATGGCGTTGGAAGAGCTCCTCGCGACATTCTATGGGCTTCACCCCCTCATCAAAGCAGGAATTGTTGATGTTGGCATCCAGTGGGGACTATGGTGTGTAGCTGCATACCTAAAAACTGAGGTATTCTACGATCTTGCAGGATCTTCAACTTTTTTGCTCCTTGCATGGCAATCTCTAGGATGGGGTAAGATGTATCACACAAGACAGGTTGTTCAGACCTTGTTTGTATCTGCATGGTCACTAAGATTGGGATCATATTTGTTTGTTAGGATAATCAATGATAAGGGCGTCGATAAAAGGTTCAATCGGGCTCGAGACAGTCCTTATTTATTTTTCATCTACTGGACTGTGCAGGCTGCATGGATCTGGGTAACCCTTGCTCCGACAATGATTCTCAACACTAAAAGACAAAACCCAGACCTGAGCGCTCGTGATTACATAGGCTGGAGTCTGTGGCTCGTTGGATTCATACTTGAGACAGTTGCTGATACACAAAAATCTTCATTCAAGTCAAACCCAAACAATCATGGCAAGTGGATTCAGACAGGGCTATGGAAAGTGTCGAGGCATCCTAATTACTTGGGCGAAATGATGTTGTGGATAGGCTTGTTTGTATCAGCTTCATCTGTTTTGAAAGGCCTGGAGTGGATAAGCATTCTCTCTCCAGGATTTGTTGTCTTCTTACTTACAAGAGTCAGTGGTATTCCATTGTTGGAAAGACAGGCTGAAAAACGTTGGGGTCAACTAGCAGCATACCAAGATTATAAGAGAAACACTGCTTGTCTGATACCTTTTATATGGTGATGTGATTTGTAACAAAACATAAACTTTTTTGCTACCTGTCATAAGATTTAGCCAATATGCAAGTGTTATATGCCAAGATATGGTTTCAAGTAGTATAAACAAACAGTATTCTTGCAAGTGCTCCCTTCATGGCAACAAGCTCTTTAAAAGGTTGTTAATTTTAAAACCCAGTTATACATCAATCACTAGAATCATAATGATTTGTTTATTTATCAAAAGGTGATTCGTAGGAAGTATGATAGTGTAACATCATTTTACATATATCAAAATAAAAAATATAAATTTATTCTTTGCAAATACTTGACAGCAAAACATGTTTTTCTTATTGAAATGCAATTAAATATGTCTATCTAAGAGTTTGCAAGGAAATTGAACTGTTAACTACCAGAAGTGTACCAAAATGTGACACCAGCAAAACTCTTTTTCAAATTTTTACATTTGACTACAAAACCTGAATGAAATGCCTTTAAACTGCACTTAGATTTTTTCTCTCAAAAGCTTAGAAATGGATTTGTTGTGATGTTATCACTTTTAAACTTTGGTGCTGATTTCAAATTGATTTTTAGAGAATGCTGTTTTCACCACTCTGAGAGTTGCTTATAAAAATAACAATTTCAAAATGTAACATCCAAAGTAAACATTCCTTAATTAGCTTAAAGTAACAACAGCTTTGAATTGTTACCTATCTTCTGACGTCATATCATTAATATGTAAGGAGGTATTTTTTTGTGTTATTTTGCTGGCTGAAACTCATGAAAAACCATCAATGTACAAAACAAAAGATGTGTCAGGCATAGGGATAGCCAGAAAATATATATGCTCAGAGTGGAAAAGGGATGTTGTTTTACAAAAAATTGCACGAGAGGGGGAGGTTCAGCACAAAGTAGTTATAAATTATGATTTTATTACAGCCAGTTCACTTTAAATTGACAAGCAAGGATTTAAAACTTTTTTGAAGGTCATCAGCATATGGAAAAAACCTGCCAGCCTTTATTCAATTTCTGATGTCTGTCCAATGTGTGTTCCCATTGAGGTGTCAGTCTCTAACATCCATCCCTGGAGCCACAGGTCTCAAAGCAAAATACTGGTAGTGTACTTGGTAAAAACTGAATTTATTTCGTGTACAGGCATGTAAGTACAATACTATCCAGAAAACATTGACTGACTATGGTTTATTTTATATCACAGATATTATGGAGATGTTCATTGCTAAAGACAAATTTCAAATCCGGTATCTTTGCAAGAACAATAAATGCATAGCAAACATATAGTATACAGCAAATAAATTAGTATTTGAATACAGGACATCATGAAATGCCTCAATAAATTTATTATAGCTTGCTTGATAAAATAGATATATCTTAAACAAATAGTAATATAAACATATGAACAAATTAATGATTAAAACAATAACAATGAAGTAAAATATATGATACAGCATAGCTGATATGATTCAGTTCAATCTTTTACTAAATACCAATAGAAAGATTAATAACACAAATGCCTAGATTGTGAATGGCCTTTAATAGTGGTCAGAGTATCAAACCAAATAAAACATTATCCACCAGGCTTTGAAATACGTTAATTATGGCGAATACTAAGCAATTTTATTTCAAAAATGTCAATGTGCCAATAATGTGAAGCAAAGATCAACTCCAGCAAATATAGAAAATAGTAGCAAACTAACAAACTGGGCAGTTCACTTTGGCACATGATGATTCAGATGGGCAATATTCTTTTCAGTATGGATTCTAAAAAAAGAATATTTTTGACTAAAGACTGGTGTGGAATTCTGAAAGACATGCAAACAAACCAAAGAAAATTTGCAAGCAGTCCAAAGCAAATTAAATTTCCAAGATAGTAGGAGCAAGCAAATGACATCTATGTGTAATATGTGCATAAAAATTGACAAGATCACTTCCTTGATTACCTAAACAGCTTTCACTTCTAAACCAACAAGATAGTTTAGACCAATTAGTCTGTAATCAAACTTGCCCTGAATCTTTGGAATTATGGCCTTTGACAACCATTAATTGACCAAGGTGCTTGAGATAAAGGCACCATTAGCAAGGTAAATTAAACAGCATTTGATGAATTGAGACATCATCAACAAGCATTTATTCTAAATTTTAAACCTGCTGTTTATCAATGAAATGCAAAAAGGAACATTTGAAATTAAAAAAGCAAGCTAGCATTGGACTATTGTTATGAAGAGAGCATTGAATTTCAAATTAGAGGGGATTGAATTTTTTCTGATAATGTAAAATGCATTACAAACAAGAATTGAAAAGCAAAAGCAAATCAAATACAAGCATATGTTTACATCATGAACCAGATAAACAAGAATTGTCTGGCTCCAACCTATGTTCAGATAATCACCATTTGGATAACTAAGCATGGGTAAATAAGAAAGCACTGCATCCTCAGGAACCATGCAGCACAACTAACTTTTATTGCACAACAATGGATAATGAATTGTTAATGGGATGAGAAGTGGTGAGAGGTAGTGTCCTACCAGGTGAGTTTAATATTAACGAGATGAGACACTGTTTGGCCAAACTAGGGGTAGTAACACATACAATCAGTACTAAAGAGTTTTGAAAGGGAAAGTGTAAATTTGTTGATATTCAGTAAACTACCGATATTATATCCACAAAGCCTAAAGCTACATGCATGCTGTTTTACAGGGCTCTCACTTCGAGGCATGTGGTTGTGCACCCATGTCACGGCACCAGCCTAAGGGTGACTTATCAGAAACTTTGTCTTTTTGCTCTGGGAATCATTCTTATAACAATATTTACCATTTAGGGAATCAAATGACAAGATATGCATATGTTAAACAAAATAAAACTTTCTGTGCTCGTTGAGTGTGATGAAAGAACCACTCTCAATCTGTGTGGCCACTGGTATTATTACAGAAAGCAATTTCTAGATTGAAAGTGTGTTAATATTCTAGCTACGTTATCGTATTTTGCTGTGTCTAAGATGTACCTCCTTTCCAATTATCATTGGCTTTGTTTGAGGGTATGTCTTATACATGGTAACATCATTTCCTTTCATAAGTATAATTTCATTTTGGAGCCATCTGTTCACTTAATTTGAATAATTGTACTTTTACCGGAAATTTAGAAAAATTTTAAAATTCCCAAGCTGCGATAGAGAGATATATGACAAAAGCTTTTTTATACTCAACATTCTCTTTATTCGAAGGCACATCCCTGTAATTGTTGTGAATGTTGTGAATGAAACAGATGATGAACAAGAATTTTATGGATTTTAAAAACTGTAAACATTAATGACAATTTTGATTATTTTATGATATCAAACTTTCTACTTGATGATTTTAAATGTAATAGAATTTTAACATAGTAATGTAACATAGTAATGTAACATAATTTTAATGTAACATAGAATTTTAAACATTGTGGTTCGAACGAATTTTCCTCCACAGAGTTAGTTTCTATAGTATTCTTAAGTTTATTCTTTCACTGAAATATACATGCTTTACAAGAACTGACAAAAGGGGGTTCAACTTATACACAGTAAGACAAGGTAAAAATTATTTGTTTCAGAATTCAAACATGGAATTAATGGTTCATCTTATGCAAGGATGCATCTTATACACTACAAAATACAGTATAAAAATAAGTACGTGCAAGTAAATAATTTTAATGTGCATCATGAACATGGCAAGACACTAAAACTTTGAGGAATTGCAGTATATAAAACAAACCTTTTTGGAATCACTTTCTTTTTTTCTTTTTCTTTCCTTTTGAGTTTTCCCCTTCTGGTGGCTCTACTCTCATAGCGTGGCCCTCTGCTTTAATATGGTCAAATAATTTAGTTCGTGACGAGAAATTTTTTGAGCAAACATTGCATTTTGACTCAATACCATTAGAACTTTTTGCTTCTTTTCTATTTTCTTTTGCTTTGTTTCCTTTCACCTCATGATCTTGAAGAGAGTTGTCATTTTCTACTAATTCATTAACCGGTTTCTCTGCACTTTTTTCAATATTCCCTTCAACAGTAACATCCTCTTGTTTACTTGTATCTATGTCACTACTAGCTGATCTTTCCAATATTTTGACAAGGTTTTTCTTTCTTTTTGTCTTGGGCAAAGCCTTTGTCTTACTAATTTTTATGGAGTCACAAATTCTTGAATGCCCCAGATGTGCATCAAATGCATCAATATTTTCAAACACCTCATCTGATCGTTCATCTGTATCTTGAGAATCAGTGCTATTTGAATGCCTGAGACTACTGCGCTTTTCTTTTAACTTCTTTTTGCTTGATGCTTTTCGTGGCAAATGCAAAGAATCTTGAGCACACTTGCCAAGACGAGCAGAAATTCCATTTGCCATAAATGTTGCTAGCTCCTCCGAATCAACAGATACTTCGGCCTTGAGTTCATTGTAATCTTCCACATCTTTTCTATTCTCTTCTGACTGGCAACTATTTTGATCTTCAGTCTCTACCTTAAGATTATCTAATTCTTCATCACTATCTGATTCACTCATAAATGTTGTCTGTGATTGGTTGACTGATGTGCTCCATTTTTCAAAATCTAATGTCAAATCTTCTCCTCTGGAATGCCTTTTGATCTCTAAGTTGACATAATTTGAGGGTAATGACACACTATCAAGATGGTGGTAGGGTCTCTTACATCCATCTTGCCTTTGACCCTCTCTAGATAGAGAATTATCCAGATGGGAAAAATTTTCACTTTCTTCTGTTTTTCCTTGTTTTACGTTTTCATCAGGCAGCGACAATCTCACAGCATCTTCCATACTGCATTCTAATGCATCATCAACTACACTTTCATTTGCTTTTGTATATGCTGCTGTGATTAGATGATTTTCCATTTCTTGCTTAATCAGTTCAACATTTTCTTTATGTTTTTTTGATTTCTCATGATTTGTCAAAGCTTTTTCAGATTTGAAACTTTTTTCACAAGCTATGCAGTAAAACCTCTGAATATCCTCATCTGAATCAGAACCTTCTTCTGGTTCACTCATGAAATGTGACTCTATTTCATGTAGCTCTCTCTGCATATTGGCATATGACATCCATCCTTGTTCTTCATATTCCTCTAACTTCTTGTTCTTTTCTTTGATTTGCTCCAACCTCTTCTTTTCTGAAGCTTCTTTTTGTGATTTTTCCTGTTCTTCCAGTCGTTTAATGTAATCTTTGACCCTCCTGTCCCTCTTCTTCACAAACGCTGCCAAAGCTCTCACTTCTTCACTTCTCTTTCTTCTTGCAGCATCTCTAAATTTTTTGTTTTCTTTCTCCATTAGTCGCAGAGTTGGCCTATTTGCTGCCTGTCTGATATCATATTTCTCACACCATACATATGACTTGAGTGAACAATAGTTCTGCCAGTAACTATAAAATTCTTTCACTCCCTCTTCATACTTCGTTTCTGAACTTCCAAAATCTGGACAAAGGATGTGGGCAGCCTCATCCTCTTCATCTCTATATGGCTCATCTTCTTCAAAAATCTTCTTAAAGACCCAGCTATATACAGCAAAAAACCCCTCAGAATCATCACCATATCCTTTGTATACTGAAGCATCGAAATATTTCATTAAATCTAACTCATTGTCAACGAAGTCTTCGCCTCCTTTAAGAATTGCTTCTCTGTGCTTGTCATAAAATGCTCGTTCCTGAGGATCACTCAGAACTTCGTAGGCCTGTTGCACTTTTCGAAAAGCACGCGTGCTTTCCTCGACATTGTCTGGATTTTTATCAGGGTGATACTGCAAGGCCAATTTCCTATATGACTTCTTCAGTTCATCAGCACCTACGTTTCTGGCAACGCCTAATACATCGTAATGGCAACGCATCTTCTCTGTGTTTTGTTGAAGATATAACTTCTCCAAAGCCTGTAAGACGTGGGAATACAAGAACTACGACTACGTCCCACTGTTACGACATGCTCCACTTGGCCTAAATAGACTTCTTATAGTGGCATGCATAAAAATGGTCTATTACAATGCGCCTTCGCATAAAATGTGTCTCATCTACCGCAAAGCCGCTGCAAATTTGCAAACATCTTCAATTTAGGATACTTATAAAAATTCTTTCACTGGTTCGAAACGTTCGTCATGTTTTTGAATAACTTCCTTTCCGAAACAAAAATTCAATGAAAAAAGGTTATGTTGACAATTAGAGAAACGAGCATAACCTTTACATAAACAGCCACCCACCACTGAAAACCAGACTGCGTTCCCAGCATGGCATATTTTCATATAAATTACTATCCACACCAGGAGAAAACAACCTTAATTTAACGCTCAAGGCGTCAGCAAAATTCTCCTCATTGGCACTAATATGTTGTTCAGTAGACAAAAAGACGCTCTGTTTTAGACGTTCATCATTTTTAATTCAACGATTAGGAAATATCGAATACTTTACTGTGTTTCATGGACTTTTTTCAAATGGTTTGACATATTTGAACTTTGTATGCTGCTTTATCCACTTATAAAGTAATGAATCCTATATGATGTAACAATAGCTTTCTTAAATCTGAAAATGGGAATCCATAAGTTTGGCATGAAATAGGGTGCATTTATTTCACGCAACTGATCTCACATGGGGCCATAAGGGGCGTATATGTGTAGTAAGAATATTTTGATTTTTATGCTAGGCCCATTAAATTCATTTATTCCAGTAACAGCGCCGCAACAATCAAAGTACGTCACTAATAACAACATGCTTTCTTCTCAGCTATTGATCGTCGCCTACAACTGTTGTCATAGGATTAGCAATTAATTCTGTATAAAGGCATGTAAATTTTACTTTGTCATTTAGTCAAGGATAGTCACGAATAATCACGGTATAATGTACGCCTGATAGTCTTTTATCTGGTTCCGTGTTCTCTGCACGTAAAATAAGATGCGACGTAAGTTGGGAATGACACGTTAGTCGGATGGATGGATTTATTAGTGACTGCATTGATCGTTGTTCAAAGAGTAGTGGTGCTAAGTATTGTACTTTCAGCAGGGTGTAGTGCTAGGGGGCTTTGGCGGCTGAACCCCTTGTTGATGCCGAAAAGTAGCCAATTTCTAGTTTTGCTAGTTTTTCGCAGCGTTTTGCTCAAGAGCTCACCTTGTTATTTGATAGCACTACACCCCTAATTTACAGTATTCAAATGCGCTACAACCTTAGAGCTCTTCGGGAAACTGTAGCTGGGGTCATTCTAGCAGAATTACTATTCTAATTTTAAACCTGTTTGTAGTAACATGGGACCACAGAAAAAATCAACGAGCTCTTACCTACTCCCAGACAATTCACTGTGATTTCGGTCCTCTTAAAAATGTTACTTTGCTGAGCTACCAAACCTACCCAAATTTCTGCTGTTCGCTGGGGACACGATTACTTTTTTTACGGTGTCCAACAAGTATTTTTTCGTCTGGACAACACAGCACACTAGACAATAAACCACAGGAAAAGCCAGCACCAAATTTTGGTCCATTGCAGTAAAGGGTGTCAAAATCTGGAACACCATTCCCTTTGAGAAAAAATCTTAGCAAGCCAAATAATATTTCAGAAAAAGCCTCAGTCAAACCAAGGTTATCGATAAATTATCATAAAGATTGTGCTCTAGAAGTAGGATTGCACAGAATATTAAGTTTTCAAGTGGCAACCTCGAGTTGGTGCAATCATCATGCAACAACTCTGCCTGCAAGAGCTTTGTAATGTTCTATTTCAAATATGAAAACTCAAATCGGTGGCTTGCATACATCGCCCTGATTCGTTTGTTTTTACGAATTATAGTGTGCATCCTCAGTTTTAGATAAGTGGCATTCATTTCTTATTTCACTTTCACTACCCCTAATCTGTGTGATTTTCCAGACAGGTTTCTCTGCTATAAGCACTTTCATTTTTCATTTTGTTGTGGGGCTCCTCCCATTGTGCCCCCTTAGTCCAATTTTCTCTCTTGCTATAACGATAAACAATAATCCTTTTGCAAAGAAAGGCGTCCGTATTCCGTATTCCATATCCGTATTCGTTTGAATACTTTTCTAGTGAACCATGAATTTTCTTGAAGAGCAGACAACTTGTCAAAATATGACAATACAATAAGGGGTGAAGAAAAGGACAGAAGGTGACGGGTCAGAGAAGAAAGTCATCTTTTTCCTGACATCAAGAATGATACCATTTGTGAAAGGGTTTATACATCCAAATCAATGGCATCATGTTAGGACGATCCTCCACCTCCAGTGTCATGTTTATTGCATACAAATCCTGTGCCTTTCTTTAAAAGGTCAGGTATCTGCTTTTGGGATGTATTAAACCACAGCCCAGATAACATGACGGTCATACAGCGGTAGACTATCAGGAAGGCCTATGAAGCAAACAACTAAAGTTTCACGTCTAAATCACACCTTATCTTGAATATTTCTCTGCAGAAGACATCAAACGCTTAATGGTAAACAGGTGCACGTCTGATTACTTTCCTAGGCTCTACATGAAACGTTTTACTTATTACATTACATTAAAATCAAATATTTTACGATCAGCGAAGAACTAGCGTGAGTCATCTGGCTGAATACTGGCTGATTCAATTATAAAGCTGAAGGGGACTAAAGGCAATCAGGGTAAATAACTTTTAATAATTGATAGGAACCAAGTTATAAAATGAAAGACCAGTTCTGTCTTAAGGAAACTTATTGCTCTCTGGCAAGAAGTTTAACAAGACATGCTGGATTTCTTAATCCTAGTAAGAGAAATATCCGGGAATTTAGAAATATCAAGATTATATATTCCTCATAAACTATAAAGTCGCACTTTTCGTTTTGATGATTGAATTAATATTAAGTCTTTGAATAATAAATGGCTAGCTTGTGGCTGAATTAAAGAGTTTTCATCCACGAATTGATTGATACAAGCCAATCTACATATCAATAGTACGTATCGAAAATTACATAGAAAATGCAAGTACAAGACATTGAGGACTAAAATTCTGTTCCGTTAATTTGCACGGTTTATGAGTTAATTCCCAGTCATGAGCAACCTGAAATTTTCATCTAGCTACAAAGCGATAGAAGTTGGACTCTTGGATGGAACAACAATCGCGAGATCCATTTATAAGCAATCAAAGGCCTCTGAGTTGGTCGACAACTTGCTGCAAATGTTCAACGTTGTCGAAAAGGACTATTTTGGTCTTTACTACATGTCAGACAAGCAGCGTAAATGGCTGGAGCTCAAAAAGAAAATATGGCCTCAAATCAGGCATCTAGATCCCCCGTATGAAATCTGCTTTGGAATGCAGTTTTATCCGCAGAATCCTGTTCTCTTGCAAGAAGAAATCACGAGGTATCTGATGTTTCTGCAGCTGCGCAAAGACGTAATCGAAGATAGGCTTGTAATTACTGACAAAGATCGTTCTGAGCTTTGTGCCTTCATTTTGCAAGCAGAAGGCGCAGGTAATGTTTTCATTTGATCCATTTGCTGCTTGGATAAAATGTTAATTATATACATTTTATATCCACAAATACTTATAAGACAGAAATTTTTTCGTTATGTTAAGGAAAAAATTTCAATCTTAATAACAATAAGCATCTACAGCACAGCATTTAAGAAACACACTATTACAAATCGTGAGCGAGCAACACGACCAGTGGCCTGAGTCCTGCCCTGGTCCTGTGACTAGCTAACATTTTCTCTTAGTATATTAAGCATGTTCTTAAAATAAGTACATGCACAGATTATAGACAGGCTTTTGTCTATAACAATGGGTCGTTTTAAAAACTGTGCATATATACAATTAAATGCTATCCTACTCTAATCAGCGAATGTAGAAAAAAAAAATTAAGGCTTCTCTTCAAGACATGGTTCTTATCAAAACTTTTGACAAGGGTGGCATTACAAAGGACCTAAGGTAAATCAGATGAGAGGTTAAAAATTCTTATCTATGATGTTCGCCAGACTTTTGTATATATGGAGCGAATATACGTCAAATTTGCAAAGTTTGCATGCAGTTCCAAGGAGAGAAGGGAATGTATAGAGCCTTAGCAAACTATTTTTAAAATGAAACAAAACAATGTCGTTATCTACATATGATATGAAACATTTATCTTTTTCAGTGTCGAACAGTGAGAGCTATCTCACAAAACACCGCTCTTTCTTTGTGCATCTTGAGAACAGTTCACCAGAATTCGAGGCAAGGATCCTGGAGGTAATTACGTATATTATTCTATCTCAAATTTGTGACTGCATGCAGCAAAGTTGTCATGTTATTGATAGTCCTCTTCTGGGATAAAGCAGTTATAGCTTCTTATAAGAGCAAAAATGTTTGGAAATGCTTTGGAAATGCTTAAAAATAAACTGGAAAAGTCAACAAAGGGTAGAATAGTAACGCGCTTGGACTTCGAGGTTTCCTAGCAAGTATTTGGAGTACAAAAAATGGGAGTAATTCTCGTGACAAAGGCTGATGCAACCGTTATTTTCGCGCTAAGTGAGAACAAAGAATTATGAAGCCGAGACACTGCAAAGTTTTGACCGGAAAGATTCATACTATCAAACAGAAAATGCAAGCCCTACCACGTTCTTTGTCTGCCATATTTGAGACGGGCTTCATTGCATAATGTCGGTACCTTCAGAGGGTACCATAACCTATTTGGACAGAATCTCAAATGTCTTATTCCATATGAAAGCGCTGCTCCACAAAACCCTTCGTACTGCGTATCTAGCCCACTTTTGCCCTAATGAGAACCAAGCTGAAAGAACCGTTTTGTTTAAATCAGTTTACGCAATACACATTGATACTATCTTTTCCAGATCCTCTACAATTTGTCAGGAATGGATGGCTTGCTTGCTGAAGTCAGGCTGATTGACAGCGCCTTCCAAGTGGCGCAGTATGATATTGAGCCGTATCCTGTTCGCTCGGAAGCATTTCCAAGCCTTAAGCAGTTAGGCCTAGTGCTTGCACCGCTCGGTGTGACGATATATCAAGGAACAACCCGGCTTGAAGTATTCAAATGGACAGAGATATGGAACGCTGGCTATGATGCAAAGGTATTTTGGTTGCGGATTTTTCGAGACGGAGAAAACAGTCGACAGAAATACGTCTTGCCCAATAGCCGTTTGTGCAAAGTTGTTTGGAAATCATTTAAGCATCATTTTAAGTTCTACATTCGCGATCATAGCATCCCGCCCAAGGTTGCTTGGGGTAGAGTGGCACCTACTGTGAACCGTGGAAATCTAATCGAAGAAAAGTTGCAACAGGGACAAGTCCGGTCCTACATTAACCACGCCACCTCGATGCAAATGGGGGAGCAAAAGTTTGTACCGACAACTGAGTTATGACTTTTGAAGAAGTTAAATTTTATCATCATCAACAAAGAGAATAAAATATCTACAACTTATAGCAAAACTTCTCATTTAAATTTTGCAAACAGTGTTTTCAAACTTGTGCGAACAGCTCTAATAATGGCTGCTGAAAAATATATTGACTACAGACCAAAACATATTGCATTGAAAGATAAAATCTTTTCCTACAACCTAAAGGAAACGTTTTTAATTGAAACGAGCTTTTGTTGGACAAGAGGATTCCTGCCTCCATGCATGCCTGGGAGGGTTTTGATTGATACTATATATAATAGTACACTGCAACTTGAAGAAACTGGATGTCTTAGTAGGACACTGACAATAGGTTTTGAATAATTTTAATATATTTGGTAAAATTAGAAAAATACAACGGTTAAACTACTCACTGTGAAGTGTTTGCAAAATGTTGTCAATAATCTTACAAAATCTTACAATAAGATTTAGTTAAAGAAACAATGTTTCTTTTTCTTCCGAGAAACTCTGTTGGGCCTTTTTTAAAACCTTATAGGTCCGATCCCATTTCATACCCGGATGTGTCATCGAGCTTATAGATACTGTCCGGGTGAATCCGGATATTTAGGCAGCCAAATCTGCGATTAAAGCGGATTAATGCCCTGGTGACATCATCGCGGTATACTATACCACCAAGCGTCGCTGTGTCACTGTTTTCTGACCTTCTTGTGTACCAGCTCTCTGAAGTCAGCCAAGACTTTGTTTTCTCTTTTCGAACGTTCTTCTCGGTTAAACATTGCTAGTGCACGCCTGAAAAAGCAAACGATCACGGCATATTATTAATTCAAGTCACGTTAGGAAATGAGCCTTGCAGTGACGAAATGTACCGCGCGGCGAAATGTTTGCGTTTGTCTAAAGCATCCTTTATTCAATAATGGAGTAAACTCCACTGCGTAGGCTACCATCCCTGATTGAAAAACCTCTTTGAATATAAGTCCCTATGTGACAAATTATCGCGCAATTTCATTAACATATAGAAGCTTTCAAAAAAATCGTAATGGAGAAAAGCTGATAAGAAAGTTCTAAAAACATTTAATTGCGTTGATATTCAGGAAGATTCATTCTAAATAACGCTTGACTATTACAAGTGAAGATGGGAATAATCACCAGTGATTCAGAGTCAGGTGGAACTGTCGAGTTCTAAAATTCTCGCAACCCTAACCTTAACACAATTGGCTAGTCAAGCTAAAAAATGACACCATTTTTTAATGTCAAAAATGACAAAATATCTCACTTTTCATCTGCACTATAAACTTGGTTTTCTTTTCTCAAACGTACGGCTTCCATTCGCCGATGCCTACTTCCACTCATTACATAGCCAGCAGTTTCATAATGCTCAATTTCATTGCTTGTCAAACCAATTTCTCCACGCCGTGGGATACGCTTGCCCATCTTCACATACTCCGCCATTGCATCCCCTTCGCCAGGAAGCAATGCGTGTCCATAGCTGTACAAAGTATAAATAATAACATGATAAATATTCCTAATTCACTTAGAGATAAATAATTTCCGCTTAAAGAGCATGTGATAATTGCTCATTGATAAGCAAAATGACATGAAAAAGAACTTAGGTTTTGATAGATTGTTAGATTCAAATTGTTTTCAAACTTGATGTGAGGGTTGTTATATTACAAGCTTTGGGAATTATCAGAGATCTTCACTTCTACGGTATGTTTTTCATTCAGTAAGTTTTTAGGACAATTAACATGCAATAATAACACAGCTAAGTGGTTTGATAAAAGTAATAAAAAAACAATCCAAAAAGTTAACATTACTACATACTCCTTAAGACCAGGCTCTTGAACTTCAGCGATAACTACAGGCATAGGTCCAACAGTCACATTCTTTGATTCTGTGAAAAGTATCGATTTATCAGTAATTATGAGCGCCATTAATGAAGCAACATTTGAAGATACAAGATTTACAAAAATATTCTTTAACAAATGTTTCAGTCGGTTTTAGCACGTTGCAAAACCTTTTTAGCAACATAGACTACAAATTGGCAGATATTACAGACAAGGACTAGAGGAAGGTCGTAATTAGCAGCGAGAACCCAGACCGAGAGTTTCATCGACTGGGAAAAAGATTAATAAGTGATAATGTCAAAAAGATGCACTTTTTGGGTCAATGCAAAGTAAAGGAAATGTGGCAGAACTCTGTAGAACTGTAAAGAGGAATGGGTTTTTTTGCATCTACTCTAATATCAACAAACAGATATGATATGTAATATATTACAAAGTCTAGCAGCATTCTGCAAAATGGACTTCCTAGAAGTACAAATTGGAAATAATATAACCTAGGCAATCGCCAGTTATCTGTACTTGTTAACTGAGAGGAAAGGTGTTGCACTTTTTACCTATTCCTTTGTTTTGATGAGGATCTTACTATACCAAGAAGCATATTGAGCTATTTACGGGCACCTATTGGTCAAAACAAGCAACCAATCAAACACGCTCTTACGCAATCAGCATCTGAATACAGATTGCAGTCTTTATCTTTTACTATTAAGGGCTATGGAACGTAAGATTACTTTCATTCTACACTAAAATGATTTGTTCTTTTGTACGGTTTTGAAATAACAGTATACTATAAAAAGCTATCAAGTTTCTGACAAGAAAGTACGAAGATAGGAAACAGGTATCACATTACTGCAGTTGTACGTATTGTCATAAACAAATGAATCTTTTAAGTAAATAAAATGGAATTTTTTGCGGTTCAGAAATTATTACATTTTGGCCTAAAAACTGAGTGTTTTCAATAAAAACTTGATATCTTATTTATTGTTTGAAAACTAGAACTATAGCCTGGTTCGTAAAGCAGATTTTGCAAAAGCTATAATGCCGCATAATTGCGAGATCATTTACTTTCAACTGATAATCATGCATGTCAGAAAAATGTTAGAATGCTAGCACAAATAAGTCTGTCGCAACCTTAAGGCAAGTATTTCTGCCGCAATGTGAGCGCTGTTAAATGGCACATACCTGCTTTTTCTACCCAGTCATCTTCATCTTCGCCCCCTTGTTCAGAGTCTGGTGAAAATATAATTTTCCATTGAACTGAGTTTGATCAAATCAATATAATATAATATACTTCAGGGTGCCAAAATACCAATTCTCTGAAAGAGGGGACCAAAAGGACCAATTTTCTGAAAGAGGGGTGATTGCCAAGACGTCACTGCTATTCTGTTACAAAATCCAGAGAAGTATCTGAGAGATTTTCTATGCTTGTTGCAATTAGAAATTTTTGAAATTAGCATAAATTAGATAATAAAATTTAATCAGATTAGAAATAAAAGATAGGTTTGCAATTAAGGCAAAAAAATCATATCTAAATTAGAACTTAATATCACTCTGCTTTCATTACTACCTTGTCAACAGCGAAAGTCTCAATCAATACAAAAGGAAGGCATATTCACAAATAAATTGTTAAAAATGTTCCAAAACTCTACCTGAAGAATGTTCATTGCTATTATTACTCTCTTCTTTTCTTCTTTTCTGCTTTCTGCAAGAATATTTGGAAACAAAAACATGATAACACATTTTGACAAAGATAACAATGAAGATTCAAAATATCTAAATGTCCAGCCAGTCTACCAATTCATATTGATTTATTTACAGTCACAAGGTACACCTACAATTCTAGCCACCCTCTTTTCATCACTGACATCTAGTCTTGCACTTGACAAATATATGTATTATATAAAACTTAGTGGCTTACATGATATACTGAAGAGTTAAGAAAACATATATAACATTTAACAATTGCAGTTTTCAATTATGATAGCCATACAGTGAAATTTGATCACAAGACAGAAGATAATGACTATCTTTGCTGAATGTTTTATTCTCAAAAATAATTTGCACTGCATGATAAGTAAAGGATCTTACTCTTTCTTCTTCATTTTCTTTTTCTTCTTTTTCTTCTTTTCTTTACGTTTCTTCCTTTTCTCACTTTTATGACTATCATTTTTGCTGTTGTTTTCTGCTGCTTGACATAAAAAAAACAACTTGTAGAAAAAGGTTGCTAGCTTTTGCAAAATAAAATAAAAAAGCAAAATAAAATTTACTGCCATAAAATAAAGTCTTTTTTATATAGCAAAACTGCTAATGGTAGATAAAATTTCATCAATCAATTGCACTTCTTTATTCTTAGCCTGCTAGGAATTTATATCTATTTTGGAGAATTGACAATTACCATGGTTAGAGCTCATTTGCTTTGATTCTTTGTCATCTTCTTCTTCTTCAGAGCTTGAGCTGCAAAAGCAATAGCTTTTATATTTCATCAAATCAAAAAAGAAAGAAAAATAAAAAAAAATGGAAAAACTGTAAACCAGAGTCATAATTTTATAGATGAGGTTTTGCCTCTGAAAATGAAATTTTGATTGGTTTTACTTAGAAAAAAAAGGTCAAAAATAAATGGCTATCAGATGCTATTTTTAGAAGACTTTTAAAAATTCCCCTGCCTTTATTCAAACACCCCTGCTTGATCAAAATTTTTACATTCAAAAACTCTTTGTATTTACTTTCAAAAATACTTTAACTCAAGAAAAGTTGGGCCAACCTGTTAATTAAATCCTGCTTATGTAATTTTAGGCATGACTCCCTACTCTCTATTTCTTTGCAGCCATAGAATACTAGGAAAAGGTGTAATGACCCATTGTAATAAAGCAAATTTTCTGGTGGGCCCCTCCAATTTCAGGACAGTTTATTAAAATGTCCCTTTTGAGTAACATGATATCAATGATTGTTAAAATCTAATTGCCTAATATCAATGCATTATTGATGTTTTCATATGAAAAAGATACACACCTTGTTTCTTATTGCCCAAAAAATAAAAATTTCAGTAGACCCTCCACACATTACTGAAGAAATGTAAGCTACAATCCTTGCCAAAATTGTTGGAACACTTGCGCAAAGCTGAAGCTTTTTTTGAAAAATCCCCCCCTACCCCCCATTACAATGTTGTTCAATTGGGCTGTTTTGATCCTGAATGTAAAAAATTTTTCACTGAAAGCTGTATGAAAGTATTGAGAAAATAAATCAACATTGTACGGGGGGAGGGGGTCGAAATTTTTGAAGCGGTAGTGATATTTTGGTAAGGTAGTTTTAGACTTGCTTTGTTTATTTGCATGCTGCAATGGGAAGGCGTTCCAGTTATTTTTGGCAAGGATTGTCTTGAGAAGGGCAAAATTGAAATATTGAATTTGACTTTTCAGTGTAGTCTTTCTTACACAAATAAGTGTCGCTGGTAGCGATTTTGAGATAAAAAAAAATTTCCGACCACTCATTGGGGTAATATGACGTCAAAACTGCAGGGCTCTTGAATTGAGCTAGGATTTGGACGCGGAGATCGTTATAAGCTGACGTGTCAAGTTAGCAAGACCTCTAAATACAGTAAAAGACTAGTAGCATATCTTAGGATGGCATAATATCAAACTGTGGTTACTGAAAGAAACAAATAGAGAGAAAGTAAAGAATTTAGTTGCCCTTTGTGTCGTAACGAGAACGAGGCTAAAAGCATTCACAATTTCATATTGTGTTTCTAATTACAAGTACATGACGGGTCTTGCATTCTTAGTTCAGTTATTTATGTAGTAGAAGATTAAAGGCTGTAGAGACAGTTTCGTAACAAATACTTCACTCTACTCGAACCATACGAACAAAAACGACGGCAAGTTGTCAAAGCGAAAAAATCCGTGACGTCGCCTGAACTTCTGAGCAACCTGACGGGCTTAAAAAAGATGACAGGAGACAGGCGTGTCTAATAACATACAGCAGAGCGGACACAGAGGCATTCGATAGAAGAAGGTTTGCCGACGCAGTTGTGAAGGCTTTTAAAAGCGTAAAAAAGTCAATTATCAAGCAGTGATATTGCTGTCAAGAAAGGCACGAAGATGGTGGTGCACATTACCATATGGCATTACTCTTAAACAAAGCTGCAAGGTGGCTCCGTGTACGGGAATACTTAGACAACTTTTTGGGAATCGTGGTGAACTTTTCTGGTCATGCAGACAATTATACTGCACATAAATATGTGCTGAAGGAGGCTCGAAACGTTGAATTCAGTAGGGGGCGTCCAAAGAATATGACGAAACCAAGAACGTATGTTGCGTCAAAATCCAAAAGCAGGTAAAAGAAGTGAAAAGTCGCAAACTTTCAAAAATCGAGGTGACGGATATAATTATGTCAACAAAACTTTCAAACAGACTGGAACTCCTGCGGTACGCCAATGCTCTGAAAAAGAATGCCAAGACAGAGCTGTATGAGTTCTGCATAAGCAGATCGAAGAAGACCTTTTTAGAATTTATCGGCACTGTATGGGAAAGCGAAATCGCAGAACAGACGATGCTGCCACAGTTGATGAAAAGGATGGAAATTCTGAAAAAAGCTTTGAAAAGCCGTTGCATTTCTGAAGGAGCTTTGGGAAAGGAGGAGGAAAAGGACGAAGAACAGATTTTTCGGAGGCTGTGAAGGAGCCTTTAGAGAAAGGAGGAGGAAAAGGACGAGATATCTTGATAACCGGTCCTGCAAATTGTGGCAAAACATTTAAACTGAACCCGCTAACAAAGATTTCAGAATCTTTCTGCAATCGCGCAACAGCTTCCTTTGCATGGGTTGGAGTAGAAGACAAAGAACTTATATTCTGAACGATTTTAGCAGGGAGATGAGCATGATACCTTGGTCTGATATGCTGTTGCTCCTTTAGGGTCAATTGGTGCAATTTTCGGCTCCAAAAACCCACTATAAAAGAGACATATGTCTAGAAAAAGACACACCAATATTTTGCACAAGCAAGGGGCCGAAAACTTTTGTAAAGAATATTGTCATTCATTACAGAGAAACTGAAATGATGGCAGTGAGGTGGCACCATTTTAAATTTCGCTACCAACCAAGAATGCAAGACTGTAAAGATATACCGTCATGCTCTCACTGTTTTGCAAAATCGATTCTTTAAATTTAACATATTTATTAACTATTGCTTCCTTTTTTACCACGTTTTCCACGGTTACCACTGGTTTAAGCACGCATTGATTCCTTATTTTTGGCTATCTTGACAAATAAATTTATTTATTTCTATCATGTACTGATAGAACGACATAGGCTCACGTTGAAGAAACCATATAAGTGTATAAATACAGCATAACTACATAGTTATTAGCGATTTTATGAAGATGGGTAACGGTTTCCACTCAACTTAAAAAAGAGATTATGTCTTTGTCTTCTCTTTCATTTTCTGGTGGAAACCGTCAAAATCACCCAAGAACTCTCAATTTTTTAATTTATTTAAGCGTTGAGAATGCAGAAAATGAAGTAGTTTTCATTTCGAGGTATAGACATTAATTTTCTATCATTTAAATAATGTTTGTATGTAAAACATTTCCTAAAAACAATGATTTCTAAATGGCAACCGTCGTGGTAACCGTGAAACTGGACATCGCATGCCCATTGTTAGCCACCTTTGTGCTTGCATTTACTTTGCATTGTTTTGTGATTACGGTTTGATCAACAGATCGAAGGTTGAATATTCTAGACTTTTGTTTCGCTATTGTTGATATAATTGGGGTGTGAAAAAAACATGACAATGCTCTATTATTGAGACTTATTCTCTACTTGAAGCTAGAGAGTTCTGAAATCACTTTACCAAATGTACTGAAGCTATTATGCTTTAATCAAACTGTTGCCAGGGTAACCATGACTAGACAATGATTAAAAAGGCCATATTTTTCATTAAGCAGTGAAATGAAAGAATGGATCCAAGTTATGGTACAAAGAAGTTATGCAAGGCATTATATTTGAAAAAGCTTTAATATCTGGTTCTGTTGCCTTTAGTATCTTTAATACATCTTAACCATATAGGTATAGTTGCTATTTTTCCCTTGATAACAGAACGATCATAAGAAAATAAAGTCTTTCTTACTCTCTCTGAGAAAAATATAGCCTCGTTCTGATATTTGTAGCTATAAAGTGTTCGTATTTAATGCCTGGCAATTTCTTTTTCACACAAAAGATCAAACAGAGTTAGGGAAAATATAATGTTTGCTTCTGTTGTTAATAAATGAAAAATTTCTTGCAATATGTACAAAGCAAGTGACCAGAAAAAGGCTGGATATAGCAGCCTCTTTTTGATGTTTTTTATTCTCTATTATATATGTCGAAAATACATCCAATAAATCACATCAGCTCATTCTCTTTATACCAAATCAGTCGTATATTGATTTAACTGCCCATTTTACACTATTTGCGACCCTTTGAGTAGAAAAATCAAGTATTATACAATGCTTAAACAGGTCTAATTGCTACACTGGTCACTATTCCATTAAACCAACTGTTGTGACGTCACTATAACAAAAACTGTTCACGTGACACCAAATTTGATCAAAGATTCGAAAAGTGTGCCCTTCAAATACCTTGGTAACTTCATTGTATGTAGCATTTGATAACTAATTGAAAAAGTTGCCTTCGGACAATCCTTGCCAAAATTGTTGGAACACTTGCGCAAAGCTGAAGCTTTTTTTGAAAAATCCCCCCCTACCCCCCATTACAATGTTGTTCAATTGGGCTGTTTTGATCCTGAATGTAAAAAATTTTTCACTGAAAGCTGTATGAAAGTATTGAGAAAATAAATCAACATTGTACGGGGGGAGGGGGTCGAAATTTTTGAAGCGGTAGTGATATTTTGGTAAGGTAGTTTTAGACTTGCTTTGTTTATTTGCATGCTGCAATGGGAAGGCGTTCCAGTTATTTTTGGCAAGGATTGTCTTGAGAAGGGCAAAATTGAAATATTGAATTTGACTTTTCAGTGTAGTCTTTCTTACACAAATAAGTGTCGCTGGTAGCGATTTTGAGATAAAAAAAAATTTCCGACCACTCATTGGGGTAATATGACGTCAAAACTGCAGGGCTCTTGAATTGAGCTAGGATTTGGACGCGGAGATCGTTATAAGCTGACGTGTCAAGTTAGCAAGACCTCTAAATACAGTAAAAGACTAGTAGCATATCTTAGGATGGCATAATATCAAACTGTGGTTACTGAAAGAAACAAATAGAGAGAAAGTAAAGAATTTAGTTGCCCTTTGTGTCGTAACGAGAACGAGGCTAAAAGCATTCACAATTTCATATTGTGTTTCTAATTACAAGTACATGACGGGTCTTGCATTCTTAGTTCAGTTATTTATGTAGTAGAAGATTAAAGGCTGTAGAGACAGTTTCGTAACAAATACTTCACTCTACTCGAACCATACGAACAAAAACGACGGCAAGTTGTCAAAGCGAAAAAATCCGTGACGTCGCCTGAACTTCTGAGCAACCTGACGGGCTTAAAAAAGATGACAGGAGACAGGCGTGTCTAATAACATACAGCAGAGCGGACACAGAGGCATTCGATAGAAGAAGGTTTGCCGACGCAGTTGTGAAGGCTTTTAAAAGCGTAAAAAAGTCAATTATCAAGCAGTGATATTGCTGTCAAGAAAGGCACGAAGATGGTGGTGCACATTACCATATGGCATTACTCTTAAACAAAGCTGCAAGGTGGCTCCGTGTACGGGAATACTTAGACAACTTTTTGGGAATCGTGGTGAACTTTTCTGGTCATGCAGACAATTATACTGCACATAAATATGTGCTGAAGGAGGCTCGAAACGTTGAATTCAGTAGGGGGCGTCCAAAGAATATGACGAAACCAAGAACGTATGTTGCGTCAAAATCCAAAAGCAGGTAAAAGAAGTGAAAAGTCGCAAACTTTCAAAAATCGAGGTGACGGATATAATTATGTCAACAAAACTTTCAAACAGACTGGAACTCCTGCGGTACGCCAATGCTCTGAAAAAGAATGCCAAGACAGAGCTGTATGAGTTCTGCATAAGCAGATCGAAGAAGACCTTTTTAGAATTTATCGGCACTGTATGGGAAAGCGAAATCGCAGAACAGACGATGCTGCCACAGTTGATGAAAAGGATGGAAATTCTGAAAAAAGCTTTGAAAAGCCGTTGCATTTCTGAAGGAGCTTTGGGAAAGGAGGAGGAAAAGGACGAAGAACAGATTTTTCGGAGGCTGTGAAGGAGCCTTTAGAGAAAGGAGGAGGAAAAGGACGAGATATCTTGATAACCGGTCCTGCAAATTGTGGCAAAACATTTAAACTGAACCCGCTAACAAAGATTTCAGAATCTTTCTGCAATCGCGCAACAGCTTCCTTTGCATGGGTTGGAGTAGAAGACAAAGAACTTATATTCTGAACGATTTTAGCAGGGAGATGAGCATGATACCTTGGTCTGATATGCTGTTGCTCCTTTAGGGTCAATTGGTGCAATTTTCGGCTCCAAAAACCCACTATAAAAGAGACATATGTCTAGAAAAAGACACACCAATATTTTGCACAAGCAAGGGGCCGAAAACTTTTGTAAAGAATATTGTCATTCATTACAGAGAAACTGAAATGATGGCAGTGAGGTGGCACCATTTTAAATTTCGCTACCAACCAAGAATGCAAGACTGTAAAGATATACCGTCATGCTCTCACTGTTTTGCAAAATCGATTCTTTAAATTTAACATATTTATTAACTATTGCTTCCTTTTTTACCACGTTTTCCACGGTTACCACTGGTTTAAGCACGCATTGATTCCTTATTTTTGGCTATCTTGACAAATAAATTTATTTATTTCTATCATGTACTGATAGAACGACATAGGCTCACGTTGAAGAAACCATATAAGTGTATAAATACAGCATAACTACATAGTTATTAGCGATTTTATGAAGATGGGTAACGGTTTCCACTCAACTTAAAAAAGAGATTATGTCTTTGTCTTCTCTTTCATTTTCTGGTGGAAACCGTCAAAATCACCCAAGAACTCTCAATTTTTTAATTTATTTAAGCGTTGAGAATGCAGAAAATGAAGTAGTTTTCATTTCGAGGTATAGACATTAATTTTCTATCATTTAAATAATGTTTGTATGTAAAACATTTCCTAAAAACAATGATTTCTAAATGGCAACCGTCGTGGTAACCGTGAAACTGGACATCGCATGCCCATTGTTAGCCACCTTTGTGCTTGCATTTACTTTGCATTGTTTTGTGATTACGGTTTGATCAACAGATCGAAGGTTGAATATTCTAGACTTTTGTTTCGCTATTGTTGATATAATTGGGGTGTGAAAAAAACATGACAATGCTCTATTATTGAGACTTATTCTCTACTTGAAGCTAGAGAGTTCTGAAATCACTTTACCAAATGTACTGAAGCTATTATGCTTTAATCAAACTGTTGCCAGGGTAACCATGACTAGACAATGATTAAAAAGGCCATATTTTTCATTAAGCAGTGAAATGAAAGAATGGATCCAAGTTATGGTACAAAGAAGTTATGCAAGGCATTATATTTGAAAAAGCTTTAATATCTGGTTCTGTTGCCTTTAGTATCTTTAATACATCTTAACCATATAGGTATAGTTGCTATTTTTCCCTTGATAACAGAACGATCATAAGAAAATAAAGTCTTTCTTACTCTCTCTGAGAAAAATATAGCCTCGTTCTGATATTTGTAGCTATAAAGTGTTCGTATTTAATGCCTGGCAATTTCTTTTTCACACAAAAGATCAAACAGAGTTAGGGAAAATATAATGTTTGCTTCTGTTGTTAATAAATGAAAAATTTCTTGCAATATGTACAAAGCAAGTGACCAGAAAAAGGCTGGATATAGCAGCCTCTTTTTGATGTTTTTTATTCTCTATTATATATGTCGAAAATACATCCAATAAATCACATCAGCTCATTCTCTTTATACCAAATCAGTCGTATATTGATTTAACTGCCCATTTTACACTATTTGCGACCCTTTGAGTAGAAAAATCAAGTATTATACAATGCTTAAACAGGTCTAATTGCTACACTGGTCACTATTCCATTAAACCAACTGTTGTGACGTCACTATAACAAAAACTGTTCACGTGACACCAAATTTGATCAAAGATTCGAAAAGTGTGCCCTTCAAATACCTTGGTAACTTCATTGTATGTAGCATTTGATAACTAATTGAAAAAGTTGCCTTCGGACAATCCTTGCCAAAATTGTTGGAACACTTGCGCAAAGCTGAAGCTTTTTTTGAAAAATCCCCCCCTACCCCCCATTACAATGTTGTTCAATTGGGCTGTTTTGATCCTGAATGTAAAAAATTTTTCACTGAAAGCTGTATGAAAGTATTGAGAAAATAAATCAACATTGTACGGGGGGAGGGGGTCGAAATTTTTGAAGCGGTAGTGATATTTTGGTAAGGTAGTTTTAGACTTGCTTTGTTTATTTGCATGCTGCAATGGGAAGGCGTTCCAGTTATTTTTGGCAAGGATTGTAGTTATTTTTCACAAAAATTACAGAAATCACCAGAATACCTTCCTATTTAGTTTTCAAGGACATACTGTTTGTGGCTAGGACAACACTCTCGACATAAGTTCAAAAAATTTTCAGATAACTAGGTCCTTTTCAGATTTTTTTAGTGATACAGTCTGATCGAAAAAATACTTTGCAGTATGGTATCAGGTCTGTGCCTTTCTCTTGTGCTAAATCTTGGAACAGCATTTTTTGTGTATTATTCTTAGTATGTTTATGTAATTTGTAGTCATTGTATGTAAGTAGTGCTTTTATTAAGATATTGTATGTAGAGGAATTTTAAAATATATGAACTGAACTGAACTGAACTGAACTGCAGTTATTGGGAGGCACACAAAAGAGCATATTAGAATTTTCTGGCACACAGAGGAGCATATTAGAATTTCCCATTGCCAGACGAATTTGTTTTTCAATTCTTTAACAGCCAATTTTGACAAAATATAACAATTATTAAAAATTTCTTACTCGCTTTCTGGTTTTTTGGGAGATAAACCCCACACCTCTATAACACCTCTAGCTGCTATCATTTCTCTTTCATCTCTCCATCTAAACAAAAAATATGTCAAAATATACATTGATGGAAAATCAAATAACCTTAGGTAGTAAAGTCATAAAAAATCAGATAAAAAACTAAATTTCCAAGATGAATTTCCCCTAAGAAAAAGTTGCTTAACAAAAGAAAATAGACGTACTCTGTATTCAAAAAACATGTATACTTGAATTATAAAAGAAGAACTTCCAAAGGCGTTAAACCTGGTTATTTTCATTGAATTTCAAATTTTACAAACAATGCACATTTGTTAAACTCTCTCAGGCCTAAAGAGTGTCCAAAAGGGAAAAATTGAGAAAAAGAATTGGCTTATTTTGACATATGGAAATCGGCAGCTGGGTATATGTTAGTACTATAAATTATTGAGAAAAAAAGGGCTGCGTTTTTACTTGTCAGTTACACAAGCATCCACAACAACATGTAAAAAAAATTAAACATTTATTTTCAATTGTGAGACAATGATCATTTAAAATATTCATTGATCAGTTGGCAGTTGGGGATAAGAAAATCATTCACGGACTGAGATAACCAGCCCTTTGGATCCTTTTTTAAAATTGCCACTGATTACAGGTATGAAACCTAGCAACTTTGAGTGATAAAAGTGGGGAGAATGGTCTCATTATTGTAGAGATTACCATCAAATACGATTTCATCGTGGAAAAAAGATGCATCTGATACAATTGATATATAAAATTCACATCGAGTAACATTTTCAAGAAAGATATGGCAAGAATGAAATAAAAGATGCATAACACTTTAAATTTCTCTTCCATTCCAACAAAATAAAATAACAAATGACTACGTGTTCTTTACCTTTCACGCATACCCTCCGGGGATCCTTCTCGATAATATCTAAAAAAATAAACATTCAAATTTTTCATACAAACAGCATTCAAATTTCTAAAAAATAAACATTCAAACAGCAAAAAAAATAAATCATTTTAAAACTTTTAAGAATAAAAATAAAACTTATGTCTAATTAGCCATCTTATTTTACCTTTTCCATTTTTCATGAAACTAAGTAAAATGTTGTTAATGTTATATGATGCTAAGGAAACTCAAAGCGTTGCATACTTGTGTCGATCACCTACCACTCATCAACGCTTACCTTAGATAGTTATGTTAATAAAGGATACTTGACTAATAAAACTCCAATATAACATATCATATTTATCGCTACCGTTTTCGTTCTCTGTTATTCTGATCATGTTCGCGATACAAACGTTGTTTCGAGGATCGATAGTCTGGCGATGGAGACCTAGAAAAACTTCTCTCTCTTCTTCTGCGAGGACTTCTGCTTCGACTTCTTCTCATTGTTACAATATGACAACTCTTTTTCAGCACATTTTTCTTAATAAAAAGTTCAACTATATTTCACAAGAAGATTTTGCTCAAGTTAAGTTCTTTGCTTCTGTTTTTAGCCTCTTTTCAAAAACCCAACTCGAGGCAAAACCAAGGTAGCTGCCGAACAGTAAAGAAATAAACACTGTGAAAATAGTCCGTAATATTATGCCAGGCTATATCCGTAGAGAAAATTCGTGCAAAAAGCATGCATGTGCCATACAAAAATGTCTTAGAGGTATTATAACTGATTTATTCATCTTTATTACAATAACATAGATCAAGCTTTTCGATCGTCAATAGAGAAGTTAATAATAATTTAGATGATTTTATTATATTTTAGTTATAAGAGCCAAGGAAAAAGGTCAAAGAATGTTCCTTCGGGCTAGTAAAAGGGTGCTCCCGAATTGCAACTATACAAACACAAATTTGTTGATGCAAAATCACCGATAAACACGAAGAACAAGCGGAACAACCCAGTAGCAACCCAGTGACAAGCAGAACAACCTAGTAACAACCCAGGAATAAACGTAACAATCCAGTAACAAGCGGAAATATTAATTGATTGTTTAATAAATAACACTTGCCTACATGGGGACGTTTATAATCTAACTCTCTGAAGTTCGTGTGGGGCCATACTGGAAAGCATGAACCTGCTACGCCACATATGTACGCCATAGATAATCCATCATGCACCAAGAAGCACCGGTACTCGACACCACCCCACCAAATGTTAACTTTGCGCAAACAGGGCTGCACTGACATTTTTGGGGCCTCAGTCCCAGGTATATACGAGGCACAAGCCTTGCCTGTTGGACTTTAAAGAATTGATCAATGAGTCGAACAAATACATTTTTACAGTGTGTTTGAAAAATTAGAATTTATTTGCATAATATTTTATGCTTAATAAGAATGCGTCCTGTATCACAAAAAACACCTTGATACTTCTACTACCTACTACCTGAGGTGGCACCATGGTTGCCGCAGAAGGGTTAGAAGATTTTCAAATATGAGTGATTCCAGTTCACTGGGAAATGCACTCTTGCTCTACTATCGTACAGGGCTGCACAGCGAGAAGTATGGCCCTGTGCGCAAACCCATTAAATGTATGCCAAATTACGTCAGTTTTTGCACCAATGCCAGTCTCAAAGCCAAAGTATGTTGGCGTTCCAAAATTGGAGATTGCGAAATTGGAGACGCAGATTCCAGTCTGGGTGTGGGGCAAGCACATACAGGCCTTTAGGTTTCAGAGGTTTTGGGGGCCCTGGGGCAATACCATTTGTTTTTTGTAGGTGAGCTGTGAATCGCTTTTTCATTTGCTGAGACAAGCTAAATCAGTAACACATAGAATGTACTTTAAAGATGACTTAAGCCCCTTCAGTATCTGTCAATCGGCTTTAAATAGTCTTGAAGTCAAGTAGTATCCTTGGCGTGGTGGCTGATGGGGCTGGGGGCACCTGCCCATATCCTTTGGCAGTTCACCATTAGTTATCAAACATCAGTAAGTAACCCACAAATGCAAAATAAAACTATGGGGTATAATGATAAAGATAAGTTTATGAATATTTTCTAAAATCTCAATTTGGCCTACCTTAAAAGCTCTTTTAAGCCCCAGCTCTCTTTTAAGCTCCCCTCTCTATTAAGCCCCCCTCCTTATCAAGCAAAAAATTTTAAAAAAACCCCTCTCTCCAATGAAAACATATGCATTGACTGTCTTTTGACAGGTGTTATGATGATAAGATTGTGAGCATGAAATACCACCCATGTATATATTTCCTTGTGCACCTTAGAAGCCCCTTAGAAGTCAGTCAAAATTTGTTTAGAAGATGTACCAGGGGATATCAATTGAATCGGTGACTCTGAGGAAGATGAGGGCATTATAATTGATAATTGAGAACATTTGTATGACATTTTCATAACAAAAAATAATCAAGGAATTTTTATAATTTTTTTGCATTGAATTGTTAATTAGCCCCCCCCCCTTTTTTTAAGCCCCTTCTAGGACTGACAAAAGTAAATAAGCCCCTGAGGGCTTGATAGAGCTTTTAAGGTAAATCTATGTATCCTGTTGATATTTTGGATGCAGTTTCCGGACATCCCTAGAAAGATATACTTTCAACATTTTTAAAAGATCATGGTAGCTGCTTTCACTAAACTCTTTTTACAGTATTGACATTGGGGCATAGTGATGAAGGAAAGTTTTTGAAAATACATTTTGTGCATGTTATAGATGAGTTTTAGGCCATCCAATAACCTCATATTTGTCAAACAAATTATTGTCCGCTTTCATTAAACCTCTTTACAATCTAAACATATAGGCATAATCACAAGAATAGCTTATGATTAGTGTCGTCGGAAGGAAATTCATATTAGTAGGGGAAGGGGGCTGAGAAAGAATAGAAATATTATTTTTGTTGTAGCCCCCCACTTTCAATCACATTTCACCATCCCTGATAAAGTTGTACCATGCGCATAATACTCTCTAGAAGGCACCAAAAAAGGTTGGTCCCTCCTAGCCAATTTTGTCCCACTATGCCACTGAGGAGGATGCTTTTTAAGGAAAAGAGGTCAAAATTTTAAGCTGATTTTTTCGTCTTGAAATGTGCAGCCTTCTCATGCATGTTCATCTGATATTTTGCAATATTTTTTTAGGCTGGATGCTGTTACAAGTCGTATGGAAAATTGATATTAACATTTAGGACTCTAAATGATTTTTTTCTCCCTTATAGAGCACTGTTATGATCAAAACAAATGTAAGGAAGTTATTGACGATATGATCAAATGTTGTCAAAAAAATGGTGCACACTTTGATATAAGATGCTCTGGATTTAAAAAGAATTGATACTTAGGTGTATCTTTGCCAATTCTTTGGCTTCTCTGGGAAGCAATGTTGGATAGAAGGATATTTTTATCCTTGTCATTTCAAGAAGTGATCAATAAAACACAATCTTTGCTGTTCAAGAGAACTGATCAATATTTGACTCAAATACTGATTCTGTAAACATTTGTTTGAAATAAACTGCAGCACAACGCCCTGGCACTCTTTTTCTTTGGCATCATTGAGCACAAAGATGTTAACATATCAAACAATTGCTGAATGGGATACTGCAGTTTCAAAGACACAGAAGTCAGGATTGAACAACAATCTTGTGATGCTTTTCTTGGTACTAGAAGACTCATTCCGAACTTGGTAATTTTTATTTGCAGGTTTATTTATGATGTTGAAATGAACGGAGGCTGATGGAGAGTCAACCACTTTGTCTGTAATTGAAATGCCTTCTTCAATATCCAGAGGCTAGAAATTATATATTGACGTGAATTTACTTGTATTAAGTGTTAATTTTAGAATCAATACCCAGCTGCTTGTATTTTTGATTGCTTAAGTGAAGAAAAACTCAGAGGTCCTCTGAATTATTGCTGATTCCATTGTGCCTTGCTAAATATCATGATCAAATTGTGTCATTATAATTAAGGTGGTTAAGTTGCAATGTAAAGATGATTTGCTACATACCTTCTGTAAATGTGTTGCATGACGTTAATTAACAAATGTGCTTGGTTTAAACTTTAGTGTGTTTCTTTGAATATGTCACTGAAATTGGTTGTGACTCCCCATAATTTTTGTATCATGGGAATGGACAGATTTCAAAGTTTCAAATATTATAAAGAAGGCAAAAGTCATATTTACAGAGATCAAAGTAACAAAGGTCACATTTTGGAAAATTAGGATATTCTGGCCTGTGTGTCCCAGTATCGTCTCCATAACAGGGTAGGTATGTGAGTGGTGACGTTATAAAGATACAGTTAAAGAACTTTGAATTCAGACCTGTCAACCAAAAATTTCCAAAACTTTGGAGTTTTTTAATTTTTTTTAGAGAAACAGGGAGATTCAGTCAAAAATAGAAAGATCACAGGAATTGTTCTAAACTCTAAAACCTTACTCTAGGCAAACAGTTAACAACAAACATTATAACGAGAACTACTTCATAATCATTTTTACTTTTTCTTAAATCCGTAAACTCAAAAAAACAATGTTGTCTTTTAGAATGTCATTGTAATCATTTTTGTGTACATTTAGTTTTAAATGTCAGTATAAATCAGGAAGTGTTGTGTAAAGAGTGAATGTTGGTTGCTTAAGTCACATGACTATTGGCAAAACTGCCTTTACGTCAATAGGGATCTAGTTCCTAATACCTTCATTAGTCAGAGTGAGTCAGTGTATGATGCATAAGCCTATCACCATACATGTGCATTTGGGTTTAGTATCCTTTTGCCATATGAGGGTATTTCCACTAAGGGTATGTCTAAGGGTATCTTCAAATACACTCACTTGCAACATACATGTGGCTTGAGAGTTCGTAAGAGCTCTGTTGAAAGAAATAGAAAACAATGAGAAATTTTTAAGAACCTAGGAGACCGGGAAGAAGCAGGCAAAGCCTCTTGGCGAAATCGGGTGGGTTGACAGGTTTGCGAACCTGCCCATGAAATATGAAAGATATCTCCAAATGTGTAAAATCAGTTGAATCTGTTACAGATAGGATACACTAAGGTCTTTGACATATATCTGCAGAATCACTCTAGTTAGGTCCTTTGACAAGTTTCTTAAAGATTTTACTGATTTTGTCCATTTAAAGATAACTTTTAATCTCATGGCATTCTTTCAGGGTTGGTCGGTCCAAACTAAAACTCTCATATTTAAACAGAATATCTTTATGACGTCATCATTTGGAAACTTTCATGACGCTAAAAAATTTTTCCTTGATGATAGCCACTTTCCCAAGAAGAGGCTAGGCTGAAAACAGTGAAAAGAAGGCAGGTGAAGGAATCTTGGTTGTCCTCTGGATAATTAAAGATTAATTGGTCATTCCTTGTGTAAGACTTTCTGATACTGTCGATTATGCATGTTTAGATTCATAAGTTTATTTTCCGTCTTGATACGCGTGCAGGTAGAAGAATGAAATGTTTTCATCTTGCTTTAGCGCAAGTTATCTTCCTTTCCCTATGTTCACCCGAACAAAATAACTAGATACCAATAACAAGATTCGATAAAAAATTAAAAAAATTGTGTTTAAAATATCTTATACATGGCCGCTTTCGGATATTCTGTCAGTGCCAAGTACATCTCAGCTCCATGCACAAAATCGTTGCTTCCTGAGAAAAATGTATTTCTAGTTGCAAGATGTGGGAAGTCAGAGTTGTAAGAGTATTTTCCTTCCAAATTGTTACGGAGATGAATCATAGTACTCTCCATTGCTTATTATAGGATATCCTAATGTAATATTCTACATTATATGATTTTATAATAATTCAGTGTGCATAATCCATAAATTTTGTGGAAGCCTTGCACTGCATATGGATGTATCTAGTTTGTTATTGTTGCAGAAAGGATATTCATTCAGAAGAAAATGGTGCCTGCCAGACTGAAAGCTTTGGCCTGTACCCACCAGTTAATGCCCACACATTATTTAGTGGATTTTTTGCCAAGCAATTGATTTGCTGCAGCCACAGTATTAACATGTTGGCCTTTCATGTCTTTAACTTTATATATATAAATTGTCTTACATTGACGACTTGGCTTGTCCACCCAAATTTTGTAGACATAGAGTATGCAGAAATTCCCTTATGAATTTCATTCTTTAAGTTTACATTTAATACCTCTTGCTCAAGGATTTTCAACAAAGAATAATATGAACATGGTAAATTTGTCAAGGGAAATTTTTCAAATGCAGAATGAGTTACCTTCAACTCAGCTCCTAAATCTTCATAAAAGGCCTGCTTTTCAAACAGCAGTCAGCAGTTCCTGCTCAGGTTTTTAAAACTCTAATTTTAATCAGCGTTTTTGCTTATATTTGATCATATATTAAGGTCTTTATTTTCCAAGCATGTTAACTAATGTGTCATCTAATTTTATGAGACTCTTGTGCTTGTTCTTATAAGGGCAATTTATGCTCTGTGAAAAATTAAATTAGAACTGGCAGCTATTATAAACTTTTCAAATTTAAGGTTTTGAGTGAAATAAATTCTTTGTAAGAATTTTGCTTATTATTGATCATGTGCTTTTTATCTTCAGGTATCACTCAAAATGAATGATTGACTTTTGGTGAAAGTTTGTCATGTGAGTTAGCCAAAAACAACTTAGAATCTGTTTATTAACTAGGTATGTTAGGCAAGGTAAACATGTTTAAGAGTTCAGACAGATTTGCCTTGGAAACTGCATCTGAACACAACTCAGAGATGAATACTTTCAAATGTATAATTAAATTTTCTGTCAAGTCAAGCTATTTTTTGTTTTGTAAATGGTTGTTTGTCTATATTTATGTTGTTATTAGTTGAATATTTTTGTTTGTCATACTCTAATGGCCTTGAACTGTGGCAGCACTATTCAGTTTTCTCAATGTCTGATTCCAGGTTCTCTTCTCATAAACAGGTCTGCAACTCTAAAATCATGGCCAATTCTCAGCTTTCTGCCATCAGACATGGCAGATCAAGTTGTGCAGGCTTTTGTGTTTGGAGGTGCTGGAAATGAAGCCTTGGTTACCTTGTCTTCAGGAGATGTTTACAGTCTGGGATTCAATGGAAATGGTTGCCTTGGGGTGGGGGACAGCACAAGTACAATGGAACCAAGAAAAGTAGAAATTTTGTGTCAAAAAGTTTTGGTTGATTTTGCATATGGTAGTGGACCACATGTCTTAGCTGTAACAGGCATGTTTAAGTTTTCATAAAGAGTTGCTAAAATATACATTGAATTCATTAAATAACAAGGAACTTTTCCTTTATGCTTATGGTTTAGGTACCAGTTGGATTTTTAACACAGCAAATTAATGGGTTTTTTCAAATTTTTGGATCTCTTCTGCCACCTTGTCGAAATATGTGGGTGACATTCTCTACTCAACACTCCCTGTTTGATAGTTCTGTTTGATTCTAATGTTATTGAAAATAGGATGGTATCAGAAGCAACAATTTCTTTCATAAACAAGACCAAACAACACTAGGGGACTCTTGGCTGTTCAATGTGATGTCAATAATTCACAAAACTAATTGAAAACTGTAATCTGAAAATGATGTTGGTGTCATTTTGAATTGCCCTTCAGGGTCCTTGTGCAGCAGGAATTTTGCCCTTTTATATGAAGACTTCTCTTTGATCATAGATTCTGGTGATATTTACAGTTGGGGTCATGGAGGTTATGGACAATTGGGTCATGGCACTTGTGAGAAAACTATTCCTGTCCTGATAAAGACATGTTTTGGTGACCGGAAAGTGTTGCAGGCAGCTTGTGGGTCATACCACTCTATTGCTCTTACTTCTAATGGTGAAGTATGTTAATTCTTTTTTGCGTACTTATTGTTCAGAGTAGAACATTTTCCAATTAGTTCTAGCCTGTGTTAACTGATGAAACTTAGTGTGTTTGCTTGACCATGTGTTTTCGATAAGACTGGTTGTATAATCTCTCCAGAATATTGATGTTTGCAGATGTGCATAATTCATTAGGACAGTCAGTATTGCTCTTCTTTTTACTTTCATCTATGCTTTGAATTTTTCTAAAGAAAGAACTTTTTCGTCTTTGTGGTGGCTGTTTGTAAATTTCTAAATCTTTCATCTGCTTTCCTTGCTACAGCTTTCTTTTTTTGTTACCATTAAAAACTGGTATCAAAGTCTTTCATCAATGTTTTATTTGGTAGACTGTAAATATGACATCTTGTTGTAAATTAAAGTAAAACAGGCTTCCAAGCTTTTTTCTAAGATAAACATAATGCTTTCCCATACTTGCCAGCTCTTTTTATCTTGTACTTGTTTTAGATCTATTGTATGATCTAATCCAGGCAGGCTTTTTTGTTTAAGTTGATGTGAGTGAGCACTCACAATTGTGTCAGCACTTGCAAAATCCCAAACACAATTAATTCTGAGGAATAAAACGCTCATCAATTAACATATTTCTAGTCATCTTTTGTGACCCAAGCAAGTAACCTGCATGCAAACTTTAGGTGCAAGGATGGCTTAGTTGTTAGAGGCGCTGACAACAGACCCAAGGGTCCATGGTTTGAGTCCCTGGCATGACCAAACCCTCACCCAGAGTGAGGAGAGTCACCAACTCTCTGTAATTCTAGGCATAGGAATAAAGAGGTCTGGTCACATCAAGAGGAAGGACAAGGACAATTCTTGATAAGCATGAGCTTCTCACTGCTCTAAAAACTACCTTCGGATGCTAGGTAGAAACAAATTTGAAGTACTTTTTGCTTTTCTACAGGTTTATGGCTGGGGCTCAAACAACTGTGGACAGCTTGGCACTGGAAGCACCAATAACCAAACTATTCCTAAAAGAACGCTTGGATTATTATGTAATGTTATTGTGATTTATTTTTTCTCTCATATCATGTCCTTATTACCGTCTTTGTCTGCTTTTCCTCTATTTATGGCATTGCATATAACAATTTTTGAGTAACATTGGATAAAATGATGAAACTGTTGAATTGAGATAGCTTAATGGTTGTTACACAGACCTGATGTTATAAAGATATTAGCAATGGTTTTATTAAATAAATGGTTGGTGAGAGAAATAAAGTATATTGATTGGTAATAGCCATATGGCTAGTCTTTACATAATCCTAAAATGATATGCAGGTAGCACTTTTACAATTTTAATGCATCGAATGTGGGTTCTTTAGAATCAGTGTTAGGTAGATTTCTGAAACTTTCTTCCATTAGATTTAAAGTAAATATCAAACTTTTGAATAAGATTTAATAAACCTGTTTGCTAAGTGAGCAGTCTTCTTATACATGCTGTTTTCAAATCACAAAGCTTATATTGTAGTGTGCCCTGGACTTTATGTTTATGACGTATTTTCCGTCTTTTGTTGATGTTTATCAGACTGCCTTTTTTATGTTTATGACGTATTTTCCGTCTTTTGTTGAGTAGCTAGCAAGAAGGTTGCATCAGTTTCCTGTGGTCAATCATTTTCAGTAGCACGGACAGATGAAGGCGAGGTTGGTTCAGCAGTCAAATTCAATTCTTGTACCTTTCTGTTTTTTTATTGACATCCGTTAAAGGTTGGGAGTGTTTGAATAGAGTATGTCAAGAAAAAATTTTGATTTACCGATCCAAAAGTGAAAACAAGGGTCATCAAATAGTTTCATTGTAACCTTTATTTATGAATTTATGAAGTACGCCTGCAAAAAAGTTTCTTGCGATGATCACATGGATATTCTCCGAAGTCTAATTGTGACCCTATTTTTTTTTTACCAAAGCCAATAGTTTGTCCCCTAATAGTATCAAGGACTGTTGCGATAGTGAGACATGGGGCGAAGGGGTCATAAAAATGTTTCTCTTTGGAAAAGTTTCAATGCAAAATCAAGGAGTTTTTGCTATGTAGGGGTACTTCATCGGAAAATTTCCATACTTGTAGGCAAATGAAGGATGGTTCACTCACTTAATAGTATAGTTAATTGCCTTTTTGGAAACTGCTTTATCGATTGGTTTATTAAAAAGATACTCAGTTGAGTTTTTTGGGCTCGAGCTAACTTGCAGACTGAAACAGCTCATCAGGTTTTTGTTTCACTCTAGTTATTTGCTTGGGGTTATAATGGCAATGGACAGCTTGGTATTGGCAACACAACAAATCAGCACTCGCCATGTAAAGTGCTTATTGGTGGTGGAAGAGTTATTGTCAAAGTTTGTAATTTTTTGAATATTTGTATAAAAGTTAAAAAATTTCTCATATGAACTAGACTAATTCACATATAAATTTTGGAAAAACCACAATTGTGATTTCAAAATTTTCATTGAGAAATACTTTGCATTTTTCTAAAGCTTTTTAGCAATAAGCATGCATCTTATTGTAGAGTAAGGTTACTTAGATATCAATGTGGAAACACATTTCTTAAGATCTCAAAGATTTAAAGAAATTGAGCAAAATGAAGTGCGTTTTATTTTTTGCTGCTTCCTATCACGATGTTTGATAAACCTGCAAGTTTATTTCTTCAACGAAATAAATTGTGCATTTTTGTAGTTGTTTTACCTTAATCAAAGTATCACCTGGGTATTTCTGCTCCATTGCTGTATACAGGTTCTTTGTGGAATGGCACATGTGCTGGCTCTCTCAGACATTGGTGAGCTTTATAGCTGGGGTGCCAACTCATATGGTCAAATCGGTGTTGGCAACACTTTGAATACGTCTGTGCCGAACCTGATCAATTCAGTGGAAGACAGGCAAGTGATATCGCATTGTTCAATTGCGCGCACATATAAATATATCTGACATATGTATGTATATGTATCTGTCTGACCTGTCAACCACTACACTGCATTATCTTACGAAACGTGTTTCAAACCCTGTAGTAATGCGTATGGAAGTATTATTCGTGATTCTCGCTTTGAAGTGTTATTACTAGCTTTTACTATTTCTTGTCTTAATTTCAGATGGTCTGACATTGCAGCACATCATTATACCCACATATCGGCTGGCCTAACTGTCTCTAACAAGGTAAGACAACAAAATTGAAAAGATGGCCCCCTTGTTTTACTAGCAAAGTAGGACTCGTGTTTTGCACAGGCATAAATCCAACAGCTGCAATGAGTGCAAAGGAAGCCCACTCGCAATCTGAATCCTTCAATAACTTGAAATGCTATTACCGCTAAGTAAATATAGAGTGATTGTCAACAAATTTGTCTTTGAAGCTTGCTTGATGTTTCTATCTTATTTACAAATTTAGCTATATTGGTAGATTCGAAAATATTATTTAACAGCCTTATTAAATAGGGCAGTAACATATTAGGTATTCCGATTTACCTCATGTGCCTGCAAATGACTGGATATAATCCAAGCCAAACTTTCGTTAATATTTCTAGATAAGTCAACGTAAACGCTTTCTACATGAAAGACGGTAAGTTACTCAATATTTTGCATTGAATGGCTAGCATAGGACTAAATTCGCACTCCCCAATAGTGTCTATTGTTATGATCTTTCAGGTTTATATGTGGGGTCAATGCCATGGTCTGACGCTGCTTACACCACGGAAAGTTGCTGTCTCTTCCCTTGATGAAGTTTTTGCTTGCTTTGGAATGCCACAGGTGATGTTTAGACCCATCACTGTTGGTAAGAAATTTTCTCAGCATTTTTCTATAACGAATCTCTGTCAATTATGATTTTAGTTGTAAACTTACTGCTCTTTGCTTTATAAGTTCCCTTCAAATTTTAACAGTTTTTTTACTGCAATTTAGGGGACATTTACACAAGACTCGGTTGATTTTTCAAGTCTCCTGCTTTCTTAAATGTGATTCTTCACCCAATGTTTTTGTAGTCCAGATCTTGGTTATTAGAAATCTTGGTTAATAAATGAAGTTTGTTTCTATGATATGAAGAAGCTTTACTTCAAATTTGGGCATTCTTTTTTCTTGAATCTTTCTGTGTTGATTTCTTTGCAGATTTGTGCACGGGACAAGGTGTAAAGGAATCGATAAAAGATGCATTTAATGACAAGGTAAGGATATCTTTTGCGTATTAAACAGAAATAGTTTTTTGGCCAATTTTTTAAAAAGGCAACAGTTTCATGTGGTTTGTACTTCTGCCGCTTTGCAAATTGCTTCTAAAATATTTTCCAAGCTTTGTTTAACTTTCCCACTTTTCTGAAAAGTTTGATTAAAAAGTGTGTTTTATTTTATATTGCCTTTTTGATGTTGTTGTTTAGCTATATATTGTTTTATGTTGCCTTTTTCAAAATCTCTTGAAGAGCATCTCACTACCTTGGCTGCTGGTGTCTCATCTGATGACCAATATATTCATTCTGTTTCTCAGAATAACTATTGAAATTAAATCCTCTGTCCACTTTTTATTTAACCTTCATGTTGGACTATCTCTTCTTCTTCAGCTTATTCAGTTGCTGTCTTTGAAAAACGTTTTCTTTAGCTTTTTTCGTCACTTCAGAGTTCATCTGGCACCTGTTCTGATGTGACATTTCTTCTCCTGTTTCTAGGAAAGTTCTGATCTGACATTCCTTGTTGAAGGGGAGCCAATTTACGTTCATAAAGCGATACTCAAAATAAGGTAATTATTGCTTTCAAAAGAAACTCAAGCTTAATATATTTTTAAATTACGTGAAGCCCCTTCTGTTCTTATCACTATTTATTAATCGTTGAATTGTGTATGCCTGTTTGAAACGTTCTCTCGGAATTTCGTATATAATAACATTTCCTTTTAAAATCAGAGATGTAATGCTGTTTCGAATATTCCTCTTTTAATTAATGTTTTTTTCGTAACTAGATGTGAGTATTTTCGCTCGATGCTGCAGTCACATTGGGAGGAGTGCCAAAAAAGGTATGGTTTTGACGAATAAAAGACATTCCCTAGTATTATATGCTAGATTTGTGGTTGGTTTTGTATAACTAATTGGTTGCAGGCCTTGCTCTCATCGAGATTATCAATGAACTCACCATCTTGTAAATGGAGGTGCTATCCATGTAATATTAAGCATCCGAGTGGTGGTGAATCAAAGAATATGCTCCTTTATACATTCAATACTAAAAATTACAAATAAAAGCCAGAATTTTTGTGAAAAATTGAATATTCAATTCATAAATTTTTCGTAGGTTGTGCGAAGGGTGTTTAGATTTATTTCGAAGCTTTTACAAAGAAGAAGGTCTTGTGGAATTTTTTCTGAATTATCCGCGTATAATTTTCATTGTTTGCATATGACTGTCCGATCTGCATTCATATTGATTTGGCTTCTATTCTTTCATCATATCTTTTATTCTTTTGCTTTGCAGCGAAATCGAGATTTCCAACTTCAGTTTGATTGTTTTTAAAGCTTTTCTGAAATTCCTTTACACCGAAGAAGTGGATTTGCCCATACACGAGGCAATAGGTTTGTCTTTGTTTTGTTTATGGTGCTTCTTTTTTCATTAACTTATTATAGTTCCAATGAATGTTTGAAGGTGATACTAGAGATTCAGTGCTCATTGTTATAAAGGGATATGGCTTGATTCTATCAATTAAATTCTTGTTTATTTTATAAAACCAATGATAAGCCAGTTTTTGAGTATTTGTTTAGGCCTGAAATTTAGATCTCTGTATATTAAAGCTTGTTGTTTCCTATACATTTGATAACAAGACTATTTTTATCTGGATCAAAGCCTATCATTGTTGTACAAAAAGTGCATTGAAAAGGTTGTCTTGTGGCATGTTTGTATCTGTAATTGTTTTTGTATCCGTGATGCACATTTATGTATCTGTGATGCACTGTTGTAGACTGGCTGCCATGACTCAATATCATCTTAAAGCTTTGTTGCGGATTTTTCATACCCGTAGTTGCCATTACGAATACATCTGTGTTTAAAATCATTGGCGTATCGCGCGCCATTCCATTTTTTTTGTTTTTCTTCCTCCTGCATTTTCTTATAACAGGTTATATTTCCTGGTCTTTCACACAGGACTGCTTGATCTTGCAAATTTGTATTGCGAAGAAAAGCTGAAGCAGAAATGCGAGAGTCTGATTTTGCAGAGCATATCCGTAGAGAATGCCGCAATGTTAATGGAGGCAGCCATCAAATACAACGCCAAGGTAAATATACTAGGGGGTGAATCTATAGTGAGGGAACTTGAAGGTTATCACACCTCATTACACCTTCTGCCAAATCAAGAAGTACATATAATGTGAAGTAAAAATACAGTGGTTAGGGTCGTGGATTCAAAGGGTTCGAATCCCTGCCATGATCAAACTTTCCCTTAGAGTGAGAGTTGCCAGCTGCCTGTAATTCTAGACGTAGGAATCACAAGGCGTGGTCACTTCGAAAGAAAGGTCTAGGGCAATGCTTGATAGGCATAACTTCTCGGTGGCTTAAAAACTACATTCGGAAGCTAGGTAGTATCAAATAGCAAGCAATGCAGTACATACAGATTTCTTTAGTTTTTTCACCAATTTTACTACATTCGGCAGCATTTTTGCGTTTTGGTTTCAAGTCAGAAAATTGACGTGGCTACTACCTGCAAATGTTTCAAAATACATATATGTTTATTTATTGTACATATTTGCTTGTTTCTATTTTCTTTGTATTATAATGCTGGTGCAACCACTCCGTAGATTTGAGCGGCCTTCCATCTCACAAATTTTGTCTATCTATATTTCTCTAATTTTCTTGCAGAACCTGGAGGATTTTTGCTTCCATTTCATTGTATGTCACCTCACTGCTGTGACACAAACAATCTCCTTTAAGGCACTGGACGGCGAAACGGTCAAAAACTTGATCATAAAAGCAAGTGAGGCGGGCGCGTTCAAGCGTTGAGCTTTCTTTGCACGCCAATAGACATTATAGCGTCACAACTCATATACGAAGACCATTTTGACGTTAAGTACGTGATATAGATCACTGTTTCACCTGTATTAAGTTATCTGTCTGTAAAGAAGATAACTAAGCTAGTTGATGCAGGATTCATTAAAGGGATTGGAAAGAACAAGTCAAAATCTATTTGGCTTTATTGACTGGCTTACAGGTAGAATTCAGATTAGTTACCTAGGGTTTGACAAAGGACTAAATATGTTAAGGACTGAATGTGTTAAGTGCATAAAACAGATGCTTCTCTTCGTCCAAAATTAAACAAGATCTTATGATTACGCCCTAAGGATCAGCCAAAGGTCACAACTACGGTCATAAAGATAAAAATTCATTGTTGGTCTTTTTTATTAGATAATTGCTAGGATGTATGTCTCTTTTGATAAAAGCATGTCTCTCTACGCCTTATATACCAGCATGCAATTTAGTATAATCAAGTATCCCCAGGCCCCCGAAAATCAATACGGCAGAATATTAAAAACATAGGTGGTCAACAGCGTCCTAGATTTTCAAGACAACATGAAGAAAAAGGGTTTTGTCAATGAATCTCGTCATTGGAATGAACTGATAGAGAGTCTTTCCGTTGCCATATTTGAACCCAATTATGGTGTCTCTTTTCTGTACACATTGAGCAAAAATTGATGATGACGAAGGCTCGTTGATATTTACTGAATTTTACGTTTTAGGGAAAATTTATCTATATATTGCATACAGACTATCGATTCTGAGTAGCACTTCACTTCCAGATGCAGATTAGCTGTACCTTATTGTTATGGGGGTCAGATCTCAAAACTAGTAATTTCCCAGGGACTCAGATCTGCTTGGTACAGAACTGGAAAACGCTTGATCGTCTTGATGATATAAATATGTGTCTAATTAGTCTTGTTTTGATACACATAAATGCTCTATGTTTTTGTAACAAAATTTTGCTTTAGTTATTTTTAGATATACTTTCAGCTTTTGGTTAGTTGGCTCGAAGTTTTTTAAATGTTACTCTTGAACAGCATTCTAATGGATGCTGATGGATATGCAATTAAAGAATTGTTCTAGAGTTCATTAATTCGTGTTTCTGTGGGTGTTTGTCTTGAATATTTCTTTTTTTTATTATCATGAATTCTAAAACTGAATACACTATAATTTAGATGTGCCAGTCATAGCGGAAAAGACACAAAGTCATCAAGTTTCCACTATGAAAGGCACTTACAATATTAATTAGAGTTAAATACAACAAACTCGAAAGCAAAAAAGACACATAACAAGTACATGGCAAACAGTTACTGTACTTAAACGAGACAGTGTTGCTTCAATCCAATTTTTGCCAAAATCCAATAATCTAAACTAAAATCGTTTCGTTTTATTTATGAAAGAAGCTGTTTCCTCTATAACCATTTTGTTAACATTAGCGTCAAAATTGCAACTTCCAAAAAGTAGAAGGTGACAGAATGATCTAGGGTCCATATCCGAAGCAGTGGAATTAGTCATCTTTTCAAGATGGCGAAAGAGATCTTGTCGCAATATGTCTGGAATATGAATGAGCTTAAGTTTTTTATAAGAATGCTAAAATAGATAAAATGAATAAAACCAAGCTTGGTTTCTTTTGAAATACGTGCATTTTCGAAATTTATGTATAGATAAATTCATTTCTATTGATATTTCTCACTTTGTAAAAATCCTTACATACAAAATTTTGCTTTAGATATTTTCGCATCTAAATATTTTACTTTAGATTGATGCATCTAGTCAATTATTTACACTGTCTAATTAGAAGCAGCAAATACATTAAAAATTGTTCAGCAAAAAATGCTCATAATAAACCCTTGGTGCTGTGCATGCTGTCATTGCAATAGTAATAAAGATATTGGTGTTCTACTGTACCGAAAAATTACAAAATGCAAAATAAAACGAATTTATATAGGAAAGATATCACATTGAAGTTTCAATTAACCCTCAGCTTTAAAATGCAAAGCGTTCCAGTCCCACGTGCTTTGGCTATTAAGATTGCCATGGTGCAGATGATATCCTATTTACGGTTCATAAGCTATCAGTATGAGATGGAACTTGACGAAGGTCACGTATCTCGTCTTTAGAGAAAAAACTATCAATAGATGAGTAATTTTTCTGAGTTAGATTAAGGTCGGAATTTTAGGTTCCTATGGTTGTCTTTGGACCACATTCAGCAGAAACGGCAGACTTAATTATGCAAAATAAATCTAGAATCAGGATATTTTCAGATATGCGTTCGATACTCTTTAGGCCTACTTTTAAATTGCACAAATACATTTATCGTTGAAAGGAAACAAAAATAGTATCATTGTCAATTTGTTCATGCTTTTGGTAAAGTTTGTTGCTTTATCAATTTTGGCTCCTCCAATTGAATAACAAAGTTTAAAACAAGCAAAACCGTATGGCGCGTTATGAGGTAAAATACTTTCGGGACTAAGAGCTTAAAACTCTACAATTCTGTAGAATTATTTTAGTAGAACTCTTTTTCTTAGCTTAATGATAAATTGTTGTGTCTACATCATTTTACCCAACTTTGGAAAGCTAGCTAGCTAAAGCAAAAACCTTAATTTAGATAATTGAAGGGAACTATGCTTATATGCCATGAAGCTAGAGGATGTGAAAAGGTTGTATGCAAACCATCACAAAAGTGTGTTGTTACTTCTTGGAATTCAATTTTTTGTCATAGGAAATGCTTTTGTTGATATGTATGTACCTCTGTCTTTTCTTTTTTTACCTCTATATTCTGCAAAAAGTTAAGTAGAGTAAAACTGATGCAGGTGCCTGACGATCTACTTTAGCCACAACCCCCACGGTATGCTCTGTTAACTATTGACAGTCCCCAATCTCAGACCTTTCTTTATCGGAAAAATGCAGCACAGTTCTTGAAGTGTTTAGCTGATATCATGCAAGGCGATGTTATCAGTTCCAACGTTTTTCGGTGACTCATTTCTGTGCAGCTTATGGTATTCGTTGTAGGTGATCCATGTCTGTTTCAAGAAGGCTCTCTTGGACCTAGTGCACATGAGTAGAATAATGGCAAGGAGCAGAATTCCATAAGCAAATCCAGTGATAGCAATGAAGTATATACCATTCCCAGCCAGCCCAGAGAGTTGGTATTGCGCTGTGGAATAGACAATTTTACTTCTCAAATAAACATCAATGTGATGCGAGTATCATCAGGCATCAGAGGTGGCATTTCAATGAAAGTTATCGCACAGAAAACCGCAGCAGTTCGAGTTTCTCACATAAATTAATTAAACCTTATATCCATTTTATAGCTGATGAAAGAGTACAGTCATTGTCGTTGAAAAGGTGAACAGTTTCTTGGTCACTGAAGCTGCGCTCTAACATATTAACTACAAACAAATTTTGTCTATGTCCTTCTTTTTTGTTCTACCAGTAAAAGGACCACCGAGAAATTGCTCGTAAGATTTTTTCAAAAATATCAAACAATTTTTTGGAGGTTTTTCTTAAATTGAAGGTGTGGAGTTGCTTTCAGTTTCCACTATCCAATAAACTTCTCTTATAATTGATATTTTTGTGGATAGATTGTTGCAGAATGTTATCAAATCTTTGGCACTTTAAATGGGTATCTCTATAGCGCACAAAAGTCATGTTTAAACTGTTGATCATATAGTGTCGAATCATGAAATGCAAATGCTAGGACCTTAAATGTCAGTTCCTGTGGTCGCAGTTCAAGAGTCGTCACTATGAGGCCATGCCATCGAGAAATAACTCACCTTTGCGAATGACAACTTCGGCATAAACATTACCCAAAGTTCCGTGTTCATTCTCCTTCATGAATTTCAACATGAAATCTCTTGACCACTGCGACAGAGCAAAGGCAAATCTCAAAGTCAGCGTACTTGAGCTAAAGAAAGCAAATAACATATGATGCTTTTGAAGATAATTACGTTATCAATTATCTATCTGGGATGGGAACATTTGTTGAAGACAACGTGTGAAGTGAAAATTCTTTCTATTGTGAAATACTATACATTTATATAAAAAGTGGCATCAGTTTTCTCAAAAGTGGCATTGATTATCAAGACTATTGATATTTATTCACAAAACAATAATGTATTGCTTAAAAATATCGCCTTATCAAACTATAGATGTGGCACCAATCAGACTTAAAGGAGTAGCGAGAGAGAAGTACTTAAATGAAACGATTTCTTTATTTTGTTCTTGGTCGGTTTCTCCGTCATTTCACAATAGAGTGTGACGTCATAAATCTTTTACTTTTGAACACATAACTATAAACAACACCTTGCAATGCCTCCAAAAGCACAAAAAGCGTTTAACCTATTGCCAACTGACTGAGATATGGCAAGGAAAAGAGCTGAGTTTTGCTAATGGATGGCCAGGTTCATAGATTTTAAAGAATCAAGACGAATTTGAGTGATTTGATGAGGAAGGGCCTATACTCATGCTGCCTTTTCTCAGCTACTTTGAAGCAAGTCCACTGTAATTTTCTCTCAACCAACGAGCATTTATCTTGAATTTTCTTCAACAAATTCAAACATGAAGAAATTAAGGTGTCGTTTTTAAATTTCTTTTGCATTTTACGATGATATTGATAAGTGGTTACAGCTGTTGGGCGGCCAACATTTTGCAGAATCTTGCACAGGGAACAACTTTTGCGTGAATCTTGGGTTAACTTACCTTGTAACAGCACTTATACCAACAACTCTGCCAACACCTCTGAACTGTCTATATTTCTAGAAAATTATCAAATGTTTATACAATGGGAGACAGAACATTCTGCACGATCGATTGAACATGTTATATGCATTGTAATGACCAGCTTTATACCGTGCTATTGCATAAAAACAGACTGTTTTCAAAGGGGTAAGGGGTGAAAGGGAACCTTGCATATGGGAAGGTTCCAATTCTGTAAAATTTCTATAACTTCAGAGTACAATACAATTGTGTGTGCACAGTTTTGTTAGGACACTGGAATCTTTACAAAACTATTTCAAATAAACGTAACACCCCTTTCATTCAACTGAAAGCAAACTTTGATAGCTATCTCATATTTATGATAATAAAGAAATCCACTCTTTTACCATATCTTAAGAATATCATCAGATAAAATACTTACTCTGGAACCAATGCTACCTATGCATTCCGGGGCAATCCCTTCCAGAGCAAATGGGCTAAAAGTAACAGTGTTTCCAAAAATGCCTTCGAGGTATGACGCATGGCAAACTTGAACTGCAAAGAAAAGGTTATTCTTGATATCAATATTCTGATAGACGTAGTTTAATTGAAAGACTGAATTTTGGTCAAGTTCATACTTGTATTCTAGATTAAATATTCCATATTTCTTGTATTTCATAAAATGTTATATTATATCCCTTATGTGTTGTTTTGTTGTGTTCTACATTTCAGAAAATTAAATGCAATGAAAATATCTTGGATCTTACACCTCTTTGTCGTCTAGAAATAAACAAATCAACTTCATGTAAACAGAAACCTGAATTTATTTCAATTCAAAATGGGTTACTGCTTTTTTGAAAATGCTTTTTATAAGCATGTAGTTACAAAACCTAGTGGTCAACTAATGAGGGTCCACCCTTGCTTTTCCCGGGGGCCCTGGATTGCTTGTTGCACCCCTTGTAAAATTGAAACTGCATACCTCCATTGTAAGATATCCCAACATTCGCTTCCTCTTCTATATGCATCCTTACTTTTCCAAAGATCCACTCTCCATCAGATATCTGTCTGCTGAACCGTTCACAAAAGACCGAGCAGCATTTGTAGTCGGCTGTTATTGATAGTAGAGTTTCCCCACTGCCTGGAAGACTTGAAAAACACAAAAATTTCAAATATTTCTATACAGTTATAATGAGCAATATAAACGGTTTTGTTCAGAGAGATATGCAACAACGGGTGCCAAAAATACTGCTAACAAACAAAAGATATAATAGTTTAAGAGACCCACATTAGCTTATTTTGTCTAAAACTGTTTGGAATAGCGTTCTAAGCGTTGTATAACATAAAAGGTTTGGACAGTAAAAATTGTGTTGCATTGTATGAAACTTCAGAAGACTTCGTGATAATCTGCCTAAAAACAAGGAAGAATTCTACTACCAACAGACCCTTAAATATAAGTTTTTTCCAGTTAGTCTTCCTTATACAACATAAAGTTTTTAAAACTGAACTTTTCCTTGAGGGGAAAACCACCAAACTAACATAATTTGAAAGAATCAGGTATTAAAAGTCTTGGGAGTAGCAGAATTGAATTTTATTATAAACTTACTTTATGCCGTCGTATCCAACATTAGTGATAACTCCTCTGGCAAGATTAAACGATATCAACTGTAGAACAAAAATACCTTTATGGTTTTCGTCTAAAATAAATTAGCATAATTTATTATCATACCCCTCTTTTTAATTGTCGGCATTCAAAGCCTTACCTTATAAAACGCACAAAATTTCTTAAATTCCAAGATATTTGGAAAAATGCAAGATTTATCTAAAAAACTGCAATGAAAACGAATTATAGAATTTATGCCTTAACTGTTGCTACAGACATAGAAGCATGAACATTTAATGAGGGAGTAAATTTTAAATAACTTGAATTGTATAAAGAAATTTTCGCAGGCTGATGAGTAGAAAAGAGATTGCACTGGCCCAAAAAATTGTAGGGCCATTTCATCAGAGAACAAGCGAAAATTTCGTATGCAACAAGGGAAAGGTCCATTTTTTAAATAGAATGATAACAACATAACTTGAAATGTAATTATGAAGACTTTTTTCGTACCTCGCCCTCTGTGATATTCCCTTGGCTTGCAGACAAGTTGAAGCAACCTGTATTTGAGAATGTGTTTACAACAGCCACTTCCTCGTCCAGTTCTATTGAGAATGTTGTCTTGTTGGCTCTTAGTATTAGTATAAAATTAAGATAAAATATACAAAGCAAAATTGTGATGCTCGTCAGAGAGCCCATCTTCAAAGATCCGACTTGTACCAACTATCAGAAAGCTTGGGCACTAAAGACGGGGGGGGGTCATGATTTCATTTTACCAATGGAGAAATGTTTTGAAATATCTGATTAGACTGATGAAAAAGCGAAATTATTTAACAAACTTAGTTGAATAAGAAGAATACACGCACATGTCTATGACGCATTTCAACCCGGGATCTTCTTGTAAACGCTGTAACTTTTCCCCTTCATGCAGGTTTGCATCATAACATGCAAAAATATTACTGTCCATTGACAACAGGTGAAGTAGTCACCATGGAACTGAGAGCAATGTTAAGCAGGTTTCAATATTCTTCAACCCCTCAAAGAAAATCTACCTTTTTATGATACCCATGCTGCAGAGGAAGTGTACAAATTACAAGAGCTTTAATTTATTTCGCCATGCTGAAAACGATGGTAAAAATTGATCGCTTTTGTTGTATTGGTCGGTGTGGACCTTGCAAAAGCCAGTTTTGAAAAAAGCGATGCATGGAAGATAGATTAAAAATAAACCACAAAATTGACAGACATTTCAGTGACTTTCTTTAAATGTAAGATCGTAGTGTATAGAGATCAGGGTTCTGGTCAAGCCTGTTTCCATTTCCCAAGCTCGTGAAGAAACTAGAGAATGAAGTCTAGAGCTGGGTTTTCATTATCAATGCAAAAACATGACCAGTTTATGTTCGTTTATTATTGTTCTTTTGCGACATTTTCAGCGAGATGGCCATTTATTTATTCCATATTAATGCCTCGGAATACCTCGAGCATAAACAACTTGATAATTATCAGAACATAAGCAATTAAACTTGAAAGGAAAGCCATTACTTATTTAATATTTGACACGCACTGACAGGTTATTGCAAGCATCTATGTATCGAACATTTACACATTACGTTTATCGCTAAATTCAATTTCCAGAATTACGATCCTAATATTTACCTGCCACAATAATTTTCTTTCTTGGTCACCAGACTCCTTTGTAGATGGAATTCCTTTAGGCTGCTTTAATCAACAAGGAACCAGGAGGTATAATCAAATAGGTTACTTTCAAGTGCAGGGACGCGCATTTCTATAGGACCAACTTATTAAAACTAATTGATTATTAAAAACCCACTCCTAAGTTAACAAAAAAGTAGGAAACCACAACTGCTCGAAAATTTCTTTAAAAAATCGGACGAAAATGATTCTTTTACGATAAGGCATCTTGTTTTGGCAAAATTCTTTAAAAGACCTATAGACTTTTACTACTCAAGTCAACAAAGTCCTTTAGTTGCTTATAAACATGTGTAAACCTGGATAAAAAAGGATCATTAACACTCGGAAAACTCCTCAAGAAACCTTTATCATCAACCTTTACCAAGTCATCAATTCTTCAGTAGACTTCCACGTGCAATCTTTTAAGGTAAAATTAAACGAACTACTGTCATTTAATTAATAAAGGTTTTATGTCTTTATTACATAAAACAGCTACTCCACCCCCCTAGTGTCATACTCTTTTGTGCTAGCATTGAAATATGATGCGAATCTGCCTTTTTCCATCCACTCTTTAGTACTGCCTCACACTTGAGATGCCAAACAAAAAGGATGCTCATCTCAAACCAGTGGCAGTTTTAGGGACTTGCGGGGCCCTTGGTCTTTACGATTTCTATCTTTTTTCTTAGTTGTGGGGCCCCTTTTAGCTACCATAAGCGGGGCCTGGACCCTCCTTAAGACTGCCACTGTCTCAAACAAATAGCCGAAAGCTTAAAAACACCTTTCTGAGGGTTCTTTGGAAGCTGCATCTGCACAGTGATCAAGACTGAGTCAGATATTTGTCGCAGTGACGGAGCATCCATGGTTAAATTTGCTAAGATAATAGAAAGAGATACCGCAAGCATTACGAAGTTATATACGAACTGGAGGTTTTGTTGTCTAACTTCATTCAAATTAATCACATAACTGTTTTAAAATCTTTTTTCTTGCAGTCCATTCATCACAAATATCAAATAATATGCCTCTAGTTGAAAACCTAAAAGAAGTAAAGTTGAACATTCCAGAACAACGCATTTAAAAATTTTCTAATACAATTTTCTAAAAATCATCAGAATTTTTGGAAATTAACTTGATAGACTTTAGCAGTGAATGGACTAACAATAATAGCAAAATATAGACTACACAACTGCAATCAATTTACCGTTTTACAGCATGTCCAAATCACAACTGGGAATTAATGCGATATTAACATCAAGAAGGTAACACTAGAACAAATATATTAGTTAATTACATGCTAATTTTCTATAAATTCTGTAATTACCATGGATCAATCAGCTGAAAATAAATTAGCTAGGATTCAAAATTTTCCAAGTAAGATAAATTAACTTGACAAGAAACAGTGTTCTGACGTTAGGATATATTGGCAGTAAGACTTTATTTCATGGCTGCATAACTGAGACCGTTGCTAAGTTCTGAAGTTTTAAAGTCAATAATAATCTATTTTCAGAACTTTTTACTTTGACCACATTTTATTTAAAGAGCATTACGAAATACCTCTAAATATGTAAAATAGGCTAAATATGGTAAAAAGTGAGTGAGATTTTAAGCTCGCTAAAAGACTACTATTATTTTTGCCTAAATCATAAAATCATCAACTTAGACCTGTACTCATATGGCCGCATCTCAGCCAATTTGTAACACGTTTAGCCGATTTTGCACATCTAGAGGTATTTTATGTCACCCTTTCTGTTATGTGATCAAAATTCAAAAATTCTAAAGATCGATTTCTGTATTGTCACCATTTAAGAACTTTAGATAAATAACAGAATATGATGAAAGGAAAACTTCACTTTTCCAAACATTTGCGATGCTATTTGGGGCCGTGGAAGGATGGAGCTTTCATAATTGGAAAATATACCCAGTAGGTTTTGTAGAAGTTGCAAAAGGCGTGATTCAGCGATGGGGAAATGACGGTTTTAAAATGTTTTGAGTGAAATGTAGATAAAAGTGATTATTTGACAAAGTACACAAATTACGTTTATAGAAATTATGCTTCCATAAAAGCGTTACAACGAAAACTTGGCTTCTTTTAGGGAAGTTTTGCTACTTGGTAAGGTTGCTGAATCGAAATATGGTTTGAATAACGTGGCTATTAGAAACAATTTCTATCTGTAAGGGTCAGACAGTCGTACGTGAAAACTCTAACTTTAATAATTACTATATATATTCGCTATCATTTTCAAAGTCAATATGTGTGTGAGGGGGCCTGCCCTGACGCTTAGATTTGTTACAAAAGGCAAACAGTGATAAGATATTGCAAACTTTTACACTAGAAAAAGAATTTAAACGGAGAAATAGTTGAATATCTACTGAACACTCTTCTTTTGGTTTCTTCCTTAAATGTCACTAATAATCTCTAATTGTATTTGCGTATAACACATCAGTATAATCTTCATTCATTGCGATAAAAACCTGTTGAAAGGGAGAATGAACTTCACTCCGTATCATTAGTCATAAATTAATGATACGTTAAGCATAAAATTGCTTTTAACATGCAGCAAACCAATCATTAATGGATACGTCCTTATCATGGTCACCTCTAAACAACAGACATATACTTTGTTCTGACATTTCTCTAATGCATTCAAAGTCTAGTACAAGTAAACCATATAGACAATAGACCCCTCATTCCCTTCAAAGGAAAGCACCCTACAAAGGAGAGCACCCTACAGAGGAGAGCACCCTACAAAGGAGAGCACCCTACAAAGGAGAGCACCCTACAAAGGAAAGCACTCTATAAATTAAAGCACCCTATAAAGGAGAGCATCCTATAAAGGAGAGCACCCTAAAAAGGGAAGCACCTTACAAAGGAAAGCATCCTACAAAGGGCAACATCCTATAAGGGATAATGGGGTTTTATCTATAATTGTCCAGTAGTGCCAACAACTGTAGTCAGATTAAAACTAAAAAACTTTTGTTATATACGAGGCAAAATTGATTCTTGAACAAACAGATTTATAATTTATAAATGAAAGTTATACGCTCTATGTACTCTAAAATAAATAGTTTGGGATCTTTTTATTCATGATATTTGGGAAATTGTAAATAAGAGTTTAGTTTGTTAACAGGTTTTTATTGTTGTTAAAAGACCCTTTAGAAACCATCGCCTGTTTTGAAGGACTACCCTTGCTGTAGATAGATATATAAAAATAATAGAACAATGAAATTTCATACTGCATGAAGATCGCCAATGAAATCCATTAATCGATATGTATAACTAGCAGTTGGCTAGCAGATAGACATTTTAGAGGGCAAGGACTTAGAGCGGGTCGCTTCATTTTCTTAAGCTTAGTTGAGAAGGAAATCTCAAGTGGAATTTTATCTACCTTTCTTAGCAAATAAAGTTTGTCGTGTTATCTTAACCAGTGACAGAAATTCAGCTGTTTCAGAGGTGTGTGGGCAATTCAATGAAAAATTTCCAATAAGTGGTTGCAATAGGGGGATTGCGGCTGACCCCATATAGGGGGTTGCCTTTGGCCTAGCACCATAGCACCGTCACAAATCCCAGTTTTTTGAAATGCATTTGATAACGAGGCTTAACATTGAAGATTATCAAGCGAGAAAAAAACAGCCAAACTTACATCTCATAGTTTTACATTAAACCCATTTCTTCAAGGGCCTGCTTGATCTCTCCATCCTAAAAAAGTAAGTTAACGTTAGAAGATGAATTTACTAAAGATTTTGTGCCAAAAGCTTCACAAGTACTTTTTGAATCTATGAAACAATGAGAGGAGAGACAGCCGGAGTCTCATGCATTTGGCAAGAATTTCATGCACTCGATTAGGGAGAAACAAGATCTTGTACAATAGAAACAATTCGCGGTTATAAAGCGATTCCCGGAAAGGTGCTCGATGCACCTTAAAATAGCCATAGAGTGCGCCTGTAAACGTAAAATGATATTGTCACGAAGCAAATGAAACTCAAAACAGCTTCTCAAATGACGGCGATATTACGATTTATAAGACATGCACAAGAGTCAATGTCGCTAATCTTTGGTGACATTTTAAAGCCACATCTGCAAGGATATGTTTCGAAAGAAAACGTAATCTTCATGTATTACATATTGCTTCCGTCTATATGAAAAGGGTAAATATGTGATTGAAAATACAAACATATATAAAACGCTTTTGAAAGTGGAATTAAATGAAAACGCAATGATATTTGCACCGTTTCCGTGTAAACTGAAAACTTTTGATTCTTTTTCATGAAGTTGATAACTCAACCTTTGAAAAACATGACCTAAAACCTAATCACACAAAAAATACAACACAATATCGCAACCAGAGGTATGGTGCCGTGGGAGTTCAGTACCCATTGTCAGTGCCACAACGGGGTGAATTTCTATTTTTGCTATTGTTTTTGCAACATTTTGCGTGAGAGCGCCCTCAGTTCTTATCATAGCTCTACACCCATTAATTTCATCATATCATATTACACGAAAACACCTACGACTGCGGTATGAAATGAAAACGGTGCTGTGTTTCGTGTAAACCACATTGGGATTTGGAAATGGATCAACAAAGAGGCTACCTTTTAGTCATGCAATAAAGATATCGTCTAATAATGACCTCCTTCTCGTGATACACACACGTAGTGATAATTAAAGAGCACTTCAAGTGAAGAGGGTTTATAAAAACGAAAACCAGATAATTGGAAAAATCTAAACATCTTTTTTTTGGGTTAATGATTTTATCACACAATATTGTGCTTTTCGGTTTCACCATTAAAGTTCTCATTTAACTTTCCTCCTAAGGATGCTATCAAGTCAATTTCATTCAGAGATTTGAAATAGAGCGCCTCCTGGTTATTAAGAGGTTATAAAGGCACCTTTACTCTGCTTAGAGCAAGGCTTGAGTCATATGAAGTCAGCAAATTTACAAAATACAAAAACTCAGACAGTCATTTTATAAGGACAATCAGGTGATTACTTCTTGAAGAGCATCTTGTGCTTGGATAGCATTTATGACTCGTTTCTTGCTGGTTTCCTGAATTTCTCCTGCAATGACCAGCTCATCAAGGATAAAGAAGGCCTATGAGAATATGACAATGCATTAAAACATTATTTATGACAGAACATAATTAAGGAAAAAACAGCAAAAATACCAGAGAAACACAGGGAAACACAGGGAAATGATTTAACAATAAAAATAATTTTTTGAAAACCTATCATTGAAGGGTAACTCTTATAAAGTAAGTTCATTTGCCAAAGTGGAGTATTAGAAATATTTAACATGTAAACAATCAGTATATAGCTTTGTCATCAAATTTATTCTGGCAATTCTGCAAAAGGCATCAACAGACACAATTTTATCAGCAAAAAGATTTTTGATGCAAATAAATAACCCTGTTAAAACTTTCATACACTAAGGATCAGATTAGGTCAAATTTTATGTTTCAAATTTCTTTTTTGCATCAGACTTCTTTGAACTGAAGCCCTGTTTGATATGGTAACATTTAGTCACATTTGTCCTAATGAAAACTGTTTCGAAACTGGAGAATGAAGTTGTTTGACATGCTCAGTATCAGCTCTAGAATTTAGAAAATAGAATTCCACAGAATAATTACATACAAATACCTTTGGGTAATGAAGAATTGAATTAGACTTTGAAAAACACCTTTTGAATTTTCCTCATACATGTTCAGGTAAGAGGACCTAGACTTCCCATCCTTTATGGCTAGGCTGATTCTAGCCTAGGCTTGTTAAGTCAAAATATTAGCACTTTAAGCTGTTGACTAGACAGCAGAGGTCATCTGACACATTGAAAGTAATACATTAATCATGACCTCAATGTACACAGAACATGTATAGAAATAATCAGTTGCAGTCATGAAGTAGCTGTATAGATGAAAATTTTCAAAACTTTACCTTTTCAAAATTGAAAATTATATCAAGCTCACAAACCTGCAAAAATGACAAAAGAATAAAGCTTTAGCTTAGAATAACATTTAAAAATTGACATTTATAATATTTGCTCATGACATGACATTTCTGTTGACACAAGATCATGACATAGTTTATTAATTTCTTGAAATCAGAAGTTTGGAAATGAGGGGATTGTTTGGACAAGAACCAGATAATGCCAGCCAGTTAAGCAAGGTACAGATAATCCAGGGTGAGGGCAGTCAATAGCTTGCATCAATAACTCAGTGAGGAAGTTGCCAAGGGTGACTGCTCACATGGAACAAAGAACTACCCCTATCAACCTTTTTGGACTGACAATGTCTTTGCTAGCATTATTCATGAAAACAATTGCAGATAAAAAATGAAAGAAAATTTACATTTCCAAAGTATTTGTCCAGCAGCTCAACATATCGATGAATTACTTCCAAGGTGATTAGTTCATTATCTCCAGGCTCAATTGCAACCACAAAGTAGAGACTTGCATATCTGGCAGGACGCAAATTTTAAAAAATTCAGTCTGTCAGCAAATACATCAAAGTTTCTCACTGAAACTGGGTAATTCAGAAAACCCAATGGCAATCTTAAAAGCTAATTTTACGAGTTTTTTGCTATTAAATAGAACAGCCTGTTAAAACAAAATGTATGTGACATATTCATTCAAGATTTGTCTCTCTGATATTTCAATATATGATTCACATGCCATATGATTCACATGGAGAGTTGTGGATTTTTCTTATTTCTGGACAATTAAGTCTTTTGATACAAAATCATTTTGCCACATGACCCCCATGTGCAAATATTTGAGTACACTTTATAGGGGATAAGATTGTATATTTCCAACAAGAAATTTAGGAGTTGACAAACTGATGTAAGGAGATTGACTATGTACCTTTTATAAACAACTTTAGTATCTTTGTATTCCAAGAAGCTACACATCTTTGGTTTTCTGGATAGTATCATTGAAATGAGGTCTCTAGTGATTTTCTTCTTATCTTTTTGTGCATAAGCATTGTACCACTTTTGAAGCCGTACCTTACCTTGGCGACTAAATAGCATTATATACTGCCACTAAAAAGAAAAAATGTCCTGATTAGGTGGGGCAAAAGAAGCCTTCAAAATCAAGGGAGAGGGATAAAGCTAAAATTCTGAGAAATTCAAAGAGAAATAATTTTGTTGTGCTGATACACTCCAAGTGGCAGTGCACACTACCGTAGGGTGCAAGGGTAATGAGCATCACCTGTGAGACCATCCCCTTTTGTCTAATTTCTGTGCATTATACAAGGTCACAGAATAGGAATTAGGCAGAAGGAGAACTCCTGCCAATTGAATGAAGCCTGAAAATTCTATTGCATGTGTTAACTATCATGAGGCTTAGCATGCATCTGTCGAGAAATTATTCAAAAATAGAAAGTAGACAACTTTATGAAGTCAAAATGTCCCATGATAGTAGATGACAAGACATTTACTATTATCATGTTTTGACTCATAGTATCATTGTTTGACACTTTAAGTTAAGCCTTGCTTAGTCATGCTGTGAACACGTTTTTACTACTCTTATGCTGAATACATAATATGGCCTAGTATTATATCCTGATCGTATATGTTGTTTTGTTATGTTCGTTCAACCGTAGTTTATCTTTCAAGATACTTTCCGTGGAATTCTGATAGTAGACACATTCAATAGTTTATCATAATTCATCTACTATCTAATAAATGAGTGATATCTAATAAAATATCTAATAAAATTATGTCATTGCTTTGTTAGTCTAATGAAATCAAGGTGAAAGGGGAATTGAGAAATTTGATAGGTGACTCAGGCTTCCACAACCACAAAGGAACCTACGAGAGTTACCCCTGCCTTTCCCAATTCCGGGACCAGGTGCAACATAAAAAGTTTTCGTAAAAATCTTTTTCCTTTCACAAAACTCCATTTCACTGGGAGGAGTATTTTTGTGCAACCAGACTAACCTGACAAAAAATCTTGTAAAAAGAGGAAATTGTTGTGACAAAACTTTATCCTCGTTTTTTGAAAATTCTTAGCTGAAAGGGAGCAGCTATCTAGAAGGGTATATATAATTTTGAATGGCTTTGGTCAAAGAGTTTCAATTTCATTATTTCAAATCAAAGGGTGGCATCCATTTCATTTGTTTTGAATTAAGTTTGGGTCATGTCTGTAGCCAAAAAGGGTATGGGAATCAGATGGCACCTCTTTGTGTCACCGATTTCCTTGCAGAATAAAATAGCGCCACTTTTTCCAAAGAATACCCCTTATCATTCAAAAGGATTTACCCTAAAACGACTCTTTAAGAAATTGCAATGAGTACCTGTATGTTTTGCAGCCTGGCCTTGGAATTGTAAGTAAAAGGCTAGCATGTGGTCAAGTACCACCAAGGGGGGGGGGGGTATTCACAGACCACCTATAAAGTATATTGCCCCTGTGAAAAACCAAAAACCATTGCTCAACCAATTGATGATCATTATTTGATGGATATCAATTATTTTAGGTTGAAATACTTTGTTTATTTTAAAGAATTTTAAATTTTCAGCTCTTTTATTGATATTTAGCAGTTACGTTTGCCCATGGCTAGCCCACAGCTTAACTATGGCTTCCTGTTCATGTTTGAGCCATGGCTTAGCTCACCCGAAGTGTTTTCAACCATGTTTTTCACTTGCAAGCCCATGGCATAGAGCCATAACCACCCGGTCAAGTGCCCTCCAGCAGCTGGGCTTCACTGTAATTTATAAATAAGCACCTGGGCTTCCACTGTAATCAAATAGGCACCTGATTGTGATGTGAAATTAAAAGGGTTATCTGTAATGTGTGAAATTGGAAACAATGGTTGATTATTTGGTTAATTTGCAAATGATTTCTTTTACATTCAACCCTTCAAAATAACTTTCAAGAACTTGCATTCTTCATACATCTTTCGAGGAAAAGATCCATCCGTTTTAATAATAGCAAGCAGGCGGCTGCAAGCCCGTTTCAAAAACAAGACCTAAGGCTCTAAGGTAACAAATGAAAGCAAAATGGATCAAACATACAAATAATCGCTTGATCTACTTCACGATTTCTTCGTTTACGTCTAATGTATGTGTGCGAGGTTAGTTACAGGTAATTTGAAGCAGGAGCTCAATTGACCAGACAGCTAACAGGCCTAGTGTTCATTTGATGTCAAACAATCGTATTGAATGAAATTGTGGTATTTACCATTTTACTTTGGTTTACCCGTTAGTCCTCTAATCTGTGTTGTTGGTTCTCTAATCGGCTACAGAGTACAAGCGTTTTGAACCAAAGGCAAGCTGAGACTCAAATTCACGATGTATTTACCATCATTCACTGTGCTTGCCTCCCTGCAGTGACGTTTAACCGGATACGTTGTTTGAACCACTATGTTTGAACAGAGGTCTGCTCCTTCCTAGAGAAACAAAGAGACAATTCACTCTGAACAATGCTGTGACACAGAGATACCAAATAGTAACAAGACAATCTCCTTGGGATTATACTACCCGCGCTTGGGGCTGTTGGTAGTCTTAATCTTTTTAATTGATTTTAGTGCTAAATTTGCTTAAATCTTTCTTAAATATTAAATACACAAAAAGGCAACAGAAGATAGCATGTAACAGGACAACAGGGCACCTAATCACTCGCAAGGAGCTCTTATTTTTATTGCCTGGTCATCGAATAGAATCATTTCCACCCGATTTTTAAACCATATCATATCAATCTTTTTAAAAGAAAAACAAGATAATTTTTGTCGAGGTGTGATGATTTTCATTTTTTGATAATTCGACCTCAAGTTTTCTAACTGTTGTTTTCTAATTTTTAAGGGGGGGGGGCCTTTAAGCTGCTGCGTGACATTTTTTGTAGCATTATCATTTAGCTGAAAAAATATACTCTGTTTTGTTAACATGGGAGTCATTTTTGAAAAAAATTGTGTTTTTCAGGCAGTTTTCATCTGAAGGCAGGGCATGTTCTCTCGCTGTTCTAATTTTTGGCAAACCAAGCCTCGATATTCTTATAAAGTGCATGGTTACATACATACATACATTATTTATCTAACAATGCAGGTCATCTAAATGGCAGCATTCGCTGATGTGGACCTGCTAATTAACTCATAAGTAAAGGTTAAATGTTTTAAATAGCTTAGAAAAATAAATATTTCTAATTTACATTAATGGTTTCTTAAATTTAAAAGTAGATGAAATTTGAGTCAGTATACGATATGGTGGAAGCTTGTCCAAAGGAGATGTTATCTAATACTTTGCTATTGTCTGATAGCTTTCTTTTAAATGTTTCATAATTTTCCTGAATCGTTGCTTGAAACAATTTCTGCTAACATTTGTTTTATGATCGGGTGAGATCCACTTTGCAACTGTTCCTAGATGATCTCTGAGATTTTGTTTTCATCACTAAATCTTTCAGAGCATTAGGACACTTGTTGTTGTATATTTCGTATGTCAGGCATGCTACGCGTCTTTTTTAGATATAGTCCACAGTTTTTCAATTTGCTTTTTCGAGAAGGTTATCCGCAGGTGTTGATTTACGTAGCTTGTGTATTATCTTTGCTGCTCTCTTCTGCACTGTCTCAATTGCTTCCAAGGATGGTCCTGTTCCCCAAATAGCCATTCCGTAGGTGCAACTTGGTAGGATACACTGGAAATAGATCTTTTCAAGAACTCCAGGTTGTAGTGAACGGAACCCTTTAGGTTGCCTAATTTTCTTGTTCATTTTTGATGCTGCGTTGGCCACCTGAGATTTCCAGGTTAGTTTGCAGCCAATGGACACCCCTAAACATTTGGATTCAGTGACCACTTTTATGATGTCATCACCTGGCTTCACTGGGGATAGAGGCCCAATGAATTTTTTATTTGATAAAATTATTATTTCAGATTTTGCTGGGTGGATTATTAGACTATTGCTTTTGCACCATTCTGATATTTCTCTGATACCAGTTTGCAACAGTGACATCACTTCATCTACCGTTTTCCCAACACAGTAATATTCTGTATCATCTGCGAACATTTCTAGTGTTCCTTTGCTGGTGTTCTTAGTGTTCCTTTAAACACTTCTTAGGTCAATAACTTGCATAGCAAATAGTCTTGGCCCGAGTAAGGAGCCTTGGGGCACCCCATATTTCGCTTCCATGTGGTCAGAAGATTGTCTATTTACTACCACACATTGCTTCCTTTCTCTGAGGTAGTCATCAAGTATATCATATAGTTTACCTTTCATCCCATATTCTAGCAATTTTCGTTTCAACGTTTTATGGCACACAGAGTCAAAAGCTTTTTTTACTTATTTCTTGGCCATCTTAGGGGTCAGTTTCTGATTGACGGCTTCACATAGGAAATTGCATGCTTATTTAAAAAGAACTCCTTAGCTTTGCAAATGAAGCAACTAAATAGTTACTCTAACGGAACTTAAAAAGTAGCAGTTTTTTGTGATCAAGAGCCCTTTTTCACTATCTTGATCGTTTTCTAGTATCCCGATACACTTTCACATCTTTTGGTGAAATTTTCTTTTAGTGAACTATCCCTGAAGAATTATCAATCTTGAATTAATGAATACTTTTGGCTGCTTGCGTCCATCGCCAAAAAAACTTATTTGTAATATTGCAGGTGAGGCTATTCGAAAAGATAATGCTAGTACCAACTGTAAAGTTTACTGATGCGTGAAACGCCGCAAACAAATAATACAGATAAATAAGGCATTAGTGTTCAACGTGCAGTTAGCTTTGTTAATCTTTAAAGATAGGATCTGCTAAGCAAGCTTGGGTAAAATAATATATAGGAACTAAATGACGAAACCAGAACAGTGGTTTTGTGAGCTGGCCCAAGAATATCTGTGTATCCTTTGAAACCGTAATTCAAAGTGCCCCGCCCTTTTCTTGTATCATCTTACCAGTAGCGTAGCCAGGGTGGTAAGATTGGGGAGCAAAATGAGTTGAGGGAGGGAAAACGGGGGTCAACATCCTTTGAAACGCGAGAGAGAAAAAGCCCTTTTTAAAAGAACTTTGACATTGAGGGGGGCATCCGCCCCTTCTTGCCTCCCCCTCACTAATGAATATCACTTATATCATCATTCTTATATCATCATTGCATCATACAGTGACGCTGGAGCAATGGGGTTTAGGTGGGGACTGCTACCCCTATGCCTTGGTAAATTTTATTGTTTTGCCCTTTTTCTTGGCAATTTGCCTGCTTGCCCTGCTCTGCTGCTCTACCAATGTCAGTGGAACCATACCAGGCCTTAAAAAAACGATCATTTTAAACCTACAGACTAAGAACAATCAGTACTTGCTTGATGTTTTCAGTTCAAACTCCAGAAAACTCTGCTTTAAGGAATTTTTGACTGTTGCCATTTACATTTGATATAGAACTACAACACACTGATATATATATATATCTGCTTATGTACAAAATTTGAATGTAACATTAAAGTGAAAAAGAAAAAGTGATTGATAAATTAAAAATTCTAATAATCAAAATGTCTATAACTAAAATTTTACACCATCGATTAGAATTATTTTACTATCAATAATGTCTTTGAGCCACTTTTGCTGGAATCTGCACTCGCCAGGCCTGTTTGTAAAAAAACAATGATAAGTGTTTCCAGCAAAAATTTTATTGAACTTTGGAAGCTTTAAACTAGCACTGAAAATTGTAGCTCTCTGAGCTGATCCAAAAATTTCTTAAAATAGATACAACAGAGTTATTTGAATATAGTTCATTTGCTTTGTTAGGGTGAGTATACAGATTAAAAAATATTCTTAAAGAGAAAAATAACAAAATTAGTAGTAATAAGAACTAAATCTAACCTGTGAACCAAAGTGTTTGTTTCAAAGATGTAGTATACATCCACTGGAAATGTCTGCAAGGAGGTAACATAAAAGATACTTTAACAGTGTCAAATTTCTACTTGCTTCAGACCCAATGCTTCTATATACCTCTAACAGCTTGCATTTGTGCATTGTGGATTTCAATCTAGCTTAAAATTTATCACTAAGTTTCCCTTTTAAAAACCTCTCTAAAAATATATTTTTGATTGAATAGCTAGATGTTAACAGTAATAGAACATTATACAAAACAATTTTAAATACATCTAAGAGCAAGTTCTGTTTACCTTTGGTTTAAATTTATTTACTTTCATTGTAAAATACACAGATGCAGTTGCTCTAGGAATTGGTTTCCTTCTTGTTGGAATGCTCCACATAACTTTATATCTGTATCGAAAGTCACAGTCATGCTCCTCTTTACCAAGATAATCGATGCAGTAAAGCCAACCAGCATCCCTCTCCCAAGTCTTGAAGGGAAAATTCAAAAATGAAAAAACACGAGAGAGGCAGTATAAGCAACTGGATATCCTTCTATTAATTTCATCAACAAATTTAGGTACCAAATAGATTTTGTGTAGTAATCAAGATAATCCTTAGTTAAAATGCAATGTGTGCAGAAATTTACTGAAAAACACAAGGGGATTAGGCAGTGTTGGATGAACATGTAAACACTTAAATAAATTTCTCTCTTTGGCAAACTTTAATGGTTGGTATCTTGAAGTTACTCCTGCTAATGGTTACAAATTGTTTGGTAATTTAGCCCTAACAGTGAAAACCAAAGGTTGATCCTGGAAGAGCAAAACTTTTGGCTAAAACATTCAGAGTGCTTTGAACCTTGAAGCCTTGTCAGAAATAATTGTGGACAAACTGAAATTTCAAATCTCCATTAAGTACTACATTCTAAATAAGTGGTAGTTTGACATTTGACAACAACCTTCAGAAATTCGTCTATCTTATTTTTCCCTGCTTCAATTGTAAATTCTTTCCCAGTAAGCCATTTAATATTTGGAATTGCTCCTGTTGTGTCCATGTGCACTGTTTCTTCTTCCGGTTTTTCTTCAGGATCCACTTCAGCGTTGTGACGGCCTACTTCAGCGTTGTGACGGAGTTCTTCAGGATCCTCTTTGTCGTTGGATCCGCCACCGATCAAATATTCCTCGTTAATCGCAAGTGCATTGTTTATAACTGCATCAACAAGGATATTTGCTTCTCTTATATATGGGTCAAATTCAGTGGAATGATTCTGAAATTCCATTTTCGAACGAAAGAACCCACGTGAGCCAAGAATGGCGTCTTGTAAAGTCACGACCAAAGCCAATTTCCACCAGTTTCAAGTTCTTGCTGCAAGCTTGTGTTGAATTTTTGCAAAAAGGGTTATCTTGATATCAGCTAACAACTGCTTTCAATGGAAATAAAACATATTATTGTAAATTATTTAAAGTTGGAAAATGATGAAACGAGCTCCTAGTGTTTACAAAATGTTCCAATTTCCACGGAAACTGCAACCTCGTTACCAAGAGGCGGTTCGCCGTGTGAGTCGAATTGCTTTGGTGACAAGATTCCCCTGAACATTTGACAGAGTAAAGTAATTTGTAAGTTTCTAGAAGAATTTTGTTTCTTATCTTTGAGGGGGGGGGGGGGGGGGCTGAATGCGCGTTGTTGATAGAATACTCTATTTACTTTTCCTCTATAGAAGTTAAGTGTTGCTCTTAACAGTGAGTGTTGCTCTGTTTAAAGAATTTGGAGGGACTTGCAAAATACGTAAAAACGATAGGTAAATATAAAAATTGGCCAAAATTTATCACCAAGAAGGGTTGCAGCCGCTTAGGGCAGGCTAGCTTTACATCATTTTATAAAACCTACGAACTAATGCTTTGTTTCTAGGATTGGAAGTAAAATTCTATCTTAGCAGTAATGTCACAGGATGGAATTGTTAGGGGGTGCAAGTCCCCAGATTTGCCTACAAAATGGAGTTTCTAAGATTGATTTGCTTGGGTTGTTAATCTATTTGTCAATTAACCTATAGTATTTACTTGCTTGACAAAGATGTCTTGAGCGATGCCAGTGAGTCTTGAGGTTCCACGAGGGTTTTGAACAATACGACGAGAGAGAGGCGTCTGAATTCCATAGCCTTGAATGAAAATTGTCTAATCCGAAAGAATTCATGGATTCAGCATAGGGTGACTCTTAGTAGCAGTGTCAGCTATAACGTGGTATCGTGACATGATAGCGTGACGCCATTTTTGTCTCATTTCAGTGCTTTATAACAGGTGAATTTTCCTTAGGGAAATCTTAAAAATTCTGACCTACCTAACGCTTTTAATTATTTTTACTTGAAATATGTTGACCACATTGGGGGGAGGGGGTAACTTCCCCAATAACAGTCCTTTGCGTTTCCACTCGAGGGGTTCACCTTCTTTGTTTATGTGGCACAGTGCGTTTTGTTTTATTTTTTTATTTTCAACGCCGATAATTTCCTTTACGTTCTTTGCACCTAGTCTGTCTTTTTGTGCCATCTTTAACTAGTAAAAGCCTTTCCGTACATCTCAGACATGATAATTTGAAGTTTTTATGTATTTAGGTAAGGTAATACTGATACATCTGGTCATAGAGGGGCATGATCCCCTGATATCAATTCAAGATCAATAGACCTGAGATTAGTTGGATGACTTCTGTTAATACCCTTTTCCATTATACATTAAAGGTAGGTTTAGCGATTCCGTCGATTCACCAACGAACCATGTTGATGATGCAGGAACATAGCCTAACGACTAATTTACACTTGTTCGAGGCCTGTTTCCTGATGAATCTTCTTATCCCTTTAATTTGCAGAAAACAGCAAAAAAGAAACGATTTACCAATAAATAGAAATAATTTTGCATTATTGTACAATAAGCCTAGATTTAAAAAGCATTATAGGTCAGAATCATTTTACTAGAGTTCAGCTTGTTTGGAGGCTTTTGTTTTGGATAACTCTTGACGGAAGTATTCAATTGTCTTGTTTAGTCCAACTTGCAGAGGAACCTGGAAACAAAAACAGGAAAATATACCATGGCCAAAGTTAGTACAAAGGTTTTACGATATCATGCAAAAAATATTAATTTCTCAAGAAGACAATGGCTACTGACCAAACAAAACGAGGTTACATTCTACTCTACCCTTAGCTTATGGAGTTATATCTCTCTATTCTTATGCCAAGAAAATGTATTGTGACATTGAAACATAGTGCCCTTTCGTGTAACAGATGCGGGTTTGAGAAATATGCTGCTAATTCCCGTCATGTTTTTTCCGTCATGTCATACGTCATATGTCATATGTTATACGTCATATATATCATACGTCATATATCAGATCAGGCCAGGTCAGGCCAGGTCAGGCCAGGTCAGGTCAGGCCAGGCCAGGCCAGGTTAGGCCAGGTTAGGTCAGGTCAGGTCAGTTCAGGTCAGGTCATGTCATGTCATGTCATGTCATGTCATGTCATGTCATGTCATGTCATGTCATGTCATGTCATGTCATGTCATGTCATGTCATGTCATGTCATGTCATGTCAGGCTAGGTCAGGCCATTGATAAATATTTCTTCTCACATTCTATAGCTTCCAAAGCGAGTGAAAATTTGCAATCAGCGATTGACTATCGCAACTACTCACCACAGGTTCCCAGCCAAAAAGCTCCTTTGCGCGTGATATGTCAGGCTTACGCCTTTGCGGGTCATCCTCCATTATAGGTCGGTTCACAATATCTGATTTACTTCCTACAAGGGTAAACATACACATAGTCAATTAGATAAAGGCATAAAAAGATTAGAAGAGAATCATTAACGATGAAAATGCAAATGAAAATATTTTGAAAAATAAAATTAAGTACATATCGTATATAACTGCGGATGAAGACTAGGCAACAATTTTCCTCACATGGATGTTGTTATCTAAACAATTTTATCTGTTCAATTCTTTTACCATATATAATCACGTCAGAAGACAAAAGTTCGTAATCCATTAAGTGCCTAAGTTTTTGGGGAAGTCAGAAAAACTGACAGCCGATGAGGGGGGGGGGGGGTATTTTTTGTTGGGGGCTTAAGCCCCGATTTCCACATACCGGTAGTCTGCATAAAATTCTTAAAAATGAAAAATTGTCTTTATTATTCTGTTTGCTTAGATTTGGGCTTCAAGCCCAAGCGTTTTTATGAATTGCTAAAATAATGATCCCATAAAAAACCAATCTTTAACCCAAACCCATATTTTCACGCGGCGTTTCAGTAATGTAGCCTTTATTTTGGCAATGATTGGTAATTAAGCACTAAGTCGAAATAGTTCAACATTTACTTTGGTAGATAGTACCTCTATTAATTTTCACAGACAAGATCCTTTTTACAAGCGGTGCTAGTTCCATCTAATTCTATGTTTTATAATTCGAGGATTTACGGTATCTCATTTTGGCTAACTATTAGGAAAATATGTCTATGTCTTGTTTTCAAGAAATTGATATCAAGAAAGTAACTGCAGTGCTCACCAACAAGATCCCTTATCATCCTAGCGAACTCCCCGATGCTGTGCTCATCTGGATTTCCCTTAAAAAAAAAGGTTAGTGTAAGACAAAAAGAACTGGCACTCTGCGGGGTTCTTCTTCCCCCTGGCTCCCGTTCAATGCAGCTCCTTCACAGTAGACATTTAAACAAGCAACCCCAAGACTTACAGTCCTGCTTCAAACCAATTGTTTTCAAGAGAAAGACTATGATTTTCCACAAAGTTGATTTCAAAGAATTTAGCATTAACCCAACCTACCACATTCACTGGTTTTGTTGCATTACAGTTCATGAGCAGGACAAGACCATTTACCAAGTCACTGAAAAGAAATGACATTATCAAAACAGGAAAAACCTAATAAACACTTCATTTGACAATTTTTAGCATATTTATAACAAATGGGCTAGCACTAATTAGACTAGCCCATTTATGAACTTCAATTTGATTTGTCTCGTAAATTATTTCAATTTTGCAGGGTCCTGAAACTGTTAATTGTTCTTTCGGGCAATATGCTCAGGCTGACAAAACCTTCATTAGATAACAATGAAAACAAGACCGGATTTGGATGTTTATTGAAGTTTGTTCTTTGGCCTTTCTCGGGGTCGTTGACCTTGTGACCACCATGTTTACTAGGCTTCGTTGTAACTTTGAGGTTCACGCCAATAAAACTGTCATATAATAGCTGGAATGTCTAATTATAACAGCTTTGCTCTATGACTCTAAGCATTGAAATAAAAAAGTTATCATCATCATAATCACAATTATTTTAGGCCATTGGAGTTTAGAATTTCAATACCTACAAAGTATTATAACATAAACAATGTTGGGCTAAAACTTTCCCAGATAGATGCAAAGGAACTCTTTGGCAACAAAAAATTGGAAAAGATTGAGGCTGGATAAATTAAAAAGATAAATCTAGTACGAAAATTTGTCTTACCTAACATATTGAAAGGATCTTGTCTGCTTCCCTTGCCCATAAATCTGCAAATTTGAAATCATTTTAGCACATTCTTGTTTTCATCAAGACCATCATCGCTTATAGCATTTTTACGATAAATTAGTCCAAAGTTTCAGTTCATCACATTAAAAGCTTTATTGCAAAAATACTTCAGCATTGTTGCAAAATTACTGTGATGCCCATTGTAATTAAGGGTCTATAATAGAGTCCGTACGGTAAAAGTATCAGTACTGTTGAAAATATCTTAAAGATGGAAATTGTCATGCGTTTGTGTACCCGGACCGTTTTGCATGCTTAATTCAACCATTCGTTTTGATTCCTAATTGTTTAAGTGCTTGGGTACGTTTTTGCATAACCAAAATTGTCATGCGTTTGTGTACCCGGACCAAAATGCATAAGGTTACCGAAACGCATATGGCACCAGCATCTAATGAAATATTTCTGCATTGTTGCCAAATTACTGGTGAGCCCATCGTATCAATACTCTTGAAAATATCTTAAAGGTGGAAATCTTAGGTCCTAATGCTTCCTATTAGCAAGAATTCCTCTTCTTTCCTAGATACATTTGCTTTTGCAAGAGGATAAAACATATTCGCCAAGAGCTTAAAACTTCTAACAACGTCACAAGTTGCAAATTTAAAGAGACACAGTCATGTGCAATCAAGAACTTGCTTTATAATTTACCTACCGTTATTGGCTCTCCTTGAAGCGCTTGAAGAATAAAATTACTCACTACTCTCCCTAAAAACAAAACGAGTATTAATTAGATAGCAATGCAATCGGTGGGTATAATTTTTTGCACTTGTGAGGCTTACTTCTGGATACATTTGGTTCCCTCTATTCCTTGAGTTATCTATACAACTCCATCGAAGATAAATTTCAAGGGATAACTAACGAAACGAAAAATGTTATATAAGCCTGATTATAATAGGTGTTATTTGGGGTGTGAATACATAAAAACAATATAGATAACATACGCCTATGGAAAATACATAAAATATAAAGGTTATGAGTTACTGCAATGGATTTAAAAAGCCAAAACAGAACTAAGTACTCTAATAAAATGTGGAGCGACTAGAAACACTTACCATCATTCATATGCATCCTTGGACCAAAAGTATTGAAAATCCTTGCGATCCGAATCTCTACTCCTTCCTAAAGCATAATACAACAGAAAAAGAAACTTACTAACTTGCAGCGGCACGTATGCATTACAACTGTTCGATAATTGCTATAAGAAATACAGATCGATCGATTATGTAAAGTGGTATGCTAGGTTTTTCTTTTGGTCGCAGAAAACACAATTAATCGTATGTTAAAAAAGGAACGACAGTTTGCAGAGCCTGTTGTTGCAAATTTTAGATATTTAAAGTTGGCTATATCGACTGTTTACTACCAACCATCTGAAATCAAAATATCGTCTTTTGCGTTCGGTTTTATCGCAATTGATATGAGTTCACAACTCGGAAAACTAAAAACACCAGCGTATAGTAAACACAGCAGCAATAGATACAAGTGATATCGTAATACATCAAACCTGTTTATGGTATGCAAAGCACATTGTCTCTGCAACTCGTTTTCCTTCATCGTAACAAGCCCTAGGCCCTATGGGATTGACATGACCCCAGTATTCTTCATGTTGTGGATGAACTTCTGGATCTGCAAATCGACACAATATCTTAATACGTTATATGACAATCGAAACTACTGACATTATAGCATTGGATTTTACAACTATCTTACCCTCTCCCCTCTTTATATTTCGGATTTGTATTCCTAACAATATTGGGGAAGCTACTTGTTTCAACAACCAACAATAACAAGAAGGATGACAAAACTTGTGCCATTATCAACAAATCAAGAAGAACATTAGGGTAGAAGAATAGGGACAAAAAATCTGCATCACATTTTTATGTTTTGGTGTATGGAACAAGACGATTGTAAGTATCAACTCCAATTCCACGCTCATCGTGATCATCAAGCAACTGTTTAGTTGCATTTAGCTGAAAACAACATAGAATTTACCTCCGTATACTTCAGAAGTAGAGGCCAACAATAACCTCGCCCGGACACGTTTTGCCAAGCCTAATGACAGAGGAAACACGTTATTAAAATTTTGAAAAATAAAACAAATGATTCAAAGAGGTGCAGATTCTTTGAGTTGACGAACTAAGCACGCAAATGAACGAAGGAGAGAAGTAAGCTCTACTTCAAGTTACAAAGAACGAAACATAAGCATTTCATCATATCCTCATATATAATATCAGAAACAACATCATTTTATTGCTTTGCTAACCGTCTACTTACCAAGCATATTCAGTGTTCCTATCGTGTTTGTCTTGATAGTCTTGGAGAAGCAAATAGAATAAGATATAAGAACGAAAATACAATGATCAGTTTTTGAAAGCTGCTTCTATTTTCAAAATGAATGTAGATTCAAGTTTATGAATTGCTGAAAGAAAACGTTATTCTATAAGTTTCAAGTCTCTAATGTCTCATACCAGCACTGTAGTACGCAAGGTTAGAAGTGACCTGCTTATGCATTTAAATTTTTCTTCGATTTGATATAATGTTTTTGCTATGCGTACCAAACTTGGACTACAGTTATAAAGTCAACCAATTTGAAAATGTTCTTACAAACATAACTGTTATTCTTTAGCTCCTATCGATTTTGGTTCAATCCTTAATCGATTCTAAAAGTTCTTCCATCAATCTTTCTTATGTATAGTAACAAATATTTATTAACACAATATCAAAGGCAAAGAGTCTTACTTTTATAGGGTTATACATATAATTTGGTGGTGAAGCAGGCGACGCAAGGTGATAGATCTGATCCACTGAAAAAGAAAACATTCAACAGCAATGTTACATACAAGTAAAATTACAGCATGGCATGTTGATATAATTATTATAATTATGATATGATAAAATTTTTACTAGGATCGCAAATAAGAGAGTTAAAGCATTAGAATGTGGTCATAGAGCTCTGAATTAGCTTAACTAGCTTAAGAATGATCTTGAAATTACACCAATGAAATGGCTGACTGAAACAGTCAGTAAAATCTGATTTTGATAGAGAGAAAATGTAATGATAAGAAAGAGACAAAGATAATAAAAAACAGTGAAGATATGCTTACAAAGAATACTGATAGCTTTTAAACAAAGTAGTCACTTTTTATCAAGACATATTTTTGCTAATGGCCTTTGAAAAACTTGTCTTTCACACTTGCAAAATACGCTTAGGCAACCCACAATAAGCAAGCTAGAAGTAATATATTCCTGCCTTTTAAGCCAAGTTTGAAAATATTGAGGATGTCATTACTGATAACTTACCCTCAATATACAATGGTTCCACTACATCATGATTAATTAGCTCAAAATTTTCATGACCTATCCTGCAAAAAAACATAAAAAGCTTCATAAGTCTAAATCAGGAAACTAAGGGAGGATTGTAAGAGAGACTTTTTAGTTTTGCATCACATCTAATCGTGTATACAAATACAAGTAAAGGAAAAGGTAAAAAATGTTAATTTTATGTTTACATACCAGTGTTCTACATTACTTTTTCTTCCAGTAAAAAAGTTGTCAACCACTGTAACCTTTAAAGATCAAAAGGTAATATGCCAATTACTATTGAATACAAAACAACCATCATAGGATTAGGAAACTACAACTTATCATTTAGCTTATATCTGATAAGATAGCTTAATAGAGTGTTACTGTTAACATAAGTCTGACTCAGAACCAAGAAAATGTTCAGAGTCTAAGGAAGCTTTAATCTTTTTCTTTTAGTAATATATTTTCAAATTCACATCCTAATACAGGCTTAAAGTATAGTGGGAAGAGGAAGGGTGCATACCTTAATAGGTGCATTTTACAAAATAACAGCCCATAAACAGAATTATCTTCAGAAACAAGTAATAATTCAGTTGTAAATTGAGTTATTTACAAGCTTAATTAACACACACATCTAGCTGGTGTCATGCAGTTACAGGCCTCTCCGGGAATAAAAAAACTCGCAGGCTAAAAAAGACCCCTGCTGGTTTGGCTGTGTGGGCTATTTAGCCTTGGTAGAATTTGTTGTTTATCTATTTATATTTTAGTATAAACAAGCCGACAAATAAATTACCTTGTCTACCTGTAAACATGATTTATGTTAAAAGGCAGTTTTGTGTGCACTACTCCAAAAAATGACAAAAAGAGAGTTTTTTTGCAAATTGGCAAGGCTTTTTGTAGCAATGCAAATTTATTGAGTAGTATCCAACAAAACTCATCTTTATTCAAAAAGATAAAGAGCAGTACAATGTTACTTAAAGGGTAATGGAAGATTGAGTTGATTCGTATCAAAAATTCCAAAAAAAATAACTGAAATACACTTCTTTTCTATAAGAAATTAAAGTCGACTTGGAGTACTCCAGTTTCTTATTGGTATAGGAAATTCCAATTTCCTATTCTTTCTTAAGTTCTTTCTTAAGAGTTTTTTAATCTGAAAACAGCACGGAAGAGCGAAAAAATAACATGATAAAAACCTGACAAATAACATAGACATAAACCTCAAAGCATAAAGGGAAGCAGAAATGTGGATCAAAAGTAATGAGAGAGTTCAGAAAGGGTGAATGATTGGTTCTTTTTTTGTCAAATTGCAACCATTTATCTCTCACCCAGTTAAAGAGTCAAAGAGCAAAAACGAATTATTTCTGAAAGATTTTTAATTTTTTCCGATTGCCCAGTTTTCGTTTCTTGTAGAATGTTTTCATATTAAGTAATGAGTGTATTCGTAACACAAATTTCGTACTTGACACGTCATGTAACAATTCTCATTCTTGCTATTTTACGCTATCTGTTGTTCCTTTCCTGCACACTAATTTCCTATTCCATTGCTAGTTTTAACAGGTAATACTATAGTTTGTTAACATTTGATGTCAAACGAAACAGATATTTCCTTTTTTTAACGATATTAATAAAAACCATATATCTTGTTATTTGACACAACATTATCTATGAATGCCCTGATATATAAGAGTTAGTGGTTAAAACATTGGAGAGTGGGACAAAAAGGATTAAATGAGAGCATTGTTATAGCCTGCGTCCCCGGGAATGGCCTGCTGTTATAATGTTGCATCTTTTCTGAAGTTAATGTTTTCCCTTTTCTAATTAAATGAGAACATGCTGCACATGTGAACTAAGTAGAACCACAATTTTCAAAACTTTAGAGTTTAAAAGCAAAGTGGTGATAAAATATTAGTATTAGCTAAATTTACCTCATGACCAGCTAACATAAGTGCATCAGTCAGATGGGAACCAACAAACCCAGCACCACCTGTGACCTAAAAGTTTGCAGAAGATTACATCTCTGACAAACAAAACAGTGAAAAACCATATAAATGTTTAACAGCTAGCAAATACTTTGGTAAACAATTTCACCAAACATGTACCAAAAGTATTCAGTTATGTATAGAAGACATCTGCTGCTGAGCTATCAAGGCAAAACATATATTTATGATGAAAAGCAAATATCAGATAACAGAGAGAAGCTCTGAGACAAGTTTTTATAACACAAGTTTGAGAACTGAATTGATACATCACTTGACAATTGCCATATACTAAAAATTGTAAAGGAACCAACCAAGATCCTCTTTCTCTCCTTTTCAGCAAGATAGTTGACTTTTGGATATTTGTTTTGACTATAAAAAGAAGATCATACAAAGTTATACAAAAACTGCAAATTGACAACAGAAAATTGACAAAAATGAATAATGTAAAATGTAGTAAAGTCTTGAGTGATACAAATAGAGTGTAGTCAGAGGTCATCTTAACCAGAGGTAATTTGAGAAAAACAAAGCAATAAAAATGCATACCTTTTTTCAAGCTCATTGATTCGCTTCTCTAGTGGCTCAATCATCTACAGAAAAGAAATGGACAATTACATACAACTAAAGATTTGACACTGTCTTATTTTAACAGTATCCAATACATATTAGAAAGGCTTCAGAAAGTAATTGCTTAAGTAAACAGCCTATTGTAATTTGGGGAATATCATTTCACACTTTTTGAATTTTGAAGATAATAATTTCACACCTTTTATACTTGACATAAACAAACATACCTGTTTTTTCAACTCTTCCATTTGCACTTGAAGCAAATGTTTAAGGCCTTTTGTTAATCTATAAGAGAAAATATAAAGCATTAAACTGCACCAAACTTTTCTTTTGTCCTACCTAGCGCTTTTAAAAAAGTATGCAAAAAAATTAGTGATGAGCCAAAACAAGGCAAAAAAATTCTTTAAAGTCAATTTTCTTTGGTGCACAAGGGTAATGAAACTTCATTTCGATTATTTTAGGATGGCATTTAGCACTGTCAACATACAAAAGGAACCCGGTAAGACAATGGGTGGCTTTTTACTACCATTTTGTATATTCAATGCTCCAAATAGTTTTATAAGTCCTCTCAACTAGGAATACTCCATGAACAGACTTGCATGAGTATTATCAAAGGTCTTCATTGCATATTGAAAAACTATTTGGATTCTGTTATTGGACTCTAGGTTACAGGCAGAGTGGCTTATTTTCTAAAATCCACTCTTGTGGTATTATATACCGTAGATATTCTCAAAAAACATGAGTATCATTAAGATTCAGCCATATATCTTAATGGATGTAATCTATCATTTATTATCTTCATCAATTATTTTTTCCCACAACGTTGCTGAAATGGTAGGACCATATGGAGAATCAACAGCTCAAAAATAGTTATTGAAAACTATGTGAGAGAAAGCACAAAAAGGAAGAAAATGCAAAAGCAATCCTTTAGGGGAAAATAGTATATGGTTGGTAAGTGTAATTTTAAAAAAATGTCTGGAGAATGTCCCTTGTTTTGAGTGATATCATTTAATAACAAAACATAATCAATCAGTATATTTAAAATCAAAACAAATCATACTTACTTTGGTAACACACTTTCGTTCTTTGTTAAACCAAAAGGCACTGCAAGGAAAAAATTATTGATGTCAAAGACTTTATCAGCTAAACCTAACAATACTTAGAGTTTTCACAATTTGAAAAATCAGTCAATGTCAAAGTAAAATTAAATATTCAGAATATATTTACTATCAATAGATATGTCCTAAAAAAATTAGCTTTTTATCTTTATATATAAATATACCATGGATGCCAAGTTAATATTTCTAAAGGCTCTATTGTTTTACTTAACAACTTCCTATTATCTAAACGGTCCTTTTATTTTGTTTTTCCTGAAATACCCAAGCCTCAAACAAAAGCATGAAAGTAGCTAGATCTGTGACAAAATCAGATATTGCATCATTCCTTACAAAATGAAATGTTTTAATTCAAGGTAAGGAGATTTCCTTTGCGTTAGGTATCCTAGCTGGAAGCTTCTTGCTAAATTGAAAGTATACAAAAGCAACCTTCTTCAAACCATATTAACAGTTTTATACTCAACGAAAGTCCAACACAGAGTGATAGGGGCCCTTTTACAAGCTGGAAAGAGGAGAGGGGGGCTAGGCAAGTGAAATACTTGTAGCAAACGATTTTGCAAAGTTTTTCATTTTGCAATAAATGGTAACCCATTAGTAAGCATATTTAGGCAAAATTCTTTACAAAGTAACAAAACTTATAGGGGTTTTATTTGGTGTGCTATTATTGTTCAATTTCATTTTAATTAAACATAAAGTTTTGCATTTGAAAGATGTCTTGATTAACACAATTGAAATTCTAAATATTTCATTACTGGATTTATTCTAGATGAAAAAAGAGGGAACCTAACCAAAATCTTGGAAAAGAAAGTAATAAAGTTGCTTCACAGAACTGTCACGTTTTTAGGAAGTAAGTAATTTTCTTCACTTTGTCAGTCTGAACATCGAATTCACAAAATTTATCATACAATAGAATAAAAGTCTCAATATCATAACAAGTGCAGTGCTTGGTTTTGAGTATTTGAGAAACTGTGCTATCCCTCAGTATAAAAATAAGATAAATTTATATTAGATATCAATATTTATTACATGAATTAAAATAACTAAAAATCTTACCAACAAATAAGGCAAATACACAGACACCAAAGAAAATAAGTACTAATTTCCCTTGAGATAGGGATAATGCATTTATTCGAAATGCCATTGTATTGTCAATAATTCTGTTATCGATGGAAATATTGCTGGTCAGACACCTTGAGGTGATTGTTCAAGCAAGATATGTTGGATCCAAGAATTCACCTCCAGTTGAACATCATCATGTAAAAAAGTGGTTTATATTGAGAAGACCACCATCAACCAGAGTGCTACGCTTTAGCATAGGCCAACGTAAAGTCAATGCCAAGCTGAGCTGTTACCACAGTGAGTTCTTTAACATTAGAAGAATTTCCACTTCTGTCTTTCATGTGCTTATAATGACTGCTTTTGTACACTTTGTTTTTCTTATTTCAAACAAACCAACAATAATAAGACCGCTATTGAAGAACACATGTCTACGTTTCCGCCATTGTTTGAATTATTTTCGCAAACTAGTAACTGGTCCGCAGTTTAGCTTTCATGTTCGATCAACTATCGTTCGACCTGGTCCACAATTTATAATAAGGACCCTAGGACGGGCACAACTTCAAATTTATTGTAATTTTACAACAGTTACTTACTAGTATGGAATTGCGTAAAGATATAAGAAAAAATTTATAGTTTGCTTTAAAAATTGTATATCATACCATAATATATCTTTATTTAGACAGAGGTGTTGTCTAGGCCACCGAGATAATCTACAAAGGTTTTCAGGTCACGTGCCCTCTGCTATATAAGATAGAAATCATAATATTTATTGAGTTAGAATTGACAAATTCTTAAAGAATTTGAAGAAAAAACTTGCAAGTAATGCAACAGAACAAAATTCGGCAAAAAGGGAAATACAAGTCGACACTCTGTGTTTTATTTCTGCTAAAAACAGGGATTGGGTCGAGATTGAAAGGAAGATAAGCAACGGTCCAAAATAATCTTAAAACAATCTGAGAAATCGACATAAACTTCTTGGATTATTTAAGTTTAAATTAAACAATTATTATCTACTTCAAACTTCTTTGGTATGCTGCAAAATTAAGCCAAATTGTAAACGGCTTTGGAAAACGAAGAAGACTTGACTGAAGAATTCATTACCCCCTCAAAAATAAACTGGAGGAATTCAACTTAAAATCAAGAACCTGTTTCTATTTGGTTGCTTCAGCAGTTTATTTCTTGACGTACTTTTTCAAAATACTTATGAACAATAAATACAAATTATGATCAATTTCAGAAAGTTTTGAGAATTTTTCAGCTGAAAACATTTATTTGCTCTACATGAAGGACAGTATATTATTGACTCACTTTGACTGACATTTTCACGACATTGACACGACATTGACACGACATTGACACGACATTGACACGACATTGACTGTACATATTATTGAGTAATGTTGAAAAACATTGTAATAGCGAATGGCCCTTGCGTTCAATAATCTTATTCGATCACAAAAACCATATTCAAAAGAGCGTAGATTTGAAGTTTGCTAAGGGATTACTGTTACTTTGTTTATTTTCATATGGTTCAAAAAGTTATGAACAGGGACCAAATTACAGGGGTTTGACGGGGAAATAGCCTTTGCTCATATGACCATGTATCAGCCAATTCCTGGCACATTGTTCGAGGGGGGAGGGGGGGGGGTACCTTTTAATGCTCTTTTGGGATATATAGTCAAAATTGAAAAATTCTAAAAATAGAATTTTTCTGACGTCATCCCAAAAGAACTCTAAAAACATTGAATCAGACTATCTATTTCTCTGACTGCTTGCCAAAATCTCCGATAGATAGCATAGCTGAACTTCTGGATAGATGTCTTTGTCATCCATTATCCACTAAACATGCAAAAGCACGGGCCTGGTGGTTGATCCTTGAGGTGCACCACACAGCTCACTCTTAGCTCTTTCTTCCAAAGCCAAGACCATATTGCTGCAGTAGTTACAAGATTTGAATCTAACATAAATGCCCCAATCCTATATGTATCTGATTTTCAAATTTTCTCTGAAGTGAAATAACTTGAAACAAGCAAAAAGCAGAGCAGTTATTATATTCATAGGAGCTCTTTAAGGTACTAAGCAGTGATAAAATGCGGGAGATGACTGAATGTATACTCTCTCGAATCCCACCATCCACGAATCTTGGCAACTCAATAGATTTCTAGTGAAGTTGACTCATAGTTTGGTACCAGTCACTTAGTCACTCATCTTTTGCTTGCCTGGTTCTAGTTGAATTGAATTGAATGGACAAGCACCGAAAGATGGCGACTATGAAGACAATGAGCTCTGGATTTTGAAGGTAAATAAAGTGCCTTTGCCGCCGAAAACAAGGAGATTTTCCTCGCTTCTATAATTTCATTATATGATGTGATGCAAAAGAAACAGAAAGAGGTTTCATACTCTTGAGTCAACCTTCGTATCGCCATGTCACATCAATCGGTGAGTCTTGCCTTGTTATCCTCTCGTTGCTTCCTTCTCCTTTGGCCTAGTATGAAGCTCTATACATTTCTCGCTTACCTTTAAGCTAGAAAAAAATTCAAGTTCATTATCATGTCTGTTCGAGTCACAGGGATTGTTTATTATCCTTACAAATTGAAATTGAATTTAGAGAGTATAGTACATAATATTATCAGCGGAATCAAACCGTTATCGAAAATTATGATAATTTTTGGCAAAAATATTTGGATGTCATAAGGTCTTCCCGTGCGTGGTATCAGTTTACTGTTTTAAGCCAGAGGTTCCGTTTACTTCCGTGTACCAAAAGCTTTGACTTGAAAGGCATTTCCCAGGAAATATACATTATTAGGAATTGACACATCTGCCTGTTTCTGTGAAATGCCATCTCCATAAACAAAATAGCTTTAGAATCTCACACTTGATTGAGTAGAAGTTTCGAAATATTTTGTTGATTCATTTATAAATGCGTTTGTTTTGCTTTGTTAACTGAAACAGATTATAATTTGTTTACTTTGTCTGCACAACTGTTACACAAAGCCATTCTTTTTAACACTTTTCCAGTTTATCAAGTTCTATCAGTTTCTCAAGAATGCATGATTCTGTTATCATAATTCATCAGAAGCATCAGTTATCCACCTTTTTCGAATTAATAAAGTTCTTGGTCAACAAAAAAGCCTCTTTGACACAGGCCTCGCAAGCGTGGACTTCATCTCCCCTTATGATGTGGCATATTGCAAAGAAAACAATGTGTTTGCATGGGTTTTATATATAATAGCTGTTCGCAAAAAGGACAGTTTGTAGTTGGTCTGTGCATTGTACCATGCAAGGCTTTATGCCATCAAACCAAATGTTAATGGTAACCAAATATTTTTACAGGAATTTTTTTTCATTCATTAGCACATGCACATTTAGATGAAAAATATTATAATTTGCTCACCTAATAGCCAGCATGAAGTTTAGATGGATGATACATTAAGACATGTATCAGTGTAAATAGGGACTTTAATTATGTTTTTGTATGTATAGCAATAACTTTTTGTCATACCCCTTTGCCTCCTTTTAGCTATAGTCTTCTGAGAATCTATCTCCTCGTGTGCAAACAACATGACTATTATTTTCTTATTAGAAGTGCAGTTATATTACCATAATTCATAAAGTTACAATGGATTCATTTTTTTTTCAATTCAACAAACTCAGACAATTAGAAAAAACTTTATTAAGAAAGATTGAAGGCTGGGGGTGAGAACAAAAGTTCATGAAAAACTGAACCTGAAATAAATTTTTTTTGATTCAAAATCTGTGTTCCAATTATAATTATTCATTTTATCAAATTATTATTGTTATTTTTAAAAGACTAAAAGAAATCGACTTGACCCAGAACAAGTATTCACAATTCAACAAAAGATTGGAAAGGGATCATTTGGTGAAGTTTTTAAAGGGTAAGTTAAATGTTACTTGATCCTATTATTTTAGCCAAAAGAACCTACCAAAACAACCATAGGTAGACTTTCTGTTTACACTAGAACTGCTGGATCTGTACCAATTTGGGATCACTCTTCAAGGTTTACCTGTAGGATCCATATCTTGTCAGGAACAGTGTATACCAAAACAGCTGCAGATTGGGTACAAGACTGCAAAGGACCAGTGATTGGTTGCAATATTCCATAACCTATACAAAACACTTAACAAGCCAATAGTATACATAGATGCCATATCCAGACAATTTTATCCTTGCAAGATATCCTGTTTAGAACTTAAAAATTGATTGGTTCTCCTTCAGACATGTATTAGTGTAAAGGGGACTTTAATTTAGAATAATGAATATGTTTTTGTAGCAATAGCAATAACTTAAATCATTTGAAATAAATTCAGTGGTTTTTGAAACAATTAGAAAGAGTAAGTTAACTTGCTATTTTTAATGAAAAAATACATGATATGTTTTAGATATTGCTTTGATTTAGATATGAGGCAGGGGAATTAATATATTTGTCACCAATCTCAGTATTTTTTATTGTTGAAACAAGCTTATAAGAACACTTTAAGTTCCTCAGAGAATCACCATCAAAAGGCAACGCTGTATACAAAGCAAGTATGCTGATTGTGAATTGCCAAAAAGCATTAACTTAGAGAGAATATGATCAGGACATACCTAAGCAAATTACTTTCTTCTAATCTTCATTAACAACCTTAATATTATCAAATTTTTATTCTAGCAAAATTAGATCTTTCTTGTACGAAGAACTGCCTTACAAATAATTGATTGGTGGATAATGGTGTAAAAAAATTTCTCAACACATTCCTCAATAATTCCATTTTTGGTTTTACAGAGTTGATAACAGAACAAATACAATCGTGGCTATAAAGATCATAGATCTTGAAGAGGCTGAGGATGAAATTGAAGACATTCAGCAAGAAATCACAGTTCTAGCCCAGTGTGACAGTGATTATGTCACAAAATATTATGGATCCTACTTAAAGGTTTCTTTTAATTTCTACATTAAACATTGCTTATTTTACAACAGAAACCCCATTTTCATTTTTGTATCAACCTAAACCTAGAAGATGAGGACAAAATTTTTGCTAACAAAGTGGTGATTTTAGCTCTACTAAAGTTCTTATAATAAAATAGATTACACATGCTAATCTCAGTTTCCTTAGATTACTTGTTATCCCAGATTTAAATAAGACTTACTATTGCATATATCAATTATAACTGAAAATCAAAAGTATCAGGGATAATTTTATCTTTTGTATTCAACAAATTGAAAAATATATTTGAGAAAAACGTTGTCTTAATAGTAATGACTGTTTTTTGTTAAATGTAATGGCCATTGGTTGCCAAACTGTTTTACTCCCCATCCTAACATCACTAAAGTGTTGTATTGTTCGAAGATGTCAAGTGATGCATATTTTAAACTTTTTATCAGAATATAGAAAAAAATTGACAAATCAAGTCCAAGTTGAACTAAAGGTTTAAATTCTAATTCTGTATTAGGTACAATGTCCAAACATTTATTTATGTATACATTTTCTGTCTAGGGCACAAAATTATGGATCATAATGGAGTATCTTGGAGGGGGTTCAGCCCTCGATTTGGTGAGTTTTGAAATGTTTGCCAGAGTAAATTTTGGCTTGTATTGGCTTTTTATGACTAAATTTTATGTTTTATTTATTTATTTTATTTACTTATTTATATGAGCAATAGTAAGATATCCCTTTTTTCACTTAGGACGTCATTTCTTAAATTATGTCACTTTGTATTAAGTGTGTCCTTGTGCATCTCTTTTCTTTTCTATGCATCTTTATGTGTCACTATTTTTGGCTAGCTGCCTTATCTTTTCTTTGTAACTTTTGTTAAGAAATTTTCTAAATTTTGTTCTGTTTAGGTAAGCTAGAAAAATCAGCCAAAATAAAAAAACCACAGGTTCAAAGGATCCAAGTTTTGGATATTTCAAAATGACAACAAAGATGAAAAAAACAAAAATGGAGAAACAAGAATAATCAAAAGAAGGATTAAATATCAATAAATATTTGTAACCTTTAGCTGTTGATAAAATGTAACAATGCATTTTTTTGTATCCTCTCAAATACTCAAGCTACCTTTTCATTTGGTTTAGATGAAGGCTGGACCCTTTGACGAAATTTACATAGCAGTTATACTTAGAGAAGTTCTCAAAGGTTTAGATTACTTACACAACGAAAAGAAGTTGCATCGAGATATCAAAGGTATTTATCATATTTTGCTTTCAATTTTTCGTATTGTTTGTTGCTACCAATCTCGGTTTTTTTAAGTCGAGAGATGTATAAAATAGCATTTTTTCACCCACGTTGTTAATTTGCTTCGAAGGAAACAATTTTGAAGTTATAGTTACAGTCATTGTTGAAAATATTCAAACGCCCACTTAACTAGATTTTCGCCTCCCCAGTTGAAGTGTTATTAAATTTCAATGTTTGGTATTTACTGATGGAAGCGCACCGACAAAAGTTTTATTAGCGAGAGACAGTGGCTAATTTAGTTGCAGCGCTGACACTGTTTAAAATGTTTTAGGGGCTCAATATTTTGTTTAAAACTGCTTTCCGTGGGCTTTAAAGCTTATTACACCAGCAACGCGTTTCAAACTTGATGAAATTTACGTCCGTCGGCGGCTGCGGCTCTCCACAGTCTTAGATCCAGGCATAGCTCCAATGGTTATACAATCGTCGAATAGACGAAAAAAAGTTGATTTCTCGCACGCTTAACGGCATTTTCTGTCCCAGTCTCATAGAGTACGCTAAGGCGCACCTGATTGGTTCTTTTCAACCAGTCATTGAGTATTGTGTCTGATTTGTTTCGTTTCGACCAATCACCTTATTTTTTCTGTTCTGTACTGTCCCTTCGTTATGATTTATGTACTTTGTTGACCACTCCCTATCCACATTTTTTTTACGATTTAGCTGCAAATGTTTTACTCTCTGAAAATGGCGACGTAAAATTAGCTGACTTTGGGGTTGCTGGTCAACTTACCGATACGATGAATAAAAGAAACACTTTTGTTGGCACTCCGTTCTGGATGGCACCAGAAGTTATCAAGCAATCTGCTTACGATTCTAAGGTAAATGGAATTCATTTCCTTTTTAAAAGCATTTTAGGGTGATCTTGTTAAATTCCATTTTTTTGAAATTAAGAACACAGACAATTTCAGTAATTAAAAGCAGTGATATTAAGCAAGAAAAGGACCAATAAAAAAACGCCTAAAGGCAGTTAATTTTGGTAGGATATGACCGCCGATCCGCAATAAATGTCTGTTATATGTAATTGCCTACAAATCTCAGTAGATGACAGTATTCTCATTAATCAATTGAACGGTTAGAATGTTTACAGTCCTTACCAGAAGTCCTTAGGCTAAAAATGCGTTTGTCTGTAACAGTTGCTAGCCAGTATTTTTCAAAGGAGAGAGGGAGATATCTCTGGAAGTATTCCTAATTTTTAGCGTTTTGCATCAAGACATTTAACAGATGTCTGCATAACCAATCATACAAGTATTTGTCACATTGCTACCTTCTAAAGATGTCCGGTTTAATGATTATGTTTTCCTTTGCTGTAGGCGGACATATGGTCGCTTGGTATTACAGCCATAGAGCTAGCAAAGGGTGAACCCCCACATGCAGACTTACATCCAATGAGAGTTTTGTTTCTTATTCCAAAAAATAACCCTCCAGAGTTATCTGGCAGCTTCAGTAAACCATTCAAAGAATTTGTTTCCCTCTGCTTAAACAAAGATCCAAGCGAGGTAAGTTTGTAGAAAGTTCATAACTGATTTATATTGTATTTAATGCTCCTTGGGTATTCTGGTTTCCTTGATGATCAAGAAAATCGTCCTAACTAACTTTGCTGTGAACAGTAGCAAATAGTAGGTATTATACTGGGATTCAGAATTGTGAGAATAAAATGTCTCAGGAGAGACTCTACAAATCATATCAGAGACAAGTCCGTGGTGTTTTGTTTCAATAGTTTATTACCCGCTTATGTCTTTATATGAATATTACTCATAAAGTTCCAATAATTTTTCAGAGACTCTCTGCGAAGGAACTGCTCAAACACCGATTTATAAAGACGGCAAAGAAAACAGCAATATTAACAGAACTTATAGAGAGGCACGCTCGGTGGAAAGCAGAAGGAGGGGAAGATCTAGACAGTTCAGATGATGAGGACAGGTTTGTAATGCCAGGATACAGCATTGTTTTCCGACGTGCTTAATTCCTTAGCCAAAAATTTGGAATTTGGAACCCGCCAAACAAAGTTAGAAGAGTTTGCTCAATTTACAGGAAATTTCTGATTTATTTCCTATAGTGATTGTAGAAAAGCTGAGAATTTCTAAATATTTATACAGCTTGGATTTTCCTCTGTAGAGTAAAACTCCAAAGTAAAATCGGTTTCTATAAGAACCTATCTTACAGGGTTTAGAGGATGTTTAACACAATTTGTTCGCTCTTAGTTTAAAGAAAGGGTTTTTTTTAAAACGATGAAGTGTAATTACAGCTATTTGATTTAATCAATTCATCCTGGCTGGAGATCGGAAATCATCGGTAGTATTTTTCCTGTTAAGCCGAATTTCTTTTGTCAAAGGCGCGATCAAAGGTCTTCCTAAATAAAAAAAATTTTCTAAGAATCATGCTTTATTTCCTTTACCTAGCGTTTCATTATGAAGCAGGCACTACTTTTTCTGCATCAAATCTTACTTTTTCTGCATCAAATCTTACTTTTTTTGCATCAAATCCTACTTTCAATTTTTCAGTGAAGGCACTACACGTTCTCAGGCTGATCAACCGACTTGGATTTTTGATACAATAAAATCATCGCCGAAAACGAATTCAGAACTCGACAAGATGAATGATGACCGGGGGATAAACTCGCCAAAAACAGGAAGGCCCGAGAGACAACTATCAAAATCCTTGAAGAAACTCTTACCAGTCCTGGATGCGGTATGCTTCTTTCTTTTCATTTTTGTTTAGTAAATCATACCAAACGACAGGTATTTTTAGTTCGTATATTGAAGAAATTTTTTATGTCAATGCAAATCAAGAGAAAAATGCTGGTAACGTTGTTTCCAATACTGTTTTTGATGTCATGACTTTGTACATGGCCCCTAGATTCTTTCTTCTAAAGTAGCGGCCATCTCTATCACTATATCATTATATACTAGTTTTATATAGCCTTTATGCAGTTGTAGAAGGACGTAATCTTCAAAATGGAGAAAAGAGTTTGTTTTTTATTGCATCTATTTGAGCTGGTGCTACAATGGATAAACAAGCTTTCAATCTAATAAAATTATTTATTGTTGCATCTACTCTGTATTTTTGTATTTGAACCAAGTTAAGCTCCATTGTTTAAACAACAGTTTTGCCTTGATGTTACCTAACTGAACAACCTTGCCATCAGTATTGTATGTTCAAGCTGCTTGTCTGGAAAATTGAATATCTAAAAATTTTTAGAACCATTTCAAAATAATAGGTAGTATGAAGTAGCGTTCATATCATTACCAGTTTCATATAAAATTTGTAGCTCAAAGTCAAACACCAGTCTAAAAGTTCAATTGTTGAAGATTTGGAGACAGTCATCCAAGATACGGACCGAAAATGTCCCGGAATCTGCGATGCTTTCGTTGGAGAATCACGGATATCGTCAGAAGGTCAGTTTTGTTTTCCGACTTTTCCATATTGTTTGTATTGCATTATTCCTAAATATTTGAAAACTATTCCAAAACAATACACAAAAGCAAGTGCTTAGGGGCAGTAATCTAGCATAAAAATTTTAACTATAAATGACAAATGGTATAAGAAGTTTTGAAAGGCTGAAGAGCGTAGCCACAAGCTAAATTGAATTAATATTGCTATTATTATTAGTTGGTGCCATACATAGCTTAAAAGGCTAATTCAAACCAACTATTTACATTTCTACAAATTATAAAATTAAAACATAATCAGAAGAGAGAAATAAAAAAAATTCGAGGCCTTTTCAGCAAAATCTTATCTATTCTTGGTCGTATTCTTGATTTATCAAGATTCTCAAAGCCATCTTATTTGAACTTGAAAAGTCTTTGTTTGTTGAGAACCAAGGACTTTTGTTTTTTCAACGTTTGACATTCGTAATATTTTTTTCGTAGCCATGCAACTAATAATCGAAGATAGCCCAGATATGCGAGAAATACCACTAGCAACGTCGTTGAAAGCTCAATAATTTCGATTGGACGGCAAGGGAGAAGATTTTGGCAAAACATGTTTTTTTACGAAAAGCATATGTCCAGGACCACAGATCCTGTTATAAATCGCTCTCTATTGCATCGTATGGACAGTGACATTTCATAATCAGAGTTTGCAAAGAACAATCCATTTTTGATAGTTAGCTGACACAGCATCTCCGTATTGTTTCTATGTTATGATCAAATTTTACCTAAGAAGCGAACTCGCTTGTTTTATTCTTTAAATATTATAATCTATAAAGCAGATGCTATTTGAATTGCAAATAGCATTTTCCCCTTAAATTAAACTTTGCGATACGTGTCTTTTTCGATGAATCTCGTGCATAACTTAACAAAATTCCATAGATTGGTAAGCGGTTTGTATATATTATCAGCTATATTTTTAACTGCACGTTTTCCCCATAGCTGTTACCCTATCGCATTTACAGTTAACGTAATTCCGAGTCCTTGTTTTTCCCTAAACCATTTTCCATCCCTCTCATCTCACCGAAAACTATATTCCATCTTTTGCTGGTTCAAAGCAATTTTCGACGTACTTAGTGCCTTTGAAGGGTTCATTAAAGCGCCTACAGAATACAACATTAGAAGATTGAAACGTATGCGTTAATTCTTGAAAATGGCAGCTAATATTGCCATGTCAATAAAGTTTGTATAGTTGCGTATTTTGCCGTTCTTATATTTTTCTCAAATTTGCCAAATATTAACCATATATTTACACTGTGTATAGCAAGTATTTTTCTCTTTGAAGAGACTCCATTATCGAGGTTTCCATCACATTCTGCCTTCAGCTCATTTTTTTCTTTGAGGAGGTCATAATCTTTATTTTGTAGTTTGCTCATTGAAGAATCTTCTAATAACATGTCTATAAATATATTGTTTGAATTCCTAAGTACTCGTTCTATTGTTGGTTTCTCAGTTGATATCAATACAGCTGGTTTAAAATTGTATTTAATATCTGAATTCCTTGCATTAAATAGCCTTGTGTGTTTTGAATTTCATTTTTGAAGCAGCAATAGTAGCTCATCGAATCTTCCTCTTTTAAAGATGTTTTCAAATAATTATGTGTCATTTAGTCGTAGTCTATCTGTTTACAATGTCTTGAGATTCGTGATATTATTGCATTACACGTGGACTCGGGCTGATTGATACCTCATGTAAAGGCAACACCCATCGTGTTTGTCCGGAAGATCAGCAACTGCAGTTGATTGAGTCAACTCCCGTCTATGCAGCTAAAGAACATTGGAAGTACAGCTTCATTGAGCGGCGTAAGGCCTTCATCTCTCCTCGACATACAGTTTGACTCAAGGGACAGGGGAAGGCTAAATTACCGAATAAATTTGACAATGTCATCTTAACCTTGATTTAACGAAATTTACTCATGTTAAATAGACGACAGGGTATGACCTTTTTGTGCCCCTCGGGTTCTAGTTTTTGGCACAGATAGCACGATCGTGGCGTTTGTGCTCACTGCAGAAGTGCTCGAATAAGCAGTATATTGTGTTTTTTATCAGGTCAAAGCAAAAACATGCAAGTGTGCTGTATAGCTTCAAAGGAAAGCAGCTTGACCGAACGCCAAGTTTGACTTGATCCAAACAGAAAACAAATACGTTCTACAACCAGTTATACTTGATCTTGCAATATTATTATATAACCCTAAAAGAAAACGCAGTTCCATTTTCAACATGCTACCCAGGAGACAAAACTCCCTCTATCCCTGCTGGCTTTTTGTCCAAGGCATATTACAATTGCCCTCCCTTTTTAAAAAGTTATGACTTGACCCTATATGGCCTAGCTTGACCTTCCAGACTAGGGGGGTGGAGGGGCATGAGTAGTCAAATTTACCGACGAAGACATAGATAAAGATAAAGTTAGGTGCTATTTCACCTAGCGTAGACGACTTTACCGACAATCCATGGAATTTTTTCACCGACTAATAATCTACCAACAAACTCATGAAGAATTGGGGGTTAGGAGGTGTCACACTCCTTACACCCTCCCCCCCCCGCGCTAGCTACGCCACTGTTGACCCCCCATCTGAATTATCTCAAAAAAGGCTGTGCCGAGAGAATTAATGCAACAAGTTGTACACAGAGAGCTAGAGCTTTTTTAACTAGGGGGACCGACCTCAGGTCAAATTCCATCAGCTTCCTGCTTGATAGTGAAAATTCAGCTAAACATTTTTCCAAAATATTATAGGTGTCACGATTTTATCTACTTCACTCTTTCTTATAAGAACCAGCGAGTTTAAGTTCAGGCTGGCTGTTCTTAATTTTTACGAAAATCCGAGACTGGATTGTTCTTAATTTGTTCTTTAATTATTAGGTTGTAAGCAGTGCAATTGTTACTGCGCTCTTGAGAGGTGTTCAGACCTCGTTTGCTAACAAAGTAAATAAGATTTAAGCTTGAAAATTCACCTAAAGGCGCCCCTAGATGGCGAGAAACTCCTCGCTTTTTAGATGAAACATTGTTCAAAATTACATTTTACAGTAGATCAGCATCAGCTTATTCGCAAGTTTTTATTAACTTTTGACCAATTTTGAGGCTCGTGTTCTTATAAACTTTTTCTTACAAACAAGAGTTTAATGGTTAATTTCACGGGATAGTTTTAATTTGTTCACCCTCCCTTTACAAGTGCCCGTTCCCCACCCCTATTTGCTTGGGACATGCGTCAAATGATTTGCGCGCCAAATGTTGTATACTATTCGCAAGGAGGAAAACAGCCTGCTTCGAATCCTGCGGGTGTTCAATTTGAAAGGTATGTCATTACCGGAATTTTCCTTTCACCCTATATTTTTACAAGTTTTAGGTATCTACGATCATTTTAGCTAGCTAGGCTGTTTTTAGAAATCGAAATAACGTAATTTCCATCGTAAAGACGTGGTTGATGGAGTAACTAAGGAAGACAGTATTGGCGTGCCGGATGATGGCCTAATTCGAGTTGAATCGAATGCTTTAATGGCATCTGGCAGTACCACATTTGTTTATTTATAGCTTTCATATTTAGCTAAGCATGAGATTTGTCCCGGTGCACTTTTGTTGCTTTGCTGGAGTTAAGACAGATTATGCTTCAAGGTACAAACCTTGTAGCCAAGAAGCGGTGGGTTTTAAATTTGTTTTCATGAATACCGCTGAAAGAATAAAGGTATACCCAAATGTGCGATATGAATTGTTGTGAACTGTATGAATTGTAAATGGCTTTTATGAATTGTTATTTCAGTTCTGCTTACGTTTTATTAATATTAAAAATTTTTATAATCTAGGAAGTTATAGTCTTCAAATGCTATAGCTTCATAAAAACAAAACGTAGGCCTAATTATTTTGTATACAAACACACCAAGGCAAGTCTTTTTGGATAATAATTTAAGTTGCCACTAAACATTACTTGTTCTTGAATTAATGTGATGTTAATGGATGTATCTGTATTTTGGCATTCCAATGTTATTTCTATAAACATGCTATATGATGTCATATCCACACGAACTTGGCTCTAACATGTTTTGGTGAAAAGATGTTTGATATGAGGTCATTTTTGCAGACATGCCAGGTTTGCTAGCTGAAAGAAAATCAGGAATGGCTACTCCGGAAATCGCTGGTGAAACTGACAGTGCAAGTGATAAAGAAAATAGTGAGGTACATATATAAGTAATTAAATACCTCTAAGTAATTCAAGGCCTGCCAACCCGAGATATTTTTTGAAAATTATCTCTGCAAACTTGATAAAGCAAGTGTGTGTGTAACAGAATGATTTGTCTCAAATTCATTCTTAAATGGTTACATAATCAAATTCAGTATGTCATCTTGGAACCTGGCTTTGTCTGCTTATACATAAATTGGAAAGAAGGTCATACAAATAATAAATAACACTTTTCATGGTCTTACAAGCTACCCAACTAGGAATTTTGGAATGAACACCCAAGCTTGGTATCTACAAGATCTAAGGCAAAAGTGCCCTGTTTTTGCACCAAGCCTTGGTAGTTTTTTAACTGCAAATGGACAAAATAGTACTAATTATTTGCTTCAGAGGCCATCTATGGAAAAAATGTTTTTGATTATATAGGTAGTTGGAACATTTAAGGTAATACTGCAATTTTACCTTAAGCACACTTTAAACACTAAGCATTCAATTTGCCATTAAGTAATTGCCTGGCAAAACTACAAGTGACAGAGCTTTTTTGTTTTGAAAGCAAAAATAACTGATGTATATATATGAAAACTGGATTATCCAATTTGCTTTAGCTATATATTCAAAAACACAAATGTTTTCATGGGAATAATGTTGGTAGAAACGGGTCCATCTTATTACAATCAAGATGATTTAAAATCATAGCTGTGTAGCTGTTGATGATGCCAAATAGTATTTGTTTATGATAGCCAGTTATACTTCCTTAAAGACTTATATCAGCCATGAAGTAGCTAAGGCTTTCTGGGGAAAAAGCTCTTAGGCCTACCTTTAAGATATATTTCCCTTCATCCCATAACATATTTATTGAGCTTGTGCCCAAACACATCAAACATACAGTAGAATGCCTTGCATTTGAAAAACCTCTCATATGGCAATAGACTTAAATAATGGATGTGTTTTAGTGACAGCAGTTGTTGCTATGGATAAAGAAGATGAATAATAATAAGCTATCAAATGTCTTCCTTTTTTGATTAAGCTACAGATAAGAGATTGTAAGAATACTTGAGAACTTGTCATTTAACTTAATGCATCCTTTTGCTCTTAATATAATCAGAACATGTTTTGTCTGATCTATGACTTTGTGCTGTAGGATTCACATTTTGTTCGGAGAAGCACAAGAAGGATGTCAAAGCCAGAATTCTTGTCAGTATCATTTGTAAGTCCAAGAGGTATACCAGGAAAAAGCCCCACCCAGTTGTCTCCTGGGAATTCGTCCCCAATATATTCACCAAATCAGTCATCAGAACATGAAGCAACAGAGGATAACAAAGCAAGGTTAGAAAGTTTTAAAAAACAATTCTTAAAATGATATTTGTTTTTAGTCATCTTTCTTATTCCTTTACCCATATTCTTTTCTAGAAGAGGCTTTTAGAATTCTATAAGAATCTTTTTCCTTCAATTGCTGTTAATTGATTTGATTTGTTGTGTACAAATCATGCATGTCATAATATTTTGCATGATCTTCATGCAACTTTTTTAAATAACAGGACTGAGGATTCAGAAGAAGATTTAAGTGATCATGAAGTATCATTCAAAAAGCCTGCCATGCCAAGTCAAAGAGGAAGGAAAAGAAAAAGTAGCAACTTAGGAAGAGAGGTATTTGATTTTGCTGTAGATAACTGGAATGGTGTTTTAGGGTTAAGTGGCCATTGGGTATAAATAAAAATGGGTCAAATTTCCTGTCTAATTCAAGATGATTCCAATGTTTCATCTGTTGTTACTATTTAGAATCTTTTCCTAGTCCTGATACCATGATCTGCTTTTCAGTATGTTGGTGGAATTAAATTGGAGTATTTTGATTTACGATTATATCATTTTTTTACCACAAAGTGTGCAACACAATATTTTCCTTAGAGATAGATTCAAGATCCATTCAAAAAGACAATGCAAAACAAATTTAATAAGCAAAATTGGAATAGTAATATTGTGGAGCAGTAAGTTAAATGATGATTTAAATTGTTTGATTTATTAAATATTCAGTTAATGCAAGTTTCTGTCTTTCTTTCAGGAAGCAAAGAAAACAAGAAAGAGTGGGGGTGGTCGGAAGAAAGCACAAGCATCAGGTCAAAAGCATGGAATGCCAAATATGTCTGATGAAGAAGAACAGTCACTTTTTGATATTGTTAAAGGTGGAAAAACAGCATTGCGGGTAAGAAAGGCATTGCTCCTTTGGTAGTGCTAAAGTTGTTTAAATTCTGAGTGAGTGTTTCTCTAGGACAATCCTAGTATACACCCCCTTTACAACGTTATCCAGATAGTTTCTTATTTAGTTGCGAACCTATTGTTAGAGAGAGTGGCAGTTTCAAAGGCAGTTTTCATGAAAACATTATTATCAATTTCCTCAAATTTTTTCTTGAAGCTTTTTGGCCGTTGATCTATTTTTTCACTGAAAAAAGTTCATCTTGCGAGCAAACTTCGTGAGAGGTTTTTCTCAAAGTGGTAGTGACCAAAACAAAAGAATTATCTTATAAACAATGTCTAGAAATAATGTTTTATCACAATGATGGAGAAAAGCTATGGTTAAATTGCTAACATCATTGGATGCACAAAGACTGCTGCTTTTGACATGTTCAAAAGAATTGAAAAACAAGGAGCATAAAAAAGTTGTCACAGTCAAAAAGAGCTCTCATAACATCAACAGCCGAGCATTCCCCCTAACTGATTTGCATCAAAACTGATTTGGGTCATTACACAAAATGGCACAAAATATTCGTAAACAGTTGAACTCTGAAAAGCTGTTGGTAAATATTGCAAGGAAAATAAAGAATTGCCAATGTACCTTCGTACTGATTGTTTTCTACAACACTTGCAGCTGTAAAGAAATATCGAGGCTTTAAGGCTTTGCGCTAAATGATATATGTCTGCTCTGCAAGAACTTTAAGATTTGCTAAAATTACATAATTTCTATGCATGTTCTATTACTGATCAGTGGCATCTCCATTCAAATATTTTCCCCAACTAAGAGTAAACAAGCTGTGTTTCTCTTTATTTGAAAATACTTGTGTCTCAAGAACTAGTTATAATGTTTTGTTGCCCAATTTGAACTGAACCAGGACACCTGACATTGCTGTTCTTCGCTTATTTGACATCAGTTGATTTGCATAAGGCTTGTAGCACAAGGTTTCTCATTTTAACAAAAATTGATAATGGATAAAAGCGTACAGGTTTTGCAATATTTTAATGTCTTTGTTTATTTTGGGAGGATTTCTAAAAAAATTATTATCACTATAAGTTAAAAATTTGTTATCACCAGCCTAATTTGTTTCTGTCTGAAAGCACAATCAATCTTCGAACTGTCCAGATACTTTCGTAAGGGGAGTGTATAAAAGTATGAAAATGGTATTTTGGGGTTATAAAACAATTATAAAAATATCATCTTGTGAGAAATTTGCCTTCCACAGCCAGTAATTTTTTGTCAACAACTTTGTTGGCTAGGACATCAGGAAAGTGAATTTTGAAAATTGTTTTTAAAATTGTTATCAGTCTTGGTGTCCACCATTTCAAAGTAAGAATCTCTGTGCTGTTTATGGTTGTGGCTTATAAACAAGGGTGGCTTACATTTCTTTGTGAACCAAATTTTTTGTACCTTCTAATCGAGGGCAGAGTAAATACAAAGGTAGCTTATAATTTAATTACTATGTTAGGAACTGATTGTCAGCTGGTTTATCAACCTAGCAAGGCAAATATAAAGGCATGCAGATCCTAGTCTTTTTATCAAATTTTAATGTACTGATGTAATCAGAACAGTTGAAATACTTAGCTGAAAGTGCACTATTTGGAAGGAAGGATATAATTTTTAATTCAAATTAGGCTGTACTTGATGATTGGATTGAAACATACAATGAAGATAAGGAGGGTGCAATGGTGGATCTTATTCAGTTTTTTGTACAGTGCTGTGGTTGCAAAGGTAAATATCACTATTGATGGATTTTTTATTACAGCTCTTCTGCTTCTGTTTGAAGAAGTTTTGTCATTAACAGATTGTTTGTCATCATAAATATGTTTTGCAATATTTTAAACTAAAGTTAACTAAAAGCCAAATATTTTATTCTTTGTGTATAGACTGTTATCTTGTAACCATATATTTAAAGATTTTTCAATGACAGAATGCAAAAGATATTGTCTCTCATTTCCCATATATTTTTTTAGGAAAAGTAACAAGGGATATGATAGAGGCGGAAGAGACAGTTCAGGCGATAAGACAATTGACAGAGACATTTGATGAGGACAGTCATGAATACCCACTCATTGCAACTGGTCCTGCTAGCAAGAAATTCAAGGTTTGAAATGTCATTTGAAAAAAGCATTTTTTTTATCAGAAGCTACATATATTTGCACATATCATAACAGATATTTTTTGTGCTCCAGGAAAAAATGGAATCATGATTTCTTTGTTTTAAACCATTATGTCACTAATTTCAGGAAGTTTTGTTTCATAAATGTGTTTTAATGGTTTAAATTAATTCCGTTCGATTCATTTTCCATTGTTGCTTATCCAAAGATTTCATTTTTTCATGTTGTGCTCTAGAGGTTAAGTTTGACTGGATAAGTTGTTTCAATATTTATTCTGCAAAATTTGTCTACATTTTCAAAGCTAGGTAATTGTCCCTGGGTTTTTTTAATATGCACAAGATACCCAGTATGACATTAGGTGTTTTGATTTAGAATGTTGCGAGCCATCTATTGCCTAGTAACAACAGGTTTGATGTAGCATGATTTTGAAACAAAGGTAACATGATGTTGGCTTTTTTGTAGAGCAACCTGTCACATTTTGTTGAGCTGCTAATCAATCAATGCCAATACAATGTTATCTATGATGAAATTATGATGGATACTCTAATTAGTTGGCTGATTGGCCTGTCAGACTCACAAGTCAGAGCGTTTCGACATACAAGCACCTTTGCAGGTTAGTTTTTACTTTGTATGGCAATTTAAACATTATTTGATGCAATATATTATTTGTATTGCTGAAAAGGAAGTTGAAAATTATGCACAGCATGCTAGGCTACTTCTTAAAACCAAATTGACTAAGTTTGCCTGATCATAAAGGTGGGAACATAGTTTCAAAGACTCAAAACATTAGCCTTTCAATTTTTCGTACATATTTCCAGCAAAGATAACTATCTGGCCCAAAAGTTTACCATTTCAAGGTATAAAAAGCCATTCACTATCCAATGGTTATCGCAGTATCCTTACTCTAAAGCCTTTACTACGACAAACATTGGATAGTAAATGGACAGGAATACTAAAGTCTTTAGTAAATGCTACCTTTTTCAAATTAAACATTTTTATTAGTTTAACAGTTAAAGTAAGGATGCAAGCAAAATGCCCTATACATTGACTGGTTTTCAATTTTGTTACCTGTTCTTCCTACAAATTGGCAAGTTGATTTGTGTTTTTAAGGAAATATCCTGTTGAAAGCAGTGATTTGATAATCAGCTCAAAAGTGTTAATGAATAACAGATAATCTTCAACTTGAACACATTACTAAAGCACATTGTTTGATATTTACCTTTTTCACTGTTTTAGGCATGAAAGTTGTAACTGGTTTAATCAACGTGGCTTTAAAAGTCAGTGTCGAATCAGACAATACACAAGTAAGAGACATTGTATTTCCTTTGTTTACAGTTTTACTGATATTCTTTAACATAGGTTTATCTTTTGTCAAAGCTACAGATCATTAATATTTTTATATTTTAACCATAGCGACAGCTTGATACAGAAAATAAGAAGCCAGTTAACAAAAGATCTCGTGAGAATGTCGAAATGTTGCAAAGAAAACGAGAAGAGGTGAGAAATTCTTAACTTGGATTATTAGATAAATTTTTTGGTTCAAACATGAGAACTTGAACATTTTAGTGTCGAAAATGAATGTATTTTAGTTAGAGGTTGCTAAAGAATTGTCTGATGTTCTCAGAATAATTTTTAATTTGATATTTCCGGCTGAACTATTTATATAAAACTCAAATCTATGCTAAACAATGAAATTTATACTCTGATGCGTTTTTTAATTGCATGTTTTATTTCTATAGCTGAGGCAAAATGTTGCAGATTTGCAAGAAATGATGACGAGAATTTTCTCAGGAATTTTCGTACATAGATACAGGTAAATTACCTTTGTGTTGTATTTTGCAATGGCTTAGCAAGCACGTTTGTCTTAGGGAGTGGGGTGGGATTGGGATGTAGGAACAGTTAGTTTCATTGCAAAGTGAATCTTAGCTCGGTGAATTGTATAGTAAGAAATTTATGATATTTTTTTGGTACCACTATATGATTCTATGGTCATGTGTCTAAGATTTTTTATTTGCTGTTGTAGTCATTTTATGAATACAATGAAATGGTGTTCGTTTTTTGCAAATATGACAAACATCTATTTCTCCCCGTTCTCAAAGACTGCTGTCCAAATTAACTTCTGTTTATTAATTTTGATTCACAATTTCTTCCATTAGAGATGTCCGTCCGGAGATTAGAGCAACTTGCATTTGTGAGATAGGGTTATGGATGAAAAATTACAGGTAAATTGGCTGAAATATGTTTCTGTTGGTCTTAAAAGTGTCTCATCCAAAATCATTTTGATTCAAAGGAAGGCACATCCTTCTAAATTTGTGGCATCAGATGGTTTTCCTGTATTGTTGAGATTGTGAGAGAATCTCGGCAAAATGTTAGATATTGGATTGATTAGATTAACATGAAATGAATTTTGTTGTTTTCCACTTTTCTTGCCATCACGAGTTTTTGCAAAACTGGAAGACTTTAATAAATTGTATTTATTATATACAAAAAGATGTATGTCCCTGCAACAATTCTAATAAAACTGATCCTTGGGTTTCTAAATCCTGACGTTTTCAACTAGATAAACACGATTAAAACTTCCAGTTTACTGCTTTCAATCAAAACCTTGTAAAATTTATCTCCAGAAATTGGACAAGTCAAGTCAGCGGACAGTTGAGCAGACAATAACTTTAAGGATTCAACTAACTTTTTTTATTCATATTTTTTATGTAATTTCCTTCTTCAATTTGATTTTCTCAATTTTAAAGAGATATGATTTTTTTTCACCCAGCTCTTTCTTCGGAATAGCAGAGCAAACATACACCAAATATATTGGATGGACTTTACACGATAAGGTAATTTTGCAATTGGGCATCATCGTAAAGGCCTTTTATTTCGAGGAAGACAAAAAGATATTTTTGACTGCACTTTGTTTTGATCACTCATAACTGTGACAACAATCCGACTGTTTGAACTGGAATTCAATGAGCAAAATATTAATTCGTGTGGCTTTTGGATTCAATTGATAGCAGCTCTAGATCATTCATTAATCAATTTGCTCTAGCAAAATAGACAAGTTTTTCATAGCATGTTTTTCTCTGAATTTTCTTACTTTTTATGGAGCTGGCTAACGCTCGTGATGATGCAATCGTAGGTTGGCGAAGTGCGTCTTACAGCTCTGCAAGTCCTGCAAGGGCTTTACGAATGTGACAGCTTTGTGCCACAGCTGGAACTTTTTACAGAAAGATTTAAGGTGAGGCATTACTTTCGCTCCCCCAATTTCAATGCTGTTACTTCAGTTCGCATATAATCGCTTTTTTTGAATGAATGATAAATTAGAAACTTACAATAATTTACAACTGAATTTTTCTGAAACTGCCTTCATGGCAGCATGAAGCAATACCTTGTAGGGTTTGCTTCAAAATCCAAAAAATATAAGTATTTGATCTTCTACTGTAAACAGTTTTATGAAATCATAGTCAATTATGAAGTCATAGTTAAATTTTTGGTCTTTATCTATTCACTTATTTGCTTTTATAAATATTAAACCCGGTTACAATTTTCTACTGCATTTTTTAATGTGCATATTTAACATCGTTTGCTCTCGTTTAAGGAGCGAATTGTTTGTATGACGCTTGACAAAGAAAGTGATGTTTGTGTCCAGGCAATTAAAGTAGCTGGTCTCTTCTTCAAGTACGTTTGATAAATTGCTTTTGTTGAATTATTTTGTTAAGATAACTCGTGTATTTGCAAAAACTATGCGCCAAATTTTAACTTCTTTTTGAACTCAATAATAGAACCTCTAGAGTTGAAGCTTCAATGGTATAAAGTTTCAGTACATGTAAATTTTGAAAATACTTTCACAAGCAGACTTAAGCTGCACCTTCTTTACCGAGAAGGCTTTTTCAGTTGATTTTAGTCAAGCAATTGTATTTTTCTGACGTTGCAGTGTTCTTCCTAGATGGCAGTATTCTTCTGATATTCTTGATCACGTTAATCGAAGTCCAATAATCCTCAAACCCCATTTTGTTATATTAAGCGCTCATTTATTGCAGACACGACTTGCTCATGGAAGAAGATGCCAGTCAAGTGGATCAGCTGGTGTTCTGTGACCAGAGATCCGTTGCCCATGCTGCTGGAGAATTTCTTAACATGCGTCTTTTTTATCAGGGAAATGAGGAAGAAGTGGATGTTGTTATTAAGTCTCCTTCAACGGGAAGAAAGGGTAGGGTGAAATTTTTCTGTTTGAATCAAAGATTTTAACATTTCCTGCTAATTTGGGATGCGTTTTAGGTATGTGCTGACACTGATGGCCGAATATGACTTGATATCTTTAACTCCTCCCTCTGCACCTTCCCTGCTAGATGGCTTTAACGCTACGCTAAATTCGCTTCTAGGCTAAATTCAAAGTTGATAAAGTGATAGCAGACTTCTGTAGCTAAATCTGGTCACCTGTATAAATTGTTATTATTAATATATGTTGCTGAAATTGGATCACGATAACGAATATTTTAATTTGGCTGTTTTCAATAATACTTTTTGTAAATAAAGCCAAATTTGAGCATCCCTGCTAATCAGTTTTCTGGCTTATGTTTGGTTTGCAATTTTCAAAGAATATTTATTTTTATTTTTCGTAGGTACGAAAGGAGCCCTGATCAAACAGACCAACATGAAATATTTAGTGGATTTTTTTGTCAATTCTCAGGTAATCTTTCAATATTGAATATTTCAGAAATTAAATTCCAACCCGCCTTGGCATTGTATAATTATATTCTCAAACTTGGTTTGCAGAAGACGTCTCTCCTAAAGCTTTAGAGATTGAAAATTTCCGCTTTACCGGTCTATCCTGTACTGCTCATTGCCATATTAGCCGAACTATACACGCTTTGGTGTATAGTACAGGACGGTTCTAAGCTGCTACCCTGATTTTCATGATTGTCTGATGATTGCACTAAGCGTCATTCTTGAAGTTGCAACTAAGAACCATCTTGTACTTTACATCAAACGGCTTGAGAGATTTTTGTAGAAGCGCAAAGTTCTATCAAAGGTCAAGTGATCGTGTTCTCAGAATAGGTCGCTTAGGATTTCGAAATCTGTTTTGAATCATAGGGGTAATAAGCCTCAAGCTTTTTCTGGGGGAGAATGACTAGCGGGTAGTTTCCTTATCTTCTCAAGTGTTTGTAATGTGAATAAGTTGTTAAAAACGTGTCTTTATGTAGAATTATATATCCGAGAAGTTGCTTTCAGCCTCAAAAAATAAATGTTTTGGTAATTTTTATTTATTCTTGCACCTAGATTCACGACCATGCTGCATATTTGGTTGACAGTCTATGGGAATACACTGACTTGATAAAGGTGAGCTCCGTTGCATTATGGCTATTACTTTGCCTAATGATTTCATCATTACAACATATACGGGCAAGCAGCTTATGTGATTGAACATAAATGCTATACCTTTTTAGTTCGCGTGAAGGGTGTTGTCCCATTCTCATGTTAAAAGGATGTTGTGCGCTATCAAAATGTGTTAGCATCTGAAAATGGTGCTGTAGTTGGGACAAAAGAAAAGGCTAAACATATTGACGGGGCTAAACACTTACATGAAAATATTTTATATTGGATATTGACATGTTGTATTGTTGCAGGACTGGGTAAACTATTCCAACATTCTCTTGGACACAAGCTCTTTGATCGGTAAATATATTCATTGTGCTTAATACCTCTGGCAGCTAATTCTGCTATGATCACGTAGCTCTAACCTTTTCAATCGCAATCAGTAGTTATGACGTTTTTTGGTATCCTGAATGTGGGCATAAGCTACCATTCAGGAGTTCCTTGAATCCGTTGATTGATTAGTAAGAAAACGGGCATAAAAAACTACAAGAAAGTTGGTTACAGTACTATGATATCAATTGAAATATAGACAGAGAGTGGGGCTATAAAATCAAAGTTATTTATTCAGAGGTAATTACTTACAGCTTCCGGGTCACGGCACCAAGTTGTTTTGGATTTGCCTGAGTATCCTTTTAGAGATACACGGAACATCCTGCGTCCTCAATTACCAACATTTACGACGAGATGTAGATATTAAATCCAACTATAATCGATTGAGATTTGAACAGAACGCGATAATAAAGAAACAAACGTTACATTTCACTAATTGGTAATTCCCAAGTAAATATGATGAAATTCAACGTAGCGTCATGATCGTTCGTTCTTTCATGATATATACATTGCAGTCGTTAGCTCTACTTTTTTCTATTAGCAGTCGCTTCCTCAATCAACCTTACTCATTGCACTCCCCATTTTGTTTTCTACCAGAGCTTGATGACGCCGGTGAGACAGCATTGATAGAAATTATGGCAGCTTCATGCAAACAAGCTGCTCTTGGTCATGGCCCGTCCGGAAGAGTTGTCAAAAAGGTTTCCATAGCAAAAATTCTCTTTTTTTGGCAAATAATCACCATAAAAAATCTTATATTTGATCTGGAACTTACAGGATGTTAATTACAGCATGATTTGATTGTACAGATCAATAAATGTGGTACCCGTTCCGAACATGTATAAATCCGTGTGATCTATCCGAAAAACCGAACAGAATAGAACAAGGGTGCAGAAGCTGAATTTGTTGGTGTCTCTTTGTCGATTTGCACTTTTTGGTGTCTCGTATGAAAACAGTACACGATTAATCAGTCAAGGCCATTTATGTTTTTTAGACGGCAAGTGCTAGAGAAAAGAGGCTTTTGATCGAAGAAAGACACACTCTGAGTAGCCATTTTATGACTGTACTCCCCCACCTTCTTGCCAAGGTATGGTATTTGTCCTCGCTCTTATGATTTGAACTAATGTTAGACACAACGACACTAAAGAAGCAAAATGTTGATTAGTATACATCTTTTGAAATTATTAGTATTAACTATGACCAATCAGTATTAAGTCTTTTCAATATATGAATGATGTAAGTTTTAACTGGTTTGTTGTTTTGCCAGCCTGTTCATTAGAAAGTGTTTGCATCTTTCCACATATCAGTACTTCCCATGTTTCCATTTTATCGATTTGAATGATATTAACTTCCTTTACGTATACCTATGAAGTAAGGAATCTTGCATCAGTGGTGAATCTTTTGACATTGTATGCTTTTGATAAGTTAATATTTGTTATAGTTCGAAGCGGATGTTCACAAGACAACAAATTTAATTGCTATTCCCCAATGCTTTGAACTTGAGCTCTATGCTGAGAAGCGGCTTCTCAAGGTATGGCAAAGCAATTTTTTTCTGTCAAAATAGATAAAACATTCCTTTGCCGTTGTTATATTGAGATTCTCCATCGTGCCTCCCCCCTTGATGAAATTCTAGATAGAACCGAAAAACTTTAAGCTCTTTTTCTGCTCCCCTTTTTCCTTGATGAAGTTCTAGGTAATACAGTAGAATGTTAAGCTGTAATTGACTTTTGAATCTTAAAGTGTTTGCTGCTCATGTAAAAGTACGTCGAATTTGGCTTACGAATCTATCGTGCTCCTCTTAATTCATACCTAGAAAAAATACCTAGAGCCTTTCGATTGGACAATATAAAGCTTGTTTACCCTTGAACCCTGTTTTTGTAGCACCTTGAAGATCTTCTTGGCCACTTGGAAAACATAGTCTTAAAGCATGGAGATGAAAAGGTACATGCATATTAAATGTGCTGGAATATCGTGACGCCAGTACTTCAGCGTGTTGAGGATTACAGTACGTGAAATTTAATAAAGAGAAGAAACACAGTTTGGTTAATCATGAAAACTTCTGTACATTGGACGTCTTTGTTACCAGACTTACTGTCAGTTGTAAGGAGGTGTTTGTTTCTATAAAGAAATTTTGGGACAAATACATTTGCCTGTTGTTTGAAGGTGTTAGCTATTTAGAGTTGTCCGCGTTTAGAAGTTGTCTGTTATTTTCGTTAGTAACTTATACTTAAAAATGATTGGCTTTTAGTATAAATCACTGTTTCTAAGAATCAGGAAAAATTATTCACCGAATAACTAGTTGAGAAAGCCATGAAAATGACCATCCCTTTACTCGTAGCTTTTGGAAACCTGCTCAAAGACTCTCCAGTTCTTAACAGATAACGACCTCATCATTCAGCAAACTGCGGTATGAATTTTAAATGTTCTTCACGATATTTGTTTTAAAGGATTGTTTGTATTCGTACCGTAGTCTCCTGGTATTTGCCAATGGATTGCAAACAGGAGCGTGCCAATATTACAGTGCAATTGCTTAATATAAGATTTTATATAGTAGTTTGGTATCAGTCTACGGGTCTCATCTAAGAAGTTAGAGAGAGTAAGCTCATTTGATGGTCAAATGTTGATAGGCTGAGGTGGTGTCCATTGAGGGATTCACTATTATTTTGTTTAGGAATGATGAAATTTTGACATGAATTTATTAGTGTCCAATATCTACTTCAGGAACTTGCGAGGCACCGCATAGTTGACCAAGTTGTCGAAAAGTTCCAGTCAAGTATTTCATCTGGCATTCCATCGGTAAGTATCTCTGCCATTTATAACTAAACATCGGTATATAGAACCTTGTTTCCAGTGTGGGCCTGAAGGGTATTCTATTTACAGTAAAGCCTTTTCTTCACCCACTGTAGTAATCACTACTGTCTCTTTAAACGTAAATCCAAGCCAAATAAATTGAACTTTCTTCTGAGCAGCACCTAACACGTCCAATTTTTTATTTTTCTGTGTTCCTTATTTGCAAGTGACCAAACGAATATTCTATGTGGCAATTCCCAACATCACTGAGAACACTGGGCAAGTTTAATGATCCGTTAAGAAGTTTATATCTCCTCAAACAATAATTAATCAGTAGCGCTCAACATCACTGAATTTCGTAAGCAAAACAAATTTAAAGATCCCGTCATTTTTTCGCAGTAACACGTTACCTGAATTATTAATTTATATTAACCGCAAAACAAATAGGTAGTTTCTTCGTCATTTCTTTAAAACAAAAAGTTCCTTCATCGTCAGGAGGTTGAGGACAAAGAGGAGCAAGAATACTACAATGTTCTTGTCAGCTTGAAGCGGATTGCTGCCCTTTACAAGTATGTTTGCATCATTATGTTTTGTAGCCTCAAGTAGCCTTGAGATTCATTTTCTGTTTAGTTTGGAAAGGATAGATCTTTCCATTAGTAGTCTCAATCAATAGTATTTTCAACAAAGGCCAGAAGTATGCCATGCAATGTTTAAGTTACAAAAGAAACATTGTTCAAATCTGGTAGATCTCCAATGACTTTTAGAACAATTTCCTTTTACTTCCTTTTGTGCCTGAATTCAATCATATCGTAATTATTTTATTCAAATGTCTACATTTTGTTGCTATTTTCCCAGGAGAGAGTGTGTTCGTTTGGCAAACTGTTCACGATGTGTTTTGTTATACCCAGCCATTCCAAGTTGTGTTCCCTTTTAAGTGATAAATGTACATTTTGCATTCCATTCTCAAAAGCTTTCGCATCTGAATAACAAGATTCTTGTTCTCATTCATTATAACACGATTCTTCTATTTTACGTATCTGTAGGGCGCACGACTTAAGAGGGTGGGCCCTGCAAAAAGACCTCCATGGAATCATCGATCAAGGCACAAAAGATTCTGTGGACGATGATGTAAGTATGGTCAGGCTCCCTTTGGCTTTGCTAGTCTTCTAAAGACTTTTCTTGTTGACAAAATACCGTAAAGCTCTATCAAGCCCCCCTCTATTAAGTCCTTCTTTCTATTAAGCCCCCCTTTCTATTAAGCCCCCTCTTTAACCTTTGATGTAAAGCAAAGAAAAGAAACGCAGTTAGTGGGTCTTTTGACGGGTATGATGGTGATAAGATCGTGTGCATTGAATAAGGCCTATGTAAAGATTTTCTTGTGCACCTTCAAAGTCAGTGGAAATTTGTTTCAAAGATGTTCCAGGGTTATTAATTGATCCTGGTGATTCTGATGAAGATGAGGACCTTTTGATTAGTTAATAAAACTTTCGAAGCTGCAAGCAAAATTTTCTGATAACATTTGCATGACATTTTTATAACAAATAATAGACAAGGGCATTCTAAGATACGCAAATAATAGATAAGCCCCCTTTTTTAATAAGATACGCAGGTATCACCTACAATAGCGTTCTCATTTTTGCCTTGTTTTGTTCACTGCAGGTATTGCGACTGTCATTGAACTGTATGCATACGTCCTTGCTATGGAGTTTGGCAGAACTTGATCCAAATAAGCCATCAAAGGTTTGTCACAGTAACCAAACAGATGGGATGATGTATAAGATAGCGTTTTATTCTATATAAGAGAACTGGTAATGTTTGTATTTGCAACCAAATTGTTGAGCAAGCTGGGTGTAGGAAAATCAACAAATTGCTATGTTGAATTAGCAAGAATGTTATTTAGTCATAAACCTGTCACAATTTTACTAGGCATATATTTTTTGTCGTTTAAAGATTAAGGAAAAATGTTTGGAATTTAGCTTTTTATACCAAGTAATGTCTAATAGGCAGAGATCATTTCTTATTGTTTGTTCAACAGCACTCTTTTTTAGTGAGTAGTTGCTCTTTGACCATTAGACCGTTTCCAAATTAGTCTGATGTTTTTTGTAGAGTGAACTCAAGGCCTTACGAAAAAGGCTCTACGCGTTTATGTCTCATCTGGACCAACTTGTGCAGTACAGCAGCGACGTGATCAAAACTGAGGTATAATTCAAAACATTTAGACTGGATTGGACTGGAGTGTATGTTAAGAATATTTCTTGCATGGCTTTAGGTGAAGTGTAATAAAATTGAGAAAAATCGATGAAAAAGAATCGATTTCCACTGTTTGAATTGACTGACTATTTCCAAGATTATTTATCTCATTATAATGCTACGTAAACACAAAGGCTGTGATCCTTTATTATAAAATTTCAAAGTGTTATTTTTGTTGTTTGTTCTGTTATGACATTTTATGATCAGTGATGCCATTTTGTGATCATATTTTCACTTTTTGATGCTGCATCATCTAAATGTTTCAATATTTGTCCAAGAAAACCAAACTTTGTCTACATTTATTTAAGATGTGCACGTTTGTTTCTGTTGAATGCACGTAAAACAAATTGTTTTATTTTCTAGGCATTCCTGATCTTCTCTGATTTACTCGTTTTCTTTGCCAATCAGCTGAATAACACATGTGAGAATTATTCTTTAGAATTTCTACTTTTTTGCAAGCGTTTCTAAATCTTGTTTGCATCTACTTTTTTCCGATATTTTAATCTTCAATTTTTACTGAAATTTATTGGTGCGAAAGATTCTAAGCCATTGGCTTCTATATAATATACTTCTATAGATTTATTCATTGTTATTTTATTTCATTTTCTGTCGAGGGTAATCTTGCTACCCAATTTAAAATTCCTGTATAAAGGATAGTCAGTTGTTAGTTTGTTGTTTTCACTCTGTCTGACCCGGTACCAGGACCGTGTCTACATTTTGGCCCTCTTTTTCATTGTATTCCATTGCCCTGTTCAGCTTGATATTGACATCCCAAGGCAAAATTTGGAATTCTCAAAGGGAAGTTTCTTTCATTCTGGGGCCAAAACATGGAATGAGGTTCCAAGAAACATCAGAATGAGCCCCACAATTTCCATGTTTAAAAGAAACTTGAAAGGATTCCTGCAAAGTTAATAAATTCCCTAAACAAAACACGATCCCTAGGTAGAACAGCAACAACTTTATTTTATATATATTAAAGAAGTAAATGTAATAGAAGTAGTTTATTTTATTTGTATTATAGCTGATAGGGAATTCGTGTGTAAAGATTTTTGAAAAAAAAATGAAATGAAATGTTCTGGTAGTAGTTTTCTTGCCGCCATGTACCTTACAAAATTCTCGATTTCTTTTGTTTCAGCTCCTCTTTTAAGAACATTGGTTTATGAGGCGGAAATGAGTGTCCAGGTGCGGTTGAGAGACTTCACAATGGCTCACGTGTTTGCCGATATTGACGATGAAAATGACTTTGACGACGTTGATGAAGGTATGTGTCATGCATGTTGCAACCAGTTTGTTGATCTGTGTGCATTTTAAAAGATCTTTGACTACTTTTGGTATCAAATTCTTACACCGTTTCCTGCAGCTGACAAACACTGAGCTAAATTATTTGAACTGTCAGTAGACTAGAGCAATGATTGTTTTTGTGAATTCAAATCTAATGCTAATTAGAAATTTTAGTGATAATCAAAGATATGTATGGAATTAACAAACACTTAGTCTCCCTGAAAACACGAAGCGAGAACCGATTCTTGTTTTGGCATGCGGAATCAACAAAGCGGTGTAGTTGTAAGGCGCTAACACCTTCTGTGATATGACTCCTATGCTCATGATCGACTAACGAAGCATGCCCCAATTATTAGAAAATAACTATTATCCTTCTTTTTTTCATCGTTAGGCGATGATTTCAAGGCACAAGAACTCAACCAGAAACGAACAGTGTTGGCAGCGTTCTGCAAGCTGATAGCTTTCAACATCTTTGACATGAAATTAGCCGCTCCAGTTTTCGCGCAGCTAATTCGGGTAGGTCCTTAGAATGTTAGTAATTTTTTTAAGGATTGATGATGAGCCTTCATTAATTACGAATAAATAGAGATAAACCACCCTTTTGTATTGCATACAGTAAGTCGGAGAGGCGGAAACATGGCTTACTAAAGCCTTTTCATCAGAAGCTACCTATATTAAATTAATGATCAAAACATAAGCGGAATTTATTTCCATGTGTGGATAGAAAGTAACGCGAGAGAATCGTAGTCGCGCGGTAGATTTTTTCCCAAGTTTGCATTAAACAGAGTGCCCATTTTCCTTTGCACAACCAAAGCGTAAATTCCGAGAACTGGAACATGTTTAAAGGCAGATACCTAGGTATTTTAGAGATCCTCTAGCAATGAAATCCTTTGGAAAGAGCTTCAGAAAAAGTCTAGAAAGCGAAGAATGCTATTTTGAGAGTGGAATCTCAAGGTTCACCAGCTATTTGGAAACCTTAATTGCACAGCATTTTGCTTGTATGATATGACAATCGAACGGAACAATCTTCACCACATCTTGTCATTCAAGTCTTGTATTAAGTGCATTGAATCCTGAATAGTGAGTGGATCACACTACTCAATTTCCCTTTGGTCAGAAATCTAAACTTTTGAATTATCAAGATTATGGTATCAAAATTATTCTTACGACAATGAGTACCGAATTTCTGTTATCTGTTATAATCTGTTATAATTTCCAATTTTGCTGTACACTCCAGGGATATTTATCTCACCTGTTCCTCATCCATTATGCCTTCGCAGTCTCTTCTTCCTTTCGCGCCAGCTTTGCCACCAACTCTCCTTATTCCCATAGGCCTATTCTGGCTACTCAGATATCATCAAACACACAATGAACAAAGTCAAGGAAATCAATGCAATTGCTTTTGCCAAGACGCTCTTACTCAGCCTGCAACAGGTACGTACTACAGTAGATTTATCTTCTTCTGTTGTTATTGTCTTAACGGTCGTTGAAAACGTTACCGAAAACGTTACCGAAATCGCTGCCGCTATTGCCTTCCAAAGTTGCTTGTTATTTTTAATAAATTTAAGTAAAATGGTTCCATTTTTCCTGTGTTTTCAAATCTGTTTAATTTTCCGGCTTTGATTGGCCTGATGCTTACAAGATGTGCCATTAGCCGCTTGGTGCGAATCTTGTTTGTCAACGTTTTTGTTTTGCAAGGAAGATTGTCAGGGAATACGATCGAAAAGCTTGACTACCCTTTTCTTTCTCTGTTACTTGAGGATTTTTTCAAAGTTACGCGTACAGTTCCTAGACTAAAACTCTTGCGAAATATTCTTAAGGTACATTTCTCTATAAATCAACAAACCCAGTAAACAAATTGGTGGAAACACCCAGTTGCATCTTTGAACCGTCGTGTTCTGTGCACCAGAGCGTGTACAATTCTGCTTATAAGGCATCAAGCACTGTATGACAGATCGGTAAAGCACTCATTGTCTATAAAACACGGTATCCCCTAAACAGATAGGATGCGCTTTTCTTAGAGCCATTTGAATAAACCTGAGGAGTACTGACTTTCGTGTGATAATCTATAGTGATAAAGTCTATTGTGTGACTATAGCTTGACTTTTTTTATAAACGATTATAAGCAGTTACGAATAATGTGTTTTTTTATATCTATTGGTTGTGTTGCAATATTGAAACCAATGTGATTCTTTTTCAAGGCTTTCGAGGTCTTACGAGAAGAAAGCGGTGGAACTGAAACTTCCTCTGAAGGATTTCATGCTTTGAAAGTAAGAATTCTATCTTATATTCCAGATTTAAACCGCAGTTTTTGCTTTAAAAATTGGTGGTATATATAGGAGAATTCTAGATTTAGGACATTAGAAATCGTATTTTATAAGAGCCTTCTTTCTTAAAATTTTGTTTGAACCAAATTTCAACTAATTAATAATCTTCTATTTTGCCACATGCATGTGCCTATATGACAAGAACGTTTTTCTATTTGCCCATTCAATGTATAATTTAATTCTAAAGCGAATGATCGATGATGTTACCCGTAATCTTTCTTAAGATCTTGTTAGAAGGTTGTTGTTTTGGTTTAATAACTGCTTTATGCAAACTTTCATATTTCCTGGACTTCTTGATACTCAATCCATCGAATTGTGTAAATGTTCTAAGCAATTTTGAACAATTTGCAATCATCAATCGTCAACAAGATACGTTTTTGTTGTATTTCCAGGACCTTGCTAGAAGATTTGCCCTTCTCCAAGGTGTAAACATAAAATCGGATCAATCGAGAAAATGTTCATTGACATTACACAGGTACCAAAAACCTTCTTTATGTACACGATTCTCTCTACAACTTGAAGCAATAACAAAGGATTTTATGTACCAATTGTCCACAGAGCTCTGGTCATCGCTAGATCTCCTATGATATCTTGAATCTCTTTGTTCCTTTCATGCTATTCGCAACAGTAACTGACATTAAACTCCATGGTAACCACTGTTGTTTAGAATATCATGACAACGATGACATTATTTTTCTCGCAGAGATGGTATTTTGTATGCTTTGGCTCATCCAGAATTGACGAAGCTACGAACGAAGTGGTGCCTAGGAATCTAGCTTTTTTTGAAGTTCTGCACGAACTCATCTTTCGGCTTGCTGCTCAAGATCGCACGGGGAAGCATGGAGTGTAAGTTCGTATTCAAACTGTATTTGTATTGCATGTAGAGTTCAAAACACGTCTAGGGCTCCACAATTTACATAAGGATATTATACAACTGTTAGATTCTGACTGAGACTTGTTCTTCTTTCTCAAGTAATCTAGCTGAGTGTGTAATACGTTACCGTTGTGTAATATTATTTTTGTCAGATCTGGAGCTACATGTTGTAAGTATTTGTTGCTAGAAACTACAAATTGGGTTTAAGAATGTCCCAAGAACACGCTGAATAACAGCTTACAGCATTAGAGAAGATTGCTACAATTTAGCTCTTTTCTTTTATGCAACTCATCTGTGTTTCTTCTGTGTTCCTTTCTTATGTGTTACTTCTGTGTTCCTTTCTTCTGTGTTTCGCCTGTGTTTCGCCCGTGTTTCGCCCGTGTTTCGCCCGTGTTTCGCCTGTGTTTCGCCTGTGTTTAGGTGTGTTATTAGAGCCTAAAGGTGTCTTTAGTTATTCTTGAAGCTAAGAACCTTACCAGAAACGAAAATCCTTAATTATAAAACTTTATTTTGATTTGATCACTAAAGTACCTTTACTATCCTTGCAGGCTACCATTTTTTGAGGAGCGGGCAAAGGATTACCTGGATAAATCTGGTGACGTATGGGTGCCACTGACAATGTATAAGAACGGATTGCACGCAAAAGAAGTTGATGTTGTTGTCACAGAAGAAAACCACGGTACTGACCATTCGCTTGGTCACACTTTCATCAAATCCTGCTCTTTTTCTTCAAAACTAACAACCAACATTTCGATATATGCCAGCGATTTGGTTTGTTTGACTATTAATTTATCCTATCTTTGTAGGCCAAAACAAGAATTCGTCGGTTTTCTTGCACGTTCTTGTCAGGATGGTGTTACCAGATATCACGTCTTTGACATGAAACATTCTTAAAAAACCCTTAAATGACAGTGTTAATAACTCTTAGTAAATCTCGTCCATGACCTCTTTGTCGATTTTGCTTCTCTTTGGCTGCAAAACACCTTCCGTGTACATTCTGGAATCCCCCGCGTGCTAGAACTCTAATTCTTGATACAGCCCTTAGATGATTATTTGTATTACTTGTTTTCTGTATTTTATAAATTGCCTTAATTCCAATGGTCACCACCCGTCTCGTCTTTTCCAGAGGCAATGCAAGGTGTAGCTCAACCAACTTTAGGCCGAAAGCCGACCGGACGGGGTGGACGTGGAAGAGCCAAAAAGAAGCTCAGTATGAGTAAAGGTATTGCACCAAACGTTTCACTTCAGACATACTTGAATTATCTTCTTGTGTATCTCCCCACAAATTAATATTTTAAGCTATATATGTGGTTGATGATCAGATACGACAATGCACATTGTCGATGAATACTCATTAGGTATTCTCAAAGCGTTTAGATACTGAAACAATGCAGTGCTTCGTTGCAAAAAATCTAGTCGATTTTCTAGAGTCAGTTGGTACCAAAAGTGAGAAAGAGGGTTTCTTTTTTATTTGTGTTTTCTTTTGGAGATAACGATGTTATCGCAGCTCACGAAAGAAAATCACTGTGTTTTTGTCAATTACCTGTTCTCCAAATATCTGGAAGTTGTAAGAGGCAAAATATAATCCTATTACTGAACCAAGTTTATTGTTTTTCTCAGTTTATTACAAGTTTATTATAAGTATCTGCAGTTGATAGCAACGGACCTTTAAATTTATACATATAATCAGAGCGTTTCAGTAACAATGATATCTTTGAATGGAAGATAAACCCAGCACTATTTCATACAAGATCTTTCTCCATTTCTTCTGCTAACTGATTCTTTTGCCCCTTAGAACCGAACAGGCCTGGCAATTGGCTAACAGCTAAGAAAGCGACAAATCACAAAGGAGACCAGTCAAACAACAAGAGTAGGCTTGCAGATGCCGATTCTTCCGAGGATGAGACAGCCAACACGCTACAAAGGAAAGCTAAGACACCCAGCAACGCACCACAGAACAAATCTGCTGAAAAGCAGCCGATCAGCAGTCCTCGCCGACCGCGTGGTAGACCAAGAAAAGAAACTCCTTTTAAAGTAAGTTGCTCCTTTGAATGAGAGTGAGAAGGTTAAATGCTAGTGTTGGGTAATGACAATAGTTTTTTACGGGTCTTTGCTGTAATAGATGCTGTAATATTGAAACAAAGTTTAAGATCTCTGGTTGTGTTAAAGGCATGTCACAACCTCTGCGCTGCTGACTATTCTAAACGAGAGATTGATCTCTTTCTGTTGAAACAAAGTTTCAGTCACGAAATTGATGAAGTCCAACCCCTGAGATGAAAGAAAGACCTTCTCCTCTCTTTCCATTTACATGAACCCGTTTTAATTTTACATTCTGGCAACTTCCAGGTTCTGATTGGTCAATACGCCGCCCATCATCTCTACCGTTTGGTCCTTGTCACTTCCTGCTGTCACTTCAATGCTTTGATACCACTGCTGGACGGATAATATTTATGCATGTGCATGTGGAAAAATCCATTTGCCTTCAATTGATACTATTTGACCCTTGTATGATTTTGAGAACGTCGTGGCACGAGAACGTCGTGGCACGAGATTATCTCGTGAAAGATCATAATCGTCACCAAGTTTCTGCTAACGCTACTCTCCGATAATTCGAACCAATTTGGTTTTCCCTTGAACGTTTGAAATATCGGGAGTTTACTGTCCTGGCCTAAAAAATCACTTTTTTGCTGTGTAGTAAACTTTTTTATCCGGTCTTTCATGTTGCTTTACAATGTTAGGCATTCAATTCTTGCATCAATCTTCGCTCTAAAGTGTAGAACAGGGCGATTCATAGTCACCGTTCATGTTTGTAGAAAATTGCACAGTTAGTGGAGAAGACCCCTGAAAGCCAAAGTACCGACTCAGATTTTGAAAAGTAAGTGTTTATGAAACTGGTAATTATTATCAACGTCTGTGATCTGATTGTTTGTCTTTCTAAGTCAGTCTTCATTTTAATTAAATCTTTATTTTATTGGTCAGTTACATCAATGTGATTTCTTCTTTCTCTGTATTCGGGGTCGAATAACATTGGCTTATTGAATTATCAAACCAATGAGAATTTAAGTGACCACCAAAACTCATCGGGACACCAAAATAGTGCCTTCAACGTAAGAATTTAATGCAATTTGGAAAACATTTTACGATTACAAAATAGAACGCTTTTTGTAGTATGTGAGTTTTTATAATTGGAACGAAGAGCAGGCCAATGTAGAAGCAAACGCAGAATGCTTCATGCATTATTCTGTAAAAAAATTCGTCACATCATTCGCTTACCATTATTCAACATTAACTTTTGTTATCTTGATTTCTCGAAGTCTTTGAGTCATTTGCTACCAATCTTTAGCCCTAGAAAGCCCGTGCCTTGAATGTGTTTTTCTTTGGTGCGTTATATCTTTGTATTCTTTGAAGGCCTAACAGTCACAAAGCGTTATTGTCAGATGGAAAAGGGGTGCCGATAGCGACGCCAGGTTCAGATGACAAATTGACGCCGGCAAAAAGAAGGTTAATTGCATTATTTTTTCTCGACAAGTTTTAGCTTCTACGCTTTGCATGATATGCCATTGATACCGTTCTTAGCAAGAAATTCTGCATAGCCCTGCATTTGAACACCACATATCCGAATGCATTCGTGTGATAAACGTAACAAAAAATACGTCCTTTGCTTCTATATCCATGGACGTTAAACTTGTTTTAAGAGACCTTGTCTCAATTTTAAGTAAATTTAGCTTAAAGTTATTCCGTATTTTGCTTTCTAGTCGAGATGATCTATCTGAGGACGAGAACGAAAATGTGACTGGAGATGAAAGCATAGGGGAAGCGAGCAACAAGAGTGTGGTAAGATGCTTTGTTTGAGTGTCTCTTTCACTTTCTTGATAATAATGCTATGCTATGCATTTGTCAACCTGATTAATTATGTTGGTTAAGAAAGGGACATCAAAATGTGTGGGCCCATTAAGAATAAGCGAACTGAAAAGGCCTAATTTCTTACCGGATGGGATTTTTTTCTAATTTTCGGGATTTGTCCCGTCCAACGAACCCCCTGTTTTTAACGCCCCTGGGTTCGGGGTAATAATGAATAAAAACAATTGGGAATTTTTCTCTTACAGACAGAGCGATAAAAGATAAAAAAGAATGCATTTGAAAGATAAACATTTGTCGAGAGAGAAATCTTCCTGTTTTTTACAATATTTTTCAACTTCCTTCTAAGAAGAGCGCTAAAAATTTAAGCATTATTTTTCATTTCCTTCTTCGAATTGCTGTTACAATGTAAGCATGTAGTGAGGGATTTATTACTAAATTTTAAAAGTCATGACGATGCGTAATCAATGTAGATAATTTTGGTGTTATACAATTATTTCAAGCCAACGGTAAAAAGAATTAAATAGAACCCAAAACAGTATGTGAAAAATGCAATATTTAAAGCTATAAAGATAGTATGAAGATTATATCAACTGATCTGTTACGAGTTTTTTCGAAGTTGTAATTGCAACACTTTGCTGCGTAGATCAGAAGGGTTTTAAGTCTTTGCTATGAATTTCACGCGCAATGCGACCATTAGACACATACTTGACAGTACTGAAAGTTGAGAAATTTCAGTTTTTATTTTACATATTGTTCCCCTTAGCCTTTCCGTGTTCTCATAGAATCTTTTATATTATAGATGGTTTTAATTCAGTCACGTTTCAAGATTTTTATCAAAAGTTTCCTTTCTTCTAGACACCCATAACACTGATTAGTAAAAGACAAAAACGAGATTTTCCAACCGATCTTTTTGAGTCATCGGAAGGTACTCCTCAAGGAGAAACAAGCTCGGTGACTATTCTTTTTATATTTTTTATCATACTCTGTTGAAGTTCTTTAAAATTATCTACGGACTTTGTGTGTAAGCGAATAAGGTGAGATTTTTACAGATATATTTTGGAACTGTTTATTTAGTTCATTGTATTTAATCGAGATAACTTATTTAATGAACACTAAATATGATGTCAGTATCATTAACTGGCACCCTGTATCCGTAAAGGAGGCCGTTGCACTTAAGGGCCATGTACCTTTCTATACTTATTTGAGTATCTTTTCTCAAAATATTAGGCCTTTCGATTTGTTGTTAAAGGTGATCGACAGACACTGAAGGGCGATAAGCCATCTTTCAATCAAGAATGGACCAATCAGTAGGCATGATTCCACTCACACGCTTTTTGATTGGCTAATGTTGATTGACCGATGAGCCACTTATGTATCTGCCGATGGTCTTTAATTATGCAGCTCTGATATCGGTCCAAAACAATTATTGTGTGTTACTTTTCGCTAGCCATCTGTTACTAATTTGCTTATTTTTTGTAATATTACTTTTTTTCTAATTTTAAACAGCAAGAGTCAGATCTGCCTTCTCTGTTGTAAAAAGCAAGGACTTTCTGATGCACTTGTATTGAATTTGGGTATTAAAGAGAAGCGCCACAGTTACTGGTTTACCGGAGATAAACAACGGCTTGTTGGTATTGTACAATGCAAGAACAATTTGAAGGGCTCTTCCTATTGCCGGTCACAAGATACATATCCTTACAAAGGGAAAAGGCGTCTTTTAAACTTAAGTGAATTTGCAGAGTTGAATTCATGTTGATCATTGACGCAAATGCTGCGCAACATAGTCTGATTCAAGTGGCAATGTCATACGAACTGATTCATCTAGACCTATTTGGACTTTCAAGATATGTAAATCTGTCCTTCCATACCCAATGACAGTTTTCATGTTTATGACTTTGTTTTTAGGCCACCGCTTTCTGTAATATCTGGATAAGAGATGCGTGACAGATTTTAAGCAGAGTTTGAACTCCCGTTTGCAATTTCCCCTCTTACATTTGTCATATCTTCCTCAATTCACGCAGACTTATACCTAGAAAGTCTTATTGATATCATATCTTCCTGCGTTATAACCTGATTCTAGGAATTGTTCGTCACCATCTTGTCAATCACTAGGCTTACATTTTCAAGTTCATAGCTGTGACTTTGGACAAACAAACCCCACGAGCAGTAAATTCCCAAAAGCGAGATTGAATTCGTACGAGGCTGAATTTTTTAAATGATAGATATGCGTATTTTCTTCGTCTTAGGAATGCCTCAGTCTTTGTTTAAAGTTTTTATTCGCAACTCAGTTTTTAAAGGTGCCACTCAATTTCGCGATAGTAAAGAACAACTTTGCCATTAAACGCTATAAAATGACTATCTAGTTCACCATCGATAAAGGTGCTCTCGAATAAGCATTATAACTTTACAATTTTTTTACCTCCACGTATTTTAACCCCATTTAATCGACATAGGTGCAGAAATGTTTCCAAAAACCCTATATATATAGTCACCAACCTTCTCTCAGTCAGTCAATTTGAAGTTCACTTACTTTAGGTCGTCAGATTTCCTTCTCTATGCCTTTTATTAATTTCAATCGTTAAAGCCTCTTCTCTTTTCGTTAAGCCTCTTCTTTATGCATTAAGTGTTGTTTAGTTTTGTTTTCAAATCTTCGCTCCCTGAGAGCAAGTTAATTCCAAAATCAATATTTTGCCAATGTTGCGAATTTTAATGTAGTTTGTGCTATTAATAAACATGAGTTTATTTTTCCACTGTTTGTAAAATTTATGTGAGATACGTTATAAATTTTTATTGTTTAGAAGACATTGTTTTGTTTTCTGTTGCATGCCTGGCTACCTCTCTGGTTGCAATGGTACGATAATGGAACCTTGAATGAAATTTAATATTTTCTACTGTGGAAAGAGCGCATAAACATCATTTATGAAGGAATCAACATTTTAGGGGGGGGGGGGAAGTTGTACCAACAGCATTGATAACTTGCAAAGGTTGTTAAATTCTAGGGTTGTCCATTTTCAACGTGAGTATTGTGATGTAGAAACCATTTCAAACATTTGTATCGACCCGCAATGGGTCGTTAAATGTAATTTTGATGATGATGATGATGATGATGATGTTCCAACTATTTTTGGGAGTTGATGGTAGTTGCCTGATTCTTAGGCTCAGAGTAGGATTCGAATTCTACCGAAATTTCTGTTCTTGAATCTGGTTTCCTGCATTTCAAGGCTGTCAGCCCTTGTGATATTGGAACCTGATAATGGATCCGACGAGGGGGGGGGCATGCCCCCAACTTTTTTGCAAAGCAATAAGAAAACAATCTTTTGGTGGTACAAAACTTGTAAATGGCTTTGAAAAAAGCAAACATTTAGTAAACTAAAGCTTTTCGTCTGACACTCTTCAGAGTTTAGCTACACGGCAGACATAGACTGAAATCTACGCTAAGGAAATATATATACCCCAGTTGTTTTGAAAACATCTAATAGGCAAGCGGCACTGATTGTCAAACCTAACAGTCAATGTGCTCGTGTTTTCTGATTGGCCTATTGTCGATCACTATTTTCTGCCCCCCCCCCCCCCCTCGGTAATTTCCATCTTGTGTCGGAGCCCATGGATAGATATGATAACTGCATTGACGCCAGGCCAGACAGTGCACCAAAGTGTAAAGAACAATCTTCCCAGATGATCCCTGATGAACCATTGAAATTTACACGGAAGTTTATACGGATGAGTGATGTCATTTGATACTACACATCGTCAATTTTTTTTAGGCCCAAAAAACTGGAAAGGCAGAGCGTGGGTACGAGAAATACCCCCTTTTGGTAAGTTTGCATTTCATCTTGACGGAATTGATTTCCTTGAGTTCATAGACAGTAATAAATCAAACCAAAAATAATTGTTGGTCCTTTTAAATCCAGGCCAGTTTTTAGATCTACAATCCTTGATTGATTTATATAGGCCTGACGATTCGGACGATTCGCTTTGACGATTCGCACGCAAACTACCCTCCAGTTTTCCTTTTATAACTTTTGACAAACTAAATCTGTAGGAGTATTTTAATTTTTAAACAACACAAATACCAAAGTTTTCTGTTTTTCATATTTTCATAGTTAAATACAAATTTCAGTTAATATGAAGTCTCCGAAACTTTGACCAAAATGTGCAGTTTGTGAAAACAGTCCTCTGGTTGCAATTTCGAAAAATTCCCCCACATCTCACGCAAAATAAAATCACAACAAAGTGCAAAAACCGAGTGCAGACTATAAAAAACAGTGTAGCAGGTATCGAAAAAATGAATAAACGTCTGTTTGAGCAAAAAACCCGAGATTTGAAAAAGTTATTAAAGGAAAACTAAAGAGCGGTTTTGGGAAAATTGCGATTTTGCCAACTTTCGGGGGGCTGAAAATGTACTTGAATCAACTTTAACCTCTTGCAAACTATAAAAAAACAGTGTAGCAAGCTATGTTCTATCGATTAAACTTTAAATTGTATTTTTACCATTTTTTTGCCAAAAGTTATTAAAGGAAAAGCGGAGGGCTGTTTTGCTCGAATCGTGAGAGGAGGGTTGCGAATCGTCAGACCGCATTCTTTGTCATGGTCCTCCCCTCAATCAATAAATCGACTCTTCTGAGCCGAGTAGCGAGACTTTGGTGCAGAGTAATGGGATTTTCGCTCTTTTCAAGCCTTTTCGAATCGCTAGGCGTCCATTTTTGACAACCAAAGCAACAAACTTTAGGCGATGGCATCATTTACAAGACTGGGTAGGTTGAAAATACAGAAAAAAATCTGATAAAATTTGACGGCAGTTTATGTGATCTCATTTTCCTAGACCTCGCAAGTCAAATGAAACGCATAATTTTTTTGAAAAACAGAATTAAACAAATATTTTGATCAATATTCAACCACTGGAGATTAAAACCGACTCAGGGGGTAGCGCCTGGCACGACTTATAAACTACATCGTGGTTTGAGGCGGAGTTTGCACTTTCGCAAAATTCCTCTACTTTCGACGTAAAATAAAAACACAACAAAGTGCGTAAACAGACTGCAGACTATGAAAAAACAGTGTAGCAGATATCGAGAAAGAGAATTAACTGCTGTTTGGGCCGAAAACCCGAGATTTAAAAGAGCTATTAAAGGAAAACTGAAGAGCGGTTTTGGGAAAATTTCGCTTTTACCAACATTTGGGGGGCTGAAAATGTTCTTGAAACAACTTCAACTTCTTGCAAGCTATAAAAAACAGTGTAGCAAACTGTGTTCTATCGATTAAGCCTTAAATGGTATTTTTATAATTTTTCTGCGAAAAGTTATTAAAGGAAAACCAGAGGGCTGTTTTCACAAATCGCACATTTTTGTCAAAGTTTCGGAGACTTTCATATTAACTGGAATTTTTATTTAACTATGAAAATATGAAAAAACAGTAAAACTATGGTATTTGTGATGTTTACAAATTAAATCACTCATACAGATTTAGTTAGTTAAAAGTTATTAAAGGAAAACTGGAGGGTAGTTTGCGTGCGAATCGTCAGAGCGAATCGTCCGAATCATAAGGCCTATATAAATCAATCAATCCTTGCGAAAAAATAGTTTAAATTCCAGTTAAATTGTCACAAACAATGATGTTATATAAACACAAAGCAACATAGGAGTGAAGCGAAACAACTTTAAAAACTGTGATAACTTTGTGTAGGTGTTTAAAAAGTTTTAACAAGGATGTGTATGACCTTTGCATTTTGACTAGTTCCTTGATTGGGTAGAGATCTAAATCTTGTTTTTACTGTTAACCAGGGCTACTCAAACAACATCGCACGTATCGTTAGGCAGGTGCAGATACCCCGAGTGATCTTAGAATAATCATGGAGTTAGGCAAACCCTTTTTAGATCTGAAAAGATTCTCTCCATCAGCACTCTAGAATTTGCTAAACACATCTTGTTTTGCTGTCGTTTCCATATAGAATTTTCTCACACTGTTAGCTGAAACATAAAAACAAAAAATGTGCTTTTCATTTTTTGTATACACGAAGACACATTTTTGTATACAGTGACAAGTGCAATTATGCTCTTTGTGGAAAGGGACGTAAGGACATTAACTACGAGTTTTGACATAAAGTCTTTAAAGATTAACAAGTTTCCCATATTGAGAATCAACGACAGAGACATTCAACCTACAATCGAGTTTTCTCCCAAAAATACGGAAAGCATGATTATGGTTGCCTACAAAATAGAACTGGCAAAGCGGATCAAAAGAAATTCAAGGACCCAAAGGATTCCTTTAAAACAATGCTATGATTTTTGTAACCTGTTACCCACCGGGTAGAGTCGAGGTAGAGTGGTTTCAAGTTTCCAGTGCAGACAAATATCGCAGACGCTGAGTTTACTCCATCGAGCTTAACGCTGGTTGCCCACAACGTAGGAGCGAATTTAAAATCCTATAACTTAACATACTAGGTTATATGCTAAATAGTTCGAGCCTCGCATTGAAAGAACTTTGACAACATTGAAAAATAACATACCATATAACATGCAATATATAAAATACAACACTTAATATATAACATTTAATAGATAGCACGAAGGATATAAAATTCATTATAAAACATATAACAAATAATAGCTTAAGCTTTTGGTTATTTTGTCATATATTAAATGCTATTGTCATATGTTTTATGTTATATATAAAATCTATAATTTGTTATATGTTGTATATCAAATTTTATATACTTTATGTTATCCACTAAATGTTATATATTGAATGTTGTATTTCATATGTTGCATGTTATATGGTATGTTATTATTCAATGCTGTCAAACTCTTTTATTGCGAGGCTCGGAACTATTTAGAATTTACAGGGATTAATTAGTCCATTACCGTAAATTTGATAAGTCAATTATAAAGCAAAGTATCAGCCACCAATGCAAGAAAGTTTTCGAAAGCATCGCAGCAATGTCAAGCATCTTATATTCAAGAAGCAATTGCTTGTCTTGCTAATATTCTCGATGCTCAATTCTTCGCCATTTTACCTAACTTATTATTTTTTTGAAATTGCAGCGCAGGACGGGTTACAAGCTGGCTTTTAAGATGAGTTTCGCAGTTAAAACAATACTGTTTGCTTGGTATTTGACGTACAAGGGTATGTTCATCATTAAAGACTCATTGCTAACAATGGGCCTTTGCGAGCGTGGCGACGGTCCAAACAATGGCATTAATTGATTTTAGACAGTCTAAAAATGCATTATGGGATGCTTACGTAGCGCAATGGCTCATTGTTAGCAATAAGTCTTTAAACTCGTATTTAAAACTAGACAAACATATGCTTTAATTATTTGAAACTCTCGCTGCAAGGAAAAACTTACAAAGTACCCATTCAAAAGGTTTTTAAGCAAAAATTCCCCAACACAAGAAAGAAACCATCTATAATTTTTTTCTGTAGAATAGTATGCATATGAGAAAAAAGCAGCGATTATTATTTTTACTAAAACATCTTTTCAGCAAAATATCAAAGATATCTTGAAAACCTTTTTTCATCGCTAAAGATATCTTTTTAGAGGAAAAAAATACTGGACAAGGGTGTGATATTTGTCGTTATTGTTCGTAAATTTTGTAGAAATTTTGTAGAAATTTTGACCTGAAGGTCAATACTCTAAGATTAATTGCAGAAATTTTGAAATTTTCCAATATTGAAGGCACGTTATATATTCGTATTTAATAGACAACACATCAAAATTACTGCTGCTTTAGAAATGTATATTAACCATAAAAATTATTTTATACTCGAACGGATTTCTTTCTTTTCAGGGACGGTGGAGAGTGCCTCTGTTAACGCGACCTTGCCATCAAGTACAGCAATACTGAATGGCACCAAGATTGACTTTGTATTAGATGCATTTGATCCCCCTTCATCAAATATAGCCTATACTCTCCTGACATTTGGATATGAAAAGACTGGCGCGCCATTTGCCAGACTTTACAATTATAATAAAATGCGATCAGTTTTTGATCTTCACTCTTCAATACCACCAGAATTTGTTGGGAGGCTGACCACCTCTATGGTTGGAGGTAAACATATCATATCAGTGTCTCCGATATTGTTCACAGATGAAAATTTAAAATTTTATTTTGAGCTGGACTATTACACAGCTGCAGGTGTCGCAACCAAGATTGACAGCCAGAAGTATCAGCTGCAAAATGTGTACTGTAAGTGAATCTTTACTCTTTCACTTTAAATTAAATCAGACCTTGCTTCAATTTATTCATATTTGATAACAGTTATATTCCTAAAATTCTGGCAGTTTCCCAATATCCTAGTTGTAGCATAAATCCATAACAATTTAAATAGATGATAAAGCATATTTTATTTTTTTCGTGCCATTGATTGCAGCTTCTTGGGTTTTTTCTTTGTGCAATGTCCCTATCTTATTATTAATTTAATTAGTTCCGGCTTGGTCGGTGTCATTACCAAGCAACCTATGACTGAAGATAACTACAAGCCGATAAACAGTACTACAAAATTTCTTGTGATTTTGCTTATTTTTTTGTTTGACACCCAGTCTGCAGAGTAGCGCAGTTCTCGACGAGATCTCACGCGTGCACAGTCATTTCAAGCACGTGTACGGCGTGCAAACCTCCTATTATCATTCATATAGAGTGCAAAAATAAGGTTTCGCTACACCTACCTTGCGAGTCCATCTGCCAAGCTCTGCAGACTGGTTTAAAGCTGTTCAAAATCCTCGATAAAGCTTATTGAAAATAAATGCTTGGATATACCCTAGTATATGTACCTTTGGCACGTTATTAGAAGAAGAAGTTTGTTAGCCTTTTTTTGTTTCTGGTTTAAGACGAAATGGTGGTGACCTGAAATGAAAGCTTAACTTGAAAAGTAGTAGGCTTATTGTGGGACGCTTTAGGTTTGCCTTTTGGTATTTTTGTTCGCCAAATGTTTACATTTCATCTAAAACTCAATCTGATTCCCTAGCAATGCCGACATTTAACGATGCAGAATCGATGCAAGCTTCTACAACATTAATTGAAGGAATTACCGGGACAATACAATGCGTCGTGAGCAGTCGACCTGTTTCAACTGTGACGTGGTCATACAACAATGCAACGATCAATGCAACTCAGTCATCAACAACTTCAACTAGGGGCAGTATCACTAAAGTGACGAGCGTGTTAAGGATCAGCAATCCATCTTCGTCACTTGATGGTGAAAAAGTCACTTGCTTTGCATCACATCAGTTTTCTGCTGCTGTGAATCGCACAACAACAATCAATGTTCAATGTAAGTGGACTTAAATATGTGTATGTTGAATAACATTACTTCAATGCTGCTTTGATGTATTTTAATATTGTTTTTTAATTTTTTGCATACCTTTCAATTATATTCGTTAACTACTCATTTGCAAAATTACTAAATTGCAAAGTTATAAAACATTCAATAAAGAGCAAAGCAGGATCAATTGGAATAACTGCTGATTTCTGATACTAAGTTATCAAACTTTCAGTGAATCTGTTTCCCTAGGCTGAGGGATATATTAAAATCAGTTGAAATTCTGCACCAAACTCATTTTGGTCAAGTTTCTCATTTTTGAATCTTTATTTTATTTTGTTTCGCTATGCCAGGGCTTAAAGGTCTATTGGAGCCTGATTTTCAAATCCTGACACTTTTCAACCTGCAGTGAAGCTCAACCTTAAGCTGACTTTTATTATGTAGAATTCCTCTTATAGCACTTTGCTTTTTAACAGTGATAAATCCTTATCTATTCCCCATCTTTATCGTAGATCGCCCAAAGAACACTTCGTTTTCCGTGGTACCAGCAATGCCAAAACAAAACCAAAACATAACACTGACATGCAGTGCAATTGGCAAACCAAGTGTCACAAAATACAAATTTTACGTCAACGATACGTCTATCGGAAATTCAACCAGTGGGTCATTGACTGTAAATGCTAGTGACTGCACAAGGTATAATGGGAATTACAAATGTGTTCCTGAAAGTAGTATAGGAGATGGAGAAGTTAAGAGCCAGTCCGTTGTTGTGACAGGTTTGTGTTTACTTAATTAGCTATACTTGCCTTTCTTGATATCAGTTATAATGCAGCTTCTTGTTGTATTCTTTCTTTTTTTCAACAAATTTTATCTTTATTCAAGAAGTAATCATCGTACATCTTAAATGTTTTTCTTATTTTCTATGTAGCAGACACTATAGATAGCAAAATTTCCTATTATCATAGTTGAGTCTTTGATTGTGAAGACATGTTGCTTGCAGTTGCTACATACACGACAGGAATATCGGTCTTTAACCTAATGCAGTAGCGTTATACCTGTGTAGAATTAAGAATTAAGACTTTTTATTTCTTAGCGTTATAATTTTTAAAAAATTACTAATATCTGTCTAACTTCGTGTCTTTTTAAATGGTGGAATGTTTCAAATGAGTATGATATCCATTCTTTCTTTTAGATGATATCAAAGCCAATCCAAGAAAATCTGCGCTAGTAGCCAATGAAACACAAAATATTACGCTCACGTGTGATGTGTCCGGGTGCCCTTTGCCAACCAAAAAATGGCAGAAAAATGGAAACCCTTTGAATAGATTTGGTAGCATTTTGAAGTTGAGCAGTGTCAGTAAATCAGACAGTGGGCAGTATTCTTGTCACGCGGAAAATGGATACACCAATGCTTCGACAGAAATTCAAGTCACTGTTAATTGTGAGTGGATGTATCATATGCTTCAAAAAGCCTCTCATATTTCAAATGACGGGACCCGAATTGCCTCGCTAATGTTATCAAAATAACAACTTCACTACGATAAAAAGAAAGACGCAGATTTTTAGTTTTTCGCTACCAATTTTCTCATTATGTTATTCTTTGCACCAGCTATAGATCATATAATGGTACGAGAACATCACGCGAACAAGTTATATGAGGTGGAATTATCAATAGTTTTCCTTGCAACTATAGTTGCTACAATGCTAGTTTTAGAAATCTCCCCACAACCGTTGAGTTCAAGAAACCTCCTGGATTTCATAAATGACTTCGTTGGTAAAATATTATCACCATTATTCCTTCTTTTCCCTCTTGTTTTTAGATAAACCAGTGTCCACGACTTTCACAGCATCGGTCGCCAAACCAACAGAAGGTTCAGCAGTCTCTTTCAATTGCAGTTCAGATTCCTACCCAGCGGCAACATACAGGTTCTATCGTGTCGATAATATCGGGAATGTGTTAGTCAGCAGCTCCGGTTCAGAGAACAGTGGGGTGTACACAATATCAAGTGTCAGTTACAGTGGTACATACAATGTCACTTACAAATGTGTTCCATACAATCTTCTGGGAAATGGTGTGGCTGCAAATACCACAATCGAAATTCAGGGTATGATGTCTAGATTTGCACTTTCAAATCTTTTCATTAGCATCGTCTGACATTTGCCACTTAAAGTTGATTGCCTGTTCTGAAAATTGTTTTGTGTTAATTTTGATCAGATCTTTTTTGCTCTAGCTTTTACCTGTTTAATGAGCAATCAAAATCAATGCCTGATAACTTTTACTCCAAAATCTCTATTGTAAGTGGGTGGCATTTTCTCATGCCCATTCAATTTCAATGCCGAAAAGCTTGCGCCCGTTTAGAATTGTACACATAACAACTTTTAAAGATCCACTATATAAACCAGATTTTTCTAATATTACATCATAAAATTTCAGTTCGACCTCGAATTATGGTATCAGCAATACCTAGTGCAGTGAATGAGACACAAACTGCTGTTATCCAATGCAAGGTCTTAGCTGCCAACCCTGTTCCGTCTCTCGCCATCACAAATGCCAATGGCCTTTCCATTACCCACACAAACGGAAATGTAACATTAAGCAGTGTCACGGCTGATCAAGCTGGAATGTACACGTGCACAGCCAGCAACGGAATTGGGCAACCAGTCATTGGAAATACCACATTGACTGTCAATCGTGAGTTGTTTACTTCGAGATTGTTTTACTTTCATTCAAAGTTGTCTCAACTCTTCAGCATTTCTTCTTTATTTCTGTTATCATTAAGTCAACTAGTAATTGCTTCTTTATTCATGTCATTCTATTGCTCTATATCTGCTCACTTTATTCTTGCAGACATACCAGACAAGATCAACCTTACATCTTCCAACAACAAACCTGTCAATGGTTTGTCTGTCACGTTAACTTGCTCTGCTCGTGGAACCCCTAAACCTCAGTACAAGTTTTACAATGGTCTCACCAATTCAATTGTCCAGGACTCTTCCAGTGGGACATATATCGCAGGTCCTCTGAACTACGAAATCGTAACAAATTACAGCGCGATTTTTCGTTGCATACCTCATAATATGATGGGAAATGGAGTTACAACTTCGATAGCTCTTGATATTCAAGGTAACTGCTTAGATCTGATATCAATTCATGATAGAACCTCGTTCCATATCTTATTAATCTATTCTGCCTTATTTTGTGACCCTATTACCTATCTCGTACTGAAGCCTCAGTTTTATCTACTCCTTTGCTTCTAGGCTTTCACCAAAGTGTTTGATGAAAACTTCTGCTTTGCAGTGAGTTTTATCCTTTCTTTCTTCATTCACAGTGCCACCAAAGATTTCTCTTTCAATTACTCCGCAAACTGTCAATGAAACTGGTAATGCCAACATTGCCTGTGTTGTTGTTGCTGCTAATCCAACTCCAGTTATAACGATCTTAAATCCGTTGAGCCAAACAGTATCACACAAAAATGGCGCCGCTGCTCTTACAAAATTATCTCGCAATGATGCCGGAATTTATTCGTGTAGTGCAAGCAACAGTGTGCCCGGGTCCCCGGTTACAAAGACTGCTGCTCTTTTCGTCAATCGTAAGTAATTTTTTCCTTTCTTTAATCATCATTTTCGTCGGTTTTTTATGTAGTTTTAAAGTTTCTTTTGTGTTGTTTTGATAGAAATTTGTTCCTACAAGCTTTATTTTCAGTACGAAACTAATTGCTATTGGTAAGATTGTGGCTACATTTTCATCCTAGATTGGCACGACACGAGATTGTTATGCGGAATTGGAAATTAGTACACGCAGATTTGAAATTAGCATAGGCAAAGAAAATTTAGCTTTAGTCATTTAATGTCACACTGGTCAAAAGATCTTTTGGAAATTTGATTATTTAATCAAAGTGTTGACAAATCTTATCTAACTTTGTAGAGAAATTGGATATGTATTTCATATAAAGCTATGATGAAGAGCTCTGTCCTTGTGACAAGTGTCTTCAGCGAAATATTATCTACGTTGCTGAATCTTATCAAAGTAGTTTCTCTACGTCGCTGAATCTTATCAAATTATTAGATTTATTTATTTATTTTTATGACATTTCAAACAGATGCTCCAGATCAACCCAGGATTACAGCAACAGCAACCAAGCCTGTCACTGGTTCAACAGTCACTTTGACCTGCTCTGCACGCGCCACCCCAGCAGCGCACTTCCGATTCTTATCTGGCAATGGGACTGTGTTACAAGACGGTGCTAGTGCCAACTTTGTTATAGCTTCATTGAATTACGTGGATTTTACAAATTACACCGCTACGTATCGATGCACAGCACATAATTCTTATGGTAAAGCCCCTCGTCAAGAAATCGTCCTTGATATCCAAGGTAGTTTTTTTCTATTTCGACATATATGGTATTTGCATCGTTCGCCTTTTTGTTTGAATTTTAGGCGTGCTAGAAACAGCAACCCCTAATTGACCTTTGTTTTCTTTTCCAGTCCCTCCTGTCATCTCATTTTCAATAAACCCGAGCACAGTCAACGAAACTAACAATGCAAAAATGCTGTGCACTGTTACTGCTGCACACCCAGCACCATCAATCACTATACAGAACCCAAAGGGACAAAATTTAAGTCACACAGATGGTTTGGTACAACTTGATTTGATCACTCGTGAACACGGTGGAACATATTCTTGCATTGCTTCCAATGGAGTTGTTGGTTCACCTGTGACGCGGACAGCAATCCTCACTGTAAACCGTACGTATCATCAAATTCAGAAATCTAATTTTTCATATTCGTTCTGTTCAAATATGACTTACTCTAATCGTAGGAATGTTGATTTTTAACACACTTGATCTGTCTTTTTGAAATGTAACACGTGATATTGTTCGTCATAGCCCTCATATTTATGGTTCTATTAGTATGGTCTAGTTTTCGATTCAACAATCGCTTCATTATGAAATGCGATTGGAATGGATTAAAACTTTGGAGTGCTGTTGTTTTAGGTTGTTAGCTAGTAAGCATTTTTTGCTGTCTCTAGACCGACCAGACAATGTCAGTATATCAGCATCAAGTCTTAAACCAGTAAATGGTTCATCTGTTACATTCACGTGTTCTTCACGTGCCGGTCCGCCAGCGAAATACAAGTTCTACAAAGTAACTGGATCGACGGAGATCCTTCTTCGGGACTCCACTTCGGCCGTGTACGAAATCACAAACATCAATTATGCAGAATACATTGGTTATAAAGCAACTGTAAAATGCATCCCATACAATTTCTTTGGAGATGGCCCTAGCAGGAATGGAACTGTCGATATTCAAGGTATTGAACCAACTTCAAAACACTACCGCTATTGTGTTATTCTGATATGCATGCACAGAACTAAAAACAGACCATTTTAAGTTGTATTATGTCTAATTTATGACTACCTATGTTGATTACATTCACTTTCCAGCAGAACTGGTTGGTTCTTATTTCAAAAATATTACTTTAAGCAGCCATTAGTTTTGTTTGAAAAAGTACTATTTTCTTGCGCTTTTTTAACTTTTGTTACTTTACATCCTAACACCTTGATTTTTAGGATAAAAAATAAGGTGTTATGTAACATTTGATCTTTAATTTTTTAGCATACACTTTTACAACATCCATTTTCGACTCAAGTACACTTCTGCTCTGATCGATTATTCTCTATTCACAGGTAAAGCCCGTTAGTTTATCGGGCCATTGGTCTTGGTAAATTGGTAATAGATATTTTTATCAGCTCCAAATAGAATCTTGTTGTTGTAGATTGATTATTAACAGAGAGAGGTGTTCATTCGTGATTAAATCACTGTCTTTTTCTCTGTTCAGTGAGCCCGCAGATAAATGTACCATCCACTCTAAATGTTAATGAAGGTCAACGTGCCTCCTTAACTTGCTCTGTGACAGCAGCCAACCCCTCGCCTACAATTACCTGGAAATGGCCAGCAAATAATGTTTTAAGTAGCACCAATGGAGTGCTTGTTATGTCGTCTGTCAGGAGGGGGCAAAATGGAACATACACATGTGAAGCTTCAAACGGTGTTGGATCGACCGCTACGAAGACTGTTTCTCTCACTGTCTATTGTAAGTAAACCATTTCTAAAGTTTGAGCCCCCGCTCAACATTTTCTAAAATTTCAATCACTCTAAAGTTTCAGTGGCTTTTCCAAAATTTCAATGGTGAATGTTGATAACCTCTTCCTGAACTTTGCCATGAAATGGTTGCAATATTAGAACTAACCTAGCATGACTGAAATTTTAGAAATCTCGCAGAGCAAGCGATTGGAATTTTAGAAAAGTTGCTTAAGTAATTGAAATTTTAGAAAATGTTGAACGGTGGTTGAAACTTTGGAAATGACAGAAATTTTAAGACTAGACAGAGCAACTGAACTTTTAGAAGATTTTAGAAACTTTAAGAAAGTTGGTGAAATTTTAGAAAGAGCTTTTTTGGCGGTATATGCGCGCCATACATTTCCTAATCATCCTATTGTTACTATTTCCCATAAAAATTGGTTAATAGGAAGATCATGCCTTTCTGCAGATGGACCTGAATTCACGAGCCACAGCAATAGCATAACTACCTGTAGACCACGGACAGTAATCGTTAGATGCGTTGCAGATGGCTTTCCTGTACCAACAGTTAGAATAATGTTTTCAAATACTGAGAAGACAAGAGGACATGGACAAGTTACTCATATAATAACTGACTTCAGGGGCGAAAATACCGGGGGGGTGTGGGGGGGTGTGACACCCCCCCAATCCAAAAAATAGTCGATTTCGCAGGGCAATCGAAGATTTCGCAGGGCGCCAAGAAGACCTTTATTGCCACGCAGAAATGCCACCTCTGAAGTTCGTAAAGGGCCGTTTAGGAATTTTTAAATGGAAATATCGTATTTTTTATGAACCTCCCTTCCTGACATTGTATTTTAGAGAACGGAACAGGTATGTAAATAAAAGCTCTGTTATTTGCAAGGCAAAAGCATTTCTTACCGAAAGTCATAGCCAATGGATGCAATGATGGATGCATATGTTTATGAGGGCAAAATTGAGTCCATGCAAATTAATTTAAGTTGTAATTATTTTCATGACAGGCACGGCGTCACTGGGGGGAATAGGGGGCCGAAGGCCCTCACTTTGATCAAGATAAGAATTTTTTATCATTTTTTCTATTACTTTTTAACAGTGCATGAACTAAAAAACATAATAAATCGTTGAGATACCAATTTTGTTTCATCTAATTGCTAACTTTTCTAAGTATATTTTTATCATTTTTCTTTTATTTGCATTAACTCAGTAAATCATTTTCTGTATCATTGCAATGCTTTTATTTTGGATGTGTAAACATGACCTTCTCGATACAAGAAACTGCACATTTCTGTTAAGGAAAAAATATTCCTCAAATCAAAACAACATCTTCCTCTGTCATTCACAACTACGTGCAATCTGAAACGAAAGGTTGCCGTTTCTTTCCTTCCCCAACGTTTAACAATAGAGTTTTAGCATGATATTCCCCCTCCCTATTTTTTCCAATAAACAATAATATTTTCAATAAACAATCAGTTCTTTTAGCACAATAGTATTTTGCTAAATTTTTGTCTGAAAGATGCTTTTTAGCCCTTTTAGAAGGTATAATTTCAAAAATTTTCTTCACGTCGGACCCAACCATGGTGGGTCCTCCTACCTCACTAAACTTGATTCTTAGTCCCCCTGAGCTAAATTTCGTTGCGCTGTCTGCATCATGTATCCCCCCCAGTAGCTGTTTATTAGCTAGTATTTTGCAAACCAACATTAAATGAAGTGAATATAAAAAAAATTACGCTCACGTAGAGAAATAGATATTTCATAGGCAATGAAGTTTCAAGTTTGTTTTTATTGCTTAGAAGTTTGTCCTTGGTAAAGACCAGTGTACACTGGTAAAGCTTTCACTAGTAACCTATAGACAAACCGTTGCTACGAGGTCTGCAGGGCACCAGTCAGTTTTGCAGGGCAGAAACCCTTTTCACCCCCCCAAACCTATTGGCCAACTTACGCCCCTGACTGACTTGGCAGACAGTACCTTCGGAGTATACACATGCTTGGCAAACAATACCGTCAAGGAAGTGAACATAACTAGAACCTTGGTTAAAAAAGGTATTCTTATTAGATGCAATAGTTTCAAAAATGTTTCTTTGTTAAATGTTCTTGGTGTAAGGCAGTGACAGATCATATTACAGAGCAGTCTAGGCCAGTATGCCGTAGAGCATGGCGAATCAACTGTTAGATTATTCTAACTTCTAAGGTTTATTAACTAAGAATATCATCAAAACTTTATGTAAACTAATGAAATCGTGTTTAGAGAAAGTCAATCTTTCTTGATGTGAAAAAATACTCATCACAGGAGTGATGCACAATCAAAAATTTAAGAAGTGTTTAGGCAGTGATGAATGTTTACACAGTTTACGATACGATGCTCTGACCTTCATAAAAAAAGCTGGCTGGCAACTGGTTCATATCTTAAACCCCGGGTTTTTGCC